TTTTTGGAAGATTTTGCTAGTGTAAACACTGCAATCCCCCATCATGTAAGATATTATAATCCTGCTGATCAGAAGCAAGGGCAAGAAATCAATATGGTAACATATATATCTGTTGCCCTTGTGATGTCTTTCATGTTCACCCTGGGCTCTTGCATCTAGACAGAGTTGAGCTGCGGTAGGTCATTGTCTGTGCCCTCTAGATCACTAGAAAAGTCACACTGAAATCTAGTACTACTCAAATGTTGTCCTTGCGTAACTCTTCTCAATTCATAATCTCTAGGAAAATACTAGGCAGACTGCATGGTGGCCATCAAATGGGGAGGCGCAAGCACCTTACAAGTTTACCTTGCTTATCTTAAACCTACATGTGTAACAACTACAAGGTCTTGAGCACTTAATCTTGTTTTACTTTAAATAAGTCACACTATATTATAAAAAAAGGACTGATAAGAACTGATATACCTACCTTTTTACAAAGAATCCCTCATCAAGAGATTGAATACGTAACTTCTATTTTTAAAAGTTACACAAGGTTTGGAAGACTTTTTTCTACATCAGCACTTCATGATGTCTAGCATTGAGGACAAGGTTGACTTTATCACAGATTTACCCCCTGTCCACACACAACATTTTCCGTGATTAGGCGTGATTAGTTATACCGTTTCGCGATAGTTTTACGATGAAATTGTGTGTGTGGACACTCACTAACGATACGTCGTATAACGAAACTAGTCTAACGAAACGCAGGTTTGGGCATCGTTTCAAACTGAAACTCTATAAAGAATCACGCCTAATCACGGAAAATGTTGTGTGTGGACAGGGGGAGTGTAACTAGTGTAACTAACTGGGCGGGGCTTAATGTGACCTCGAGCGAAAGGAGACCAGACCTCTTATACGACGTATCGTTAGTGAGCGTCCACACACACAATTTTATCGTAAAACTATCGCGAAACGGTATAACTAATCACGCCTAATCACGGAAAATGTTGTGTGTGGACAGGGGGTTAGTGTAATAACAACAAAGCACAACTTTAGGGTAAGTTTAAAGCTTATCTGCCATAGTTTACAGGAGGGATTAGAGCGCCCTGCAAGGTCACTGGACAGGTGGTTATCTCATCAACTCAGCTCCCAGTTAGGACCATCGAAATCCAAGTAAGTAGAAGGATTTTCCGAGACCGCTGAATTGCACCGCCGTGCGCCATCTTGGATAGAACTAGCGTTGTGAAAGCGAACTGCGACTACGTGCTATGTGTATGCTCAACTTTCGTCTGCAAAATGCCATATTGTGCAGCTTTCAACTGCACCAATCGCCTTAAAAGAGGCTCTGGAATAACCTTTCATATTTAAGTGATCACTTCATTAAAAACATGGCAAAAATAAACAGTTTCGCATGATAATCCGAACGCAGAAAGCCACAGACTAAAGCGTGTATAGTACATCGGTCCCATCTATTCATTTCCATGTTTGTGAACTGTTTTCGCTCGAGCTCAATGACATCGGCTAATTTTGGACATTTAAATTGTTGTAAGACACAAGAAATTTTACTCATCAAAGTTGGTCATTGTGAAAGTTACGACCTGTCAATCATGGCAGTTAAAGAAGCTACCTGCATGAACCTTCCTACGTCCTGTAAAACTTACTCCTCAGATAAATATGTGTAGATTATGTAGTGATTTCATATGGCCTAGTAAAGCACAGCACTTGAAATACAAATCAAGAAAAAAAAAACACCAGGCAATATTTTGCGAAGCTCCCATTATTCTGGTACATGTATATCTTTAAAGACATATACATTTTGAAATATTTGGGGATTTATGCTCCAAAAGGTTAAAAAATTGGTCAATCTTATTTATGTGTATTTTTTTACATAATATTTCACCATCGATGAAATAAATATACTAATTCAAACAGACTATTTCATCATACCTTCTCCTTCCCACTGAAATGACAGAATGTGCACTACAGGGATACGATGTTTGCCCTATTGGTCTATTTTGTGTTTTATACATCTAGGCTTACCCAGAGAGAAAGGAATTGTATTATTCAGGCGCGGATCTAGGATTTCTTAGGGGAGGGGGCCCAACTTTTTTTTTTTTTTTTTGCTCCCGAAAATTTGAAAATCGCGCCTGCCGAAAAGTCGCTCAGTGGGGGGGGGGGGGGGGGGGGGGGGGGGTACAGAGCACGATTTTTTTTTTTTTTTTTTTTTTTTTTTTTTTTTGCTCCCGAAAATTTGAAAAACGTGCCGGCCAAAAAATTCGCTCAGTGGGGGGGGGGGGGGGGGGGAGTGAGCACATTTTTTTTTTTTTTGATCCTCAAAAAAATTTCAATTTGCACCCCCCCCCCTTGAGTGCCAGGGGGGGGGGCCCAACCCCCAAAAAAGGTAAAAATCACGTGATTTTACATGATTTTTTTCTCAAGGGGGGGGGGGCCGGGCCCCCCGGGCCCCCCCCCCTGGATCCGCCACTGCTATTATTGACACTAGCCTGTCTTCTGTCTGACAGGTTTAGGTATAGTTTGAATCTGATTGCATAAATTAGATTTGAGATTAGAATTTGCGAAAGAGGCATCAAAGAAAAAAAAAAAAAAAACTGGATTATTGTCAACGTGTTTCAGGGAAAGGGATTTTCTTTAAATTTTGTATTTTTAACTTGACTCTGATCACTTGTGCCTTCATATCCTATTGGTTGCACTTATGGTTACCAAAGCTATTTACAATTGTGCGTATGTTTCTTGATAATGGATAATGTATTCGGTGATGGCATAGTGCCACATACATGTGTGTACAAACAAATTGTTTCGTCCAATTAGATAAGGAAGTCACTCATTATGTTGTATGAAAATCTGTATACAGAGGTTTACGGTGTATGCAAACGATCCCTGTTTTGTTATAAAATATTGTCCAATGATTTTATTGTTCAATGTGCAGTACTGTCATCTATTCTACACTACTGAATTCAAACTGTAGTTGCAATGGTTGTATCCATGTTTACCAACTGAAAGAGCTTGAGCTAAATGAAAGTTGCAACTTTCATCTAGAGTAAATATCTGTTTTAAAAGTTTTCACTGAAATCAGATGAATCCATACATTGCTTCATGAACAAACCAAAGCGAGGGAAATATTGATTCATATGTATTATATCTTGTTGATGTCTAGTTTATTAATGAAGTATGTTCAAGTTTTGAGTGCTAAAAGGGAGAAAATCTTGCCTTTTGTACATTGTAGTCAGTCAAATGCAAATGTACATGTGATTATTTCTCTGTGTGTTAAAATGAATAAGAAATGTGCCGGTATAAACATAATGTGCCATGATTGCTTGCTTGAGGAAAGTTTTTTCCACACCACTGAGGATTTTTTTCTTCATATCCACCATTGCAATAGTTCATGGATGTTTTGATATGTACTGTATACATTCATGTAATACATAGCGCAATGCCAAGGTTAAAAAAAAAACTTAATAAAGATGAAAGTATTCACAATTATGTGGAAAGACATGTGAATAGTTGCCACAATGTGTCATTACTTAACACTTCTTAGACAAATCTTGAATATGCCTATATGGGATGAAAATAATATCTGGCAGCTAAATGGTAGCCTCCCAAGGGAAAGAAAAGAAATAATATTAATATTCAGTGGGCCTACTTCTGCAGTGCCAAGAATCAAAGGGATAGAGAAAGAGAGAGGGGAGAGAGACAAAAAGAGAGAGAGGGGGAGAGTGAAAGAAAAAGGGGGAGAGAAAAAGAGAAGGGGATAGAGAGAAAGAGAGAAATAAAGGGAGAGTGAAAGAAAAAGAGAGGGAGAGAGAGAAGGGGATAGAGAGAAAGAGAGAGGGAGTAGAGAAAGGGGTAGAGAGAAAGAAGGGGAGAGGGGGAGTGTGAAAGAAAAAGAGAGGGAGGGAGAGAAGGGGATAGAGAGGTTGGGAGTGTGAAGAGAAACACAAAGACTGAGAATTTACGAGCGTGTGTAAAGAGAAAGTGGGAGTTTTTTATATAGATAGTGCCTAAATAATTTGATATATTCTTTCTATCACAGAAAGAGACAAAACTAGTCTAATACCACAAATGATATTTAACAAATAGTCTAGCTCTTTTAGTCTTTATGCAAAAAAACCCCTAAAATTTCAACTCCCTACTGTCCAAGCTGCCGCTCTTATTCCAATATTCAAGTCATCAAACATCTGTATGGGACTTGGAAAAGGGCATAAACAATATAATTATGTAAAGATATTTTTCATCAAAACTAACAATAAAACCCTGGTTTCTGGACGTCCCTTCCTCCAATTGCAATAGGAGCTTGTACACAATACGTATGCGCAGGCGATTTCTTGTACTACGCAAAATGGCGGCGGGCGCACTCGAGCGGTGCCATTGCGCTGCGTGAAACGTGAACGGACACAATCCTTCTACTTGGTTTGAGTTCGTTGGTTAGGACCAATGGTCACCGATTAGGCATTGTTTGTTATATAGAGGGCGCAAGTAGCTACAAGTAGTGCAGTGGGACTTTAAGAAAGTCTCCACACTAGGCTTTTTTGCAAGGGGGTCCAGATTGAAAATTTTAGAATCTGTATGCAAAGCTTTATGTAAACATTTTGATTTTGTTTTGGTGAATTTTTCTTTGGATCATTTTTTTTTTGTGGGGGGGGGGGGGGGGAGATCTGGGTCCTGTTTCATAAAACTTGTTATCAAAAATGAGTTTTAATATCGGTAACTGTTATACGCCACTGAAATGATTGCACTTTTTATCACACTTTTTATTGAACAAGTTTTATGAAACGGACAGAGCCCTGGGCTAAGATTTTGGGCACCTATGTATTTTGGGTGCTTCTTATTGTCGAGCCCTGGGTTAGGACTCTGTGCATAAAGTTTGGTCCAGCGTTAAAGTTTGGTCCAGCGTTAAAGTTGGGAATTCAGTTAGTGCCGGGAAATTGACCGTGAAGCCACTGTTGCATGTGCGTCATTAAACCAACCTTTAACCCGATTATGACCCTAGAACTAATAATTACCTGTGCCATCTGGCAGCGACTGGACGTAGGTTGGAAACATCTTGACCTTGGCCTCGGCATGTGTGGCTTTGTCCAGTCCCTTGACCATCTCAGCGGTCAACCTGTCTCCAATGTCCTTCATCATTTCTAATGAGATGTTGAATGGCTCCAGGACACTCTTGACCTGCAAAGTGATTTCAAGAGGACAAGATCATCACTATTAAGTTTCAATAAAAAGGAGTATCTACCTATTAAATCTATTTATACCTTTTATATTATCATAATAAAAAAAATTAATTGAAAATGTAGAAAGTTGAAAAGGCAATGACTGCTTGAATATCCAATTCCTTAAATCCAAAAAAATATTGTAGCACCATAAACTTTTCTGACCTGCAACTTTCATGAATGGTTACTGTGGTCAAGTTTTGCTGCAAGAAACTTGGTGACAGACAGGGTAAAGATTCATTCTTTCAATTCCCTAATTTTATGGCATTAAACTTTTGTGAATCTTGACCAATCACAAAATTTCATTGGCATCAAAATGTCTGTTTTTATTATGTTTCACAGAGATATAGTGATTGATGATTATTTCATCCGAAATAAATGCAGCACAACTACATTCGTGTATGACTGAAAGTGTCTTAATCTACTCAGGGAGACAAATAAATATCTGTGTGCAAGTGATGTATCTCAGATTGATATTTTTTTTTATCAGTCTGGAACTCTGCATCAATTTACGTATTTCATAATTGATGCACAAGTAATCCCGACATAATAGGATTGTCATCCCTCAAAAACACATCAAACAGAAAACGTGTTGGATTTTGCAGGATTTGTTCCAAACTGATATACATCCTGAGTGATACAACGTAGGTAAACAATACTTACCATGCTGGAAAAAGTCATATTATTATTAAAGCTTTGAATAATACTGATACTGATTGATGATGGTGTGGAAAATCTTTGTAATTAATGATACATATGACTTTAACAAATGAAATGAACATACAGGTGTATATAGCACTGACTACTTGAAGAAGAAAAATAATCTTACACACATTGTACATGTGCATAGCCCATATGATTATAGGAATCATGGATTAATCTGTACAATTTTATTTTGCAGTTCCTTTTTTGATAACTGTCAACTGTAAATTCAGAAACTTTCATGACTTGAAACTTCATGATTGGAAAACTGCAGATTACAATAATTTAGTGATGTGTCAAAAGGCCATTTTCATAATGTAATCAAATTTAATGCATACATCTTTATTAATTTCATAGTGCCTTGTAACAAATTATTTAATTTACCTGTTATGAATAATTGTAATTCAATTGTCAGAATGCGAATTGCATACCGGTATATTAATTGTTGCTATGTAGGACAAATATTATGGCCTGTCCTACGTGACAACATGCTCATGCAATATAATGTAAACTCACTTGAAGTTCATTTTGAGGGCAATTAAGAAAAGAATAATAAGCCCAGAAGCTTTTTCAATATTTGATTTTAAAGGTGACTGGATTATAAAAACAAATAGCGATAACTCTCAAGTTAATAACCTAGAGAATACAACCGCTTCAAGCGTAAAGGTCGAGTGAAGTGAATAATCGGTCTTTTACCTCTGTAATTTTCCATTCACAAAGTTTCTGTATTTATGCAATATTTTGGATTAATCATTAATGAGGAGGTATTTCATTGACTTGTGGGGGGTGTCGGGTGTCGGTAGGTAAATAGCACAGAAAATCATTTACGTCAGAGAGTGAGCTGACAGAGCGGGATCATCGGCTCATGGACCTACTATGATTGGCTTAAATGAGGGATGGGTGAATGAGTGATAGTCTAGAATGAACAGACTCTCTATATCATAGAATTCTAAAATGACTCTGAAAATAGTCAAGCTTGCTTTCTAGTTTCTAGCCTGTAAAATTGATGAATCAAATGGAAATAACGATTCTGAAACTGATAAAGGGCTTATCAATTCAATATTTGCAATTGGAGATAAATATTTGTTTACATTTTTGTGGAGTATGGAATGAGGTATGTTAAACAGACTAATGAATTACAAATATTGAAGTATAAGAGTGAATGATACAAATAATCAATACCTAGTGAACTAAGTTTGATAATAATGATTTATACATCATACATGTCATGTCCGTCAGACTCAAAACTCTTTGCACAAATGTTTTCATGTTTAGATGATCAATTATACATGTACATGTACACATACATGTAGAGATCTAAATAAGTAGGCCTAATTGAAATTAAGCCATTGCTAGAATCTACATGGAATTGGTTACATGATGAATGCGATGCGCGGCACTGAGATGTTGCACTTGCAGAGCACATCCACATGTAAATATGTAGTGATTCAAATCTGGAGGGGGGGGGGGGAATTGAGATGAATTACAAGTTTGAAAACATGAAAAGTAAATAGGCATGTATACATGTACATGAATAAGAGATATAATGTACAGTGCACAATGAATAGTTGAAACAATAACATAATGTACAATAATACAGTGCAGTCATATATATCAAAATATACATTTGACAGAAAACACAATGTTTAAGCAGATCCTGTAGCAGAATATGATCCTCAGATACATGTAGCAATTCATTGTACCGGGTATATAATAAATTAATAACACAATGCATTTTTATGCAAATATTTTGAGCTTTTGTAAACCCTAAGAGTGAAGTAGGCATTATATATGCAAGCAGTTGTACCTGTTTCAATAATATATTTTCTGAAGAAATGTGAAGTTGCATTATTTTGTCTAAATGTCAAAAGCTTGCACGATCATGGATGGATCAAGCAGGAGTGGGTGGTTGGTTTAAATAGGATGAAAGGCCGAAGAAAAGGTGGTACAAGATAGGAAAAAGATTGGTTTGATCGAGGAAGGCACATGTACACTGCAACTGTATGTGACATCAAAGAAAAGTGCTTTACATGTATACAATTAAATCCACTAGATGAATTAACATTGACAGTATAGTGCAGACTCGAATTTACAGATAAAGCAGCAGGGGAAAAAATAATTTGTTTTCCTCCTCTTTGTTATAAAGGCAGATTAAAGGGGCATTTCATAAAGTATGCTTTTTGAAAGAAGAGCAAAAGACAAAAATCTTCTCTATCATTGCAGAAAAAACAAAAAAATTGCTCCCATGTACATGTACGTGTCTCAATTAGCTGACAGCATGAAGATTTTTTTTCTTCCTTTGAGAGAGGAGCATCTCAACAGGTTTTGTGTTTGTGAAGGATTTTTCATTTATTTTGATGGGGAAAAAAATCATTTCTTTTTTGGTCACTGCAGTATTAAATGAGAGATATAAATAGTAGAAAAAGAAAAAAAAAATGAAATAACTCCACAAATGGATGGATGTAATAATAATAATAATAATATATTCTTAAATAGCACATTTTTCATATATACAGGTTCAATTGCACTTTACATGTACAATTATGATATACATGTACACTGTAAGCAGAATAGGTGAGTCCTCTTATCCTCTTTCAAACATGTGTATCTCATAATGTAATAAGAGGAGTGATAAAAGGACACTCGGCATGAAGAAGCGACAACAATTTACTTAAGCCAACAATGGATGCATTTCTTTAAAAAAAAATATGGATGGATTTCTTTTGAAAATGAATTAGAAACCACAGCTTTGCACAGTACCCGGTTAAATTTCTCGGACTGGCCCTCAATAATGGGGGTCGGATCCTTGGTGATGACAGAAGCACTGTCCCAAAACTAGAATTAGTAGAAAGATAAAAACCAAAGGAAAAACAAAAAGAAAAAAATAGATGTAGGGAAAAACATAAACATGTAACTGCATGCAGGGTCAAAAGGCATACAAAAACCATGCACTACCAACTAAAACCGTACTTGTTAAATAAAACGACAAATCCATGTTATAACAAAATGTTAATAACATGAAAATCTAAAACAAATTACAGTTAGTGTCAAATAATACTATTAATTTCTAAGAAATGATAGACCAAATTCACAATGGGTAGTAAACCATGAATTTATCGAACTACAACTGAAAGTGACAAATTAGTACATTCCATCCAAGATGTTGAAATTAATAAAATCATAATTATGTTAATTAGTTTTGCATGCATTATAAATTCAATACACGTACATATTTCATACATACTGTAACTGTATAGCACTCAAAATGACGACACACTATTCACCACATCACAAAACATAATACATCATGTACAAGTATACTTTTACATACTAATGGAAATTCTTTAGTTGAGTCAGAAAATGAAATCAAACAAATATACAATATGTATATCAATGACCGCTCACCCAAACAGGCTATTTTCATGATCAATAACATTTTGCACAAAACCAAACACTTCACAGCACCCTTTTCTCACATCAATAACAGGATCCTCTCTCTCAACCATCAAAGAAAAATATTGATTAAAAATGTTTACTCCGTACTTCTTGAGAGTTTATTTTATAGTTGTATTAAAAATTCTTTGAAAAGTCCTTCACTAGAAAGGAGGTTTATTTCGTCACAATAAAGGCAGATTGAAGCATTTTCAACAATTTTTTGTTTGTTTATAAGATGTTTCTTTGAAGGTGATTTTCAGAAAGTTTGCCTCCCCCCCCCCCATGACATGTAGTTACCACACAATTTCTTTTCTGTCCCCTTATACCCATTACACTCTATCTGTTACATGTAGTAGCTTGGGACACATGGCCGATGGGTTTCTTCGCATCATAGAGAATTGGGAATTGTACTCTACTCAGTACCAATGCCAATACAAAGCTGAAGAGCTTGTTTGTTATTTTCTGGTTTACTCCGCGGTCATAAGCAAGATCTGATTTCTTTCTTCAACATCCCTGATTACAGACCTGTCATCCATTTTACTACACCTACATTTGTTGTACAGGTGTACATGCACATGTACATGTACATGTAGTAGGTCCGAGAGCCAAATATCAGTTGGGTCTCAGATCACACCTTGAAATAGCTTGAGAATTGACTAGCCCGAGACTCTCTACCCTTACATTTACTCTGGGTTGGCCAGGAACCAGCTTTTTAGTTGTTGGGCGTAACAGGGGTCTTACCTTAAATATGAAATTTCAACTTTAAGGACATCAGATAATTACAAGTACTGTGTGAGTGTGTGACATCTTTTATGATTCACACTTCCCGGTCATTTTTCTATTCATTGATTAAACAACCCGTCACAATTTGAAGGGGAAATGTCTTTGGAGTTGATGCCCCTAACCTGCTCTGTATTTTGTTTCCCCTGCTGAACTTCTCATGCCCTTCCAGTTTCTGTAAGACAGGAAGCAAGTCACTGTGGACAGCCAAGTTACAAGGCCCTGGATCTTGGATGGTAGTACCCAAAAGGTCTTTGGATATTCTATGACTTGAAAGAACTACTATACCTATGAACTTAAAATATAAGTGTTCATGCACTGCACTGTATACTTGCATGGCAGTTTGCATTTGTAACATTTGAAAACCTACATTACATTCTGCAGATCCATAACTTAAGATGCATGTTATGCAATAAATATGCTATACGTATAAATGTATAGTCTGTTTCTCAAAATCAAGAGCATTGATTAAATCATGAAGTTACTAAAGCTTTAGTAACTCCATGATTAAAATTAAACTTAAGCTACAGTCCCATATACGTCCCGGACCGTCCCGGACCATCCCGGACCCCATCCGGGGTGATCCGGGATTCGGTCCGTGTTGACACCGTGTTGGCACCGGGGTGGTCCTGGATGGTCCTGGATGGTCCTGGATGGTCCTGGGCGGTCCGGGAGTCGACGCCAGATGTTTTTGACGGTCAAAAACTGCCGGGGTGGTCCGGGACGGTCCGGGACAATAGTTTGATCCGGGGTGATCCGTGTAGCCACCGTGCTGGGTCCGGGGTCATCCGTAGTGGCGCCGGGGCGGTCCGTGTTGATCCGTGGCAGTCCGGGAGTGAGTTATTGACCGCCCAGGACCATCCAGGACCATCCAGGACCACCCCGGTGCCAACACGGTGTCAACACGGACCGAATCCCGGATCACCCCGGATGGAGTCCGGGATGGTCCGGGACGGTCCGGGACGTATATGGGACTGTAGCTTAAAAGCATCACACTTTTTTGAACAAAACATCCCGGACCATCCCGGATCACCCCAGACCATGGTCCGGGATGGTCCGGAGTGGTCCGTGCTCGTCCGTGCTGGTCCGGCTTTATATGGGACTGGGGCTTTATGTCGTGCTTGTTGAGTCTTGCTAGTGCATGTACTAGTATATCAGGGCAGCAGAAGGTCATTTGTTGAATGAGACCCTGGGATACAAATGGTTTCCCTTTCAAGTCAAAGTTACGTAATAAGGTACCCTTTTTCATTGTGTACTGGACAAAAGGCTCTTGAATTAGTGAAAGGGCGTGAAGGCCTGGTGATTTACAAAGATGGAAAGGGAATTACAAACATTCTGTACACAAATGCTTCAACTCACTTACATGTACAGTATATACATACTACATGTTGTTATACTTTATTGGTAGGTGAAAGGCGATTGTAAAAAAAAACATCCATATGTGGAATTAAAACTGAAATTTATAGATAAAAGTAAAGTTTGGAGAATTTTTTAAATTTTGAGTCTATGACAATAATTAGGGAGACAACTCTAAATACGCTAACCCTTTTAGGGCTAATTGTTTCAAACCTAATATTCTTAAGGGAAACATTTCAGCTATAGGTCTAGTCTTTTATCATTTTGACTAACAACTTGTATGTTAATTCTCACAATAACAATGTAGAGTAACTAACTCATATAACTGTCTAAAATTAAAAATCAACATAATAAATTAAGTAAAGAGGATTAATTAAAAACAAGTGTTAATTGGAAAAAGTTTGATTCAGCTTATCTTCAATAAATATGATATGATCGGCCGTTGGTATACAATGGCACTGAAGCGAAAGATAATAGGGCCTGATCAAAGATGAATGATAAATAATTGCATCAGATTCATCGGACAATAGTCTGCATGTGTACACTGTAAATCGTGATTTACTTCTGCATATTACTAGGCCTACAGTCTTTTCTAATTAGGAGTGCCCGACAAATAACCATCAAATAACCTGTCTGTGGGAACCCTTTTAAGATGTGGTGCTGTATAAATTAATCTTGAGGCTAGTAAGCTTAGTATAAACAATGTGTGTGTGAGTGATATTTTTTTACACAGTGATATTTAAAGTATTTCATGGTTTTTTACCAAACATTTAACATATTTTTGTCTTATCTTTTCTCTAGCTCTCTTCCAAGATATTCAGTGAAGCCATACAATCTTTAATAGCGGAACATAGTCTATATCCCTGAAAAAATAGAAAGATTTTTCAGTCTAACAACAGTATCACAACACACACATTTAACAATATCATAACCATTAGTAGGCCTACAGAGTTAGAATTGAAGGAGGCTGTAGAACCATACAAGAAGCCGAAGAAGATAAGATAATTATCTTTTTAGACTTTTTACCATGTCATTCTTTCTACATACATCTTCATCACCAACATGCAACTCAAACAAACCACAAGACATCAAAAGGCATCAAACATCACTTTCATTTGGCGTAAACAACCACACTTCATTCCCATCAATGCAAAGTAAGCACAACTTTATCACAGCACAGCCAGACATTATTCAGAGGTCAATCAGGAAATAGAAAATGATGAAAAATTAATATCATGTTTACCTCCGGCTGTGAAGGTATCTGATACATGATGGATGCGGTGTGTCTCGATAATCTCACAAGAAGACAAGACGGAAAACAAAAGAGGCTAGTGGTTCTCCAAAAAATATGAATCAAGTGAGATATTCAGGCGTTTTTATGATGATGTTGTTACTGCTAAAGCAGGCGAGTAGATGAACACGATATTGTTTTGTACCGGTATGTAACAGCGCGGCCGGTTGTACTAGTGTGTTTACTGCGTGTGTACGTGGATGTAAATAATGCATGCATTTCCACATGGCAGTTTACGTTTTACGTTGGAGGTATGGAGGAGGTGCGGCTTCTCAGCCTCGCGGGGGGCCTCTCGTCATTGAGAAAAAGGCTGTACGTGAGAGCGCTGATAGCGGGGGACATTTCTGTCAAATGCGTGGGTCGTTTTTATTCCTTCCATTTTCTGGTTCGTATTATCTCTGCATGCGCTCTCCAAGAAAAACTTACCTCAACAGAAATGGAGAGCAAAAGAAGAAGCAGAAATCTCTCCTGGAAAAGTTCAAATTGTTTTTATTCTGTTTTAATAACATTAACAATGCTCATTTTATTCAATAATAGTTTGTCAAAAAGACGATTGCGTTTTCTCTATGTGTTTGCACCCCTCGCTTTCGACATTGACTGATCAAAGTACATCTTGTAAGAATGTAAATAATTCTTGGTATAAGGTGATGATTCAAGGCAATGACGTGATTCCTAAAATTTGTTTGGAACGATCTAGTTAGAATTTTGTAGATCAATGTCGTTTAGACATGTGACAAAGTTCAATTGAATTCCGGGGAAAAATGATACTTTTAAAAATCAATATTGTTTTTTGTTCACAACATCCTCCAAACAAATTATGATGGGCACTGACCGTGACTGAAAGTAACTATTGAAACCAACAATTAAACTGGTATTGGTAATTTTTGTTTAGACTGAGAGTCTTGGAATATTGTAACGTCAAAAAGAAGTATAATACTCGATTTGTATATACTGACAGTTTCATAAAGTTATGATATTCAAATTAGAGACGAAAACTTAAAAAAAAAAAATTAAGCCATTTTATGAAAATCAATCTTTGTCTTTTCTCAAACATTGATTTTTGCACTTGCTCTCAGTTCCCTGATTGTCTTCATAATGATCTTCTTTTTAGTCTCTTTTATATTTTGGTTGTCCTATAGTCTCTTCTTATTTATGTAAGATTTCATATCTTTATTCATTTTCAACTGTTCTTATAATTTCCATTTTCTCATTCTCATTTCTCATGAAAGGGAGGGAGAACGGGAGGGAAGGAAGTAAGAAGGGAAGAGAGGGAGAGAGAGAAAGAAAGGTAGAGAGAGAGAGAGAGAGAGAGAGAGGGAGGGAGGGGAGAGAGAGAGAGAGAGAGAGAGAGAGAGAGTGCGAGACGGGGGGGGGGGGGGGGGGGGGGAGAAAGGAGCATGAAGAGAGGGGAAGGGGACAAATGAGAAATGAGAAATTTAAGTATAGATTATCTATTTATCGAGAAGAATTAGAAAGTAAAGGTATATTTTTGAGGGGAAAATGCAGTCTAAAAAACACAATTATTGATAAATGATTGGGGGGGGGGGGGAAGGAGCATGAAGAGAGGGGAAGGGGAACAAATGAGAAATGAGAAATTTAAGTATAGATTATCTATTTATCGAGAAGAATTAGAAAGTAAAGATATATTTTTGAGGGGAAAATGCAGTTTAAAAAACACAATTATTGATAAATTACAACAGACAAGTATGGAATACCTTATGGAATACCTCAAGGAAATAATTTTGTAGTCTTACTTTTAATCCTAGCCTGGATCATCTACAGAAAAATGTAAAATGATGCAACTGTGAACTTCAACTTTTGGCTGAGGACCTCATTGATCTAGCAGACAATATGGAATTAACAAATAGAATTAAACAAACAAATCAAGTAAAACTAGGCGCATTTATACTGTCAAATACCTCATTTTGAAAAGTCGCGATGTTTCGCGCAGCCGTTTACACTTGTGCGGAAACATCACCGACTGAAAAGCTCAGTGATGTTTTGGCGTGTTTCAGTTGGTAATGCGCATGCGCGGCACTCCGATGCAAACACTTTCCTCTTTCTATCTTTCCTTGTTATTCTTTGTTTTCCTTCTATCACCTTCTCTTATGTTATTCTTTATCACTTCCTTCTATCACTTTCTCTTTCTGTCTTTCCTTATGTTATTCTTTGTTTCTTCCTTCTATCACCTTCTCTTATGTTATTCTTTGTTTTTTATCATTCTATCACTCCCTCTTTCTGTGTTTCCTTATGTTATTCTTTGTTTCTTCCTTCTATCACCTTCTCTTATGTTATTCTTTGTTTTTTATCATTCTATCACTCCCTCTTTCTGTGTTTCCTTATGTTATTCTTTGTTTTTTTAATCATTCTATCAATCCCTCTTTCTGTGTTTCCTTATGTTATTCTTTGTTTCTTCCTTCTATCACCTTCTCTTTCTGTCTTTCCTTATGTTATTCTTTGTTTCTTCCTTCTATCACCTTCGCTTTCTGTCCTTCCTTATGTTATTCTTCGTTTCTTCCTTCTATCACCTTGTCTTATGTTATTCTTTGTTTCTTCCTTATATCACTTTCTCTTTCTGTCTTTCCTTATTATATTCTTTATTTCTTCCTTTTATCACCTTCCTTATGTTATTCTTTATTTCTTCCTTCTATCACTTTCTCTTTCTGTCTTTCCTTATGTTATTCTTTATTTCTTCCTTTTATCACCTTCCTTATGTTATTCTTTATTTCTTCCTTCTATCACTTTCTCTTTCTGTCTTTCCTTATGTTATTCTTTATTTCGTCCTTCTATCACTTTCTCTTTCTGTCTTTCCTTATTATATTCTTTATTTCTTCCTTTTATCACCTTCCTTATGTTATTCTTTATTTCTTCCTTCTATCACTTTCTCTTTCTGTCTTTCCTTATGTTATTCTTTATTTCTTCCTTTTATCACCTTCCTTATGTTATTCTTTATTTCTTCCTTCTATCACTTTCTCTTTCTGTCTTTCCTTATGTTATTCTTTATTTCGTCCTTCTATCACTTTCTCTTTCTGTCTTTCCTTATGTTATTCTTCGTTTCTTCCTTCTATCACTTTCTCTTTCTGTCTTTCCTTATGTTATTCTTTGTTTCTTCCTTCTATTACTTTCTCTTTCTGTCTATCCTTATGTTATTCTTTGTTTCTTCCTTCTATCACTTTCTCTTTCTGTCTATCCTTATGTTATTTTTAGTTTCTTCCTTCTGTCACCTTCTCTTATGTTATTCTTTGTATTAATCGTTCTATCATTGTCTTCAAAAGGACGACATCTAGCCCCGCTCCTCAAGTCACTTTACCTAACATCGCGATGTTAAGGCCCGGTCACACAGCCTTTCGCGTCTGTATCGCGGGTAAAATTTCGCGATTTTTTTTTGCCCGCGGTTGCCCGTGGTGGAAAATGTGCAAAATTGGCTTACCCGCGGTTTACCCGTGGTATGCCCGCGGAACAGACGCCGGCGACTGTTCCGCGTCCTTATCGCGGGTGAAGCGCGGCGGTACCGCGGCCTACCACGGGTATAATAAAGCAGCCGAACCGGGCTGTAGAAATCATAACCGCTCCGTGCTTACACGCGGTACACACGCTAATGCATATTAGCGGTACAGACGCGGTACAGACGCGGAACAAACGTGCTATGACCGTGCTCCACCCGCGATTACCCGCTAAAATTTCGCGTCCTACCGCGTGTAACCACGTCTTAACCGCGGCCGTAGCACGTCCTAGCACGTTCGTTCCGCGTCTGTACCGCGTCTTTACCGCGTGTGTACCACGTGTACCGCCCGCGATTACCCGCGGTCTAAATTTTTGGGCAGCCCAAAACTTTTTCGCGCGGCCAACCGCGTGTGAATTTCTTACCGCGTTTAACGACGGGTAAAGTACGGCTGTATCGCGTCTTTATCGCGACCTCAAAGCGTCCAACAGCGTCTGCTTCACGGGCAGAAATTTTTGGCCGTGATTCGGCCGCGATACGCCCGTGGAGGGCTGTGTGACCGGGCCTTTACAACTGCGAGCGTTTATACTTGCCAAACACGCCAAAACACGCCAAAACACGCCAAAACACGCCAAAAGATCACACTTCGTTTTGGAATGTTTGGGGCTTGGCGTTTCTGCCGGTAAAGCGTAGTTGCCCTTGGTAACATCGCGGCCAGGCTCCGGTTTGGCATTTTTTGGCGTGTTTGGAAGACAGTGTAAATGCCCCTATATGAAAAATCAGGGAATTGTCGTGAATGTTATGTCTACTGAAACAGACAGAAGACAAACACATGAAAAGTTACAAATTCGTAACAGTCCCCATAATGTATGCTTTTATTATTGAGACATTATATTAAATATAATACACAGCCAAAATAATTTTTTTAATTAAAAGTTCAACATATTTCTTTGCCAAGCTTAATACAAAAGAGAAGAACAAGAAATAGGAAGACAAAGAAAAAGTAGCAGGAGAAGAAGATGCACAAGGGAGAAAGAGACTTTAAAAAAAATGTTGTTCATAATCCAAAAGCAGAAGTCAGAATTCACATATATTAAACATGCCTGAACAAAAAATCCTCTCATAACCACATCAATCAAAACATAGGACTTCGGAAAATTACAACATTTATTTATTTTTATCTTTAAAAAAATAGAGGGACTTTAAATTATCTAATCATCAAGATACATATATCAAAATGATGGAAATTTTCAATTTTCTTTAATATTTTAGAAATTTAGAAATTGAAGAGCTAAAGAATCCATGATTCTTGTATTACCATTTTATCTACTTTTTGTGAACATGAAACTAAGAAATGGAATAGATGTGTACAACTACAGCAAACCATTTCAGTGACTCAATCTTTAGCAATGCTCAAAGAAAACGAATAAACACACAAGACCAAAGTCTCAAGTTGAATAATGACAATGCAATATTTTATTCCAAAACCTGCATGAATCAGGAAAAATCTAGCAGTGTACATATACTGGCATATTAGACAATCGAAGATAAACATTCCTGATCAAAATACATGTTGATATGAACTCGTTATAAAGATAAGAATCATGATGATATTCATAAAATAATTTCTCAATGAGGCACACATTATATTATTATATCTCTTCTACCTTCAAATTTTGGGCAGTTATTCCAAGGCAATCATATTAATTTGGCAAGATCATTTTTAGTTAAAAGAATCATTAGACATCATTTGTTACATTGGAATCTAAAACAGTTCCACAATATTATATTTGTGGAAATAATAACATATGTCTATATACAATTAGAGCACAAACGAGAACAACTAAAATGCACCGGTACATAAATCCTTCCATTATACACTCCTGTTCGTTTGTCTTCCCTATACAGTCAAACCTGCTTTAGTGACCACCTGTCTACAAAGGCCACATTTGTTGTTTCCCTTGAAAATGGTTTCTCATTGAAAGAAACCTGTCTACAAAGGCCACTTTTGTGTTTCCCTTGCGCGGTCGCTATAGACAGGTTTGACTGTATATCAATGAATACAGTATATGTATTTTAACGTTTCAACTTCATGTTTAACAAACAGAAGCTAAACCATGGTAAACATTTTAAGTTCTTTTTACTGAATTATGCCAGAGGTAGATTTAAAGCAGTGGTTCTTTCTTAGCCCCATAAACCCATCTGAATGCTGTTACCTCCCCCCACAAAAGGACAAAAAGGGAAATTAATGGGATTAAAATATATAAAGAAATTGATAAATAGTGAGAACATGACATCAGAAACTGATAACCAAATTGGCAATTTATGTAGTGATTTCCATTGTTCCATGGTTTGTTTTACATACTTTTTCAAAAATTCACTTTCTTATTAGTTATTCAATTTTGCTCAAACTTTTTTTGATTGGTTTGTCTGATTTGTCTGCTTCTATTGCAAGTAAGCTATTTTTTGGAGTGGACTTGCCCTTAAAGGCAGTGTTTTGTTCTTAGCCCCACAAACCTATCTGAATATGTTTTACCCCCATTCAAATTTTGTTGTCAACACTGTTACATCCAGTAACTGTAGATCAAGAAATGCAAGTGTTGACCTTTTTTCATGCAGAGGTCACCTGGAACATCATTATACTTTTGAGTTCATTGTAAACTTTTGATCACTATGAATAATCTTCTGTAGTCAAAACATGGTCAACAATAATTAAAGGGTCTCTAAATTTCAAGAAAAATTCCTTAAATGAACAATTCTTAAGATCTAAAAGCAGTGATATTCCTAAGAATTACAAAAAAAACACCAAAAGAACCTGCAGCATTATATCCCTAAGTCAACATCCTTGAACATGGCATATATTTTTTGAATTGAAATACATGTAAATATGACACATTAACATCATTAAAAATAATAATTCTTGTAATATATTTTTCAAGAGGCAAACCTTTCAAACAGCTCAATTCATAATGGTGACATCCAATCCATACAATACATATCACACTATAATATTTTCTTACATGGAATATCATTCTTGAATCTTGGCCTTTCTCCCCAAACTTTTGTGCACTTTTCAACATGATGATACAATGACAACACAACAAAACTATGTATATTACAGACAGTGATTGCTCTTTATAAAACCGTGTTCACCACCTTAAAAAACGGTGCAGAAAACGAAAATAACCCTTGTGTTGTGTGCTTCATATTTCTGTAGGAAGAAGGGGGCCTAGGGCGATGTCTAGGGTGATGTCTAGGCGATGTGGGGGGGGGGGGGGGCCATTGATGTAAAATATTATTTTATTTTGCAGCAGTGTTTCATTTTGAGGCAGTTTATCACATCACATCTAAACAAGGGTTGATGGGTAAGGACGACCAAAATGATTCTACATACAAGAAAAAGTATTAAATGGGTAACTTTGTTGACCTGAAATGAACTTTGACCTTGACTTAATAAAACATCCTTTCAATGTTCACTGTATATACCTCAGCATGTATGTACACATATTTATACATTATAAACTTAATCTTGTTCTTATAGCACCTGGATTATACAGTGTACACAACTATACAAAAAAAAAACAAGAAGAAATACGTTGTTTCCATTTCAATTAATATGTGCAAACAGGACAATGAGTTATTTTGTATTCCAAACATGATTTTCATGGGATGTAAAACAGGGGGCTAAAATTGCCCTTGAGTTGATTTTTTGAAAAATAGTTTTGATCTTGTCCCTCTCTTCCTTTAATCCCCACTACATCCTTGCCCTTCAATTTACCCACTTCTTCAATAACTGTATTTACAGTCCAAAAACAAATCACTTTTTGGTGATAATTTTCAACGTACATGTACTTTGCAAAAAGCCAGAGGGGCAGTAATAGCAGTTTACAGGGGAGTTCAGGCCCTTTTGGTACTAAGCGGGTGAATCATCGTGAATGTTATGTCTACTGAAACAGACAAAAGACAAACTCTGATAACAAACATACCAATTAAGGCTATTATACTGGAAACAGTTAAACAATCTTAAACTCTTTGGTTTATCTATCCCATGATCAATACAATGTGGTGCAGGTAGATTACTTGTGCGGCATATCAAGAGTTTAATACAAACTTCTTAATAGAATAAACAACCTGAATATAGTACAATAACATTTTCTTAATAGTTTAAAACCATCTCTTCTTTGTAAAGATGTCTTAAGACTTTTTCCAGCAGCATTTTGACATTAATGAAGATAAAAAAGGAAGACAAAAAAAAAAGAAGAAGCAAAACCAAAATCAAAGGAAAGGATAGAAGCAAGTCGGACATTTCAATAAATTGAGGGCAGTGTGCGCAAAATAATGCTTACTCTTTTTTTTTATTCACGAAGAGTATGTTGCACCCTGGCATTATCCTACTTTAAATCTCTACAAATAGCCAAAAAGGAGGAAGATTAAATTCCGCACAAAAAAACTTTAGAATACAGGTTGCAAACTAGGGACTCGATTATATTGTTCAGAAGAGAGAAAAATGCTGCTGAGGTAGTGAGGTCAATGCTAGATTTACAATTAACCTTGAGTTGATTTCTTGAAAGTCTATGTTATAATGTTATTGACACTCTGTGACTTTGACATAGTCACAAAGGTTGGAATTCAATTCAGGAAGCTTTTGTAGCCCTACTTTTTGAATAACTTAAAACATTTGAGAAATAGTAGTGTCAAATTTTAGAAAATGCAATCATGATTTTAAACTTTCATATAGAAGCCATCTAATGCTTTAAAAATAAAATTCTATGTTATTGCTCAAAAGAGAGATACCTGTATGTGCGTTAATCTTGAATACTAGCTATGAAAAAAAAGGTCTGACAAAATATTTAAAAGCCTTACAGTACTTAGAAAAAAATATACTTTATGTTGGAAAATTCAAATATTATTTGTCCAAAGAATATGATGGAAAATGTACAAAGAAAGATAAAAACCCAGATGTGTATACATACATGTAACACTACACTCTTACTTTACAGTGTTACTGAATTCAAAAGCTTTTATATTCATGCTCTTATATTCAAAAACAAAAAAATTACTACATGTACATGTATATGATAAACATTCAATATGACATTTGAGCTAGTTGCTCTTAAAAGTTAGTTCTTTTAAGATAATGCTTGGTGGAACAGTATCCCCTGCGTTCATCAAATCAGCAAATTCCTCCAACCATTTTGCTTGAAATCCTGTCTCTTTTCAAAATATATATATATATTTATAAAGCTGTGATATAGTTTTATTATTATCATCATCATCATCATCATCATCATCATCATCGTCATCATCATTGTTGTTATCATTATTATCATCATTATTATTATTATTATTATTATTTAAAAAAGAAAATATCATTATCATCATTATTATCCTTATCATTATTATTATTACCATAATTATTATAATTATCTTTCATTATTAGTATAGCCAGAATTAAAAGATTAAGGGCAAGTTATCTATTCTGAAGGCCATATTGAGCTAAGGTCACCTAACTGATATGAGGTGGACTTTGTGTATGAAGGTCAGCGGACTGAGCAAAACAATTGTTTATAAGGAATCACAAGATAGCCAACGGAAAACATCAGACCACAAAGGTCATCACAGATCAAACAACTCGCTCAGACGCAAAGACAAGTGACATTACGCCCAAAATTTATCATTGACCAGCCTTCAAAGACAACTTCAGAATACATACATATGAAGGTTGTCTGTCACTATAATGCCAACCTATGCAGTCTGAAAGAGGAGGCTGGATGTACAAGGAGATAGAGGGATACATAAAAGGTGAAAAGGGTGGTCATAGAGACACAGAAAAGAGAGAAAATGCAAAGAACAGGGAATTTAAAGAGAAAGGTTCAATTCTGGTAAAGGTAAAAAAGATCTTAATAAAATATGAAAAAAGAAAAAAGAAAGAACAGTATCATGTTCATACTTCTTAACAATGCACAATCTTGTGACAGAGAAAAGGGAAGCACAGAGTGTATAGGCTTTCATATATTACATCTGTTCATCATAAAGCCTGATGTCCTTGCTTATAGAAACAAGAACAGTTTGAAGTCAAGAGATAGTAAAGACTTACGAGTCTGTGTTCTTAATAAGGAGTCCATGCATGTTAAGAGCACAAGATATCCTCGGTGAACGTACCACACCTTACGATCCAGCCGATGGTTGTATTGAAGAAAGAAACTCATCAAGAGAACAGTCTTCAAGAGAAGAGCAAAGTTTTTGATGATTTCGCTTCAGATGTTTGGAAATAAATGTAGCCTCTTGACAGGAAGGCATTGATCCAGTTCTACCCATCCCCTGAGTGATGCACAATCCCAGGCTCATACACAATCCCCATTCATGAAGGGTGCTGTGGGTTGTCCGTTCTGGAAGGGTTGTCCATTCTTGAAGGGTTGTCCATTCTGGAAGGGTTGTCCATTCTGCACTCTCCTGCTCTGTCGCACGGCAACCGCTGCTGTCACGGCTCCTCCGATGCCGCTGCCGTCCTCCGCGTGGTGGAACTTGACATCGTACTGGGGCACCAGGGCCTTGATCTCGGACACCATCATCTCTCGGAACTGGTGGAAGTGGAGATAGAGGGAGCCGTCCACGGCCACGGTGATGCTGGGTTTGTTGATGCGCCGCGCTATCTGGGAGATCCCCGAGGCGATCAGTCTGGACGCACGGGTCCAGATGGAACGGGAGAGCGCTCGGATGATCTGAAGCTCTGCTGCGGTGGGTTGAAGATCAAAGCTCTGGAGGATCTTTCTCGTCCCAGATAAGTCTTCAGTTTTATCCCTGAGATGGAAAGGAAAAGTATAGATTTATGATGAAATAAGGTCTTATTTGCCCTCTTTAACCAAGAGTAGAGAGGTCAATATGGACCTATTCATTGCCCTCTCAATAGTTTGTATTTTCCCTATGAAGATTCTGTGTTAGATTAATTGCAAAAATATTTTGTTCAGCTCAAAATAACTTTCTATGATAAGAAATAAAGGTAGAGAATTAAGAATTACTAAGAAGATAAAGCCAACAATCATAACATATGGTAAAATGGTAATTAAAACTCAATTTTTTTTTTAAAGGTTTTCAAATCTACTTATTTTATGACTTGGGTCAGATTTTGTTGAGGAGCAGAATATGAACATGTTCTTTCGAGCACAGACATTTGCTCATGCAAAAACTGCTCTAGGCTTTATCATTTCAGATATAGGGTTAGGGTTAGGGTTAGTTTTGGTCCAAGGTTGAAATTAAGACTTTATTAAGTATACAGGTAGGTAAATGATTCTGGAACAATCATCGCCATGTCTTAATGTTTCTATTGTTTCATCACTAATGATATCTTAAAAGTAAACATGTTTTCAAGTCCATCTGGTCACAGGTTCAAACAAAGATCACATCAGTTTTAGGGAGACTATTGAATAGAGGCTGGGTTATACAGTAACCTAAGAATTGGGGTTAGGTTCAGTCCAAGGTTGAAGTTACCGGTAAGTCTTTGGCTCGTGTAAGTAAATGACTATGGAACAATTGTCGCCACAGCAAGTGTCGTACACCCTTCCTATCTTTGAGGAAATCATCTGCATGGTCAAGTGCTCGGACAAAGGTAATACTTTTTTGGATGATAACTACCATAAACTGACCTGCTGCACTGGACACAAAGTAAACACTCTTGGCACAAAATCAAAAATAATTAAAAATTTGGAGGTCACTTTCTTTAGCGAGCAGACAAAGAAATAGAGACAGTAAAAAGAAAGATGGAAAGAGAGAGAGAGATAAAGGAAGAAAATAGAATGCAGGAACAAAAGAGAAAAAGAGTTCAAATAAAAATAAAATTAAGGAGTTAGAGAAAAAGGGGTCATCACAAGAAGAGGGAAAGAGAGGCAGGGAGGAAAAGGTAAGCAAGGGGGAGATTGAGGGACAGATGGAAAGAGAGACAAACAAAGAAGGAAAAGGCATTGAAAGACCGAGACAAAGATAGAGGAAAAGCAAGTAACAAGCCAGTGATAGCAAGTACATACATGTATATGATAGAAAAGGGTAGAGAGGAATAGAAGAGAGAGAGAGAGAGAGAGAGAGATAGAGAGAGAGAGAGAGAGAATAATACAAAGTGTAGAATTTTTATTACGGTACAGGATTTGGATGCAGTATTTTGGGGTAAGTCAAGAGCTACAATAAGAAGGAAGGTCAACAATAACACACACCTTCCAACATATAGAGATAAAAAGAAAATTCTTTTTAATACCGGTTCATGACTTTAAATGCCCGTGTGAATGACATCAAAGTCAAATTATCTTCCCTTTATGATATGATGGTATTCATTTCATGTTTACTTTTTGCAGTTTTATCTTCTCCGTCAAGATAGCGGGGAATTGACCCAAGAATATGGAGCTGAGGTAACATGAGAGGCCAATGCCTTTCAATTCACCTATAGATAATGGTGCCACTTTATTGGGTGAAGACAGTGGTTAAGCTACAAGGGGGTAGTTGGGAGGGGGGGAGGGGGGGGGGCATCGGGATGACACAAACCCAACAAAAATGAAAGGAAAGTGGAAGAGGAACTTGAAAAAAGACAATAGGCCCCTTTCCCAACCCTCACCATTTTCAATGGCTTTTAATAGTTTAGATTTTATATAGATCTATGTAGTATTAGAGAATGCTAATTTGAATTTCAAGCAAATTAGTGATGAAAATTTAAATCCACAGGTTACAATTTGATTTTGGCATAAGCCGCATAACTCACATCTCGCATTTAGTAATCATTTTTATTAGAACTGATGTATACAATTTAGCATAAAAATCCCATTCCCTTCAATGCCCAGCAATCCTACCATTGGTAGAGGCACTAGTTGCCAAACTCATACATCTAAGAGATAAGAGGGAATTATGCCCATCATAAATTAAAGTACACACTTCATTTGCTTGCACAGAGAGAGAGATGAATGTCCGGTTAATATTTACATACCTGATGATATCATAAGCTCTAATGCTATATTAATTTGATTTTGTTTACTTTATCTGGTTATTACGTGCAACGCATCACCAATCAAAATAAACTTGAAACTTGAATCAGAGGCACGGGGTACAGACTTAATGATATATTAATTGTGATATTAATCTTAATAGTGTAGACTTTGTGTGCCCCGTTATAAATCTGGGTCATTGGCAGATTTTGAACTTCCTGGTGGGTAGATCAGTGGTGGATCGGGTTGGGAGGTGGGGGCAATGCTTTGAAGTTGGACATATAGACTACTGGTAGTTCAATATAGTGTATTTTTTTAATAAAAGAAATTGACGATTTAACTGGTCTCAGAACAAAGATGCCATACGTAAGAAATTAGTTCCTACAAATATGACCTATTACAACATTGAATATCACCTTTAATACATGTACTACAAAATGACCAAATGGAATGGATAAGACATAACAGACACTATCAAACAGATTCATCTCTCTATAATTCTACTATAGTGTACATGAATGAAATGATAAAGCCAAATCCTTTGAATCATTCGATTTTATAATCTGATTATTAAGTCTAAGAATTAGTAAATATTTAGTCTACAAATAAGCAAACAAAATGGATAGGGAGTGTTGGGGTCAAATATAATGGTTCTGTGTGGGTTTTCACATCATGCTGATATTTCAAAGGTACTCGTGACTCGTAAATGCATGGAGCATTTATACTACTATAGTATACATGAATGAAAAGATTAAGCCAAATCCTTTGAACTACATTCATTCAATTTTATAATCTGATTATTAAGTCTACGAATTAGTAAATATTTAGTCTACAAGTCAACAAACAAAATAAAAAGTGACAAATGACGTCACATTAAGCCTAGCTTGATGGGGCTGATGTTGAAAAAAATTATTTGGATTTTGGATAAGGTTATACATGTTTTTCTTTTTCTTCATCTGTTCAACTGTTGGTAGCCTTGAAATGACCTGTGAACAGTGCAAACGTAAGTTTTGCTCATGTACTCTTGAAAAGCAATTCTACATGAAAAAAAAAACCCTATGAAAAAACCTGGCAAAGCTTGAAGCCAATCAGTTATGAATATAAATACCGAAATTTATATTTATTTTGTGACTATATGTATACATGTGATACAAATCTCAAAAAAAGTATACAGGAAATATGTTTATTTCATATACTTCTTTAAGGGAACATCTCAAAACATGCAAGTCATCATAAATGTCTGGAGTAATGGAGCAAAGTTCATTTAATTCCCTGAAAACAATCAAACATTTTAGAAGATTACATTACATTTAACATTCCTTACTTTAATTTGAACTGCAAAAATGCTTACTCATTCAAGATGTTAAGAAATGTCTTTCTAAAATTAAGAATTAAAAAGAATTTTGCTTAGTCATTTCAGGGGAAGGGGGGGGGGGGTAGACAGGAAAAATACATTTTCTTTTCATCTGAACTAAAACTTATTGGACATAACATTTAAATGTCATACCCCAATATCCACATTTAAATGTTTTAATTTTTATACCTCTTGCACCAGACAGTCATGATTTCTTGTTTTTAAATTGAAGTATGAGGTGGAAACTTTTCATGTAATGTAAGACATCAGAGAATATGCAATTAATTATTAATGCAAATATATAAGGAAATCAATGGACTTTAAATATAGATATATCATATAAGATAAGTAATAAAACATAATTACTTGATAAAAACGTGATAAAATGCCAGGAAAAATGTATGGAGTATAAAACTTAGGTATGAAATGAAGCATATATACATATTATTCAATAACATATGCGAGACATGTGGGGTGTATACTTACTTTTCAATATATGTAAGATACTTGGTGTCGAAGCCCCATTCCTTCTCGAGGGCCTCTGGAAGCACACCTCCAAAGATAACTTTCTGATTGATTAAATGGATCATAGAAAGACGAAGGATCTCCCCAAGGTACATGCCAGCTATCATCTTCTCATAACTACAAGATACAAAGTAGGAAGGAAAGATTAAAGAATTATTTGTGATTTTGATAACATTCATTGATCAAATCAAAGGAGTGGAGAATAGTTCAGAGCTGGAAAGCTCTAAATTAAAAGAGCTATTGTTAACAAAAGATCTATCAGAAGCTGTGAATTTATAACATTTCATTACTGGAATTTGTCATTTCATTCAAATCACTGAACAATATAAAATGAGCATATATATATATATATATATATATATATATATATATATATATATATATATATATATATATGTACATGTATTTGATTATATTAATTTTTGAACATTCATATACTACTCTCTTGTTTTCCATCTAAATTATCAATGCTATTAATGAAGTTTTTATGATCACCAGCAGTTCCCTCAAAACAACCTCTTATTGCCTAAATTTAAACGATTCCTGTAAGCCGCTCTGCACTTGTTTGGCCAGGAGGGATTAGACCTTCCTGCATGGTCACTGGCAGGTGGTTATCTCATCAAATCAGCTCATAATTAACATAAGAAAAAGGGCATCATGGGGGACCAATGGTCACCGATTAGGCATTGTTTGCTATATAGAGGGCGCAAGTAGCTACAAGTAGTGCAGTGGGGATTTAAAAACCATGAAATATAACTCACAATTGTTTTCCATGATTGAAGGTCCTCCCGTCAATGTCCCGATCGAAGTCGGTCCTGATATCTTCCAGACACCCGTTATCACCGAACGCTCCACACTCGCAGTCGAGGATGACAAACTTGTCCGGTCCTTTAGGTCCCTCATACATCTCCACTTTCTCTGTACATTCCAGGTAGGACGCATTGCAGCCAGTGCCTAGGGGAGATGGTGCCCATAAGATGAATGTTAGTACCTACTTAATTCATGAATATCAGATAGATAATAATAACGTCCTTGTTTTCACGAAGTGACGGTAGCGAGGAAAATCGTAACGCAAAGTGAATGCAATTTTTTTTCACTGCCGTCACTTCGTGAAAACAGTGACGATAATAATAATAATGGCTTCTAATATAGCGTGTTGCTAGCCTTTGCCATTAATACATGTAAACAAATTGTGGCAGTTTTTTGCGGGGGCTAACCGTGTCATATCTGGACAAGACTTGAGAGCAAATTCAAATGTAGTTTCACCTGTGAGGCAAACGGAAGAGTCAGGAAGTTATTATAGTTATGACGCTATTACATAATATGGAGGAACATGATTTTTAAGACTGCAAATAAAGATTGTACATTTCCGTCACCGTAAATACTTTTGAAATTGTAAAATGTTACGAAAATACATAGACATATTTTAGATACACTAAATTTTAGATCGCAGGTCTATATACAATCTTGTAAATAACACTTTTTCAGGTTCCATGTCCTAGTAAAAATAGGATAAAATTCATATCAATTGGTGATTATATATCATAACATCTTTTGAAGCCAGCAAAAGATATCTTTCTCATAAAGAGACAGACATGCCACTTAAAGGGATCGTTTAACAATGTTAAATCTGAGATGCACGGACCTATGTGTTATCAGTGTCTGTGATGTGGTGTTATATTGAAGACCTAAAAAAATTGTGCTTCAAGAATTGCCTCAAAAAAGTAAAAACCATTGAGTGACCAATTTTACCATACTTGTTTATATATCCCCAATAGACTATAGTGTTATGAAAACCGTTTTGCAAATGCAATCATAAATATCTTGATAATCAGACAAGTGAACGGCTTGTAAAAGTCATGGGGTTCCTGACTGACCTAAAGGTTTATAATTATCATTGCAGCATGAGCTAATTCAAGGATATTTTTAAAGGATCTAAGACAAAGTTACCGAATCCCTTTAATGATATGGGCTACTGTGTAAAAAAAAAAAACACCTACAATTTGGTTAATACAGGTGTGTCTGTAAACATCAATTGAGAAGTGCTCAATCAAACTGACATTTAAAATATATACAGTGAAGTGTTTTGTGCACAGAAAATGAGAATTATCTGGAGTTGGATTTGGTCACAATCTGAAAGGGATCATGTCTCTGGAAACTGAAAATGGCGCCCAAAATTCAAAATAGTTGGAAGCAGGACCATAATCAGATATAAATGTAGAAATATTGGAAGATCAATAAAATGGAAGTAGATTCAAGGTAAAAGAATCAAAATAGTATTAGCATTTGTAGTAACAGAGGTAGCAAAATCTATCTATACATATACAAAAATACAAGAAATAGTGATGTTCTTTCCCCCAATTTTTCTCCTATTAAAGGACTGTATCTAAAATTAACATCAAGATCAGAGGTAGATGTAAAAATATTACAAGCTAAAAAAAATAAAAAAATAATAGACACATATATCAATATGAATATGGTATAGTATAGTCAAGTGTGTTGTCAGAAGTAGAAGTAGCTGTTTAAGCAACAAAAGAAAAATAGAGAATTAGAAGAATGGTAAATTTGAGATGTCATAGAAGTAGACGATCTGAGGTAGATGTAGAAGTAGTAGAAGTAAAAGTAGTATTAAAATTAGATGTGTATGAAGCACAAGTTAAAGTGGTATTAGAAGTAAAAGTCAATGACTACAAATGCTCAACAGGTTTAGAAGATCATGGTTTAATGTACATGTAAATGTAGAAACAGAAAGATAAGTATCACTGAAGCAGAGGTAGATATGTATAGAAGTAGTAGAAGTAGTATATTAGAAACAGAGGTAGTACAGTACAGTCATGCCACAATGTTATAGCAGAATTAATATTACAAAGAGAAGAGATAAAAGTACTTGAAACAAGAGAGGCTTAAATGTAGCCTCATCACAGCAATTAAAGCAAACAGTATAATGCTGATTTTATGAATTCAATGGTTATAAAACTTACCAAGAATTAAACCAACAACACAGTCATGATTCTTGAAAGCACCAGCCATTTGCGTCGCTACAGTATCATTGATCACAGCTACTATGTCAACTCGTACATTCTACAAAGATATATGAGACAAGGGAGGGAACATTGAGCTAAATATCAGGTATTAGACATGGAAAGTATTTTGCAGGAAGAGTTATAAAATATTTAATCTACCCAACATGAAAGAGTAAAGACCAAAATGTAAAGGAAGTTGAGATTGGAGTCAAATGGAAGTATTTCCTCCAGGATTTTGTATAAGAAAGCTGACAATTGTAGAAATACAGGAGTTAAAAGATGCAAGCCAAATTCACCTAGTCTTAAAGTTTAGTCATAAAACTAGGCATGATTGGGGTGAAACAATCTTGTGAAGTATACACAAACAATCTGATACTGCGACACGGAAAGGTTTCTGAGCCAACTGAAACCCCCGTCTTAACTGGAAAATAAAGTCGCGGTGACGTCCGGACGTCGTCTGGACATTAACCCACTTCCAATTAAGAAGCCTCAATCGGGGTAACGTCCGGACAATATCGAGGTAAATCTCATCCTAGTCGAGCAAGGGTGATATCGAGGTGTCGTCCGGACGACATCCTGATAAACGGCCTATTAAGACGCGCGCGGAACTCTACCCAGGTAAATTACGTCATCGCCGTGAAAAAATGTATACATGTACACAGCCTGCACCAGCTGATCGCGATGAAAAAGGTGGTGCGGTTGTTATGGTAACCTACCCGGGTGAGGTTTTGCGGATGGCTGATTAAGACGGTGTCCAAAAGCTCACCCCATGTTATACGATCAGACCCCCCACTGTTTCTCATCCACATATCGCTCGGGTGAGATCGAAAAAGTTCTATTAAGACGGGGCTTAAGAGGTCATGCTAGTTCAATTTGATACTTATTGTGCAGTTATAATGACCTGGTGATATTTTTTCACTCTTTGTACATGTACTCATCATAAAAGCACAAAACTTTGAATTACAAATATTTAATAGCACTGCTTAACTATAGAATAGTTTCATTTTAGGGAACTCACTTAGTATTTTAAAAAGAAGCATTACCTCCTTAAAGTCAAGAGGGTGGTCATAAAAATTACTTGGCAAAATTTCAAGAATGTCTGCTCATAATTTTGGCATTTCTCCAAAAATGGATTCACAGTATATTAAAGTCAATCATGCTTAAAGATAAACTTTAGTACTGGTAATGCGATTGCATTGTGAAAGAAAAGGTGTGAAAGGATCAGAAACAGTTGATCATGTAGCATGTACAGTATTGGTGTGCACTGCAAGGTTCTGGAGTCATCAAAATCATAATAAATTTGACCGAGTCTTGGTAAAGTAACAAACACTCATATAGAAAGCTATATATGGGACAACACACATGGTGTCGGGGATGGTACTACCTTGGTTTCCTTGTCTTTCTATGCTCATTACTCAGCCAGTATACATTTTCTTCCAAAATTGTTTGGCACATGTCATTTATTTGTAATCTTGAACATTCAGTGTAAGTTTCGTTTGATTCTGTGAGAATTTTTTTAATATTTTTTTTACCAGTACTGGAGTTTATCTTTAACTGTTACTGAGAATTACAGTAGCGCATCCTGAAGAAGAAAAAAATGCAACTTCTTGGTAATAATAGAAAATAATAAAAGGTTGCAAATGATTTTAAAAAAAGCAATATTTTCTCTAGAAACCGCACAAAAAAAGCTGAAATAATAGGGGACTCAATTATATTACCAGAATCATTAACAAGCACACAATAAAACAAAAAACAAATTATCACACTTTTTAAAGAAAATGAAATATAAATGATGCAATACTTCCAATAGGGCCTTAAAAACTGTAAGACACTTGGTACCTAATTTACAGTTCACAAGCCCTTTCTTTAATTAAGGTAAATACACACAAAGAAAAATATTACAAGTAGCTATATTTGCCTTTTAAAAACATGGAGCTTGCACTGTTCCTTCTGCGTCTTTACTTACATTACACTATATTTTTGAATCTTCACCTACACACCTAAAACATACTACTCATCTACTGGTAGACTCATTTGTGCTTCTTGGTATTACATTTATTATTAATTTACAATTGCATATTATTTACTTGTATTATTATGATTTTATATAGTGTATTATACAACACCTACATGGATCCTTGTCATTAGATTGGAGGATTTTTGGTCACATGATATTCAATAGATGTTCTATTCATCGAGCATGCATTTTTGGATATATGCAGACTGCGTACCTCTCTGCCGTGCACGTATCCCATAATAATATTAGCTGCGTACGCGTGTAACTGACGCAAAGGCATCTGAATGTAATCGAGAAGGCTTGAGTCCCACTTTAATTAATCTTTAATATAAGGAGTAAAGCATAATTTGTTGATTAACGTTCTATTAGATCTTCTTCGATGTTGTATAAAACAAATACCGTAATTAACGGTTTACAAACCGCCCTCGTGTAACTGCACCATTTTTTTTTTTTGTGTGTGTGTACCGTGTATAAGACCTACCCCCGACTTAAATTTTTTTTCGGCAGCAAAAAAGTGCGGTTAATACACCGTTAATTACGGTAATGAATGTTTTTCATTCGTTCAATAGGGCGGATATTTTCATTCGTTGGAAGATTAATGTTAATTCTTGTTGGATAGAATGTTAATCTTTCAACTCATGAAAATATTTGCACTATTGAACTCATAACCATTCATTATTTGTATATTATTTTACCATGTAAATACTTTTGTAAAAATATTGTACAAGTCAGCCCCCGGTCTGCGATGAATATTTTTGAATAAATAAACCATTACTATTTTTACCTTTCTCTTACAGGCAGCTTCAAGAAGGGGTACAACATCTTTTCCTTCCACGCCAGCTGCGTCGTAACCCTTAGTCCATGTTACTAGAGTAGCTGAAAAGACAAAAGAACAAAAGAAAAAGAGCAGGTGAAGTAGTTATATTGCCTAAATTATGTCGAAATAACACCTCACTGTCTGCCCCCTCCCAGTTAAGAGTCAACAGTATTCACTTGGCTGATAAGTTTATGACGTTGTTTTGTGTAGACCAAGAAGCGGAGGTCATGGGTAGCTACATGTAGCCAGGTAGGCTGCTGGCGCCAAAGTATGGGCACACTTGCGAACTAGCGCTGTCGTACTTACACATGGTTAGAAAAAGGATTGCATTGTCCTGGAAAAAACGCCTAAAATTCAATAAAATTCAATTCCATAGGCAATGAAATCTCAAGAAGTTTGTATTGTTGTATTCGATGAATAACAAGCTCTTCGTAGATATGTAATTTGTCTATTTCATTTTTGGCCTCGGATCATCTTTAATGCATCTACTTATTTTCATTTTACAGAAATCTAAATAATATCTTCAGCTAGTAAAGACTCGTGATAAGGATTTCCTGAATTAAAATCCTGTTTATTTCATAATGGAAATATTGGTTATTGAATGTGTATGCCTTCAGCACAAATATATAGAAAAAAAGAAGAAAACTAGATGGAATTCGACTGCGCGCAGTCGAAAATGATGCCTCCGTCATAGAGCAATTTTACAAACCGAAACGGAAGAAATTTTTCAAATTCAAGTTCAATTGTAATCCATTAACATGTTCTCAGAATATCGTGATTACAAGCAATTTCTCATATACATATATGACCCTTTGATCTTTGACCTCATGACCCTAAAATCTACTCAGTTCATTGGCTCTGCAAGATTTCCTGAGTTAAATAGTAATCCATCTGTCAGTTCTAATGAGAATGCGTCCACAAGCTATTTTTGCATACATAATGAGCCCATGACCTTTGATCTTATGAACCATTCATTGGCTCTGCAAGATACATAAATGATCTAAGTTTGGCAGGAATCCATCAATCTGTTCTAATGATAATACGATCACAAGCTATTTTTGCATACATAATGAGCCGCATGACCTTGACCTTTACCTCATGACCCCAAAATCTAATCAGTTCATCAGCTCTGCAAGTAACATACATGACCTAAGTTTGGCAGGAATCCATCAATCGGTTCTTGAGATAAGGCGATCACGAGCTGTTTTTGCATACACAATGTGCGCTGTGACCTTTGACCTCGTGACCCCAAAATCTAATCAGTTCATTGGCTTTGCAAGATACATACATGACCAAAGTTTGGCAGGAATCCATCAATCGGTTCTTCAGATAACGCGATCACAAGCTGTTTTTGCATACATAATGAGCCCTGTGACCTTTGACCTCGTGACCCCAAAATCTAATCAGTTCATCAGCTCTGCAAGATACATACATGACCAAAGTTTGGCAGGAATCCATCAATCGGTTGTTCAGATAACGCGATCACAAGCTGTTTTTGCATACATAATGAGCCCTGTGACCTTTGACCTTTGACCTCGTGACCCAAAATGTAATCAGATTGTTTTCCTATAGTGATACACACTATCACTAAGTTTGAAGTTTAAATCTCCAGTGGTTCTTGAGATATCATGATAACAATCTCAATGTATGGAATTTCATAAGTTGACCTCTGTGACCCTTGACCTTTGACATACGTGCTCCAAAATCTAATCAGATCGTCTTCCTATGGTGATACATACTATCCTTAAGTTTGAAGTTTAAATCTCGAATGGTTCTTGAGATATCGCGCTAACAAACTCAATACAAGGAATTTCATAAGTTGACCTCTGTGACCTGTGACCTTTGACCTACGTACTCCAAAATCTAATCAGATCGTCTTCCTATGGTGATAAATACTATTCCCGAGTCTTAAGTTTAAATCTTAAATGGTTCTTGAGATATTGTGATAACGGTCAAACGGGACGTACGGACGGACAACCCGAAAACATGATGCCTCCGGCACCACCTTCGGTGGCGGAGGCATAAAAACTCTTGCATCATCATTTTTTCTGTCTCATGACCTTTGTTCGTACTTAGCTATCATTGACTTATCATTCACATACTTCTCTTCACCCAACCTTGCCCTACAGTCAGTCAGGTAATCATTAACTTGAAATGCCAACGTGTCCATACACACAACGCAAACAGTTAGTAAAGTGGGACCCAACCTCTGCCAATCCCCCAAAACAAATATCACGTGACCAGGAGAATAAATACCCCGTGTTCGCCGACTCGATGATACTAGCAACTTCTCTTCCTTGTTTAATCATCACTTTTGGCATGGTGCCAATTAACGCACGTACGTCATTAACCTGTAACTTCTGTATTGTCTCAGAATTTTCCCCTCTCAAAACATGGCGGAATGTTGTTGATTCCCGCCGTACCTTATCTTGCCGATTGATTTAAAAACGGGCAAACATTGCCACGTCCCATATTGGCCACCGAGGTTTCATCGCCCTCCCACATTAGAGGTCAGGTGATAACGTGGGATTCTTTGCAGACAGAAGCAAAGTCTATCAGTGTCGGTTGCCGCATACGAACGAACGTGCTGATCAGACAATATTGGGATGTTTAGTCTAGGCTACTGTGAATCACGTACACTATACATGTACACTGTCAGATAAGGATCCACAGGTACATACATTAGATACCAATCATTTTCTGTTACAGTCACGCTTTGAAGTATCATGATTGCTATAAACTGGGTTTATGGAAACGACTGGGAACTATTTCTTTCAACTCACTGACTGAAATGCAAATAGAAATAAAGATACAACTGTTACGTACAAACACATGCCCTCTAGTGAACCTTTTTTTGTTAGGTCTCCTTAAAGGTTGTAACAGTGACTATTATGTAAAGAAAGATAAACCTCCATTTCTATGTGAAAATTAAAAGTAGTAAGTATAGTTGTCGTAAACTCCATGCATACACATAGACTCCCTCACACTTGCTCATACATCTTAGGGTTTATGCTCATATACGGCACTATGTTGTTGGTGGTGCAAGGCTGTAAAAGCGCCAATTTGGCTACATCCACCAGCTTGATCGAGAGGTGAGTTTGCAATTTTTACCCAAAAGTCATTGTTAGGGTTCACTTGGTAATCAGTGCAAAGCTTTCAACATACACAGTTATCAAGAACAAAATCCTTGTTGTAGACACAACAATTGTAAATGATAGCATGACTAGTACGGGTTTTGTAAGCTATCATCATGACTTGGGCCACATTATACTGACTCAGCAGACAAAAAACACTGAATGTGTAACTTACCCCTCTATCAAAAGCAACGTGATTGGAGGATGAAATAAGCAGAGCCAAAAGGCTTTGCATTATCACAATCGAGAGACTTGGAATGTTTCCAAAGCTAACAGACTATGTACCAGAAATCCTAGGCTTTTCATAATATTCCAATTTATAAGATGATGAAGCGCATCCTAATCAAATGATTGGTTGAGAGGGTACACGTGACCAGGCATATATTTTGCATAACACGTTATTTCACTAATGACTGGTTATTTCACTAATGACTGGTCATTAGTAAATACTTATGACCGGTCATCAGTAAAATCATGTTATAAAACACAATTTAATAAAACAAATATAACATCATCTTATAAAACAAATAATACACATAATTTTGTTCAGGCATTAGTAAAATTACCCACACTCGGTACTGAGTGGGAAGTTCTTACTAATGCCCTCACTGCTGTGTATTATTTGTATTTAATGTATGCTTGCTCTTCGCATGATAGCATATCAATCTAGCTTGCCTCCCACAAACCAAGAGAGGGCAGCATTCCATTTCCAACGACAGGGAGCTTGGCATCAACGGCCGGGTGCTAATATTGACACGAGTATGTTGATGGTGGTGACGTACATGTATGCAACCATGCTGCGATTAATAACTCCACATTCTATGTCACTGTGTAATATTTGTAAAGATAGGGGCGATGTCCAGGTACGGGTTCAAACAGAGTTTTATGAGAAGTATTGCATCAAGCACCATGTGCATGATGATTTGATAAAAGTAATCTGATAAAAGTGTAGTACCCTCTTCTCAAAACAAAGCAGGGAAAGGGAGGAGGGAAAGGGAGGAGGGAGGGGGGGGGGGAGGAGGGAGGAGGGAGGAGGGAGGAGGGAGGGGGAGGGAGAGAGGGAGGGAGGGAAGGAGAGATAGAAATAAAATTTGTAAAGATCTCATTCCAAATGTCGTTTGTGTGGTGAGGGATATTATAGGGGCGAAGGCCAGGTATGGTGAGGTATATTGCACCAAGCACCATGTACATGTTGGTATGATAAAAGTAATCTGATAAAGCGTAGTTGCCTGTCCTCCCAAAAATGCATATACATAAGCTATGATAAGTCTCAGAGCCATCTATACACAGGGTTTGGCCAACCTGGTTTAAGTTGGACACAATATGGCGACTACTGCTGCTTTGTTGGGCAAGCACAAAACAAAAGAATATACGCCATGTTGTGACCCAGTGAAACCAAGTTGGCCAAACTCTGTATATAGATGGCTCTGATTAGTCTCATTGGACAACGCCCACCTATTGTCAGAGTAACGCAGCATAACATATTGTTAACCTATATGGACTTTAATTTACCAACAAAATCTATAAAAATTCATTTTTCGTTTTAACAAGAATCGCACCAAACCGACATACAGTGACACTAGATCTTTTATTAGAACCCTCATGTCCCATTCCTTCGAAAGTTGACCCACAGTACTCTGATCAAAATAGGCCACCAGCTCACCATTGCCTTTGTGCGAGTGTAAGGTTATAGGTCAATCACACAAATGGATAAATAGCATGAATACTTTACATCAGTTCTGATTGGTTGATTATGTCAATTTTGGACACCCCCTCCCCCCCCCAGCAATCGTACACAACTTTATACTTCCCTAATTTCAATCAAGTATTTCATTGTTTTAAATAGTTTGGTAGGTTTATTTTACTACCTGTTTAATTATTAGATATCAATGATTGCTGTGAAAGTGTTGCTGTCATGCTACGCCTGTGATGAGTGTGTTGTATCTTATTTATTTAGTTTGTTATGACTGCTTAATAGCTCGTATCAATTTTATGAAGTTTGTTATGACTGCGTATATATGACATTCACATTGAAACACTATCACTGGTCTGTCTGTTTCATAAATGATGACTGTGACCATGGTAACCTCATCGTGACATAAAATAATTGTCCTTCCTACGTCTTCTTCTGTGTGGATTTTGAATTAGCAATGGAACAAGGTGTGCTATAATGTCTACAACATTGAGTCTCGGTCTGTAGAATCCAGGCTCTTTGTATTGGTGATGCAACATTTCTTTTTTCGTGCAATCCCTTGTATTTTATTTTATTTTGTTAGAAATGGAAATAAACGATTTGAAATGAAACAAAATAATAGCGCCAACTTTAAAACAGTTTTTTTTATGTGAAGTTAGTGCTGTTTGAAAGCAGTGTTTTTCATCAGGAGTGGTGGGCGGAAATCCTCCGTGCTGTTCGGGCCCGCACAGTACCGACCACCGAAGCTATAACACTGGAAACGATAATACGATGCTAACACCAATGTCAATGCTAACAGAATAGTGTACCGTAATTAACGGTGTATAAACCGCCCTCATGTTTTTTTTTTGTTTTTTTTTACTCTTACAAGCCAGGTCCGTGTTAAAAAACCCATGCGGGAAGGCCTTTCATTTAACTGCGAGGTGCAGCTGAATGTGTAAGATCATTAATGTAAATTAAAAAAACAGTAGAGGACCTAGGATAGAACCTTGTGGTACGCCGTGTAATAGAAGAAAAATTGGAGGAATTAATATTATAATATCTAAGAGTTATGTTTTTGTTTTATTTTGTGTACCGTGTATAAACCGCACCCCGACTTTATTTTTTTCGGTGGCAAAAAGGTGCGGTTTATACACCATTAATTATGGTACCCATCTCCAGAGGTGTATTTTTCTTTTTTAAAGCGTTAGCGTTAAGGTCACATGGCTCAATGCATTACTGTGCGTATTGCCCACTTTCCAGACATCCAGGGTACCTGCTACAGTCACCTTAAGTCCATTAACTGCAATGCTGCATGTAGATACAGAGTGGTCATATTCCGATAGGGGTTACTTTCTGGGTCTATTCCGGGTATACAATACCGCTACTTTCTGGGTCTCCTGTAGAAAAATGTTGAATGTCGAATGGATATGTAAACGGACTGTGGATCACAAGGTCCGCAGTTCAAGTCTCACCGCGGCACTAATGTCCTTTGGCAAGACATTGATCTACATTTGCCACTCTCCACCCAGGTATTAAATGGGTACCCGGTAGGATGCGAAAGCTAAGGTGCTTAGATTAGCAAGTGTGCACTTGTAAAAATAGCCCCTGGCTGGAATGTTCCCCAGGGAGTGGAGAATATGCATACATTGTGTGCAGGTACAGTAAGCCTGAATCCGATGACCGGGATGTAAAGCGCTTTGAGAGAGCCTTCGGTCCTGAAAAGCGCTATTAAAGAACCAACTATTATTATTATTAGACTGAAGACTTACCTGAGGCGAGACCTTTGTGGAAGCACGGGAAGGAGAAGGTGAAACCGAGGGGAATACACATCTCACAAAGTTTGTGGTAGCTGGTGAACTTGGCAAGATGCTCTGCGATGTAGTCAAAGAGCTGTAAAGTAAAGCAGAGGGCAGGACATATTAAAGCATAAGAAGAAAATGAGAATGAGGTGAAAGAAGAAAAAACAGTGAGAGAAGACAAGTAGAGGGAGAGAGAGAGATAGGAGAGAAGAGAGAGAGAGAGAGAAATATATATAGAGAGAGAGAGAGAGATAAGAGAGGAGAGAAGAGAGAGAGAGAGAGAGAGAGAGAGAGAGAGAGAGAAGGGGAGAGGAGTAGGTTACAGAAAGAGAGGACAGAAAGACAGATAAAGGGAGAGAGGAAAAAGAGAAAGGATGGAGAGTATGATTTTAGCACTTGAAAAAAAGAGAAAAAGAAAATTTATCTTAAATCAAAGAATAACAGAGATTAAAGACATACTGAAGCTTTTTGTCTCAGAGTAAACCACATGAATGAACAGAAAGCTAAAACTTGACAATATCAAGGAAACCCAATGGAGATAAATTGTGCACATTATAACAGGCTCTGATAAGTACAAGAGATAAAGATTCACTTTGCCTTTATTCACTGCTTTTCTTTGATTTTTATGCCAATTATCTTTTTCAGCAAAAAAAAAGAAAGAAACAAATTAAGTTAAGCTACCGTAACTACGATACCTCCTACAAGGGATTCATGATCTTTATGTGAGTCGAGGCTGGCAAATGACGTAGATTAATGTCTTGCCAAATGACTGAAGTGCCAGACTCTCAAGTTTCAACCGCACGATCGGAAGACAAGTGAATGACCAGATAACTACAACACCTCTAATCAATGTTTTCGATTCACGGAGGGACAACATACAGTGTACATATTGTCTGATAAGAGCAAAAGGGCAATTTATTTACTCATATAATTCAACACTTGAGTAAATGCCCTCATGGCTTTACCTTTACATGACCCAAATTTTGAAGTCATAACTTCAAAGATTTATGGTTTTCTATACTTATATGCTTGACGCAAACAAAACTTCACCAATTTAGTAGAACATTAAACAATGAAGTACATGTAGCTATTAAACGTATGTAAAAGTGTTATGGTCTTATATATAATATAATATAATAATAAATTGTTTCTTTTATAGCGCTATATCCAATTTAGAACTGATCAAAGCACTTTACAAAACAAATCAATCAATGAATTAAACTCAACAAAATATATGATAGAAAAAGTAATGCAGTTAATTACAATGTAAATATGAATAAAATGTTGTGCTGGGTTGTTCAAGGCACCTTTTGAAGAAATAAAAAGTTTTGCATCACTCCATTCCCATAGTCAACACAGAGGATATATTCTGCATCACTCTGGCACTCGTATTTGTTTCTAAATTTGGCGTGAGCGAAGTTTTGAGTAAGCGAAGTGAAGGGAGCCAAAAATAATGACATTTTCTACATAATTTTGTAATCAGTACACTAGATAAGATATAAGATATAAATGTGTGCAGACACCTCACCACCAAAAAATACATTATAAAAAAAGAATTACACTGTTTTTAAATATTGGAAGCGAGTGAAGCAAACGAGCATGGTGTATGTGTAATTTCAATATAAAGGATATTTGGGTATCTCGTTGCCAATATTCATATTGTTTCTAAATGTTGCAAGTGAGTTCGGAAAGAAGACAATTTGTCATCTTTAAAATCCAATTTCCAAGTGAATTACACACTCCAGTGGTTTCTGATATTTTGTTTCCACAACATTTTTTCTGAAATATTTGTTGATATACATAACTAGATTTCTCTCGCGACACCCCTATTTTGTATTTTGCAGCATCCCCCATTGAGCCCCAAATGAAAAGGCAGTTGGATGCATCTTAATGCATATTAAGTTTTAATCTTGTGTAAGCTTTTTATAGTGTAAGTTTTAATTAGCTTGTGTAAGCATTTTATTGTGTAAGTTTTAATTCGCTTGTGTAGGCATTTTATTGTGTAAGTTTTAATTCGCTTGTGTAGGCATATATTACTATACTGTAAATGATTAACTTATCATCTAAGCAATCAGCCTAAAACTAATCAGATTATCATTTAAATCTTATCATCAGCTTTATCTAAATCAATCATTCATTCTTTCAGTGTGTTTCTAAAGGATTTCAAATACTGCTGATTTCCTAAATATTTCCAGGTACATGCTTCTGTAGAATCACATCATAATCAGACAGACTAAAGCGCTCATGCTGACGGAACAGCATACCCGTCTCCAGAGGTAGAATTTTTTTTTGGGTATGCTCACCTTATCCTTAGGAAAGGCATTGATCTACATTTGCCACTCTCCACCCAGGTGTTAAATGGGTACCCGGTAGGATGCGAAAGTTAATGTGGTTGGATTGGCAAGTGGCGCTTGCAAAATGGCGACTGGCTGGAATGCTCCCCAGGGAGTGGAAAATGTGCATACCGGTACATTGTGGTGCGGGTAAGCCTGAATCCGATGGCCGGGGTAATAATATGTGCTGCGCCTAGAAACAAAGTATTATGCGCATTATAAATGTGAGCTATTATTATTATTATTATTATTGTCAGTTCTGTAGAAACTATTCTGGATTTTAGCGTTAGCGTAAGGGTCCATGACGCAATGCATCACTACGTGCATAGCTTACTTTCCATGTATCAAGTGAACGTTCTAAAGTAGATGTTAAAGGTAAAGACCAGTATTGGAAACACCCCAATTTCAAAAAATGAAATGGAAGCTCTCATTACCAATCATGTGAAAGAATATGTTTTGACTAATACATGATGATAAAAAATTTGCCGGGAAACCGCCTACTAATTCATATATTTGGTAAATTTGTTTCTCTCATGGTCTGTGAGAGATATAGGGTAGTCCCATATACATCTTTCTGTGTATAGTGCTTGTAACTTTACGAAGAATGGGCCAAATTTCTTATCATTTTGATGATTCCAGAACCTTGCAGATGCTAGATGCTAGATGATCAACCTTTTCTGATCGATTCCACAACGTTTCTTTCACAATGCAATCGCATGACCATAACTGGTCTTTACCTTTAACCAATTGTCTCCAGGAAGAAGGTGGTCACTGTGTTAAGTCTATGGGAATTAGAGAATTCAGCAGTCAATAGGTTAACTGCATGAGCTTCTGTACAAACAGAGTGATTATATTCTGATAGGAATTACTTCCTGGGTCTTTTCTGGGTATCATATTACAATATTGTTACTTTCTGAGTCTCCTGTAGATCACACTGTCAGACTGAACTAAAATGCATGCTTTAGATGAAGAACTGCTGCATAAGCCTATTTCTTCATTATTCTATATCTTTCAATTTGATTGTTCTAAATGTCTTGATCATTTTATTTCTCTATATTTTATTCTACTTACACATGCAAACTGGGGGAATTTGTTTTTTCTCAATTACATCAGAATAAAGGTGCATAAAAGCAGTTTTGCTTGGATCGCAAATCACTGATACTGCAATGAACATATTGTTTTAGCCTATCATACATTCTACATGTGTACGTTACATTGATGACCCCATGTTGACCCTATACATGTTATTTATAATCTACAATCTTCTTTCCCCTGAATTCACCTTCATGTACATGAGCAAACAAGCTTATGCCAATCTACACCTACACCTGTACTTGGGTACCAGATTATTTGATGTTTAATCTAGATCTGTCCAAAGGGGAAATAGTCAATGCAAACACACCATTCTGCTCTGACCTTTGGTTGGATAAACACCTTGTCACAGCCGTTTTGTACGTACATATTTCCAGTATGCAAATGTACACAGATGGGCAAGTCCAGGACTAATGTGGTAATTTCCTGTCCCTTGTTACCATGAATATAGCAAACTAAGCAAAACTTAATACAGCAAGTGTAATTTCCTGTCTGTTTCGAGCTAGGGCTGATGATTTCAATGAATCATTGTGTATACTAGAAAGCCTGCATGTCAGCAACGGACAACATATCTTTGACAACGTATTTTTGTTTACATTTGGGTTTTTCCTACTTAAAAAACAAGAAAAAAAAAAAATAAATTTGTTCTTGCACTGTTCAAAAGTAAAAATTTAAATCAAGCAAGTACTAAGTGGGAGTCTTTAACCCACCAAATTGGTAAATAATGGGCTTGAATTCAAGTAGGCCATTTGGACTTTGTACTTCAAGCCCCTTTTAACTTTTTTTGTATTTTATAGTAGACCTGATACTAGTGGTCCTGACCATGATTGTAATGTACTGACAATAAATTACTTTGCCACACAATCAAGATTTAATCGTCTTGTTTTCAACCCTTACAAGTCAATTTGAATTTGTGTGTGTGTGAAGAGCCATGCTTGCGGTACATTTTAAAATGAATGTGGGAATTTATCCTTATAGTAGGAAAACATATCAGTCTATTTATAGATTAAAATCAGCTGACAAGACGCAACTCTGCAATCGATTTGACCAACACACTACGGAACCTATATATTCCATGCATCATAGATTCTGATTTTAAAATTTATCACCTTGATATAATGTCAGTAGAGTTCAGAAACAGCTTGAGGTTACCAGGTTAACACAAGCTGGTTATGTTGCCATGGTAACTGGCATATACGAGGCATCATTCCATTCATGTCTGCTCTTTAGAATGATATTTTACTATGTTTTCAAATGTACAACGTGCCTTACTTAGACTGCAATAAAATATTTTACCTTGATAAATGATGTCAGTAGAGTTCAGAAACATGTGGCTCGAGGGTACTATAAGGTTAACACAAGCTGGTTATGTTGCCATGGTAACCCGAATATTCGAGGCATCCTTCCATTCATGTCTGCTCTTTAGAATGATATTTTACTATGTTTCCAAATGTACAACGTGCCTTACTTAGAATGCAACAAAATATCACCGGCCTACTAGTTTACGCACATTGAACTCTTGTGGAACTTTTGCCCACTAGCTTTAGTCGTCTTTCATGTACATGTATGTTTAGTATCCCAACCAGTACTATATTTGCCTGATATGTTACTGATTCAAATTCTATTTTGTGAATTTGAAGTACAGCTGCTTACTCATTATGCAGATTGTACATGTTTGAAAATGATAATACTAAAGAAATGAAATGAAGTGTAACGAAAAAAAACAAAAAAGGCAAAAGGAAATAATATGAAACAATATGAAACGAAATAGATTATTCTCCATCATGAGTTACTTGTACGGTGTGACCACAGTTCACCATCTCAAAAAATCGGTAAGATTTCGAAAAGGACAGGATGTTATGATATATCCAAGGTATCAATTGATAGTCACTCGGCAGACACTCGAGGGGCAAAGTTCTCTTGAAGACCTACGTCTTCCTTCATGTACAATGTATCTGGTTTCAGTTGATGGGTTCATGTCCTGAAGCCAGTTTCGTCTGGCGTACGTTGGACTTTTCTCAGACTATGACCAGGGGTAATGTCTTCTCGGGAATCTGTAGGTTTCTTTCAACTGATATTATTGAATGATGAGGTTAGAGCAAACTTTGACATTTTGCATGCAAACGACGGGCAGGTTCATGCACAGGGCACGTGTACAAGTGTAATCTCACCTTATATATTCAAACAAAGTTTAATTTGTTTGAATATATAACCAGGGGTAATGTCTCCTTGGGAATCTGTAGGTTTCTTTCAACTGATATTATTGATATTATTGAATGCTGTTGGAGCAAACTTTGACATTTTGCATGCAAACGACGGGTAGGTTCATGCACAGGGCACGTGTACAAGTGTAATCTCACCTTATATATTCAAACAAAGTTTAATTTCTTGGATAATTTGTATAGGATAGGAGGAGGTGTACTTATGATCTCTAATTCATTACAATTTCTATACATGTACGTAATCAATATTTGTTTTATTCAAATGGAAGCAATATATATGTTTTCAAATCATCTTCCTTAATATAAAGAATCTCAAAGAGATCTGAACAGGGACTTGTTAGTTATAAAGATGCCTATGCATACAAATGGGTTTAATATCCTTGAATTATTATTCTTCTCCTTAAATTAGCAGGGAAATGTTAGAACATAAAACACAATACTTAATAAATTGATTAATTATTGATTAAGACCATTGGTCTACCACTGAGCCATCAAATCCAATAGTCTGAACAGAGAATGAAGGACAGCTAGACTGACTGCCCTGGGTCAGAGCTCCTGAAATGTCAGCAAAGTGATATCTATTACATGAACTCATGATTCAACCTTGCAGGGATCCTATCTTTCTTGGATCCTCTCAAGCCAAGTTAACATATGATGAAGGTAAACAAGCTTAAACAACATGTACTGCAACAAAATAAGTCAAACCATGTTTAATATAGGTCAATGAATGGTGGTGGGAAGGAGGGGAAGGAGGGGGGGGGGGGGTGGATAAAGTAGCTGTGAGCAAAGAAAGTCCCCACAGAATACTCATTATTAGTGACAGAGGTGTTGTGGTCTAGAGGATTTTAAGTCACTGACTGTAGATCACAAGGTTCGGGGTTCAAATCCAAGACCGGTAATAACGTCCTTAATTGGGTGCCTGGTAGGATGCAAATGTTCATGTAGTTTGCTCAGCATTGCAAGTGGCTGTAAATGGTGCCTGGTACAATCCAATGGCAACCGTAACTCTAACCATATGATAACATAAAGCCTGGAGCAATTGTTGGCAGAGCAAATGTCAGATTAACTGTACCATCCATGTGTTAACAAGACAAGTCCAGGAGCCGAGCTACATGTATGTACTGTGCATGAAAACATTATAAGACTACCCCAGATCTCAAAGACGTCAACAATTAGTTACCTAATCTCCAGGCCCTTCTCATCACCTCAGTAGGAATGGGGTACACATCAATGCAGGTCTTGCTCTTCCCGTGATCAATCTTTACCCAAATCACAAGGAGCAACATTAGAACGCTTTGAGATGGATACAATGTTAACAAGGCTACAGTCAAGGATTCAAGAAAACATTATATGACTACCCCAGGCCACTACCCCAGGTCTTGACAATGTCAGCAGGTAAACCATATATTACCTGATCTCCCGGCCCTCTCATCACTTCGCCAGGGATCGTGTACACATCCATGCAGGCCTTGCTCTTCCCGTCTTTAATCTTCACCCACATCACACGGAAGTTAGAGCCGCCAAGATCCAGCGCCAGGAAGTCACCATTTTCTGCAACGAGAGTTGAGTGAAATGAAAAAAGAGCAAGAGCAAGGGGGAGAAACAGATAGAAACAATGCAAGGATGAATGGTGGGAATATTTGCATACAAATTTATCAGGGAAAAAAGTTGACTAATAATTGAAGTTATGATAAAATGTTCACACTTCTAAGTACTAATGTCCTCTGAAAATCAGCTCTATCAAAACAGCTTAAAAAAGAATGAATAATAAATGCAAATACAAACAAACATCATCTCTATTACATGTATATTAAGCAGAGCCCTACGTACCACTTCTGAAATTCATGCTAACCTATCATAAATACTTGTATGCATAAATTAAAAGCCTCCATTTCCTTCACCTCCTACCCTGTTGCTTCATTGAACTGAACATGCATCTTGGATCTAATGATCATAATACACATTTTGTATTCACTATTGATAATATTAAGCATGCATATCGATCTGTCAGATTGCCAATGAGGATTGGAGGCCCTCATAATTTAAATATGCATATGTGTGTAGGATAAAGATTATGTGCTTTTATCTCACTATTTTTTTGGGGGGGGGGAGGGGGCGGGAGAGGGACTAGAGCATGATCACTGATGGTTAAATATTGGTTCAGCTTGCTTCATCAGGCTGATGGACATCAAGGTTTGAAAGTGGAGGAGACAGCTCTGAGAGTCAATGAATCTACCGATGATTCATCCTTGAATATTTGTCAGAGCCAGAAGGGCATTATTAGTGGTAAAGTATATGAGTTAGCGGCCCTTAAAGGTAACACAAAGTTTTGGGAAATTTAGAAAATTGGGTGGACAGTGAATCTTTACAATTTTGTTATATTTGGATGCCCCTGTGGATGTATTATAAGCACTAAAAAAATTAGCCCCTAAAACACTTGTTTTCGAGAAAAATTGAATATAAAAATTTACCGGTGCTCCCGGTAAATTTTGATAATTTTCAAATAGCACCTATGGCCGTACAATGGTAGTTGCGACCATGAAAATCTCAGAATATGTAGTTGTGATATATAATTTCCAAACGGGACTAGCTAATTGGTCGATTTTAGTCAAGAAACATTGTTTCATAGCTAAATTAATATCTTGACCTTGAGAGGGAGCTATACAACATAAAGAGTTTATTATTTATGTGTAAATCTGCAATATTTGTTTGTTATATATTTGTAAAAATGCAAAAGAAAAAGAAAATCAAACAGAAATAAATAAATCAAATCAAATCAAATCAAATTTATAATTTCATAACTTTAGACTCGATTTCAATCGCGACAACGATCACTGAATATTGTAGGATCGCATATGCTTCCAATATGTTAATTTGAACCAAATTCATGACCCCCATACCAAAACTTTGTATTACCTTTAAGGCTCCAAACAGATGATATGTGAAGAGTTGCCAAGAACATTGACAAAGTTACACTTACCGGTAATAGTCGTTTTGGTAAAATGGTAGAAGAGTGATTGGTGATGAAAATGAGAGTTTCAAGATTTTGTTAAATCAGAATGTGGAATCCATCCTCTTGTCTATTAAAAATACGTACTAAAGATACAGGAACCTGCAACCATTTAGTCTTTCAGAAGTATCTTATTTTGCTTTTAATGAAAATCAATTCTTGTTTCGCGCTCTTCAATCAAGGGAGCGTTTATTAATAATGTGGCAGACCAATTGTGCACGTGATAGACATGCTACGTACACCACGTGCTCAGTGCATGCTTACTGCATTCATGACTACACTGTACGAGCTTATGCTATAAAACTTTTTTAAAGGCATATTTCGTCTCTTCTAACTGCCCTGCCTCTTACATCCAATTTACCCTGGATATATATCCTGAACAACTTACCTCACATCCAGACATATGAAAGTCATGCACCAATGTAAAACGTTTACAAATTGCAAATTTTGAAATGCTACAAGGTGAAAACAATATCTGTGTCGGTGTTTCATGATCACAAAGCATACATTTGACCGTTCTCCCTATCCTTCTCTTCCTCTCTTTAAAGCAAGTACTGTAGAAGATAATTGCACGCTTGTATCGAGACTTTATGTCAACATTGTTGGAGGATTGCATCACCCATTCCTCATACGATCAGACGAGAGCCGAGCATCTCCATCTTATCGCTGTCACCATTACAAGCATGCAGGCAGAAGTACTTCCTCTGCAAACACTCCACAATAACACGGGATAAAATTTCTAAACCTCCTTTCATGTTGTAGTTTGACTATCAGATAACAAAAGAGGATGGAAATTAATTCTATTTGGGTAGAAATGTATCATCTGGCTTGAGAGGAAATGGGTGAAATTGGAGATTCCCTCGGGCGAATCAATGAAAGTGATTTGAAAAGAGTGCACATCATGGATAAAAGTGAACCCGAAAAGCAGCCTTCTCTTTATTTCTCTAGGGTCTGAACGTATACTGCATACAAAACTGTCTTGACAAGATGATTCAATTTCATGCTTTAGCCATGAATCAATATAAAATCAAACCGTATCACACCCCCCCCCCCCCCCCCCACAATTACACATGGATATTCCCTTAATTTAGAAGTGCTTCTGCAGAGTAACCTTCTGGTGTCATTCAAAGCACATCTTTATGTTTAATATCTAGGTTTGAACGGCTTGCCTTTTTTATGCACCACACTCAAGAAGATATTAAACCTTCCAATACTCACACGTGGTTTGATATTGTGACCCTTTTTATATTTGACAACCTGACGTGTGTACCTGGATGAAGGTTGAGTATCAATTGAACCTGACCTTTCTTATTTGCCAACTTGGAATTTTATGATGGTCCATATTTGTGTGTTTGCTCACAGATAAGGACAGAGGTAATATTGAAAACCAGCATATGGCAAAGGAGAATGTAATTGGTTCCTATGAAGGAGGGATGTATATAGACTCTAGCTGCGTCAAACCTCACCAACGCCTCTAATGTACACTCTGCCATATAGATAAAGATTAAGATATAAATTAAGGCCCTGATGTGGGCATGAATGTGAAAGCCAAAACTTAGCGGTATACATAATCTTGTAGTTCCAAACTATTTTATTCATTTCATTTTAGATTTAAGTGTTTGAAAATCTTCTACTGAAATCAGAAAAAAATATGATGACTTTAAGTTCACGTACAGTAGCTCATGCCTTTAATAATACACATACAATCGTCGTGGCCTTTCTACTTGCCATTATTTAATTGGAATGTTACATAATTTATATGTACACATGTACAAGACATAATCTCATTGCTATACAGAAGTAGTTCTTGGGACTTCTCTAAAGTTCCTATCCCCCCAAAACCAGTGGTTATCCATCCTATCACATATAGGGTTACATTGGACCAATGCTACTTTTGTTGGTTTTATCTCTGATGGCAACTACTCAATTTTTGTGATTTATTCAAGTTTCATATATAAATTGAAATGTTTACTCTGGCCCATTGCAAAATATAGCCCAGGACTGAAGAGCAATAGGTTGAACTAATTAAGTGGGTTAAAACTCAGGTCTAGGCACATAGCAAGTACTGTAAAACCAAAACATCCGCTACACTAAATTGCCAAAAACTAAATGATAGCAGTTTTAATTGCAAGAAACTTTTCGGAAATTCCCAAAGTTCAGTATTGTGATCATTTTGCTGTATCAAATCTATATTAACATCTCGACTGCTTGTAAAGTTTCTTGCACATGAATGTCTCCGGTATTATAGTAGTCGGTGGCTCCATGTCTGATGTTGAAGTTTTTAAGAGAGCGCTGAAAACTGACCTTTTTGATGAATGTTTCCAGTGATTATGTAAACATTGTAAAGCGCTTTGAGAGGGCCTGCGATCCTGAAACGCGCTATAAGATTATTATTATTACTTGGTTGTTAGGCAAACCTACCAGTTCCATCAGGTAACGATGTGACATATGTTGGCAACATCTTGATCTTGGCTTCGGCATTTAGAGCAGCTTTCAGACCTTTGTTCATCTCATCTTCAAGTCTTCCCATGATATCATATTGAAGCTCTCGGGTCAGCTCAAAGCCCTTGATGAGTGCCTTTACCTCCTAAAGAACAAAACAGAATTAAAGGGAAAGTTAATGTTTTTCAAAGGTTAATGTATCATACTTCTGTTGAAATAAGAGTGGCCTTCAGCCGTTTGTTCATCTCATCTTCAAGTCTTCCCATGATATCATACTGAAGCTCTCAGGTTAGCTCAAAGCCCTTGATGAGTGCCTTTACCTCCTAAACAGCAAAATTAATTACAGGGAAAGTTACTGGTTTTCAAATGTAAATATATCATTTTCTCATTTTGCTGTGGAGACAATCCAGTGCGCACAATTCACACTACAGCAAACATCTACATTTGACACTCACCACCCAGGTGTTAAATGGGTATCGGTAGGAAGGAATCCCTTGAATGCTGGGAGCACGGTAATCGGTGGCTTAGCAGAGCCGGCATAATTTTGAAGCCCCCCCCCCCCCAAAAAAAAAAAATGTCTTGTGCACTATAAATAGGCATGAATTAACTAGGAACAGGATGTACATGTAAATCCCTTGGCAGATAAACCCAAATCCAAGACCAATGGTTGCCAATGTACTGTGTATACATCATCCTCAATTATTTTTACAAAACAAATATTCGGCATTCCGATTTGGTTTTTAAGCTTTGAAATTTTGTATTGACCATAATAATGTTTATTATTAGAATGTAGGGGTCTTGTGGTCCAGTGGATAAGTCTCTGTCTCTTTGGCAAGACATTAATCTACATTTGTCACACTCCACCCAGGTGAGGTCAATGGGTACCTGGCAGGAATTAGTTCCTTGTAATGCATGAGCGCTGTAATGGCAGCCATGCTAAAGCCAGGGTAATAATAATGGAATCCAGGAGTGGCAATTATACGAGACTCCACTATTATTATTATAATGTCAAGTTAACAAACATTATCTACTGATAGTATTCATATAGTATAGTATGATCGTTGATCATTCCCTAAATGGAAGGCATAGTACAAAGTACACACTGAGTATTAAACCCAAGTACTCTTATCATAGGGTGACCGGCACTGTGTACACAACTCTTCAGAGTTCACGTTTAATTCATCAAATTACTACTGGTACTCAATCTGCACATTTAATGTACAATGTACAGGGCGACGTCCTCTTTAAAAACTAAATGACTGCATACACTGAATGTACAATGTAAATATCACAATCAATCACTTTGTAAAAGACCGCACTTCATTATTAGAATACATTAAAATCAGCTCCCCACAATTGTTGTCTCATCAGCATTTACTCTACTCCCTGGTCTATCCATCATTATTAATATTAATATTCTAATTTGAGGTAAATGCATATATTTGTTTGATTTTAAGTTTTGGACAGTGTCAACAGAAATAACCCATGGATGATCACAGCAAATGATATTCAGTGTACTCAGAAATAATAACAATGCAGACATTCATAATATGTACATGTAATCCAGATGGTGCTCGAAGGGCTTAAAAATAAATAAAAATACAAAACAAAAATACTCTAATAGTGCTTACAATAAAACAGAAACAAGACAGTTGAAGAAAACACTTGTCGTTAGACGGGTTTCAGTATTCTATTAAAGTCAGCGATCTACAGTTAACACTAGAAATATGTGTAACTGTCTAAACTACAGACAAAGAGAATTAGAGTTTAGTTGGTTATTGTATTAAGTTTAAATTAAATCTAGAATAGTATAGCAATCTGAATTAATGGAGGATTGCAATTTAGTCAAATTATGGAAATTCCCAGGCACACATAACGCTAAACTGGGGACTTACAGTATCTGACAGAGCTTTCTATTTGCAATAGAGTGATCAAGAATTTGATAAAATTATTCTATTGACTTTGACTGGTTTTCCGCAGAAAGGTGGGGTTGGTACATTCTAACAATAACAAAACAATGACAACAAGAAAAATAACACATGAATGAAAATAAGTTTAGTCTACTACTTCACAAATCGTAAATTCATTTTTTAAAATTTTTAATTAATTAATTAATTAATTTGTTTATTTTTTTAAAAATATTTATTTATTTATTTATTTATTTATTATTACTATTATTATATATATATATATATATATATATATATATATATATATATATATTTTTTTTTTTTTTTTTTTTGGGGGGGGGGGGGGTTGTAGCTTTGACTACATTATGTTTCTCACACTTTTCTCACCTTCTCCCCAATTTATTTTGAGTAGCAAGAAGGGAGCTCAAAAGCACATTTCATGCAATGCACACCACAAAACAATGAAGACTTTGACTGATGTATGGCTTCATTTGTCAATTGGCCACAATGGTGTGTAGCCTAAAATCACCGATCTAAATGGGTCAGGCAAGCAGAGTCTTGCATGGTGGGGATTCATACTGTACCCCCATTTGTATGCACTATGCAAACTACCGTACGCATCTATTTCTTGCAGTTTCTGTGCATGATATTCATATATATGCAGATGTATGCAGAAAAGATAATATTTCAGAGGTTATAAACAATTAACACATGCTTGGGCAACAACTGCTCATACACACATAAATCCAGTTTCTAACTTCACCTCTGGATAAAACAGAATTTAATACAGGACCCTAACCCTAAGGCCTCGTTCAGATATCACGCAGCAAAACCATCACTTTTGTAATATGATGACATGACGTATAGTTAGAATGCTTCACATTTCTGTATCCTACAAAACAGACCTCAATTGATACATGCAGGACTTTTCAGTTCAGTTCAGTTGCCATACATTTACATGCTAAAAAAACAACACAATTTTGGGGGCAGCAGTTTATCACGACATATCTGAACAAGCCCTACCGGTAATTCAACATAAAATCCCATTGCAACTCTATCTAAATATACATGTTCATACCTCAGACAAATGAAAGGAGTGATATTTGTTGGAGCAAATGTTGGGGCAGATTTTAAGGAGATCTAGTCAATGTATTGTAATCCTAAATGGCACTTGCTTCATCATAGCCTCTTGTAAATGTAAACACAAATCCAGGTTGAAGTACTACAGTAAATTTTAAGAAATCTTTATTTTCCAATCATTAAATTATGTTAGTTGATTCTTTGTTCATTTCGTCATTCATTCATTTACATTTATTTATTTATTTATTTAGTTAGTTATTAATTTATTCTCTTTTTTTGGGGGGGGGGGGGGTAAAGTACTCTTGCTTCTAGACATTTGCCCAAAGGGGCAAGATTTGTCTAGAAGGTGAAAATCATTCACACCCATGCCACGTACACATCACATATAGACACCTTGAGTTCATGGCAAAAGAGGGTATGAGTTAAAAATACATTTTAAACTAAACTAAAAGGGTACAATCGTACGATCCCCACCTGACTAGTTGTAGGAAATAATCAGGAAGTTATTAAACAAGTCAAGACTCAAGAATGTAAATAAAAAGATAACTTTTTTGAGTAACAGTGCAGTTGAATGACAGTTCAACCATGGTTCAAGGCAGTTTAATAGTCTGCAAATGTGCTGTACATTGACAAGTTCTTTTTATAGTGTTTATGCATACACATGTAAGATAAACATAAATCTAATAAAAACTTAGTTGATAAAAGGTGCAAATGTAGCTATCAGCCGGCTTTGAACAAGGAGTTTGAACTTACCAGAAGCCAAAGTATAGATACATGTACATGTAGCTGCGATGCTCTATACTTGCTGGTTGTATTAAATGCTTCTCTCAGAAAGTAAAGCTACATAAAAGTTTTGTTTTGCACTCATAATTTACTTTCACCTTGGGCCTCTATGACGAGCCAATTTGGTCTACTGTACATACCACTCAAACTGAATACTGTAGCAGGCAACGTTGCATAAATTGTGTACAGTACAAGAAACAGAGGAAGAAGTCCCTGCCTAGGATAATGTGTGTATGCTGACTTAAATGGATTGCCATTTGTTGCAATATTTTTTGCTGATTGGTTGTAATAAAACAATATACCACAGAATAAAAATATGATTTAAATTTCTCCTTTAGGAAGCTGAATATCAATATGAAAGAGGAAAAGAGAAATAGAGAGAGAGCAAGAGAGAGATGGACAGAGAAATCAGAGAAGTTACCTAATAGAATCTCCACATGAAATACAATCAAACTTTATTTAAATCCACTGACTCCCTGTGCATACTGGAAACATGCAAAGTCCCTTTCTTTTTTAATTTAAAAATGAATATTTACTTTGCATTCATTTATAAATAAGAAAGCATAGACAAAAAAATTATGAAAATTACATAAAGGAGGTTTCAATTTGACCAAGTGACCAACCACTTTGCAACAATGGCTCATTTTTTAAAAAGCCTGAAATTGAATATTTCTCCTTTTCTATTATTACCTTTGGATGTACCATAAATAAGTCCATTTTAGAAGAAATGTAACATCAAGATGATAATGGTCATTGCTCAAACACTTCAAACTTAATACACTAAAAATAGTTATGTAAACATTTGTTTTACCTCCCTATCTTCCTAAGATATGAACAGGTTGAGAGGGGTAAGTCACGTGATTGGTGACCTTTAACCCTTTAAAAGTAAAATCTGTCCCAGAATAATTAGGTGATTATTTTTGGAAGAGGCACAAAGAAAATAAGTTGAATCATGTACATGTACATGTACTTCTTAATTCAAATAAAACATTGATTTCATGTAGCTCAGCACACATTAACCAGGTTTACTCCAGGCTACAGGTGTATATCCATTACCAACTCCTTGGTCTTTCAACTTCTTGAACCATCATAGATAATTCAATGGTTTTCTGGCTGTATTATCATCACACCATTCTGAATTTCTATACCTGGGCCCCGTCTTATAAAGATAACCAAATCAATTGTAAGTCCTCCAATCAGTCGCAAGTTTGCAGTCTCCTATCTCGTATGTACTCAGTTGCGATTGATATCAATCACAAATAAAGTTATGATTAATATCAACTCTTTATTAGACGGGGCCTTGGTCTAATTCTAAAATCTCATACTGACAGATTATAATATAAGTAGGCCTACTGTAGCTTGAAAACTTGGGACTGGACGACACATTATCACACCATTCCAAAAAGCACTTGATTATATAACATTTAAAAGCAAAGTTAATCATCAACTATGACCCAGAAATTTGTGTAGAAAAGAGATACGGTAAGTGGTGAATTACACATGGCACAAAGTTAATAGTCAAAGTACTAGATGTTATTCAGAATTGGATCTAGGGGGGGGGGGGGGGAGGGGTCATGATGGCCCAGGCCCCGTTTTCACTTGAATTTTGTGCATTGGACCCCTCCACTTGCCTAATTTTGTTGTTGCTTGTCAGAGACTTTTGGTTGTTTAAGGTATATAGACCAGTTTTGGAAGCGCCTCCCCTCTCAAAAAATGAAATGGAAGCTCTTATTACCAATCATGTGAAAGAATATGTTTAAAATAATATGTAATGCTACAAATTTTGCTGGGAAACCGCCTACTAATTTATATATTTGGTAAATTGTTATATCTATCCGGACTGGATAGATATCGCGTAGTATGCAGTTCATCTTTCTGTGTACAGTGGCTTGTAACTTTACCAAGACTGGGTTAAATTTCTTATCATTTTGATGATTCCAGAATCTTGCAGTATAAGACACACCAATACTTATATATGTATGCTAAATAATCATCCTTTTCTTATCGATTCCACAATTTCTTTCACAATACAATCGCATGACCAGAACTGGTCTATACCTTTAAAACTTGATGACTACTTTTTTCTTGCCTTTAGAGAATTGGACCCCAGCCCTCCTTTGCCACACCCCAGAGTTGCCTCTGGTACTAAATCAATACCGGTAATATTCTTGCAAAGTTGCACGGACCTTATTATGTAAATAGACTTTTCTATCAGTACCAGATGTATTTTAGTAAAATATTTCTGAAGTTCAAAGCTGTTGAAGAAGCAAAACTGGTAATGGTAAGCAAATTAATCAAGCTGTTAACTAAGTGCTTTTGGCTGAATGTTTGGGTTCATGTGATCCAGTAAGATGCTTTGAGTTTGACAGGGAGGGGGTGGGGTGGGGTGGTGAACTTGCCAAAAAATTTAAAAAGGCAAGATCAAAACACATAAACATGATACAGCAACAACAAAAACAAAAAGAAAGTAGAGAGGGGGAAGAACATGAAAAGATCATAGACCCCCCCCCCCCCCAAACAATGCCATGTGCAGCCAGCACCTTGGGGTCGTAACTAGAGCAAATACATTGTGGGTCATTGAAAGGTCAGTGTATAGTAATAAGTAACCTGATTAAACATGTCTGCACATACATGTATATCACAGGAGAAACACATGGATACACATGTAACTATCACAAATATTCTGAGCTCATGACAAATGACATAAATATGAGTGACTATTAATATTAATATTAGACTAGGCCTAGAGCACATATATTTTCTCAAATCATCCTGCTCTTTTTACCAATCATTCACATTGATTAAACCACAAAAAATTAAACCACAAAAATGCAAAATTGCAAATGCTCTTCAATTTGATAAGCTACACATCATCAAGGTATGAGTGGAATGATACTCAAATAAAAAAAAACATAAACATAAATTTCATAAACTGTCAAAAATTGTAAACAAAAAAATTTCATAGGGAATAGGGGTTCCTACCACTTAAGATTTCATGAATTTCCCCCAAATCACAATTGTATCAGTTATATTTAATTAATATATTCCAGATCTACATGTATATCATGGCATGGAACTTTTTTAATAAGTGATTCTGAAGCACTTGTGAAACTTGCGAATGTTTCTGGTTGAACAGTAAAACTAGAGTCTTCACACACCCGACATGCGACGCCAAATTAATTTGCCTTTCCCTCATCCCTGACCATGTTCTTGCCTTTGGCTTGGACTTACCTTTTTAGGCTTAATCTAGCCCTGCCCCAAAAGTCTGATACCGAGCTTGATCATTAATCTCTTTAGATTATCGAAAGAAAAGCATTAGCTTATTTTCTTTTGTTGAATGACATTTGACAATGTTCACTAGCTGCCCACGCATGCCCGTAGCTAGATATAAAGCTCGCAGAGTTACGGCATTTTACCTTGCATAGACGCCACCGGTCACGGCAGGTCGATAAGCCAATGCCAATGCCAAGCTGGACAAACGGCGCTTCTTTTTAAGCATTGAAAAGACTAATAAAACATGCTAATTCAGATCAGGTACTTACACTAGGGAATTCTGTATTTTGTTCGCCAGGCATTGTTGTTGAGTTTACGTTTCCTTGTTGAAATAAGACAGAAGAATCAAAGTGAACAAGAAGTCTCACTTGTACGGTGTATTCCACGTCAGCTTGCAGACGACACTGTCACGATAACAACATGTGCGTAATCTCGGCTAGGCGCTAGCTAGCTAGGCTCATGCTCAGCACGCAGCTCCAATCTCAACGAGGCACGTACGTTACAGTACAGTAGCCTATACACACACGATTACTAGGCTGAACCACTGACCTGGGACGAAGTGGAGGATCTAGGAAAACGGGAAACCAATAATGAAATAAATCTCTTAAGATGTACAATTTTGAGAAAAATAGTGTATTATGTATATAATGTAAGTCAGCAATTTTTTTTCTTCATTTTCTCATTTTTTTAGGGGGGGGGGGGGGGGGACCGGGAGATCTAGACTATATCTTTCAAAAAATGTCATCATTATCACCATCACCATGCACCACCTTGTTATTTGCTACTTGTTGCAGTAATCCCAAACAGCTCCTTAGAAGCTATATACCGGAATAGGTATAACCCCGGACTATAGGTGGGGCTAAGACCCCCCCCCCCCTTAACCCCACCTATAGTACGGGGTTAAGCAAATTTTTGCCAGTGTGAAAACAGTATAGGATGGATGTCATCAATTATGTCATGTTCCCAAGGAAAGTGCCAAGGTGCAAAGTTTGTGTTGTCTCACATCAACCATATACAATAAAAATGAGTGTCCATGCCAAGTTTGTGTCGTCTCTATTGGTTTTGTGTTTGTTTGTCTAATTATTACCAATGACTTGTAAATATGTAATTTGTATATTATTTAAAAATTAATAAACACACAAATATAAAAAAGAAAGAAAAAAAAAAGTTTGTCGTCTCACATCGACCATACAATAAAATGTGTCCATGCAAGTACAAATATGCACAAGTTCCATAGTAAGAGAGACCCAGTAGGAGGCCGCATCATGCTGATGAGGGGGTAGTGCATCATCACATCTTTGCGATTATCATCATCCTCCTCCTCCTCCTCATCATCACCATCATTCTTATCCTCATCACCACCACCATCATTTTTATCCTCCTCCTCATCATCATCACAACCACCATCATTCTCATCATCCTCCTCCTCATCATCATCCTCATCACCACCACCATCATTTTTATCCTCCTCCTCATCATCAGCATCACAACCATCATCATTCTTATCACCATCATCATCCTCCTCATCACCACCACCATCACAACCACCATCATTCTTATCATCACCATCACAACCACCATCATTCTCATCATCCTCCTCTTCATCATCATCATCACCATTCTCATCCTCCTCCTCCTCCTCCTCCTCATCATCACCATTCTCATCCTCCTCCTCCTCATCATCACCACCACCATCATTCTTATCATACTCCTCCTCATCATCATCATCACCATTCTCATCCTCCTCCTCCTCATCATCACCACCACCATCATTCTTATCATCCTCCTCCTCATCATCATCATCACCATTCTTATCCTCCTCCTCCTCCTCCTCATCATCACCACCACCATCATTTTTATCCTCCTCCTCATCATCAGCATCACAACCACCATCATTCTTATCATCCTCCTCCTCCTCATCATCATCACCACCACCATCATTCTTATCCTACTCCTCCTCGTCATCGTCATCATGATCTTGATCATTATCCCCTTCAGCCAGCCAAGAAGAAATCATACCATGACTCCAACATTTTGCAAAAGGCAACATTTCTCCAAATTTTATTCATATTCTCTTCACAAATGTTTGTACAAATATTCTTACAAATGAAAGTATCAAACTTCTTTTATTATATTCCCTAAATCAGAAGTTAATAATGTTATTCAACAGTCTCACTGCAACATGATAGAACTCATTTTTTGGCCTTCAATTTCTTGAACATGAACAAAATCCTTTGAGGGGAATTAACAATACTTAATCACATGTAAAACATATAGGTTCCATTTTGAAGCATTTTCATCATTCAGTGATTACACAGAAGATTTGTAATCTTATCGTATCACATAAATTTTGGGTTTTGGCATGACCCCATGGTCAATATCGTTTTTATTACACGCCATAAAACAATAAACGTAAGGTTATATTAAATATTGTACTCTAGCATTACGTAGAAAGACTTTACATGTAATGGAGTGGGGCAGTTGTGTGTATTGAAAAAAATCAAATTATTTTGACAAATTTGAAATGCATCTTGCTCAATTTCCTGGGAAACTTAAAACAGAGTGGAATAAACCTCTGAGAAACAACTGCCAAATCTAGGATAGTGTAGGGTAGGTAGATTACTGTATAATCCAAACTTCAAATATCACTTGCTCAACGACTGACCTTTGACAAAACTGAACAACATGCAGATATCCCACACCCACTCAGTTGATGTTACATAATGCAATGTCCAGAGACCTAGATTTTTTTACAAGAATCTTTGGCTAAATTAGCGCAGTCACTTTTTAGGTAATCCTCATTACAATTTCACTGTCCAATTCAGGCAAGTTTATTGCAAAAATGAATAAATCGCTTGCCTGATAGACCAACTTGCTTTGCTAATCACTCAAGGGTTATTTAGTGAATTATGAATTGAATATTTGTCAGAAATTGTTTGTTTCTTTTACTTAACTCGTCACTTATTTACTCTACTTTGATATAAATTAATTGGTTATTTTTAAAAAAAGCTAGAAAAGAAAAACACAATTATAATAGGATTGAGGGCTTGCAAATACTGTACTCTGGCATTGATAGATTCCTTCATATTAATGCATTAAACTTTGCTAATGATTGCTGTATCATATCATTAACATGGGGTCTTTCTGTTCATTCAGCTACATTTGTAATAAGAAATGTACTTTTTGTAATGTAATTTTGTAATTCTCCAATATCTCACTACTCAAATCAAATTTGATTTTAAAAAGACATCCTGTTACCCTAAAAGATGCAAAGTTTTCCCTACCAGACCACTTTCTGAAGATTTTTTAAAACTCTGATAACACCTTGCCAAAGTCATATAATGAGCAGTATTGCCTGAATTTTTCATTGTCATTTGAGAATTCAAAATTCACTTACAATGCACTCAAGCACAAACAAGTCTCTGTGTCAATGCAATATGAACCCTCATGTCAATATTTAAAAAAGAAATCCCCAAGATGTGTTAACCAACTTCAGACAGGCTTCCTTTTTTTCTTCATTTCTAAATCAGTTTTTCGCTATTGACTACCTCCAATGCTTGTTTCATACGAATATTACGATCGTAAAATATTACTAGATGCTGTAAACATTAAACTGAAACAAATGTGACACACTTTGAAAATAACCCACACAATTCTTTCATTATAGTTCCCTACCTACAGAAACAATATATATCCACCCCCCCCCTCCAACAACAAAAATTAACAAATTAAAAAAAATTATATTGGACCAATCAACCAAACTTTTTTCTGTGTTTTCATCGATTCTGAAATATTGCATTAATATTATCTTTTTACTTATAATTTTGCATTTTGCACTCGGGGCATTAATATTCCTTACTTTCACAACTTCTCCGCTACATTTCTTTTAAAAATTTCATAACCAAGCACCGATCAATAAAATGCAGAGCAAATTTACGATTTTTAGTTACAGTGACTAAATTAAAATAATTTTTATCATTGGCTTTGTAATAAGGAACTTTAATAAGAAAAGATTTAGAATGCATCATTTCATATCACTCCGATTTTGTCACACTTGTTACCATGCAAACAGAAACTTCTAAAACTTGACAAAAGGCGACATTTTGGTTTGCTCGAGTCTAAATGTGTGAATCTTCAGAATATGCACGAACACCGAGGATACTATTACGCAGACCAGACACAATTTAGTTCAGATTTCACACCAGCTGCTTATCATCTATCACTCAGGAAAAAGAGTTGAAATACGTACATGAACTTAAAACAGGTATTGTCCATACCATCATACCCACAATAACATACAGTATTGTCAGTAATTCCCTTTCCCCCTCTTTTTGATACACTCTTTGAATTAATAAGGTAGCTTGTGTTCTCCACAATGTTGTGCAAATTATTTATTGATGCTGCAAGCCCTAAATGACTTTGATTTTAAACTTAGAATATTTTTGTGTGCCTGGCAGAAGAAAAATGAACAGACATGTCGCCAGTGGAAATTTTAAGCAATATAAGCATTTTAAAATTTTCATCTTTCTCGGACTACATCTATGTACCGGTAATACATTAAAGTGCATGCTTTACCTACACTGTTAACTGTGATATGTTTTAGATTCTCTTTATGATATGTTTATTCTTTCCAGAAAAAAAAACTGAAATATTTAAAAATCTTACCCCAAATTTGGGATTGTGCCCTTCTGCAGTGCATCTAATTGTAATGGTATTTTGTCTATGGTACTACTCAGTGTGGCCCACAAGGGTTTTAAACCTGTAACAGTGACAGGTTTGAATTGCTATTGTACAGATTTGAAAATCACTAAAATATCAATATTCATTCTCAACCAAACATACCCATGAAATATTAGTCCTAAAATTTGTTTCAAACTGCTTCAAAATTTGACCCAGATTGCACCACAGTGCATCTAGGAACCTTATTAGCAAGCAGAATAGCTCTTAAGCAAGCAACTAGAGCCCTTAAGCAAGCACTCGAGCCCAATGGACTTTGTGCTTCATACACCAGGGCACCATTGCATAAAACTTTACTACCCTTGATGGTAACTTTACCATCAATGGCAACTACCATGGTAACAGGGCTCAACAGCCAATCAAAATCAAGGTTTCCATGGTAATTATCATTGACGACAAAGTTACCATCAATGGTAAGTTTTGTGCAACGGGGCCCAGTTCGTACTCCTTCCACGTTTTCCAATTTTACTGTTTAATTTTTTGTTTGAGGACCACCCCTGTACTCTGGTAGACTTAATTTATAATGAATTATAAACCAACTATTGAAGGTACAATGAATGGTTTTCAAACAGGGTTACAGGGACAATGGCTTTTCAGGAATTTGAATACAAAAAGTATAAGCTTTCAATAAGTTTAAACTTCAGTGAGGTATCACGTCACAATGCCAATTCTACTACATGTACCTGTAATATATAGTTACCAGAGTAAAAACTTAATTGCATTTGTTTACTACTGTAATAATAATTTACCAAGTAGTTGATTTTCAGTTTTCAAACAGGAGACTTTTGTCTTGCAAATTTTTGGAGAAAGGAGTATTTTGAGAAAGAAATATGCTGCACATCCCCAAACTCACCAAACTATCATGCCATACTGCAAATATTACTTCCCATCATATGTAAGAATCCAGAGCAAATACAAAACATTTTTTCTATGAGCCCTACTGACAACCCCTACAAAACATGTAGTAGCAATAAAATCTGAGGTTAATATGGACATCCCAAGGAAAGTGTTCTAAACACTAAAAATAAAAGTTTTGCCTGAACAAATTGCTCGTGATTTGTAATCATTCACCTTACAGACAGAAAGAGATGGCAATTAATGTTCTTCAATTACATTACGGCATTGGCAAATTATAGACAAAAAGAAAAGAAGATATTCAAATATGAAGTTGCATAATGAAAGAGTCTTACATGTTAATTTGCAGCATAAGAATAAGCCCAATGCGATTTGCACAAGGACAACATTTTAGATCCAGTGTACAAATATGATCACAATAAAGGAAACAGATTTCTCTGTATTTATTTAGAATAACAAATAGTCCGAGAGATGGATGGAATTGAGGGTCTTCCCTACCAAACCTTCCCTCATAAAACCCTTTTACATAAAGTCATTTTAAAGGGGAAGAAAGAAGAGAGAACATCGATGAAAGAAAAACCAAAATCACCTTCAAAGTAGCACATGATTCAAATTGTGTTACACCAAGCGAAACGTACCGCACATGTGTAAAAAACAAATCCTAATATCCCACGATTACAGTTCTGAACAAGTTAAGTATGATTGCATGGCCATTCTAGTTGAAATGTATGTTATTTTTCTGTAGTTATCCACTAATTACTGCAAGACCTCTGTAGTCCCACGTATTCTCTCTACTTTAGCTATCCACCAATGGCTGCACAACCCCTGTAGTCCCATGTATGCTCTTTCCTGTATTTATTCACCAATAGCTGCACGACTCCTGTAGCCCCACATATGCCCTTTCCTATAGCAATCCACTAATGGCTGCACAACCCCCTGTAGTCCCACATATGCTCTTTTCCTGTAGTAATCCACTAATGGCTGCACAACCTCTGTAGCCCCACATATGCTCTTTCCCGTAGTAATCCACTTATGGCTGCACGACCCCTGTAGTCCCATGTACACTCTTTTCTATAGCTATCCGCTAATGGCTGGACAACACCTGTAGTCCCATGTACACTCTTTTCTATAGCTATCCACTAATGGCTGCACGACCCCTGTAGTGATTAGTCCCATGTATGCTCTTTTCTATAGCTATCCACTGCTGAATGCATGACCTTTGTAGTCCCATGTATGCTCTCTACTGTAGCTATCCACTAATGGCTGCACGACCCCTGTAGTCCCATTTATGCTCTTTTCTGTAGCTATGCAACACTGAATGCACAACCTTTGTAGTCCCATGTTTGCTGTCTACTGTAGCTATCCACTAATAGCTGCACGATCCGCTGTAGCCCCACATATGCTCCTTTCTGAAGCTACTGAATGCATGATCTCTGTAGTTCCACATATGCTGTTATCCGTAGCTATCCACCAATTCCATTTGTGTTCCATCCACACCTAATCACCATCCATCCATCCATGGCCACATATATTACTCTATGGTTGATCAGTGACAGCCGGAACATGCAGACTCTGAACGACTCCTTTAGTCCCATATGCATTCATTCTGTGTTAGCTCATCATGTCCACTGTCACTGTCGAGTTGCTTCCCGTGCTTCCATCGCCGTTGTTCCCCGACGTGTTTGACGTCCGCAGAGAGTCGTTGACATCCCTTCTGAATACAGACAGGTTCTGGGTAAATCTGAACAGAAAATAAAAGAAATGTTTCCTTAAAGCCTGCCTGCACTAGTTTGGCCAAGGGGAATTAGACCTCCCTGCAAGGTCACTGACAGGTGTTTATCTCATCAAATCAGCTCTCAATTAACATAAGAAAACGGGGATCATGGGGACCAACAGGCACTGATTAGGCATTGTTTGCTATATAGAGGATGCAAGTAGCTATAAGTTGTGCAGTGGGGCTCTTACTCATATCCACACACTTGCTGGTAAGAGACCATCTCCAGGTCAAAGTTCACACTTTATTTTTCACATTCTCTTGCTCTAACAATAGGAAGCTGATGCTGACAGGACTGTACAGTGCTTTAAAAATAACTCAATCTCAATTGGCCATGAAACTTCTCTATCATTTGTATATTAAGTACTAAATCGTAATTCAAAAAATTACTCAGAATCTTTTGCTAGTCTGGCTGTAAAAGAAGAAAAATATTGTATTATCAAAAGGAAATTCTTTCTTTTATAACAAAAGAGTTAATTACAAATGTACTTTAGGTAATGCACTGTGTTGGTATGCGTTGAGGAGGTATATTTTTATGTCCTTTAATCTTTATTTTTTCAGATTGGAAATAAACTTATGAATAATACACAGAAGTGGCTAAAATATTGCCTTAAAATGGCTGCATTGTAGTATAGTGTCCTTTTGTAATGATGTATCAGTCTAATAATGGAACAAATATTCTATTGCAATTAAAAGCAAACAATGTGACACACAACCTTTGGACTTTCGGGCTTCTACTTTGATGATTTGATCCAAATCAATGCTAGTAAATATTAACATTGTGATGGACATATCAGCAAGCTCAAAGTTGTACAAGCTTTGTGTGATACAAGGCTACTTATAGGCTGGATTACTGATACATTCAAATTCATGGATGTTTCTTTCCTGGGGACCTAGTGATGAGTTATTCCATCAACCTATTATTAATAAATGAATGAACTACAATACTTTGAAACTAGTCTGCATACATTACTTGTTGCTATGCCAGGCAAACCTTGGGCAACTTTTCAAGTTGTCAAGTACAACCTTTGTTTAAAAAGTATGCATACAATTTGAATATGTTAGGAAACAGGCCTAATACATGGACACATCACAAACTGTGGACCAGTGGATGTACTTCTATTTTCACAAACTTCTACTATGATTCCAAATGAATGCCAATACATTGGAATCATATGGAATAATAATAGCTTGATCAAAGATGAGCAATCTATGTATGACTATGGTATATTGTGAAAGTTTTTTTTCTCTCTGTTTTTATTGTTGTACGTTTTGACAGTTTTTTTTTAGTTTCCAATTTTATTGATGTATATTGTCACAGTGACACATAATAAACTAAGGACTATTGAGCATACAGTATTCCTCATTTTTACTCTTAAGTCCAAATCAATGCTAGTATATTTGAACATTGTAATAGAAACAAATCGGAAACTGAAAAATTTACAATCTATGTAAAAGATCCTTGTAAGGGTCATTGTATCAGAGTAGTACCTATCAGTGTTTACCACAAAACAAACTGAATGTTTTAACGATAACAATCAATTCCTGATAGCTCTATCACTGTTTATATTCAACAGCCACATACAAAGGGTCATCGAATAGACATGATTTGAGTTCATGCAAAATGCTTTGCGTTTGAAATAATGGCAGATAGAGGGGCAACAAATAAACAGTTATAGTAGGACTGATATATTCCAACGAGAAGTACACTTTTGATAAGTCAGCTCCAAAATGTCATATTTCTTTGATATATAATGAAAGATAGCAAGATATTATCAATTACATGTTGATAGGATTTTTTTCCCTTCTAATGTTGATGATTAGGCCAAATAAAAAAACAAACATGTTTAGCGTTCTGTTTTTTTGAAAAATAGGAAGGAGGAGGCCCTTTTTTTTCTTTCAAAATGGCCGCTCAAAATGGCCGCTCGATACATTTTCCCTGACAGTCAAGCTATTTTTCAAGATGGTCGCCAACTTTTTTTCTTTTTATTAAAATCAGAAATAGATCCATCTTAGCAGTGTTTTTTATGTTTTTTTTCTCCAAAAAAAAAAAAAAAAAAAAAAAAAAAGAAGAAAAAAGTAGGAGGTGGCCCCCAAAAAGGAAGCGGGCGGGGACGCTAAACATGTATATTTTTTTACATGGCCTTAAACAAATTAAACAAATAAGATACTGCCCTGACCAGCACATATGAAGCCACAAACTCCAGGGGGGTGTTTCACAAAGATCCTAAGTCAAACTTAACTCTAAGTTGGACTTAAAAATTATGGAGAGCCAATTGTAGCCTTAAAATAAAATAATACAAAGCAAAAATTCAAGTATTTAGACTATTTATAAATTCCAAATCAAGAACATGAAATCTCCTTGATAATAGAAAATATGAAGATTTTAATCAACAATTTTATGCCCCTTAACATAACTTTTACAAAATATTTTCATAGATTCTAACGGCTTTCCATATTTCTTAAGTCCAACTTAGCGTTAAGTTAGACTTAGGATCTTTGTGAAACACCCCCCCCCCAGGCTTAGCCGAGTTCTCACCTGTCTCTGTTCTTTGTCCTTAGATTCCTCTCGATGCTGTCCATCAGATTCTTGAAACACATGTGCATGTCCTGCTGCTTCTCCATCGGCTGGGCACTGATTACAGACTGCTGGAACTCTTGGAAATGCTGAACAAAATGTGTGAAAAAAGGAAAATACAATTCATCTCCTGCTAAAAATATTAATTCTTTTAACACATATCTAAGTTATGCTGATTTGGTTTCCGAAGTGGAAAGGGGGAAGGGTGCCCTAACTCTGAAGCTCTAAGTCATCGCACTAAACATGTAAATGTTATGTCATCTCTATAAAACTATATTCAATGCCATTCAACACTACCGATAGTAAAAATTGAACAATGTTTTCAATGTTTTCTGTAACCAAACACATTATTCCTAAATTTAGACGACATTTGACATGGTGCGCTAAATCATGCATATATTGATGAGGGGAAAGAAATTTTATCATGGCTATTTGGTATCTGGTGACTTACATCTTCATTGAGTAGAATGAGTCCTAAGAGTGGTCTGGACATGGACCATTGATTCCTGCATTCCTCAAACATGATGATATTCAGTACTGTCGACAGCATCTAGCGAGACAAATGAACAAACAGGAAAATCAAATATCAGCATGTGCACTTCCTGACTGGCATATTTGGAATGCATACTCTCTTAATCAAAAGGGAATTTAAAAAATATCTGTACTTAAATTCTCATTAAACTGAATTCAACTGTGTTCTAAGGATCTTTGATAGTGTTCATTTGGTCATCAATAAATCTCACGATGCAAAGGTGAGAAGAACAATCTAACGAAGCACAATAAATTCAGGTTTTGTCCATTCTGTAAAAAAGAAAGTGTTTGATTTCTAGATATTGTCTCAAAACAGATGCATCCACCAAATGAGTTTCTGAGCAAGTCAAAGGATTTTCCTTCAAAATTACGACAAAAAACCTGTATTGTTACTCAAATCTTCTGTAGGAACTTAGAAGATGGCAGAATGGTTGAATTGTGAGTATCTTCATATGTTTGATTATTCTAATAATCCAGTTCACAGTTGCAGTCTAAGCATGAGCAGATAAAGGTCATTGCAGAACAAATTTTGAAATACACGGAGACGAAATACTGGTTACATGCTCATGAAAGTTATGTAATCATTATTCATTAATGCACAAGCAGTGCTCCATGATACGCAGGTGGAAGTATTCTTCGAAAAGGGGAAACAAAGGCTATTTATATGGCACCTCCATCACTGTAGGAGTGATTATTTCAAAATGTACAGAGTGTTTTGAAGATCTGTGGATATTCGGGGTCATTGCAGTAATGTGCCAACCATGAACTGGTCTATTGTACCCCAGAAGAGTGAAAAGAACAGAAAAACTGCTCAAACCAACCTGTCTGAGGAGATCCCTCGGTACATCCAGGAGGTTGCTGTAGTTCTTGGTGTCCCCTCCACTCTTGGGCCAGCTGTTGCTCTGCTGGCTGCTCGTCTTACCGCTCTTGGTGAGTTGCTTGAAGAGGAACGTCACTATGTGATCTAGGATGGCGCAGCAGCTTGTGCACACCATCGTATCTGTATATCATGAATTATAAAATGGGTTCAAGAATGTAGCCAATGAGAAGCATCAAAATGGATCATGTGACTGTGCAGTATTTTTTGCTATCTGCACGGTACCATCTGCATGGGGTGCATTTTGGTGATAACAACCGTGGATGAAGGCAACGAGGAGAGATCTTATGGCCTTGCTGAGTAAGATTGTCGACCCATTTTATAAAACAAATAATACACAGGTTTTTGGTCCTGACGTTATGGCGATGCAGTGCTATTTGGGTTTTCACAATGGCACAAAATACACTCGGCTACGCCTCGTGAAATTTATTGCAACATAGTGAATGCCCTCAGGCTCTGCATCGACCATAACGCACTCACACCTATGCATTATTTGTTTAATAGTAGCCACAGTAGCACAGAATTCTTGCCAGTCTATTCTCCAAAACTCTGACTCGAGCCTTCTGCACAATTGTAAATACGACTGGCTGTGATGGATCTCGGGAGAAATTGCCAACTCAGAAATGAAATTAGACATGTAAAATCTACCTGAGTGATGTTCCTACTGGTCTTACGTTTTAGCAAAATCAAAATGTGTGTGTGTATTTGTAAAGCTTTTCAGTCAGAGACAGGCAAACTTGGCTGAAGAGCGGAACAGTCATCCAATCGGTCTAACGTCAATAGAACATGTAGCATATAAGGATTTCTTTCATGTGAAAGGCTCATCATACCTTTTTATTCATACTACAAAAAGAACCCCAATCAAAAATATTTTACACAATTTCACAACTCCTGATAATACAATGTCTTTGAAGGTCCAGCTGCAATCCAATTATTTTGTGCTCCATGTGGGTTTCAGTTATTGTAAAAAACACCTTCTGGCTCCGGACAATTTCATCTCTTGAGGGCCATAAGAGCGTCAACTTGTACTATGAAACACAAGAGCTCTCACTTTTTTATTGTTCTACCGCAGTGCAAAATGACCTAGTGCCATAAGATCTTCTGATACTGATGATAAAACATGAAGGAAGAATTGACGTCCTAAGCTACCAATGAAACCCAATCTTAAATTAATACCCTTCTGGCTCTCAACAGACCATTTGTTCTAGTTGGGTGTGAACTCACCTAGTGCCGTAAGACCTTTTGATACTGATGATAAGACATGAAGGAAATTCAAAGGTCCAATGCTAACGATGAAACCCATAAAGTGCATTAACTCAAATCATTTAACACCCTTAATTTAATACCTTTCTGACTCTCAATGGACCATTCAGTCTAGTTGGGTGTGAACTCACCTAGTGCCGTTAGACCTTCTGATACTGATGATAAGACGTGAAGGAAGACTTGGGGTTCTAAGCTACTGATGAAACCCATGTGATCCTGGGCTAGGCATTCAAGCAGCACATAGTAGGATCCACTTAGCTTAGGGTAGTCCTGCAAGAAGAAAAAAAATGCAACAATAATTTCTCTCATTCTTGTTAGTGCTCACTGGCTTCACTTAATATGTCAACTCAATAGAAAAGGAGTATACTGTAGCCCATTCAGATCATAAACGAATACTGAAGAGATTGTGGGTCAACACTTGAAATGCTTGAAAGAGGTGTGTTTTATCAACATTAATAATAATAATAATAATAATATGTGTTGTTTACCCAGGGCATACCTGCCAACCTGAGACAAGAGAAATTATGAGTAAATTTTTCTGGATGGACTACGAGGTCACGAACCACCGAAGGATTGGGGTAGTAGCCCGTAGATTGGGGGGGGGGGGGGGGGGGTACACAGGACTTTAGGGTCTATTTTTTTTCCTCTCCATTTTAATGGTGCAAATGGGCCTTTTCCTTCAACCTTTTCGCCCCACACATAAACAATTTTTGAAATATCAAAATGTGAACACTCACAAAACTACATGTTTCACTACCCACCTCTGAGTTAGGAGCCCTATTTTGCAAAGGTAGAAAGATTCAGAATTACTGGCTACTGGAACCAACCAATCCAGCTGATGTACAAGGTTGAAATTGGACGAGCCTTGTCCTTAATTTCGCTGAAAGCTTTATGTTTCTTGGAGTTCATGTGTTTCTGAATGTCATTCATTCCCCCATGGTTGATACTGAAGTCGGCCGAACACACAATGCAAAATGCGTGTTGAAGTCCGAGTGCTGATTCTGCAACTGGAAATTGTTTCCCGTATTCTTTCTTATACTTCTGATTATGAACAGCACGAGTCTTACCCATTTTGTCCTTCAAAAATGGAGAAATCAACGAAGAAGAAGAATATAGTAGTAGTAATCCAAAATAAATCCGAGGAAGTCCGGTAAATAACAAGCTTCCACGATCGCAGTCATTGCACAAGCATTGAAGAAAACACGCCAATGTATACAGTGTTTATGCACGGCCGGTGTATCAACTGCACATGTAATATAAATACACGTGGGCTATACGCATGCAGTTACTATGCAATATCTTCTATGAGCGCGAGCGCAGATGTCGGCGTGATCTGGTTATCAGTGCTGTGTTATGCTTTAGTCTTATGCAACAGTCGTTTGTTTTGAAAATATTTTAAAATTTTAAAAAATCGGAGTTTTGAGGCATGCACTCGGAATTCGGAGTTGGTATGAAAAATGCGGAGAAACTCCGCCTAAATCGGGGTGGTTGGCAGGTATGCCAGGGTAGCCTCATTAGTATTAATACTGTTCTCCCCGAGGGCCCTGCAATCATATCGTTATCCTGGTTCTAACAGAGCTACCATGACGAGGCGCATAAGCATTCAAAGAATTTTTTCCAATTGGGTACTCATTTACTTCACCTGGGTGGAGAGTGGCAAATGTAGATTAATATCTTGCCCAAGGACATTTTCCTGTTTCCTGGGAAAAACAGGGTAGTTGAAAACTTTGAAAAATCGTGTTACAGCTTCTTAATACAGAGCAAACATTCATCAGATGGTTAGTAAAAAAGAATGTAGGTTTTCTATAACGACACTAGCTAGACACTTCATTGCTTTGAAAAACATTATCGTCATGATCCCACATCAATCCAATCCCTGATCCATGAAATTCTTCAAGACTTACCAGCAGGTTGCTGAGAGGGATGGAGAGGAGGAGCTTGACGAACATCTGCAGGGCTTCTTCCAGCGCACTGTCGCCGTAGAGACGGAATACGCCAAAGTTGACATAACTGCCAGAGAGGGCAGCCTTCAACATAGAGAAACATACAGCTATGCCTTTCAACGTGGGGAGGGGAAAGATAGTCAAGGAACACAATCTTTGAACAAAAAAATGGATCATACTTTGAAATTGCTATTCACTTTCAACTAAAAATTCAAATGAAATGTAGTAGTGTGTGCCTTGTGTTTGTTACTCTGTAAGCTTTGCTTTTTCAAATGAAAATACAAAAAATTAAGCCATATTCAATATGAAGAAATTGGATTTGGGATATACTTTAAATGAAATGTGGGCATTTTTCATAGCCTTCACTCCACCACAGAGGGCAGTGTGAGGTTTGAGCGTAATGAAAGATACCATTTACTCTAGCACATCATACAAGCCCCCTACCTATGGTGTCAATCAGGTAGTGGGTCTGCTCTAACAGTGCCATACAATTTATAGAAATAATAACATCATGAACACCACAAGTAGTCATAAGTTTATATTTGCAACTAAAGGATATTTCATCTGGTAGATCTGGTCTTTTGGAATGTCTTGAAGTGTAAGCAATCTTGAACCTGTCAACAGGAAAATGCAAAAAAACAAAAACAAAGAAAGGACAAAACATATTAGAAATGCAGTTAACAATATGTAAGAACAAGCAAAATGACTCATTAGACGTTAAAGGGACTGGGCCGTCAGTTTCCATGTGCAGAAGGTCATAATTCGCTTACACCAGATTAAGTAGACTTCAAACCACAAATAAGTTGTTTAATTGCTCCCCTGCCCCAGCCCCCCTTCCAATCCTCTACATCTCACTCATATATCACAACCACGGACCGACAATAGACCAACATTACCTGTCCACCTATCTCCTTCATTAGGTGTTTTTGAGAAGGCCTTCAAATCTCTCCAATCATCCCACTTCTTCTTGGATGTTAATTTGTTTGTCTTTCTGTGAAGCGCTGTGAAACTGTGTTGAATGTGTAAGGCCATATTAATTACCTTGTTATTATTATTATTATAATTATCATGGCTTTGAATCAGTTCGTTCGGAATAAGTTTGTGGAGTGACTATAGGCATTATCAAGCTACTGTCAACCTCTCCCTACCCTCCTGCAATACTCATCATATGCCACTATCATCTTACTGGTCTCCCTAAAGAGTAGGACCCTGTTCGGCAAGGAGGCGTCAAACTGTCTCTTTACCTCCCATCCTCCCCCCCCCCCTCCCTCTAGCCACCATATTAACCATTCCTATCAATCTCACTAGTCCCTAGTTCCCTACGCCTCTTTTATACTCATCTCTCGTGGGACTCACCGTATGCGACCATCATCTTGCTGGTTTCCCTGAAGAGTAGGATCCCGTTGGGCGAGGAGACGTCAAACTGCAACCTCTGCGATCTGTTCTGGACCAACTCGGCCATGAGCTTGAGAAGGGGCGTGGTCACCGAAGGGTCATGGTACCATAGCTCAATGGCACTCAGTAAGACGGGGGTGTATGCAGGGTATCTGGAGCGAAGGCACTTGGTCAAGGAAGAACTAGTTTGATTCAGCCACCCCATGAGTGAATTACGTGATATCTCTCTCACTGCTTTCATTGACTTGTAAACAAGTAATACACAGCAGTAAGGGCATTAGTAAGAATAACCCACACAAGAAACCTTTGGAACAGTCTAACACAGAGTAGGATCCGCTTCATCATCTTAAATATTGGTAGTAGATAGGAATATACTTAAATTTAAGACTTTGTGAATGTATTGGTCATATGAGTCCTTCTAGGGTAGAGAGATGCTAATCCTACCCAAAATTTGCAAGCTGGTGTGTGGCTTGTTTAGCCTACAAATACCTAGTTTTTGCATTAAACAGACAGGTCACTAAAAAAAGTTTTAACATTTGCTTTGTTATTATAGTAGTGCCTGTTTGTAAGTAATACAGTTAAGTATAAGGAACCCTGATTTTTTTGTGTTTATCAGTTTGAAATCAGAAAATAGAAACTAGGACAATTGAAATACTTTCCATTGGCTACACATATGAATTCAACAACAAACACATTTAGGGATAGAATAATCACATCAGTATTTCATGATTATACCAAAGGATACATCCAGTCAAAGAGCATCATGTAGCTTGTCTTAGTGTTGAATGCAAAGGCAATCCCTCTGATGTCTCGAGCTAGTCCAATCAGTGTCCTCTGTTTAGCAAGAGAAATAAGAAAGAAAACAAATCATTAAATAGAAGTCTTTTGGGGACTTTTATTTTGCTCTGTCTGGACAGTAGATCAACTAAGAAATGAAAGGATTACAACAACAAAATAAAAAAATTGCTATGATTTTCCCATTTATAAGTACATTAACTGCACATCCAAAATGGTTGCATTCATAAATCATATGGATATGAGGATAATCATAAGACAGGTTCAAGAATGTAGCTGATGGAAAGACCTGTATTCAAGTCCCACGTTTTTTCACCAAATATAATTTTTTACCTTCTTAGCTCAATTTTCCCATCATTGAAAAGTAAAGGTTTTGTTATTGAATTAAAAAGTATTTCCAACTAAAGCTTGGTGCATGATACATGTACATCTTTGCCTGATACATCATATTTTAAAGACAATGGCCTTGTCCATGTTATGCCAAGAATATCTCCATTTATATATCTCATGTACACTTTCGTAAAAAATATTTTACATCAAACGGCAAGAATACCTACACTTATTCTTTGGGAGAGGTTTCCTTCTGGAACAATCCATCTTACCTTTGTGTTTGCTTCATTCCACCCTGACCCCGTCTTAGCGTTGGCCAGCTGGTTGCCTACGTACTGGAAGGCTGTGGTGAGGGGTACCATGAACGTCTCAAACCTCTCCTCGTCCTCACCTAGATCTACCAGCAGTAACCGCCCGAGGGCTGTGTAGAACGTCGATCGGCATCTCATGTCATGGACCGATAACGTGCCGTTGGCTCCCAGAAATGGGAAATGGTCGCTCTGTGGTAGGAAGACGAAGGTTGACAGGATGATTTATTTATTTAATATTGATTCATTATTCATTTGGCAACACACAGGAATACAGTCATTTTGTATACCTTTTTATATAAAAGTTTTCAGAAAAAGAAAGGAATCTAGGATTCATAACATTAGCTTACGGGCTAAAAAGTAGGAATCATTCCTCCAAAATAGGAAAGGATGGCAGCTATGAAACAGAAGAAATTTAAACAATATCATAGAAATGCGACTAGACATTTCTGTCATTGTGAAACATCATTAAATTGGTCATAAGTTGTACTTTGAAGTGTCAAAGTAAGTTAGTAAGGGAACAATACAGTATGTCATGCAAAGTAAACATGCCATTCATTTTATTAATTAAGGCTAGCTCTAATATTTTTCCTGTAACACTTACCAATACAACAAAACAAGTTATTGTAACAAAAAAAGGGAAAACATAAAATTTCTTGCATTATCGAATATTCTGGGCATGTATTCGATGGAAATGCTTTTAAGTAATTCAGCTGAAGCAAAATAAGCAATTAAGCTTAGGTTTGTTGTGTTCTCTTCAACTTTGTTGGGGACCAAACTCACCAACTCACCTAAGCATTCATGAAAAACTGCCCATTCCATTTGAGCTCACATAAGCATTTAATTGAGTACAAGTTTACTGTGAAATTATAAAACAAAACTCACTGAACTGTTATGCAAATTAAACTTCATAACTCCTGATAAAGTCCAATGTTTATAACTTACAAAGCGTGTCTCTCTTCTTGTACTCACTGTATGATTAGCTAACATGAATTGCACTGCCTCGAGTTTGACTAGCTTCCTGACGCTGCTGTACCCGACAGATAGGTCGTTGAGGAGCTGTAACGTCTTGGAGATGATGGGCTCACTGCCTCCCCAGTACTTGAGGTTGGTGATACTGATGGATAAAGTATCAGACGAATTCGATTATTTAAAAGACAACTTTACACATTATTTATTTTTCGGAATGCATGTGTTGTGAAATAATATTTCATGATGAGAATGTTGGGTAATTTTACTTGAAAACAAAGATCTTTTCCTATTGTGTTTGGAATACCAAATAAGCTCTTACATATTAAAGTGACTCAGTATTAAATTTGTCTCAGATTCTGAAACAAATCCTGGATTTAGCTCATGCTGCAATCATAATTAAAAACCTTAAGGTCAGTCAGGAATCCAATGACTTTAACAAGCCAATCGCCTGTCTGATTATCAAGATATTTATGATTGGAAATCGAAATTTCATTTTTTGTTTTTCTAACGACTTTTATAAAACTACAGTCTATTGGGGAAAATGTGTATGGTAAAATCGGTCACTCAAAGATTTTTACTTTTTAGAGGCACTTCTTGATCATTTAGAAGCGCAATTTTGTTTAGGGCTTCAATATTACACCATATCACAGACACTGATAACATGTAGGGCCATGCTTCTCAGATTTAACATTGTTAGACGATGCCTTTAAAGAAAGCACAACTAAGAAAAAAACTTGAATTGATGTGGACTTACATTTTACCGATGAATACGCTGAGAACCATGGATTCGTCTTGGAGTCCTAGCACCTGGGATAACGTCCTATACAGCTGTATACAGAGAAATTCATGAAAAAGAGAAATTCATGAAAAAGGGTAATTATGAGGATATAAGCGCAGTAGAGTATATTCATATAGTAGCTGCACTATAAAAATGGACCTTTTATCATTATATTATTATATACAGAGAGGAAGAGAGACAATACTCAGACACAAACCCCATTAAAATTATATATTTTGTTACATTAAAGAGTGTAGCAGCACTCACCATAACATGCATTTTTATACAATATTACTCTTCATGGGTTTAATGTGATATATGCATTTTCTTTTGAAGGAAGAATATGATATGATCAAGATCAAGATGTGATTGCCTTCAGGAATAGGATGGCCACACATTGTTTAAATCTAGATTAAAATAACAAAGAGGGAGAGAGAGAGTGAGAGAGAGAGAGAGTGATAAAGAGAGGGAGAGATAATGAAGGAGACAAAAGAGAGAGAACTAGATGGAATTTTGACTGCGCGCAGTCGAAAATGATGCCTCCGCCATAGAGCAATTTAAACAAGTTTGGAGTTTAAATCTCCAGTGGTTCTTGAGATATCATGATAACAATCTCAATGTATGGAATTTCATAAGTTGACCTCTGTGACCCTTGACCTTTGACCTACGTGCTCCAAAATCTAATCAGATTGTCTTCCTATGGTGATACACACTATCATTAAGTTTGAAGTTTAAATCTCCAGTGGTTCTTAAGATATTATGATATGGTGATACATACTATCATTAAGTTTGAAGTGAAAATTCTCCAGTGGTTCTTGAGATATCGCGATAACGATCTCAATGTATGGAATTTCATAAGTTGACCTCTGTGACCCTTGACCTTTGACCTACGTGCTCCAAAATCTAAACAGATTGTCTTCCTATGGTGATACACACTATCATTAAGTTTGAAGTTTAAATCTCCAGTGGTTCTTGAGATATTATGATAACAATCTCAATGTATGGAATTTCATAAGTTGACCTCTGTGACCCTTGACCTTTGACCTACGTGCTCCAAAATCTACTTAGATCGTCTTCCTATGGTGATACATACTATCCTTAAGTTTGAAGTTTTTACATCTCCAGTGGTTCTTGAGATATCATGATAACAATCTCAATGTATGGAATTTCATAAGTTGACCTCTATGACCCTTGACCTTTGACCTACATGCTCCAAAATGTAACCAGATTGTTTTCCTATAGTGATACACACTATCACTAAGTTTGAAGTTTAAATCTCCAGTGGTTCTTGAGATATCATGATAACAATCTCAATGTATGGAATTTCATAAGTTGACCTCTGTGACCCTTGACCTTTGACATACGTGCTCCAAAATCTAATCAGATCGTCTTCCTATGGTGATACATACTATCCTTAAGTTTGAAGTTTAAATCTCAAATGGTTCTTGAGATATCGCGCTAACAAACTCAATACAAGGAATTTCATAAGTTGACCTCTGTGACCTGTGACCTTTGACCTACGTACTCCAAAATCTAATCAGATCGTCTTCCTATGGTGATGAATACTATTCCCGAGTCTTAAGTTTAAATCTTAAATGGTTCTTGAGATATTGTGATAACTGTCAAACGGGACGGACGTACGGACGGACGTACGGACAACCTGAAAACATGATGCCTCCGGCACCACCTTCGGTGGCAGAGGCATAAAAAGGGGAGAGGAAGCATGGAAAAGGGGATGAAAGAGAAGAAATAGAAAAAGAAGAAGTAAGAGAGTAAACAAGAGAAAGAGAGAGAGAGAGAGAAAGAAAGAGAGAGAGAGAGAGAAAGAAAGAGAGATAGTTTGATGTGTGAAGGTCAATATCTGGAAGGTCAAATGCGACACAGTGAGAGGAATCTTGAAATTAACACATGCCAGAATGACAGATGTAACATACAAGTGAAGAATTTTAATGCCATGAAATCAACAAACTGACTCTCACACAACAATCCACCTATCAATCAAATAGTGAAATTCACTTTCAAACAGGATGAAATTGACAAGTAAGGTATTTCTGGGCAGCCTGTGAAATGTACACTTAATTTGTAAACAGAGAGGAATTCAGGTCAGGGTGGATGAAAAGAGATTTTACCAGTATATTGAATTTAGAGAGTAGAAGTGATTTGTATGTAAACTTGAATTGTTTTCTTCTTCAATGTTTAGAATGAGAAACTAAGTATACATAAATGTGGTATCATATCATATATTTAAGTGTGCAAAGGTTATTAGAATTCATGTGAAGAATTGGTCTGTTTGATTTTGCCACAAGGAAGCTGTATAATTTTCCAATCCTTCACGCGGCAACATTGTGGAGGGGAGCTGTCTCACAAGGCAAATGAGATATGAATAAACGAGGCCATCAATTACAGGGAAGATCGTGGGTGGGGTCCTATCATCTCTCTTCACATTTCCTTTCCCTTCTTCTACTATTTTTCTTTCTTTTCTCTTTCCTTCTTTTCTTTAAAGGCATCGTTTAACAAGGTTAAATCTGAGATGCACGGCCCTACGTGCTACCAGTGTCTGTGATATGGTGTAATATTGAAGCCCTAAAAATATCCAGCTTCAAAATGATCAAGAAGTGCCTCAAAAAAGTAAAAATCTTTGAGTGACTGGTTTTACCATACTCGTTTTCCCCAAAAAACTTTAGTGTAATGAAAACCGTTTGGCAAACGCAAAATTTGGTTTCGTTTTCCAATCAAAAATATCTTGATAATCAGACAGGCAGTCGGCCTGTAAAAGTCATGAAGTTCCTGACTGACCTTAAGGTTTATAATTATAATTGAGGCATGAGCTAAATCCAGGATTTTGTTTCAGAATCTGAGACAAAGTTAACGGATCCCTTTAATTATTGGATGACCCTTTGTGGTCTTCCTGTAGCTAAGCCACTGTGAGCTTTCATACTGCTTACCTTGGATGACTTCTGTATCTGGTGTCCGAGATATATTTTGGTGAACTGTTCAAAGAAACTGAGCATGGCAATGTCCAGCTTCTCGCATCCACCATGGGACAGCTTGGCATCGGTAAGGTTCATCAACTGCAATACTCTACGGATAACATAAAGAAAGGTATGGTACGCGAGGAACAACAAGCGATGCAATGGGACGTTCCTGTAGACCTAACAAGACTACGAGACTGACAGCCCGTGAGACAAACAGTCTGTTGTCCGTCTCATGAACTTTCAGAAAAGTTTTCGAGAAGGCCTGTCAACATTGTTAGTCTCGCGGCATGTCAGTCTTGTCGGCGGAGCCTACAACTTGTGCACAGGTTCTTTCTGCCTTTGGACTTGCCATATTACCTGTCTACAATTAATTTTTGTGGTAGAAGATTCACCTATGAGCCCACTTACTTCTACAGGAGTAAATGTCCAATTCAAATTTTCACAAATCAGGATAGTAAAGATGAAAGGCGATGTACGAAACCACTAAATCAAATTCTGAAAACTTACACTTTTTGAGAATTTCATTAAGAGTTAGCTTTAATATGAGCTCCATAGAATTCATTGACCCATGACATAAAATGACAACCCTTTTAACACCGATATAGATTAATTTGCACTGGTATGCATCTATCCCATAATATACATACAATGTAGAACAGAGAGATTATTCGTGAGGCAAATAGAGTACCGAAGCTGTGACATCATAAAAAACAATTTTTGGAATTCCTTAGTTTTTCTTCATTTTCCAAAAGAGCATGAAAAATAATGCCCAAATGTCGAAAACCAATTGAACATGTTAAGTATTGGCTGAGATATGATCATCTGAATAGATAGATGTCCTATAGGAACTCAGTGTTATATTGCTCTGGCTTGTAAAAAATGAAGAAAAAATTGAGAAATTCCAAAAATGGACTTTTGATGACGTCACACTTCACCACTCTATAACGAGTTAATAAAGCAAAGATTAAATGATGTTTGTTTTTTACCTGCAGACCAATTCCCCATCTAGCCCATCGTGTTCATCCGCACTGGTGAAAGAGACCCGACCACCGATCACGGCCCCAATGATATACACCAGCCAAGTCAATCGACCTGTCACCAATAGGGGGAAAGAGGAGGAATTAGAGCGAATGAGTCCTCAGGAAATCAAGCCAGTGAATGCCAATAAAAATAATAATAGGCATTTATATAGCGCCGTCTAACTAGACAATTCTATTCCGAGGCAAACAATTTTTTTTAGAAAGAATGAGAGAGTTTGGATAAGTGTCATAGTGCCAAGTACAGGTGCCAATCATGCAAGGCAATATTTTTAGACCTACCCGATACAGTTTTTGCTTGTCAATTGGGAAGAGTGAGGTGGGGGGGGGGGGGGGGGGCAGGTGCCATATATATGGAATGTAATAGTGTTGTAAATGTGTGACTTACAAGAATCAGAAATTGTTTAGACACCATATGAATGAGGTATCATGTTTTTTTTCAATATTTTAAGAAGGGAATTGTCAGAAGTCTCCAAAGCATTTCTTGAAAGCAATTATTTGGCTGCATACCAGCTTTAAAGGTAAAGACCAGTTATGATCATGCGATTGCATTGTGAAAGAAACGTTGTGGAATCGATCAGAAAAGGTTGATCATCTAGCATCTAGCATCTGCAAGGTTCTGGAATCATCAAAATGATACGAAATTTGGCCCTTTCTTTGTAAAGTTACAAGCACTATACACAGAAAGATGTATATGGGACTACCCTATATCTCTCACAGACCATGAGAGAAACAAATTTACCAAATATATGAATTAGTAGGCGGTTTCCCGGCAAATTTTTATCATCATGTATTAGTCAAAACATATTCTTTCACATGATTAGTAATGAGAGCTTCCATTTCATTTTTTGAAATTGGGGCATTTCCAATACTGGTCTTTACCTTTAATAGCAGGTGTAAGTTAACAAATGCAAAATGGCACAAAAATTGTATCAATCTAATAAACCTTTTTTCTTTCACTACCTTCATTACAACAAAACCTGGTCTGTTAAAATTGGTGTGAAGTAGGAACAATTTAATTTGTGCATTGAATGAAATACTACAATGCAAAAATAATTATTTTCAGCTTTGTAATAAACAGCCCTTTCTTTCTTATTAACTTTGCTCTGGGCTACTGCCATGAAAGATAATCATTATGGATGAAGAATAAAATATGTGTTGTACTTTTTTCAAACAAAAATCTCAAGAAAAGTTTCAGAAGAGTTCTGATGCTTTAAATAAAATATACTAAATTGAGTTGTCTGTTAAATTTGGATTGAGAAATTACAAAGGCTAAAGTCAAACAGACAACTTCTTATCATGGTATCTTGGCTATAAAGCCAGTGTAATACTACGATTGCAGGGCCCTCAAGGAGTACAGTGTTATTACTGATGAGAATACTATGGGTAAACCACACATGTTATTATTATTCTTCCACAACATGGATACCGGAAGCGTGTTTTCTTGAACATAATATTAAATTATCTTGCCATCAAATTCCTGTACTTTGTACAAAAGAGAATAAAATAAACAAACAAACAAATAAACAACAAGCAAAAGATTGTGGTTCCGATAATATCGGCAGGTGAAGAAAAATGCAGAAAATGGTTCAACTTTTTCCCCGAAGTCTGACATGCAATGATTTTGATGTTTCTATTTCCCTAGAAACAGGTTTATGAGGAACATTAAAGAATGACAATGTTGTACAAAGGAAAAATATATGTATCTGAATGGAAAAACAAAATTACAATTAGGCACATACATGTACCTAACACAACCCAGTACAACCAAATATTAAATACACTCTAAATATTGTACATGGCATCATACACAAATAAACCAAGCAAAGAGCTTACAAACATACACCAATTGATTAAAATACCCAATTATCCAAAAATAATGCAGCAAATTATTTTTTGAAACAGTAGATGTCCTTTCGTGCCCAATGTAGATCTAACAAATCCTTTCCCTTTAGAAAGAATTTGCTTACAGATTCCTCTTCTTCCTTGATTAATCTGTTTAAAGCAGATACAAACAAACAGACAAACATAGACCAGCTATAACTTTGCAATATAGGGAATAAAATCAGACTAGACAAACATTAGAATAGAAGGAATGCTTTATAGGCCATTATAAACAACTCTAATGCTAACCCTATCTCTTTGACAAAATACAGCCTGGATACCACAGGAGCAAATATCACTGAGGCAATGTTGCCAAAGCACATGTTGGATCACCTACACAGAAAGAAAGGTCATAGCATACTGGACAACAGAAATCTTACCTTCTTGTATGGCCATTTCTGGACTAGACGGTATGGTCTTCTGGTAATCCTGCGCCGATTGGTCAAAGAGCTGAATGAGAAGTGCACAGGTCTTCTCGTATTCACACCGACCTATGGTGGACAGCTGCAGAGATCAAATGGAACAGACAGAAACAAACAATGAAATAAATGATAACACACCCCGTTGTTCTTCTACAGCTTCAGCTCCGGCAACTGTTAAGATCACACTTCCCAGGAATAATCGTACCAGGTAACACTTGGTGCAAGTGTGACAAGTATAGATTAATGTTTATTAATATAGTTCTCATGGGCACTTTGAACAGTACTTACCAAACAGCATGTGGTATAACTAATCATGTTGAATATTCACCATGTTATGATGTTTTCATGTATATGTATGTCTTTATATGTATTTTTATGTTATGCAGGGCCCCCAAGTATAACAGTATTTTAACTACTGATGGGGCTACCCTGTTGTAATAAAACAAAATAAATAAATAAATAAATGAATAAATACACACAGATCAGTCAACAACTTCCCCATACTCTCACTCCTTCAGAGTTCATTCAACGGGTACAACCACTCACCTGCTCCAGCTGCTGCTGCACCATACCGGTATCATCCAAGGGGTCTTCCAGCCCGTCCCGTATGACCATGGTCACCGAGTCTAACCTGGAGGTGATGTAGGCCTTGGAGACCTCTGGGGTGTACACCTCCAGGAGATGGGGTTCTGTGGCCTTGACGTAGGGTACGGAAGCGACCATCCGCTGCCATAACGTCAGGAGGTAGTGAATACTGTTGGGTGCGAATTGCCAGACCGGTGCCTGCAACATATGGAGAAAGCAAATATGATACTTAAGGCTTAATTCAAAGAAAGGATATCCCTTTCAATTGGGACGCAACTATACAAATTATATTAACAATCAGGCTATATTCAATGAAACAAATAGCGATTTCAAAGGGATGCTACCATCCATAACCATTACGTCATGAGGTAGTGAATACTTTTAGGTGCAAATTGCCAAACGTTGCCTGCAACATACAGAAGAACAGATCTCAATACAGTGCAAAATGAAATAGCGACCACTTGTACAGAATGACCACCTGTCTATAAAGACCACCTTTTGTTTCCTTTGTATTGATTATTGAAGCTTCCACTACATGACCCTGTATATACATACATACTGCTTTTCTTGTTTCCCTTGTGTGGTCTTTTTTTACAGGTATGACTGTATCATTCAGGCTGTATTGAAAGGTCATGCAATCAAATTGGTATTTAATTATTTTAATGTTTTTTTTTACCAGAGCTCTTTCAGAGCTTACCAGAGCTAGCTCACTCACCGCTCCCATGTATTTTTTGTGCTGAGCACTTGTCATCTGCAATTAAAAACATGGATTTGAGGTGAAGTGTCAAGAACAATCTTCCAGTAATCTTCCTAAAACCATTGATGCACTTACTTGTAAACTTGAGACGGTGAACTTAGCAATCAACGCTATGACTTCTGTGTAGTCTTCTACTTTGACCAATTCACCCAGCTGATAGTTTGACTTTAATCTTGCGAGTAGCCTGCAGAACTCATGGTAGTTAGCTGCTTCTGAAAGACCCTGTTCAAGGTAGGAAGTCAAAGAATGGGTTGCAAGTGAAAATGGAAAATTTATAAGACCAAGGATGTTTGAATACTGAGCTTAAGATAAAATTTGGATCTATCTAGTTCACCCAGCTGATAGTTTGACTTTAATCTTGCGAGTAGCCTGCAGAACTCATGGTAGTTAGCTGCTTCTGAAAGACCCTGTTCAAGGTAGCAAGTCAAAGAATGGGTTGCAAGTGAAAATGGAAAATTTTTAAGACCAAGGATGTTTGAATACTGAGCTTAAGATAAAATTTGGATCTATCTAGTTCACCCAGCTGATAGTTTGACTTTAATCTTGCGAGTAACCTGCAGAACTCATGGTAGTTAGCTGCTTCTGAAAGACCCTGTTCAAGGTAGCAAGTCAAACAATCGGTTGCAAGTGAGAACGGAAAACATTTGAATACTGAGCTCAAGATAAATTTGAAACTATGGAAAATATATGTTTTACCAAATCAAATCATGGCCCTGTTTCACAAAACTTGTAATCAATACAAAGTGGCACAGAGCTGTGACAAATCTGCTCTCAGCCAATCAAATGTAAGGATTTCAGAAGCTTATAATAGTAATTGAAACTTGTTATGGGTAAAAAGTTCTTTTAAACAGGGCCCATATTCAACAGGTTGAAGTTGTCTATCTGATTTATTCTTCATATTTATATTTAATATGACACAGCCCATGCCATTCCAAAATTTGGTTTGCAATTTGCTTGCATTTTCTGCAAATTGATGGCATTAACTGCTCAAGACTAAACAGACTAGCTAGTGCCATTTGGTCTTGTTTTAATCCTCAAATACCAAGTCCATCTTCACTGGTTGCTTATCTACCAGCATGTACTCATTTTCTCAGTAGTCTGATGAAACAGTCCATCTGCAAGCATATGCTTGCTTATGATCAGTCTGGTAAATAAAATCATAAATTACTAAAACCTGATGAATATAAACTTCGACTTACTTGTGGATTTTCCAAGATGCCCCGGACCCCGCTGACTAGCTGTGATAAAAACTTGGCTCGTTCTGAATTGTTGAATAACGACCGCCGTACTGATGCTATCTGAACTAGGCAGGAAAGGGCCTGTATGCAAAGGAAAACAAAAGGTATGTTCTGTTAAAATGTACTAAACATTTCAAGATAAACACACACACAATAATATTAGTGTTCTAAAAAAATTTGTTTAATTCTTCCTGAAGACTTGAATTAGCACTTATTTCTATCGGTCAACACATTCACTAGTAATATTTTGAATTTATATATCAGATGGTAAACATTAGTATTAACATGGTTGCATCAAAACTCTCAAACTTACTATTGGTGCTAAAGTTGCTGGTAGTGCTTTGTAGAGATCAAAGAAGAGATGTACAGTGCTGAAGTCCAGAAAGGCTATGGAGAAGTAAAAGAAGGAAAAGAGAATGTTAATGCTAGCACTGCTATCAAGTCACACATCATTTAGTCAGAATTTTGTTATTTTTGTTTTGCATAGCAACAGTTAAATAATGGAACATGGATCCCGCCTATAACACCATCACACATCATGTGTAAAATTAGACAGCTAGCCTCTTGGTCCCATATTCTACTGAATTTGATTCCAACACTAGGATAAAGTTCCATCCAAAGTCAAATTCTGAGGATGATAGACTGAGGATGATAGACTAAGTAAGACAACTCATAGCTCACACCAGATTTAAGTGAATAACTAGAATGAGATTCGATGGATTCCGGTAAAAACATCTATAAATGTGAATTTCATAAGTATGTTAACTGATCAATGTTCATCAAATATTAATGTTCCAATCTGTAGACATTGTCATGGTTCTGATCTGTAATTCGTCGTCCCCCCCCCCCCAGTTCCTTGTACGCAGACATTTACAGAACAGTACAAAAATATGTGATCTTCACGTCAACATTTATCATTGTTTTATTATTGTTGTGCTTCAACTCGCAATTTCATTCAAAGGACATGGGCATAAATACATAGTGTTGCATCAATCATTTACAGGGCAGCATCTGATAAAGAGTTGTGATTGATCTGAATCAATCGCAAGTTGTTGTTTCCAGTTTCCCATGTCTTATGTACATAATTGTGATTGATATCATCCTCAAATAAGTTGCGATTAATTGCAACTCTTTATAAAACAGGCCTCTGGTTTTTATAATGCTCTCTAGTTGACTGTTGACCTCTCCTTACCTGACCTCCATCCTGTAGGTATCTGGACAGTACCCAGGTCATCCGAGGATTCATCGGTCAAGGTTCCTATGAAGTCAAAGGTCAAACAGTTCCTGGCTAGCTGGAGGAGCTGGTTGATCACAGCTTGCTGTTAGTTGGAAAAATGAAAATGGGATAAGTCTACCTGCCAACGTTTCACAGCAAACATTAGGAATCTCTCAAGGCAAAATTAGGAACACAGTCTATTTTGCATACTTTTCACACAGAGTATTTCAGAAAAAAGAGAGGAATCTAGGCTTCAAAACAATAGCTTGAAGGCCCAAAATAGGAATGCTCTTATATGTTTTTTTTTAATGTTTTTCATGTTTATGTTCTCTTGTTCTATGTTTTATGTATTGTTTGACCAATGTCTAAATTTTTATAATAATAATGTAAAAACAAACAAATACACAAACTAAGTGAACACACCCTAATAAGCCAAAACCTGGCTTTCCAATTATCCACTTATGATTTTTATGTAGTCGGTACCTTGTTTCTTATTGAATGCTATACTTGTTTTGTTTTTTATCTTCTTAATCGTTTGATTGCCATTGACTGTTTTTTTACACATTGTTTTTAATTGATGTTGGAATTTGGAAATAAATGATTGAATTGAATTGAATCCTTCCTTCAAAATAGGAATGGTGGGAAAAAACCAAGTCAAAGATTGCCTGAAAGATCATCTGTCGGTAACATACAGGATTCTAGAACTATCTTAAATACCTTGCTGTCATCCTGCATGTTGATACCGCCTTTGGAAGCTTGCTTGAGTAGATTGCATGCCATGTTGAAGATCTCAAAGAGCATGGTGTCTCTGAAGGAGGAGGCTATCTTTCTATGCTTGGTCAGAGGACGGATGTTGTCAGGCTGAAGGGAAGGAAATATTTGTATACTTAGCATTGAATGTTAGGCTTCCTGGGAGAAGTTTCAATTGTTGTAAAGAAATTTTTGGCTTGCATCCAGTAGATAAAGATCAGGTGCTTGATCTTGTACTGGTAATTGAAAATAGAAACAAGTCAGAATTCTATTTGGAACCTGCGAGATTTGAACCTGCCATCTACTGCTTGCCGGGCAGCAAAATACACTACTGACAATAACAATGCATCTTGCAACATTTCACTCTTAACTTGGCCCTATATTCATGTGTACTGCACATTCCATAATAACATAATAATTAAAAATGGGGCATCATTGCAAAGGCTCTTCAATGATACCAACTTCAAGTATGATAATATGCTATCAAGACAGATATCGATGATAAAACTTAAATTGCAGAACTTCTTTAGAGGACTTCATAATGTTACTTACCTGATTGATTTCACTGACAAGTTGTGACATGAGTTGTACTCCAATGACAAAATGTTCCATGGAACCCTGAAATGAAAGTAAAAAACAATCAATTACACCTTCTGGTATGAAAGCCATACAGCAGCAAATTTAGAATATCTAATAAACAGGGAAGTAAAATTTGAAAATTGGATTATTACTGTAAAATAATAGATCAGAGTTAACATTTGTTTAACATGGATCCTTACTAACCATTACATGTATATTAGGTTATCTCAATAAAAAAGAACCCCAAAAAAACTATTACAATTATAATACTTAAATCCTTGTTTGAATTTTTAGACTTTTAATAATCAAGACTGCCAAGTGTTCATCTACAAAGCAAGAAACACTTGTATGCATGATTTTTTCGTGAATATCGCAAGTGGTCCACATTTTATAGGTTCAGAATACTGCAAAACTGAGACTCAATATTTGAAATGTGTGCACTTTGTGAAATATTATTTCTATTATTATTTCTATTTTTTAAAATAACGTTTCTGCTTTGTATGATAATATGATCAGTCAGTTTGTCTTTTTTCTTACCTGGAGAAACTTTGAAACATCCGACATGACATTCCTGAAGACATAGTCATCTTTCCTGCTATCAAACCAGCCTAGCTTGGTGATGCGCACCAGTAACTAACGGGTGAGAGAAAGTGAAACATAAAAGTTAGAGGTGGTACATACTCTTATTGACTAGCAATCTTCATTCTGGGCTTTCTGGCCCAGGGGGGTGTTTCATAAAGCTGTTTGTAAAGTTACGCATGACTTTACGAAAGACTTACATATGTAAAGCCAAATGGGATGCTCAATCATTATCAACTGCATTAACTAAAGTTGAACAGTGCAGATGTAGATTAACATTCTTGTTATTACAAACATTTTTAATGCAAAGTCTATTTTTTTGCCATAATTGAATTGAGGTTATTGGAAATATAGTTACACTTTGTTTAAACATCAGGAAAAACTTTGGGCATCCTATCATGCACTTCCTATACAAGTCGTTCGTAAAGTCATGCGTAACTTTACGAACAGCTTTATGAAACACCCCCCAGGTATCCCTTATGTAGTGATCATGATGTCCTAATTCTGATAAGTATGTTATAATAATAATAATAATAGCTCACATTTATAATGCGCCTAATACTTTGTTTCTAGGCGCAGTACATATTATTACCCCGGTCATCGGATTCCGGCTTACCCGCAAACAATGTATGCACATTCTCCACTCCAACAAAGCATTCTGGCCAGTCGCCATTTTACAAGCGCCACTTGCTCATCCAACCACATTAACTTTCGCATCCTACCGGGTACCCATTTAACACCTGGGTGGAGAGTGGCAAATGTAGATTAACGTCTTGCCAAAGGGTATTAGTGCCGTGTCGGGGATCGAACCGCGACCTTCAAATTTCAAGTAAAGTGCTTAAACCACTCGACTACGACACTTCTATTTATGTTTCCTCTAGATTTTCCTTTCATTGACCCAGTTTGGGTTCAAGTGATTAAAAAAAAGAAGTTATTTGTTTGTCATTGTAAACGTTCTATTCAAAGAAGTTTACCGAACAAAACTGCACAGAACATACTTTCCTAGCATTTAATTTTGTTTTAATTATCAGTCAAATAAAAACACAAATACAAGTTTTAGATCATCCTCTTCACAACAACATCAAACTATAATTACCTGAATGAGTGCCTGCGATACGAAGTTGGGCAGTTTAGTTCTATTGGCAAGATAGTTCAAAACATAATTTTCTGTAAAAAGAAGAAATAAGGCAGTCAATAGTATTTATAAAACTAAGGTTGAATATATATATTTTCTATACAATAACGAAGAAATAAATTCAGTAATTCACAGTCAAACAACCACTTCACAAAATGTATTGGGCAAACAGAATGGTCAGATAGGTAAGTGTTTATGAATCAGTAAATGTCACATCACCAATAAACAACTAAACATTGATATATTTATTAAGTATGAGAACTTAGCGATATATGTACAATTGACCGCTACCACAATGTCAGTAAAAATCCACTAATCATCTATTTAAAGTGTACCAATTACCAAAACATGATTGCTCTTGATGTAAAAAAATTGATCAAAAATCTCTGCGAACTTTGATAACCCCATCATATGTACAATGTGCCTTTACCCACTCCCACATACTGTTGAGGGAAGAAATGTACTTACTGATATCTATCCTCTGTTCAAGGGGAATGACTGTGGTTGTCTTGGAGACCAACTTGATGAGTGATGATGATGCAAGTAACTGGGCATAGGCAGACTACACATGGGGAGAGAGAGAGAGAGAGAGAGAGAGAGAGAGAGAGAGAGAGAGAGAGAGGTGTGTGAAAGTACATGTGTTGTGAGGGTATGTCCAATTGCTTGTGGAATATTACAAACATTAATTTATCTCACCTAATCCAGTTTTGAACAACCTTGTGTTGATATATCATGAAAACAAAGCACAAAACATATGTTGCCAGAACGAATATGAAATTATCTGTCAGTAACATACAGTATTTAACTCCAGTTTCAATTTGGCAACGAGAAGAGCTCTTAGAAGATTGATGAAATGTTGCTTATGAACTTCTTCAATTGCTGTTTTAAATCAAATGCCGGATACACAACCTGTCAAGACACACACACAACGCCTGACTATACTTACATTTCCTCTTTCAAGCAAAAGCTGGCATTTGTTGAGATCTGGAGAGTTGGTGAAGTTGACGAGAGCCTTCTCGGCCTGCGTACGTTGCTCGGTGTCCGGGCTCTCATAGAGCTGCTTGCACAGCAGCTCTAGCTGCACAAGCTCCTGGTGTGAGGATAAAAAAAGGACAAATCATGGATGATAACCGTGTTCTTTAAAGCCTGTCTGCACTTGTTTGGCCAGGGGATTAGACCTCCCTGCAAGGTCACTGACAGGTGGTTATCTCATCAAATCAGCTATCAATTAACATAAGAAAAAGAGCATCATGGGGGATCAATGGGTACTGATTAGGCATTGTTTGCTATATAGAGGGCGCAAGTAGCGGTAACTATAAGTAGTGCAGTGGGGCTTTAACAAACACCTTTACCCAGGTAACTTCACACAAAAGCATGCAATACCAGTAGACTCTCACATCATTTAAGTAATACTGGTGTGGTTCTCACTTGCACTTGACTTAGCATATTTCACTGTACATTGATAAATGCTTTGTCCACGTCCACACACCATTTCTACACTTCATAGCAACTCACCTCACCTACCATCCCATTCCCGAGTGAGCAGCTAAAGGGATTACTCCATCAAGTATCAAGTATAAGAATGCACCAGATGGTGGACTGGAAGCAACAAGTATGTATCTCCAAGACAAGAGGCACTATCAGAACTTGTGTAATCTTACTTTGTATCCTCTGTCTATAGTTTGTTTCAATAACTGGGGGAAATGTTTTACTGTTTTTTTTCCCCTGTTGGTCAATATTCCTCAATTATCCAACATTTTGTGGGTTTTGGAACTTTTGTTCCCCTTTCATTCTTAAAATAGAATTTGACAATTCAAAATATCACCTGAAAGTCTGAAACAATACATTGTAAATTCTTGGATCTAGAAGTAGAAGAACATGTACATATTTCTTTTATTTCATTAAATCTAAATAAAAGGTTGCTCAAACATTCAGGATTTTAAGTCTAGAAATGAACATTGACTCATTAAAAAGAGGTGGCCACCTTGTCCAAAATAAACACATTAACTTTGTTTTAGACTTAGTCAGTTAGTGACATATCTGATGAGGAAAGAATTCAACATCACAAGCAAATCAAATAATGAAATTTCTACTGTGCAGGATAAATGAATTTCACAAGAACTCCAAACAAAACTTGTATAGGCCCTAATCTTTCTACAAATCTTTGTGATAGGCTGCATAACCCTTTGAAGATTAACAATAGAAGGGAAAAAAGTTCAAGTTTGATACACATGTCATGCATTGCATTGTTAATGTTATGGTCAAAGTCAAACTCAGTCAAAAGTTTTAGTCAAACAAAACAAGCACTGAATGACTGAAGCAGAATTTCACTTTCTGATATTTACATTAATTGGGAGCCCCACTCTGGACCTAATAATATTAAGTTTCATGTCATCCAACTCAAGTTTTGAATCAGACTCAGAATCTATAGTCTTAGAGTTAGAGTCTACAAATACAATCAATCAGACAGAGATTGCTAGTACCTGGTAGTGCAATTGCTCTGTCATTGTCATCAGACATTGTCAAAAACAGGCTGTGCATGCCCGCTCCCGTTCTCCGATGAATGGAGCACACCAACTGCATTGACCACAACACACATGACACATCGCAATCGCAATCTCTCGGGAGATCTCTGTAATTCAGAGGAGGTTTTGATCAATTTCTGAGCAATCTAATACGAACATAATGACTTCTTTAAAAAGTGTCAATATCTTATAATCTAAATATTACGTTTAAACTTATTCTACTGGTTCCAGAGTATTGAAACAAACGTTGAACATTATAAATTCATGAAGCCTACCTGTTCTACGTTCGCCATGTTGTGCACGGATTTGCCTCTTTTTCGCGCTCGTCGGCTAAAGCGCCCTCTTGTGGCTGTATGTGTTATTCACCTCGATCTTTTTCTTCTTCTTTTTCTTCTTCTACTTCTTCTTCTTCTTCTTCCTCTTTTTCTTTTCTCCTTCTTCTTCTACTTCCTCTTCTTCTTATTCGTCTTCTTCGTCTTCTTTTTTCCCTTCTTCTTCTTCTCTTCCTAATTAAGTTGCATTTTTCTGTAAAATGCAGTTTCCATCACAGGATTGTGATAATGTCATGTTATAAGCTCCCTCTCTCTCTCTCTCTCTGTATAAGCTCCCTCTCCCTTTCTCTGTGTCCCCCTCCCCCCTCCCCCCCCCCCCCCTCTCTCTCTCTCTCTCTCTCTCTCTCTCTCTCTCTCTCTCTCTCTCTCTCTCTCTCTCTCTCTTCCCCCTCTCTCTCTATATATATCTCTCTCTCTTTCTCTCTGGCCTGCCTGTAGCAATTCATGTTATTCTTTTCAAGGGACTTGTGTCCCGCCAATCCCATCCCTGGACAGTGAACCCTGGATCCACCATTGGCAGGGCATGATTTTATACCCCATTATTACTTCATCTGTAAATAAGAGCTCCCAGGGACTTGTCTGTTTCTCTCATCTTACCAATTACACTTACCCACCATTAACCTATTGCAATTCTATATATTTTTTTCTCATTTAGACCTCCCCCCCCCTTTTTTTTTCCTACCCCACCCTTCCCTCTTTTCACGTCATCTCTCTTTTGGTTACCTCTCTCGGTCTCCTCTCTCTCTGATCTCTAATGTCTCCAATATTATTTCTACCCATCATTATCTTTCGCAAATTTATTCTTTCCTCCTACCGACTTCGGTAGGGATAATTTCTTTGCTATACCCTTCTTCTGCTATACCCGGCTCGCCCTCTCCCATTTCACCCGATCTCCCCTCTCCCCCTCTCTGTTAGCTCTCTTCCTTCGACCGTCTCTTTCTCTCTCTCTCTTTTCTCCCCTCTCCCCCTTCTCACTCGACTCTCTTTCTTTCTCTCTCCTAATCATCTCAGTGTAATGAATTCAAGGTCTCACATTTCCTCCACATTAGTAAATTTGATAGGTCCCCATGCTTTATTTTGAGACTTCAAGTTTCATCTTAATTATTTGGCACTCTTCAGTTTTATGAAGGCGTCATGTATAGAGGCGTTTATCCACTTATTGTTGTCTGGAAGCGTACTTGATTCGAATCGTCGGGTCTTCGGCTCTTCGCGTCCGGTCGAGTGGTCGCGTTACACAACCTTTCGTGAAACGAAAACGGAAGATTATGTGAGATGGACATTATAGGAAACCAAAACCTTTGGTGGATTTGCCGTAGGGTTTTCAAAAAGTGTCAGGAAAATTGGACCAGACAATCTGTAGATGAGAGGGGTTTATTTCACAAACATTACCCCCGAAATGTCGTGAATAAGGGGGCATGTTTTCACAAAAGGTCAGATAACTCGACCACCCGACCCGACGTGATGACCCGATGAATCGAAATAAGCCCTGTCTGAAAGGGGGGGGGGGGGAGGGGGAGGGGATGACGGCATTCTGCACGTGATTGGCTAAACTCGCCCCTATATTAAACAAAAATAAAAATAACACAATTGTTTGTCTTTGTTTCGATAAGGGGGTGGGTATTTTGATCCGGCTATTATCACGACCATGGTCGAATTTTTAAGATTGTAAGTAAAATTCAGTAAATGAAACGTACACATTTTAGCAGTTTACTACATTAACGAAATTATTTATTTGTATTTATATTCACTAATCAAAATTGTGTGTGAGTGAAAAATAAAACGGCCTTTCAATAGTATCTTCGTGTACTTTGAAACATTTTTTTAAATATAGGCCTATATTCTCTACCCCACTGCACATTTAGCATAGTGGTAATTATTGTTATATTATTATTATTATCATCATTATTATAATTAGTATCATTATTATCATTAATGTTGTTATTATTATTATCATAATCTGCATCATCATAATGTTTGAATGGTAAATGCAACTCCGATCTCAAAACTTCCGATACAGTCATATGATTTTTTTTTAATACGCATATATAGGAAGGACCAAAAATGTATTAAATGTAAATTAAACCAAATTTCTATTTATATACAGGTAGCAAAATTCTTGTATAAAATATTCACATACATATACAAATGCTTATCTAGAGCAAGCGAAATTAACATCAAGTACAATATACATGTATGCACATTTACCTAAATCAAGTACATGTAAATACAGGGTGTCTAAAAAAGATTGAAACGATTGGCAACATCTTAAAAAGTGCCCATTCCTTCTCAATTAAACTTCATAGACAATCTTTTCGTAATATTTTCTAAAGTTTGGGTGAATTTTACAAGGCTCTAAGCTAAAATAACAAGGTTATGATAATTTTTGTAAAACGTAGCATTTTCAATTGTTACAAGGATAGCGTGTTGAATAGCACCAATGCAGAATATCATAAATGTATACCTGGCGCCTGAACATTTCCTGGAAAGCTCTCAAATTAATTTAAATTCCTGTTTTTACAAAAGGAGAGCAATGCAATTTACACAAGCATTGAGATAAAGTAATGTGTTAAACACCAAACTTTGGTATCTTTTTATAGAGACATAGTGGCCACATCAAATCAATTCAAAAATATTGTGGAGAAACATTGAGGGTAGTGTTCATATATAGCTCCTGAGATGTATATCCTACATGTTTGGAGTTTGTTGCTGTATTTAAAATTGGCCTATATCGATAATTTAGTAAAGCGGAATAAATAATAGAGGTGTTATTCCTTTTTAAAACAATACACTTGGCTGGTTCCTATACAGTAAATTGGTCACCTCATAACGATCAAATTATATAGATTGAAAATAGTGAGAAAATTATTTGAATTAACAAAAATAATTTGCTTTTAATAGACGCAGAAAAACAAGAGAAACAGATTTTGCTCAAACCTTTTTTGATTGGCCTGATTTTTCTGCTTCTATTTAAAGTAAATTATTTTTTGAGTGGACTTGCCCTTTAAGATTTAGTTTTATTACATATTCACGACATTTTACGAAATAAATATCAATCTAAAATATTTCAGCAGTGATTTCACCAAGACGTAAGAAATTATGAGTTAGAATGACTTCAATTAAAAAGCTGTGTCGTGAAATGCAGAAGCGACAGGTATACCTTTATTGTGCATCGATGTTATGCAACGGTATTTCTTTGTAACATTGGGAAAATGACACGACTTACAAAAACAGTAATCTATTATCATTTCACCGTGCGGTAAAATATTAAAAAACCGGTTTTTGTAACACAAAATGTAAGAAATACATATTATGTTTCAATAAAATATATATTTATATTTTTAACAGTCAAAACATAATGGTGCTTTACTCATAACAATTACAAAATAAGGATTGATTGAAAACGATTCACACTGGGCGTCGCTTAATATTTTTTGAAAGGGAGGTGACGGACATTATTAATTGTTGAGTTTGTAAAGCAAAATTATCCAACAGACAACAGGAAACGCTGACATTTGGTGATATTATGATTTGCCGACAGTTGTGATGAAATTGCCTCGGGAGGGGAGGAGAGGGGAGGGGGTGAGAGGGGGGGGGGGGGTGAGAGTCCTTTTTAAGAATTTAAAGTGTTATGACGCGGACATACAATAATTATTTAGTTGGAAATGAAATTTGCGCTTAAATTCTGTAAAGTTAGAGTTAGAACATAATTTTTATACAATGTTCATTTCATTGAATGTTGTGTAATAATTGAAAAAGTGGCGTTCAAAGGGCTGACATATCTCCTCTATATGGACGGAGGTGTGAGACGGAAAGGGGTGAGTAGAGTCCCTAAAAATACTTCGATGTGGGGGAGGGGAGGGGAGGGGGGAGGGGGCCACACCTCCCTCTAGCGACGCCCATGTATATTCTCGTCTTTATTCAAATCCCTGAAACACACTTTTTGATCAACGTAAACAAAAAATTACGAGGTATATCATTATTTAAAAGCCAGAGAAATCGATACACAGAAGACAAAGATTATTGACGAAACGATGGCCGTGCAAGCCGAACACGTCGATGTATCGGCCGTATAGGGGAGTTCCCTGTGTTCATTGTAACGGCTGACCATACCACCGCATTTCGCTAGCTCGTAGGATGATGGTGCATTAAAGTCTGTATAAAACGAAATAAATAATAAAGATTTTCAAAATGGGTGACATGTTAACACTAACAAAATAAAAACAATGGTAACAACAACAACAACAAACACATACAAATAAGACTTATTATGAACGGGACATGTTTCATACCGGTATCGAGTCGAATTTTGAAATCTGAATTTTACAACAGAATCGAACCTTCTATAAAATCAATACAGCCCTCCCCGCTTATGTTCGTTTAATATAATCAAGTCATAATGCAATGTATGCAAGTGCACGACAGGAGTGCAAAACGGGTCACTTCCAATAAATGAAAATGATCAAATGGCGTTTTTCCTTGCACGCCCATTTCAGATTCAGAATCGAAAATCATTGGCATATATCAATATGCCACCCACGGCTTTAAGCGTCGACACGAACCATGCACTTTGGCAGATATAAATATTAATGTATGCCACTCTGATCCCATTAAGAGCATGATAAGTTTGTAAACGGTCACTTTGATTGAGCATTTTTCCATATAATGCCATACTTACGTACAAATTTATTACTTGGGTATTTTGTTGATATGGACAAAAAGTTGGAAGAACATAAATGTTACTTTGAATTGAAAATTGAATTGAATTGAATTGAATTGAACAGTGAAGATTAGTCTTCCAAACCGAGGGGCCTATGGACTATGGGAGGGGCGTATTCAAGGTATGTTTCTCGCCTCCTTCGGCCTCCTTCGGCCTCCTTCGGCCTCCTTCGGCCCCCTTCGGCCCCTTCGAAGTATCACATGGAAACAACTTAACAAAAAACCCGCAATATAGCCAGGGGCACCTTGATATGTGCACTCCGTCGTCGGAAACGAATTTGTATAATAAATATTTAACATCTCGGTCGCATCTGGCTACTGATGACTAATGCGGCACACTAATCTGTTCCGCTAGAACCGATTTTTCAACAGATATATAACCCCGGGCGACTGTAAATACAGCGGATGGAATAATTTATTATCTTGCCACTGTTTATAAGTTTTCTACATCAAAGAGTGGATATGGCCAGGTGCAAATACTGTACTGCGAGTCACACCTTAATCAAAGTTCATAATGTGAGGACATTACCAATTCATGAGCGTTAATCATTAGGACACAGACACACACAAAATAAAACAGGGGACCTAAACACAGAGTGAAACTTTAGAGGAAACAAGAAAGAGCAATGATCTGACGTTTATGGCCAGTTTCTTCTGCTTGCGTTATTCTTGGACAAAGTTAAGTTAAAACGAGGGGAGGGGGGGGGGGGGGCTGATAAATTCAGTTATATTGATTTCAATCCTTTTCTACTTTGATTTAAAAAAAACTTTTAGTCACTGAAAATTTAAATTAGTTTTAGGTCTATCTCGAATATCCATGCATTTAATGCATGAATACCATGCACACATTAATGTTTAAAATAGTGTTCACTTATAATGGAATTTATATATAACGACTATCTACCATAATGAAACCCAATTGGAAAATGTGATTAAAATGTGATCTGCTGTGATTGGATTTTCATCACCAGGTTGAGGTATCATTAAGGTTGAGGTATCATTAAGGGCGGTAAGACTTGCGAAGATGTGCAATTTTTCTCCCGCGTTAATGAATCCGGGGCGTAGAAAGTGTCTATTAAAGTGAGATTGGGGATCATCTGGATCTGGGGTAACTCATTATCTCACACTTCTTCATTTTTGTCGATCATAATTATTATAGTCAAGGATGCCGTCATAATTATGGAGACGTGAAATAGTTTGATAATAAAAAGAAAAATATGAAATAGAAATACACCTACCTCCTTACTAATTATACAAGACGCGTATTTTCAGTGCCATTTTCAGGAAATTCTTTGTAAATGTGTTATAGCCATTAACCTCGATTAATAATAATAATAATAATAACAACAATAATAATAATAATAATAACCTAATAGTCCACTCCAAATTTTATTAAACCGAAACGGAAATTCTTTTTGCCCAATTGATCGTGAGCCCGGCAGCCACTGAGTGAGTGAAGTTAGTAATTATTATCATAATAAAAAATGAGCACGTGAGCATAATGTTATTCATTGAATTCGGCAGTAATCTCATTTTCAATTTGCTCACTCAGTTACGGTCAAAAAGTATTTTTGTAGAATATCAAGACTTACCCTCTAAAAAAGGGCTTATTTACCCAGAGGCGTACTGTGATACCAGACTTTTAACATCAAGGGGGGGGGGGCACCGGTCTTAATTTGTGGAAAATATTGAAATATAAAAGAGCTATTGCCTACGGGAAGGAAATGGGAGGAGTCGGAGCGTCTATACTTCGGATTTTCCCTTTCTCCTTTATCATATGTTCCTTTTTTTAAATAGTTATTTTCCCTCTTTCTTTTACGTGCCACGTACCCCTGACCCCATAGTTATACCTCTCCATGTTTGCCCCAATTCCTTTTGTCTTCTCCCATGCTTTTATGGATGTCTTATTCTATTTTTAACATCAGTACAACTTGACAAGTGAGGCTACTGCGACAAAACCAATGAACAAAATAAAATATGGTAAACCTACCGCCAGCTATAAAATATATTCCTCCCGTCTCTAGACCGGGGTATCCACACGAATGACTACCCGTCATGATGCGGACAGATGATAAGTTAGCTATGGGTTGCTGGGCATTTCGAGATGAAGGATGACGTAATACTTCCAATACATCCACTGTGTAGGTGATGTCATCGTGTTCGGTTTGGTTCCCTGATAAATTTGTGATTCTTCCTCGAATAGCTGCTCCCCCAAAACGTGAAGATGGAGAAAAGAATGTAAACAGAATGATTAGAATGATTAGTAGTATGGATCCGGCCATTGAGGGGGCACTGCCGCACTGGCGTCATAGGGGGTTGGGAGGGCCACCATTTCCCCAATCCATTTCCTTTAATGTAAATTTCTTTTCGCCCTCTCTCCCACTCTCTCTCTCTCTCTCTCTCTCTCCCTCTCTCTCTCTCTCTCTCTCTCTCTCTCGATCATTTGATCATAACAGTAGCCCCTGCATGTATCTAAAGACGCCACTGTAAATACGTAGGCAAAATATCGACTCACGGAGACTGTTTTTTGGAACAAATAGGCAAGAAAGACCAAGGTAGAGATGGGAAAGTGACATCCTAGTAGGCAGCAAATAGAATTACTCAAGATAGGAAAAAATGGCTTGAATTGGAGCCAACGTCCTTAGGGACACGGTGATGGCTTAGCTTAGCTATTATATTCCGGCCTCTTTAGAAATAAAAAGCATTATACATTGACTTTCTCGGTAAATGCCCAGATCCGCCCCCAGGATGATGATGGGGGAGGGGCACATATTCATTAATCATTACCAAACGATCCATAAGACAACTTCTAAATTATGAGGTTAGCGGTATAGGTAAGTTCAGCCTCCACCCACGCTCTTGCATGGAATTGAGGCCTTGTCATATAATTATATCGGACAAAAATTATAGATACCAAACTTTATAATAATGCCCAGATATTAGGAGGAAGATCCAAGATTCTGGTGGGGGAGGCGTGGCACAATCGCACACAATCTCCAATAATCAGAATATCTTCTTTGTTTTATAAAGCGGCACAGTAGGTTGTGCCTCCATTAAATCAGAGATCACAATGTTTTCACCATGAACTGGCCGAAAAATAGGTCGTATATATTTTGTTTCAATAACGTATAACGATGTGGATATGAGGGTATTTTTACATTTCAATAATGCTTATCAAAATGTTATCAGTTCAGAGGTTGTTTACCGAACAAAAAGAGGCCTACACACAAAGACGGGGAAACAAACAAAGCGATCGTGCACACTATCGTTATTTTTTAAACATCGCTCTCCATTCCTTCCTTCTTTTCTCAACTCTCTTCCTTATCTTAAGCCGTATTTCTCTCTTTTCTTTTCCATTTCCCTTTTCTACTTCTTCTCCTACTCCTCCTCCTCCTCCTCCTTCTTCTTCTTCTTCTTCTTCTTCTTCTTCTTCTTCTTCTTCTTCTTCTTCTTCTTCTTCTTCTTCTTCTTCTTCTTCTTCTTCTTCTTCTTCTTCTTCTTCTTCTTCTTCTTCTTCTTCTTCTTCTTCTTCTTCTTCTTCTTCTTCTTCTTCTTCTTCTTCTTCTTCTTATCCCGGGGGGGGGGGGGGGGGTACTCACACATAAGGACATACGGGGGTGTGCCGCTCTAATGGGTGACTTTTTCACACACAAATCCCTAAACATGGGTCCCATGCATAGTCCCATGTACTTTTAACAAAAATACCATTAAAAATAGGTACGTTTTTTAAATATCTGCACAATTTTCGGGTGTGCAAAGAACCAACAAACACCCGAAAATGGGTCTTTTTTTTCGAGAAAATGCCCTACTAATGGGTAGGGCTTTCGAGGCTTGAGCGGCACACCCCCGTCCAAACCAAATTTGACCCCCCCCCCCTCCCCCGGGCGCTTCTTCTTCTTTCTTTTTCTACTACTCTTCTTTTCTTCGTCTTGATGGTTTATTCGGTATCTGACTGCTAAAAAAGCTTGTCTGATATGCTTGTTAGTAAGCAACCAGGGGCCGACGGCTATAAGTCCTCTTCAAGGGACTCGATAATGATAATTAATGCCTTTCCATAACGCACTATTATAGCGCAGAGACTTCCGAACCCGGGACCTCGTGGTTGCGGGACCACTGCTCATGCCACTGATCCATCGCGTCTCTTCCTCCTTGTTCTACTTCTTCTTCTTTTTGTTCTTCTTATCTTCTCCTTATTTCCATCTTCTCCTTTTCTTTCCTTTTCTCCTTTTCATCTCCATCTTTTTCTTTCAAGTTGATTATCATTTACATTTCTCCCCCTTCTCCTCTTTCTGTCTACTACACGAAGCAGGAATAACGATACAAACATTATATCCAATTTAACATAATCAACTCGTTATCATGCAAACAAAATTATTCATCTGAACAAATCGCGTCTTGTTCATTACGTATACGATTTATGACTAGTCAAGTTCATACACACATACACATGGCAACGAATATAGATACAAAATGTATTTGCAGACAAAATGTATACACAGATCACAGTGAAAAAGGCGAATTTCTACTGACAGGTCATAATGATGCCCAGGGCACGTATTATTGACAGGGAATGTAGCTTGTTGAATGGGGTCATCCTATACGATCTTCGCACACACGGATATTGTAAGTACTGCTCTGTAATCATCATGCCGTATTTATGACCAGGGGCGTCGCTAGACATTTTAAAAAGAGGGGGGGAGGGGGGGGGGGGGGGACTGGGGCAAATTTTCCGACCAGTATTTACTGCATAACGAAAGCAATTAATTTGTGAGCTTTGCCGAGAGCCTATATATTCCAAATCGCCGACATAAATGTTAAAGGGAGAGAGGTCTCAGTACTGCATACCCTCTTGCAACGATCTTTTTTAAGAGGATGCTTACGTCTCAGTTAACACATGTACATCCCCCCCCCAAAAAAAAACATCATGATATATTATGTCTTCAACACTCATTCTCATTGAAATTATCACTGATTTACCTTTTTTTAAAGAAATAGGGCGGGTGGGGCAGTACACATGTAGATTCAGAATTTTCTGGTTAGGGGCACAAGTTCTAAAATTATGTGACAAGCAACAACAACAAAATAATAAAAAATAATAAATTTAGAAATTAAAATTAAAAAATATGAAGAAAATAAATAGGGGTAATGCACCCATGTCTCTTATTGTCTTCCTCCTATTCCCTCTTTTTTTTAATATTTCGGCCAGAGGGACATGACCCCGGTATCCGCCCGGTATCCGTTGGGTTGAGTGCTAAAACCGGTAATAACACAATGGAACCCAAAAAATGAAAGCCCAATATAAAGATTGCCTCTATGTTAAAGCATGCCCCATCATCCCATGGCGATCAAATTATCACTCATATCAATTATATTTCTTCAATTATTTTGTTCAGGTAATAGGGGCAGACGGGGTTGAGTGTTGAAAACAGTAATAACACAATGGAACGCCGAAGACGAAATCCCAATATTAAGCTTGCCTCTTTGTATAGGCTATATACAAGCATGCCAACAGTTAAGCCATGGCTCACATACAATCGTCCCTAATACCTTATCAGGATGCTGATCAGTTCCTAATCAGGCATCTTACTTACCGAAATTCCCCGTGCACACCGACGGAGGATCCACACACTTGCACGCCGCGATACAGCTCACGACAACGGATAGGAAGACGAAGGCGAGCAAGCCCATATCATTCGCCATGGCCATGATAGCCGCCGTGCTCGTACACCTAGTGGCTGGATTATTCATGCAGAGTCAACGCCACTGTGAGATTTTCATACTCCAGTCCATTAAGTGTTCATCACTAACTGAAATCCGATGATCATCATCCAAGTGATGAACTCTGCATGACAGGGATGATAGTAAAAAATATATATGGATGATGTTGATGGTGCAGTAGTATCTATACATCATCATGGTTATATAGCAGATGGCATATAACAACACATATACCTTTATATATATTACATAATGTTCATCCTTTGCAATAAAATTCAATGGGGAACTTTGATTTAAGCTACGCAATCATTATTCCCTTTTTACTTTTGAATTATATAATATATAATATATTATATGTAAATATACATTATTTAGTTTACGGCACGATGAGTATTCATCACTCACTGAAATCCGATGATTCCAACTCTGCATGACAGGGATGATAGTAAAAATATATATATAATGGATGATGTTGATGGTGCAGTAGTATCTATACATCATCATGGTTATATAGCAGATGGCATATAACAACACATAATTTCAACCTTTGCAATACAATCCAATGGGGGACTTTTATTTAAGCTACGCAATCAGTATTCTCTCTTTACATTTCGCATTATAAAGTATATATATCATTTTCATTTAATTTAATTTCTTTATTATGCCCATAGAGGATAATTATTGTTCATGATACATTTACAATCTTGCTTCACAGTAATTTCACAGGAACAACATATAATTGACAATCTTAAGTACTTAATTAAATACATGTGAATTGTTAACACATACTTCGTGAATTTTGTTCAACCTCGTTTCTGATTTAGTCTCAAGGCCCTGTTTTTAGTATACATTCAATATACATGATCATGATGAATATATATATAAATATACAGGTAGTTCATGGCATGGATAAGATAGATATCATCACCCATGGAAACCGTGCACTTTATAAATTGTTATTGATTAACGTTTAATGTGTTTACAGAAGCGCAGTGTTATTATTTGGTACTGCCCAATTTGGGCCCTACGATATAAAAAAGACAATATTATGATACTTTTATTGTTATTGATAAATGTTATCTTTAAGATGATCAACAATCTAACAGGCGAATGGTATGAGCAAGAAGACATGGACGAATTGTAAACAAGTATGTTTGATATTATTTTTCGTAAATTATCTTATCGGGGTTGAAAATAAGGTTATATTTCAATATAGACTTATTATCTAAAAAAGATCAGGATCTAATATTTCCTCATCACCGATTGCCATGGTTAATGTTAATTAAAATTTAACATCAGAACATAAATTGTTTCTTATACTCTTTTAATTTCCTTTCTGCCCATTCATTTTTACGCCTCATCTTAATCGGATACATATCAGCAACACTTTACTTTTTTGTTATCTATGCAGCACGCAACACATTCATTTGTTCACCAAAAATTATTCTATCGGAGCAATAATTATGATTAAAAAGTTTCAACAACTTTCCATTCTAAAATATAAATCTAAGGCCCCGTATTGTAACCATATTGGCGTCGACACAGGGGTTAGGGTTTGGTGACATACCATATTACACAATTACTGTCGGAAAATTTAGGATGTGATACACCGGCAAAAATCGATATTCTGGGGATCTTCTCTTCTCTTCCCTCCTTCTTCATAGAAGATTTTTCAGCTCACTTGTCGACGAAATTGGCATTCAAATGAAATCTAAGGACTTGACATGATTTATAAAAAAAAAAACAAATGGAAACAAACAAAATGCTATAAAATTAATCTTTAATGTAAGCGATTATGTGTTATTTCATCTGCTTAATTGCCTGGTACAGGCCTACAATGATGAAAACACTATGAAGTAATTTAGGGTTGTTAAGTGGCGTATTTGCAAGAAGCACGTGCCCTCGCCCACCTGAATCAGCCGATGATTGATAATCATTCACTTAGTTAAAAACAGCAACCAACAAACCAGATATAATATCAGGGGCCGCTACAGGGGAGGGAGGGGTGTCACACCCTCTTTATTCTTTTCATTTGAGCAAATTCGTCATTTTCTAGGCGAATGGAGAATGAAGGGGGTCCATCATCCCCACCCCCCCCCCCCCCCCCACGCTGGAAATGGTCTGGCGACGGCTCTACACATTAGTGTTTTCAAAGCGCTTACAATACTGAACGCAGGCTTCAAACATACACACACACAATTTATAAAAATAAACCACATGAGTGACGAAGTAATCATTTAATCCTTGCAAAATGATATCATTTTCACGCCAGTCGAATATACACACTGAGCGTGACACAATCTAAACACAATGGTGTTATTCCGCAAAGCCGGCTTAATGTAATGGGAAAACCTAATCCAAACATGATAACAACGTACTGTCAATCAAAGTGGGTAGATAGTAGCCCCCCCCCCCCAAAAAAAAAAGCAGTAGAGGCAATGGCTATAAGTAGTAATAGTAGTAGTAGTAGTAGTAGTAGTAGAAGAAGTATTGTAGTGGTAATAGTAGAAGTGGAAGTAGAAGGAGTACTAGAAGTAGTACTACTAGTAGTAGTAGAAGAAGTAGTAGTAGTAGTAGAAGTAGTAGTAGTAGTAGTAGTAGTCGTAATAATAGTAGTAGTAGTAGTAGTAGTAGTAGTAGTAGTAGTAGTAGAAGTAGTAGTATATATAGTGGTGGTGGTAGCAGTAGTAGTAGAAGTAGTAGCGGTAGAAGTAGTAGTAGTAGAAGTAGTATTAGTAGTATTAGTAGTAGTAGTAGCAGTAGAAGTAGTAGTAGTGGAAGTAGTAGTAGTAGTAGTAGCCGTAGTAGAAGAAGTAGTAGTAGTAGTAGTAGTAGTAGTAGTAATAGTAGTTGTAGTAGTAGTAGTAGTAGTAATAGTAGTTGTAGTAGTAGTAGAAGTAGTAGTAGTAGTAGTAGCCGTAGAAGTAGTAGTAGTAGTAGTAGTAGTAGTAGTAGTAGTAGTAGTAATAGTAGTTGTAGTAGTAGTAGTAGTAGTAGTAGTAGTAGTAGTAGTAGTAGTAGTAGTAGTAGTAATAGTAATAGTAGTTGTAGTAGTATAGTAGTAGTAGTAGTAGTAGTAGTAGTAGTAGTAGTAATAGAGATAGTAGTATAGCAGGCAAAGTAGGAGCAACATCAGAGAATGAAGTATAGACTATGAATACAATTATAACAGTTTGGTTTCGAAATGAAATAGAATTGAAAATCAGCATGCAATAACCCCAAAAGAGTCGGATCGTTTACCTTAATCTTGTCCAATATCAGTGCTGAAAATGAAATGGCTGTGTGAATCGTGAATCAATTTTCTTCTGCAATTTCGACACTCGCAAATATGCCCTAAATGCCCATTAAAATTGGTTGGCCTCCACTTCAGAAACTGAACGTGATGTGCATGTATTCCTACGCACTTACTGCCGTCATAGTACACGTTCAATGTTGACCATATTTTATAAAACTATCGACGTCTTTTCACAACTGTGTTCGACATGTATGTACGTGCTCTATTTGTATCACACAATAATAAAATACGACTATTGTGTTTTTCTTGACCTTGAACTCAGACAAATGAAAGGAAGGTGTTTATTTGCAGCTCGCTAAACAATGATCGACCGGCGGCTCGGTGGGTGCTCCCCCCCCCCCATTATTGGTCAAAATCTGCTACACAATGTACTGTAGTGCGCCCGACCTGCTTGGGGGGGGGGGGGGGGGGGGTACACTATTTCTTGAAATTGATGTAGATACACTTATTCTCAGGAGCAATGTCTTTAAAATCATTGTTAAAACATATATATTTTTCTATTTCGTCACAGTCACACATTGTACCCCAACCCACTCCCGCCAAGCATGACCCGGCCAAATAAATCTTAGGATCCGCCAATTAATACTGATGTGCTGTTCTTGCGTTCAATCATTTTAACCATGCACTATACCGTATATACGATAACAATGACTGCCTGTTTTCTCCAAATTTATAATAAAATGCCTTCATGAGATAAAGTGTGAGGTAAAAATGTTTATGTATTTCATACACATTATTTGTCGTGTGGTGTATACAATGCACATGTATACATAAGAATGACAAATGAATGAGTTCTACGTTACGGCAGTTCAGACAAAAATTAGAGTGAAAGAAAATAATGAAACACACAAAATATACGAATTTTGGGCTGCATGTATATACTATATATACCCTTGTATATATGCATATCATATAGGCCTATATAATTCTTGTTTTAATTATTAATTTATTTCCTTTCAAGGCCTTGATTGTACAAAGTTACTCAAATGGAAATACCCGTATAAGTCCAGATTACCGTGTTTTAAAGGTATTACAAAGTTTTAGTATGGGGTCATGAATTTGGTTCAAATTAACATATTGGAAGCATATGCGTTCCTACAATATTCATCGATCGTTGTCCCGGTTGAAATCGAGTCTAAAGTTATGAAATTATAAATAATAAACTCTTTATGTTGTATAGCTCCCTCTCAAGGTCAAGATATCCATTTAGCTATGAAACAATGTTTCTTGACTAAAATCGACCGTTTAGCTATTCCCGTTTGGAAATTATATATCACAACTACATATTCTGAGATTTTCATGGTCGCAGCTACCATTGTACGGCCGTAGGCGCTATTGAAATTTATCAAAATTTACCGGGAGCACCGGTAAATTTATATATTCAATTTTTCTCGAAAACAGAAATGTTTTAGGGGTTAATTTTTTTAGTGCTTATAATACATCCACAGGGGCATCCAAATATATCAAAATTGTAAAGATTCACTATCCACCCAATTTTCAAAATTTCCCAAAACTTTGTATTACCTTTAAAGAAGAGCTAGTGCCGGGAGCTAGTGCACAGGTCTACATACTCTATACAATGTAATTATTGTAATACATATTACAACATGAAACAGAATTGTCAGAATATACATGAAATGTATTATAGCAACAACAACATTTACATCGTTTTCAAAGACAGGTTAACAAGACTTTCTGTTAATGCACAAAAGTGACAGGTATAAAGAGGAATTAATTTGAGGAACCAACATAAAATATTTCACGGACACTTAATAATTGTTATCATAAGCAAAATTTTCCCCGCGTAACAAGATTCTTTTGTGATCGGCAAATTCGGATGTTGAAAATGGCATTCCGTTACACTGCAGTTGGAAATTATTAAAGCATCAACATCCTGATGCACACACATAACCAGTAGTTACGTACCGCATCTCGGATACACGAAAAAAAAATCCACATCCGAAACTCCTCTCAGACTAGACAATGCGCTGCTAAGCTAGCTGGGATGCATTTTAACACCAATAAAATCCCACGTCATGCGCGCTTTGACAGGTTCATTAATCAGCGAATTGAAAAATATTTCTTAGCTTCTAGCTTCAATTATGTACACAAAACAATAATGATTAAATTATCTAACGCTCTAAGCTTAAAGTACCAATGCATGTCTCTACCATTATAGAAAAACAGGCATGCTTTCGCTAGGTTTTGAAAGAATTGAACAGGCATCCGACATCATATTAAGACTAATCTGCAATTTCGATTTCGTATTGATCACGAGCGGCCCGCGCCACGAAAAAGAACAGAGCTTACCAATAATATACCAGATGAGATCGAGCGGCAAGAACAGAATTTAGACTACATCAACATTTGAAGACAACTCAAACTGGCGCACTTTTTGGACGGAAGATATCTATCTGGCAGTGACAGTACTTTCTGTGATCTGATCCATGAGGATATTTCCAGATATTGGAACAATTTTAGTGAACCGGCGACAACAAGTTCGAGGTAAGTACAGCTGTGATCAGTGCGTTTGAGATAAGTGGCAGCTAGGCGAACGATCGTTGTCGATGTCGTGTTGTGTGTAGTGTGCCAAGGCCAAGCTCCCGACCTACACAGCGTATAGACTTCTGCAGTCCGACACGCTCAATTTTGTGTAAGCTTCAATAACAGGGGAAACAAATATTTAGATGTGACCACTTGTACGTGTAGTATACAAGCCTATTTGTATACCTATTTGTATAGCATTACTGCACTGACTTTAAATGTGAATGATATAACGATTTTGTGACAATGGGGATGCACTGAAGTGTAAGCAAAGGATGGGCTTTCACATTGCCTGCTTATTAAGTGCTTTCTTCTCTTCTTGGGATTGGTAGCAGCTATTTATCATTAATTCAGAAGAACTACCCATTACCAAGTCTTTGGTGAATGCAGCTCATGGGTTGCCTGGCAACCATAGATGATACTTGAAATCCTGTATTTCATACTAGTCTACAGTAACTCTACCGCTTATTTTAACATTGAGATTATGTGTTGTGGTGATGTCAAGTCGAACCCAGGTCCTCTTGAAAATAAGCAATTTGAAGATCGACCTATCAGTATCAGCCAGTCTGTAAATCGTACCTATTCTACTTCGTCTCTGCTTGATATTCGGGCTTCTGCTCATGTGCCTAACAGGCTCCCTGCCCCCGTTTGGAAACAAATTAATGACTTGGGAATTTGTGGAACACCTCCAACCCTCAGACTCAGAGGTGTCCGTTCTGGTACAAAAAAACAACAACATAGAATCACAGTGCTCTTGTCAAAGAAGAGAAACACAAATTGCCGTCAGTCCGAGGTTAATAACCAAAATTTGATTAGAGTACCGTAAAGATACATAAATGGAACACACCTACACTAATGAACACGAATGCCAGATCGTTAATCCTGAAACTTGATGAGCTATCGGTTATGTTATTAAACAAGAAAGTGGATGTAGTGTATGCTGTATCACTGAAACCTGGTGTCAATCTACTATTCCAGACTGTTCGTTAACTATTGATAATTATCACCCCCCCCCCCCCCCGATTCGTTGTAACAGGGACCATACCACGGGTGGTGGAGTCGCTTGTTATATCCATACATCTGTGCCCTTAAGTGTGCTTTCTGAATTGTCGGAAAATCAAGTAGAATCGATAAGGATCAAGATGCACGTGAAAGAAACCTACACTAAAGCAGCAAAACGCTTGTACCTTCTTGTTCAATTAAGAAGGGCAGGTTTAAATCAGATTGATTTGTGCAGATACTATGTGGCATGCATTAGATCGGTGTTAGAGTATGCTTGCCAAGTATTTCATGGAGGCCTGACCAAAGAACAATCCGAAATGTTAGAGTCAATCCAATCCCTTTCTGAATGTAGACAAAAACTATGCCTTAATTTTTTTACCCAAATTCGTAACCTCAGTCATATGCTAAATCATCTTCTTCCTGCTCCAAGAGAAACAAGATACTCTCTTCGGAACAGCAAAGACCTGTACCCTCCCAAATGCAAAACTAATAGATACAAAAATAGCTTCATACCCTGGTGTCTGTTTAATCTACAATGATCTTGCCAAATTTAATGTATTTTTATTGTCCTTTTTATAGAGTATATTTTCGTTAATCAAATGTAATAATTTTAATAAAAAGACATCAATCCTATTTTACATATTTGTGATTATCATACGACACCGGTTTATTAGTGTCTTCAAACTTTGTACAGGGTATTAAATTTAATTCATAATCATTATTGCCAATTTTATATTGAATTCAAGTACCGTGCAGACATTTTACTTAAATTACACACTTGTTTATTATATGAATTTTAAAATAATTGAGAATGTAACAAATTCGATATCAATTGAATTTGTCTGGATTTATTTTTACGAAGAATGCATTATACCACCACTCAATTTGGGTTTACTGTCTCTCTCTTTCTTTCAAAATCTTCCTCAATTTTAATTGTTCTGAACAATACGTTGATGTCAGTTGATATATATTATTGGTCCATATAATTATCTTTAAATCTTATTTTAGATATCTGTTATTATTATACGACACCCGTTTATTAGTATTAAACCTGGGGGTACTTGTATTCAAACTTTGTACAGGGTATTAAATTTAATCATAATAATTATTGCCAATTTTATATTGAATTAAAGTGCCGTGTTAACGTTTTACTTCAATTACACATTTGCTTATTATATGAATTTCAAAATAAAATAATTTAGAATGTAACAAATTTAATATCAATTGAATTTGACTGGATATAGTTTTAGGAATAATGCATTATACCACCACTCAATTTGGGTTTACTGTCTGTCTCTTTCTTTCAAAATCTTTCTCAATTTTAATTGTTGAACAATACGTTGATGTCAGTTGATATATGATTATTGGTCTTGTGAAGTCCCATGTACCTTATAATTATGTTTAAATGTGATTGCTCTTGAGTGTTTTTTTTTCGTTTTTTTCTTTTTCTTTTTCTTTTCATATCTATGTATTTAAGATGTCAATTTATACAGTTTTATTGTACAAAGTATATACAGGTATATACATATAACTATATTGTGAACCATTTTTATGCCTGTCTTTTTTACTGTATGAAATCCAACTCATTGTTGCAATAAATGAATGAATAAATATAATACAAGGAGGGCAGAATAGTGTCCTGAGTATGTGCTGTATTGTTCTAACATGTCTTACCTTCTTTTTATGCTGTGACTTGTGTGAGTGTGTTAATGTTAATTGTTAATGGATACTGTTAGGGTGTCTGAAAGATTTTTCAATTTTCAATTTGGAATAGTTTTTCACCATTTTTGTTGGATATTTGAATAAAAAATGTAATCAGAATAATACTTTTGAAATTTCAAGACTCACCAACGTTTCTATCAAAAGATACAGCCCCTCAAAAACTCTGCAATATTCATAGCATTTTGCTCAGAATGGACACAAAAGTGGTTCACGCCAAGTTATCATTTTTTGCTAAACAGCTGCATTCTAATGCATTAGGCAATATGCAAAAGGTGGGGGGAGGGTATTTCCAAACTTAAATCGTATGTGATCCCTTGGGGCTAGCGAAACAAAAAGAACATCAACATATTCTCAAAAGTGGGAAATCTCCCGAGTTGCCATGGAAACAACATTTAAATCGCTGTTTTGACAAGATATTTTTAGAAATCTGAAGTGACACCCCTTTTGGAAATATGGGGATTAATCTGCCCTTTCATATGACACCTCATTTATTGAGTATAACTTTCAGGATCACAACAGATAAAGATTTGAATCTAAATTTATTTTTTAAAAGTTAATGACCAATTTTGCAATGCACATAGACTGCATAGGGATGTATGCAATGTATATTGGAAGATTTTTAGCACACAAAACCCGGTGCGCAATCAGACACTCTATTAATGTTATGTTAAAACAAAAATAAAACAAAATTTAAAAACAAGATTAGACTATCAATATGACTTTGCCTTTTATCAGATAAACACTAAATATACAAGTTTAACAATTTCATTTCAAATTTAAATCATGGATTTGAAATCAAAGCAGCTCAGCTTTGTTCTCCTTCGACAGCTCTCAGTCAGTGTTTTTCCCAAAAGTAAGATTTTTTCAGAAAACTTAATAAGTTAAAGGTAAAGACCAGTATTGGAAACGCCCCAATTTCAAAAAATGAAATGGAAGCTCTCATTACCAATCATGTGAAAGAATATGTTTTGACTAATACATGAGGATAAAAAATTGCTGGGAAACCGCCTACTAATTCATATATTTGGTTAATTTGTTTCTCTCATGGTCCGTGAGAGATATAGGGTAGTCCCATATACATCTTTCTGTGTATAGTGCTTGTAACTTTACGAAGAATGGGCCAAATTTCTTATCATTTTGATGATTCCAGAACCTTGCAGATGATAGATGCTAGATGATCAACCTTTTCTGATCGATTCCACAACGTTTCTTTCACAATGCAATCGCATGACCATAACTGGTCTTTACCTTTAATGATGACCTGATGACTAGGGCCTAGACCTAGTCTAATTGACTCCCATTTTACTGATATTAAAATACCTTTGATTATTTCACTCCTACAATGCATGAAGTCTAACAATAGATTATGTGCTCGTGAATGACAAACAAAAGCATTCCTTATTTCATTAGATGTATTCTGCTCCTGTGAGGTCTTGCAGAATATTACGAGAGGACGTGTGTGTACGTGTCAATAATTTACAAAGAGGAAGAAGAAAAAAAACAGAAAAAATGAAGTAGAGGAGGAGGAAGATAGAGAAAAAGAGGGAGACTATTCCAGTCGGACACAACTCTGTTAATGAAAAAGCATTTCCTTATGTGTTGATGAGACATCTTTCCTTGAAAATCTATAGAGAATATCCTCGAGTTCGAGTATTGGGTCATTTGGGTGATATAATGAAGCAGTGACATGGATCCATCCAGTCTTACTGGTATTTTGAAGACTGTAATGGCATTGCCAATTTTAATGGGCATTTAGGTCCAAAATCTTTAGTCTGTCTGTTTAGGGAAGTTCTCTTGTCTCTGGCATCATCTTTGTTGCTCCCCTCTACCCTTTTAACCTTGTAACCATCTTCCTTCCAGCGTGAGTGCCATAGGATATTACCATATTTGAAGTGTGGTCATACTAGTGTCTTGAATAGGAGGGGGTAGTAGAGTCTTAGTGTCCAGCCTGGTGAAGGTACGTTTAATTATTCCAAGGAGTTGGTATGCTTTGTTTACTGCCATATATACATGTTTATTAATGGAACTTAAGTTCGACATCTACTTTTACCCCAAGGTCTTTGTCAAGAGTGGACTTCTTCATTTCTTCTCCTTTCATGTGGTAACTGTCCTACCTGTTGTTTCTATGCAGGTGAAGAACTGCACTCTTGCTTTGGTTGAAGGGTAGTTGCCACTTCTCAGCCCACAAGGTGAGATTTGTCAGGTCAGTCTCTGTAGTGCTGAAGATTCTACCTGATTACCTACTTCTCTGTACAATTCGATGTCATCAGCAAAGAGTAGAATCTGGGAGGTAACTTCCTTCTAAGGCAAGTCATTTACGAAGATGACAAACAGAATAGGCTCAATGATGCTCCCCTGCAGAATTCCGCTCTTCACCGCAGTCCATGTTGATGTCACTCCATTCATAGCTACTCTCTGCTTTCTACCTTTGAGGAAGGCTCCAATCCAAGCAAGTAGTGGATTCACAATTCCATGAACTTCCAGCTTAAGTACTAGTAGCATCAAGCTCCTTTCTGAAGTCAAGATATAAACATCGATAGGCTGATTGTCATCTAGAATCTTTGACCATTCTTCTATGGCCCACAGAAGTTGGGTCATACATATACATGATCTCCCATTCACAAAACTGTGCTGACATTCTGAGAGGAGGTCGTTCATGTCAACGTATTTCATTAAGGCGTCTCTGATAATGCTTTTGAGCATCTGTCCGAAGACCTATGTTAGTGTGTAACCGGTCTTTAGTTATCATGCTTACCTGCTTCCTTTCTTATGAATTGGATTTTCCTTGCTTCCAGTCTTCAGGAAGTGACTTCTCCTCCAGTGACCTGTTGAATACCGGTAGGACTGACAGTGGTTCCGCAATATCCTTTGATTCTTCTTTCAGAGGTCGGAGATCATTATTGTTTATTCTTGTAAATATTGGCAAGTATTCTAGGTTCTCCTAAGTGAAGACACTAACAAAGTAGATATTTAGAAATACCTCTACTTTTTTCCAGTACGACATGGATTTCATTCTTGATGTATCAAGTAGTATAATACATGTACAAGGTTTTATTGAGGTGTGTATGACTATAATCTCCTCAATCTTTTCTAATTTTTATTCTCCCATGCAACAGACTTTCGCCCCTTGAGGTTCTTGTGTTCCCTCCTGTCACCAGCTACCATCGACTGTTGATTCACAGTACTGCACAAGAATTTTCAAGGCTTTGTAGCTTCAGTATTAGTCAAGGGGACAACCGACGGACTGTCGTATGCCCCAAAGCGTATCGGTAGGTTTCATAACATTCTTGTTACCCCCTTAAATTATTCTAGGAGAGGGCCGAAGAGTATTTGAAGTCGAGGGGACATTGGACAGACGTTGTATGCCCCAAATATACGGGTGGATTCACAAAATTGCTCTTCAGCAGAGGGCCAAACTCATTATTTGAAGGAAGTTAGATCAAGTAAAAGAGTATTTAAAGGATAAATGTATTTGAGAACGATAATCTCTGCATATGATATAGGGTCCAAATGTGGAATTACATTTACAGTCCAGTAGATTGGATTATTGTAGAAACTAATAGGCCTATAGTTTAATTCCCTCATTCTATGTTTCAATAAGTCTTAAAGATTCCCAAGGTTTTATTCTTTATGTTTTACCTACAACCATTTAAAGTTTAAAGAATACATTTACAGGCCTGTTAAGGATTATATGTGATGATTCATTCCAATACTGAACTAAGTGTCATGATTTTGATGTCTGTTTTATTTTGGCCTCCAGCAGTAATTTTTTTTTCCTGGTTGTATAATGCATGCTCTGTCAACAGTTGCTGGAAGGACAATAACCACATTCCCTATTTTAACCTGAACCAAATACTATTCCTGACCCTTACCCTAACTATAACACTCACACCTACATGTAATACCAACCCCAACTCTAATCCTACATGTTTCTTGAAATAAAGCCTGAACTAATTGTTCCCAGAGCATATTTTAGAGGACCATTGTCATGACTTTTACAGTTACAAATATTTTCAGCTATGGGAGGGAGATTTAACAGTCTTATGGGGCATTGCAAGTTGCACAATTTGCAACTGAACTTTCTTGCAACGCCCCACTAGTCTCCTAAATTTCCTAGGATTTTGTTAGGATTCAAGTTTTAAGAATTAAATTAAGTTAACTAGATCTAGCTTTTATTTTCCTCCCCCTCTCTCTCTCTTTCTCTTTCTCTTTCTCTTTCTCTCTCTCTCTCTCTCTCTCTCTTATTAATGGGGCGTTGCAAGAAAGTTGAGTTGCGATCAATTACAAATTTGCAATTAATCGCTAGACTTACGTCTGATTTTGGGGATTTGGAATTAATTGCAACTTTCTTGCAATGTCCCATAAGATCATTAAAAAATGTTCAAAGCCACAACTGCTTTCTTCTCTTGCAGGATTATGCCAGATAGCCCAGAGGATACCAGTGTTTCATCCCTTACCCGGAAGAGCTCATCATCAATCGCTGAGGGGCGGGGGCAAGTGACCCCTGAGGGATCGACCTCTGACACCAAAGCACGTCAGCAGGAGAGTACCTCCGTCACACCTCCAAAGAGAGCCACTCCAAGGGACCGAAGCACGTAAGTCCGTTTAAAAATGAACACATGAACATATATACTAATATAACAAGATACTTTATTGGACATGTTTTTATCAGTTGAAGCTTAGCAGAACCTTGAAAAAGATTGTAACTTGGAAGTAGGCCCATTTTTGAAATATAATTCAATATTTTACAAGATTGATTGCATGTGATTATGAATTGTGAAATATATTCAGTCTTACTAAAACACATTGAACAAGCATTTAAAAAACTAACCCAATGACCTATCTGCAAAGAGCACATGACATTAGCTTCATACGCTGTATAATCATTTAACAACCCTTTTCTTTTCAAAAAAATTATCATCACTCTGTGATTGTATTATCATCACTCTGTGATTGTTTGTAAGAATAACATGTGTAATAATAATGGGCATAAAATAATTTTGGACGTAATACTTAAAGGTTCATTATCATTTTTACAGGAAAAAAAACAGACGACCCGATCAACAGATTTATGTTCCCAGGAGAGGACGACAGACCAACAGAACATCACCTGAAATTCCGCAATCTGTAAAAAAATCCATTGATACAAAACAGCCAACTCTTAAAGGCAGTCAACAATCAGAAAAACCTTTAGCAGGTGTAGGTGATCACCATATTAATCAGACTGATCGTTGTATTAATGCTAGCTCAAGAGCGGTAGAAGCGGAGATATCCTCAAGCTCAAAGGCACTGTCCATTGAGGATCAGGACAACTTGTCCACAAAGCTAGGGAATGGTGCAGTGGATGATCGGCTTGTAGACACAGACATTGATCAGTGCTTGCCATCTTCCTGCAGAACACCAGATTTGGAGGACACCAGGCGAGAGGTTGAAGATAAAATTGTTGAATCGTTGAGCAAATATAGAGAGAGCCATTGTGAGGTGGTATTGAATAACATACCTTGTGATTTCCAGAGAGAAAGTTCTGATAACGACGTCATCCAGGAAAGCAGCACAGAAGGTGTTAGTATAGCCTGTACTCCTGCACAAGAACAACCGCAGGAAATAGTTTGTGAAAGAGCTTTGAAAGACACTCGCATTATTCGTAGTGGTAACCAAACGAAAGTTAGGAAATTGGAAAGCGAATGCTACAAGGTTGTAGCAACACAAGACCAACCACCCTCACCAACTGAGGAAATAATGGCCGATGATGCCACGCGTTTGGAACCAACGGGTGTCAGTGGCAATGGCGACGACAAGACGGCAAAGATAGCTGATGATTCTAAGGAGCCAAGGAAAGATGGAGGAGAGAAAGACGATGTAAAGAAAGAAGATGACGAAGGAGAAGAGGAGGAAGACTCATGGGATACCATGTTTGATGAGGAGGGGAACAGCTTGCAAGAGGATGAAGTCAAAGAGGTACGAAGAAAATTAGTTATTTCACCTTCAGAGATCAATGTACAGTGATGGCTGGGTAGATGGCTGGCTGGCTGGATGGATGGATAGACAGTAGCCATGAATAGTTCAATTTTCTGAAGACAATTCCCTGTTACAGAAGCTTTCTTTCAAATATTTTTCCAAATATAATTCGACTTGTTCTTGCTGTCTTGTTGCTATACCCCCCCCCCCCCCTCCCCCAGCCATTGCCTATCAGAGGCTCTGGCACTCTGTTTGTAGACCGGGAGATCTTGGGATCAACAGGGCTCTGGAAGCATGGGATAGTTGCAAAATGTGTTGGAAGCTAATGAAGGGATGTTAAATCTCAAAAAAGTTATGGCATAGTCTGCATATAGAGTAGTTTGATAAATGAAACATTTGTACTTTTGAAGTCAATACATTTTGTTAGATGTTCTTTGTATGTTTCTATAGTTGGTAAGTATTCACAAAGTACTTACGGCCACAAGTCTTTTAATAATTTGTAGCATTATTAAAGAAAAATTATGATTACATAATAACTGAATCCATATATGATATTGTCATCATTCCATTCTAGATAACAGATGCTGTTGGTGGAATATCAGTGTCAGTGAAGAAACCAGCTCATGATTACCATAACTTCTCACCGAAGGATACCACAGACTATTCTAGTAAGTAGAAGGGACTATCAAACATCTTTCTTTGAAGAAATGCGCACCCAAGAAATTGTCACTATGTATGTAGCTGTTCTGTGCTTGAAAGCAATGGCATTGGTCTTATTGGTCTTATAGGTTAAGGACGCACATATTTAATAGGATATATTTGAAACTTGTGAGCATTTTAAAAGCAATCCTTTTAATGGCACATTGTTACAATTGTACTCTTTCAAATTGGAACAACAAGAATTATAAAGCTCACAAATTATGCCTTGAACCCAACCTTCCATTTAAATCTGGGAATACTGCTATTACATAAATTTTGTTAGAGATGGTTTTCCATCACCTTTGTAATCATTTATTTCCTTCTTTCTTTTTTTCTAGAATTGGAACATGTGATAGAAGCATATGACTTCCCTGCTGATTTCAAGATGGAAGACTTGGTCATGACTTTCAGTGCATTCAAGTAGGTAGTCTGTGGCTTATCAACTTCTCAGTTTAAAGAAAAGGTTGAGTTCTGGGAAGAGGTGAAAATTAATTTGTGAGCGATATCATTGTTATTATGTAAGTGTGGAAGAACATCAGAATTTGTTTTCTTCCCTGAATAGCATGGCTCTTTAAATGCTTTCATATTCTAAATATGGCATGTAACATCATAAAAATTGGGACAGATTTTTATGCCAAATTTTTGTGTAGCCCCATATACATCTTTCTGTGTACAGTGCTTGTAACTTTACCAAGACTGGGCCAAATATCTTAATCATTTTGATGGTTCGAGAACCTTGCAGTACACACCAATACTTATATGCTAGATGATCAACCTTTTCTGATTGATTCCACACCGTTTCTTTCACAATGCAATTGCATGACCAGAACCTAATTTTTTTCTTTAAGTGGTCATTGTATTTTGTAAATCGCAAATATTTCAAAGTAGGACGTATTTTCACTCTGAAATTACAATAACAGGGTAAATTGAAATTAAAACAATGCTTTTTGATGCGTTAGATTTGAACAGCTAATCTTTTAAATATGTATGCAATATATTATGCAGTATATTGATCATGCAATTACTAATTTTATATGGTTAAATAGTACCATTTTGGTTCAAGTTGACTCTTGTGCAGGTCTATCAAATTACAGAATCTTTAAAAAGGGGCAATAATTCATTTCCATTTCATGTAATGTTTCCTCTGTAGAGTTTTGATCTGTGTATTCTTGTTCTTAGTATGCCGTCAATGTACAATTTTCTGTGTAATAACTGTTTTTTTTGTTTGCATTTTCTTTTATACAAATATAGTAATAAAGGCTTTGACGTCAAATGGGTTGATGATACACATGCCTTGATTGTGTTCACAACACCTCAAGTAGGTAAGTACCATGTACTGTTTGTCAACAGTTACTCCAAGTAAAAAAAACCTCTTTTTTAAAATACTTTTAATGATATCTTGTTCAAGCAAGAATTAATTATCTCAAAGGATTTATAAAAGGTAATGACGTTAACTCTCATTCTATTTGACTCATTTCTATTCAAATTTATCAATCACCTACCAGAAAGAAAAAAATAAATAAATAAATTTGCAAAAACAATTTTTTTTTCTTGGATATTTCTTCTATATCGTCGTCTACAAAGAGTCAGTAGATGTTTGTTCTGCACCTAAGTTCTGAAACAAAGAAATTGCTTCAAGGCATTGTTTCACATTGCCAAATCTGAGATAGACTGTAGTGTTATAAAAACGTTGGGAAAATGATAAATATCTTGATAATCAGATGGGCGATTGGCTTGTAAACGTCATGGGATTCCTGACTGACCTAAAGGTTTATAATTATGATTGCAGCATGAGCTAAATCCAGGATTTTGTTTAGATATTTACTTGATTGGATTTCCCATCTTTAATCTTGAATTCTAATACCGGTTGAATGCTCACTATAAGATAACTAGGTCTGGAGTCTATGAAAAGTGTGTATTATACAAAATCAAATCATATCCCTTCACTCCGGCCCCATCTTACAAAGAGTTGCGATCGATCAAAATCAATCGCAAGTCCTCCAATCAATCGCAAGTCTCCAATCTCTTATGTACATCGTTGCAATTGATATCAGTTGCAAATAAGTTGCGATTGATATCAACTCTTTGTAACACAGGGCCCTGTATCAAGGGTGACAAAGGTCAAACAGTTTTTGAGCGTCAAGTAACGCCTGGCTGGAATGATCCCCAGGGAGTGGAGATTGTGCACACAGTGTGTGCGGGCAAGCACTGAATCCAATGATCGGGGTAATAGTATATTTGTAAAGTGCTTAGAGACATTTGTATTAAGCGCTATATAAAAGCTAAATATTATTATTATTATTATTATTATTATATAAATGTCATTTTGCATTCTGTATTGTCATAATTTTTGGTGTCCTTGATTCCTTCGATAGCTTCCGATGCCCTTGGTCTTCAGAACCCCATGCTGCGGACGCGCCTGCTCTCCCTCGCCTCCAAGCAGTCCAAGCAGAAGGCCAAGGCCACCGTGGAGTTCCTACAGCCTTACCGACCACGCCCTGAGACCAGCTCCCTGGCCGCCCGGAGGATGGTGTCAAACGCCCTGGGTGTGAAGAGCAACGTGAGCAAGGAGCAGAGGGATGCAGAGAGACAGAAACTCAAAGAAGCCAAAGGTGAGAGGAGAATAGTTCTCAAGGGGGTGTTTCACAAAGATCCCAAGTTGAACTTATCTCCAAGTTAAATATTATGGAATGCCGTTAGCATCTTTGAAAATATTTTGTAAAAGTTATTTCAAAAGGCATAAAGTGTTGATTCAAATCATTCATATTTCCTATTAGCAAGGAGATTTCATGTTCTTGATGTGGAATTTATGAAAAGTCTAAGATACTTGCATTTTTGCTTTTGAATATATTTTATTTTAAGGCTACAAATGGCTCTCCATAATTTTTAAGTCAAACTTAAAGTTAAGTTCGACCTTGGATCTTTGTGAAACACCCCCTGATTAGTCAACCAGTGGGGGGGGGGGGGGGTGATTTACAAAGACTAAGATCGACTTTGAGTTGGACTTAACTATGGCAGGCTGTTTATGCCACTGTTTGCCATCACCATTTACCATTTAAAAATCATGGTCACAAATCTACAGAATCAATATTTTTTTTATTCATTATTGAATGAAAAAATATTATCTAAAGATCATAACGGTGAAAACAAACAGTTTGAGTTTGAGTTTGAGTTTGAGTTTGAGTTATTGATTTCACATTTCACATGCAGAAATAATACAGATAACAAAATAAACATAAAAGACATATTGTTTCATAATATAACAAAATGATTATATTAATTGACAAGGTAATCATCAGTGGCATGATTGGCCTGCCATAGTTAAGTCCAACTTAAAGTCGATCTTAGTCTTTGTGAAACACCCCCTAGGTGTATTGCCGTTGGTCTACAACCAGTTTGTCTACTATCCGCATGGTCTAATTATCATTGCGCCTTCTTATCATTTGGTCTAATGACCATTTAGGCTTATAGCCATTTGGTCTTCTTAGTTATTGATGATGAAATAGATTTTTGTCTTACAGGGGTAGCATAAAAATATATTTGAAAAAATTAAATTTAGGGTGAATATATGACGTTTTTTAGTACAGGGCAAACGGGAGGGGAGCTTGCAAGATATGTCACAGAGTTGCCAATTTGTGTTTGATTAATTGCACCTTCAAAAAGTTTTTGCTCAAACTTTCGCTGACCTGTTTCTCTCGTTCTGATCCTATTATAACCGTCTTAATTTCAGGGTGGACTTCCCTTTTAACCGATGCCATATCCTTTACTCCTGCAGTAAATATGTATTTCCTTTTGAAACAAAGAATTCATCATCACTTTTCTTTTCTGTTTCACTTCTTTTCACACCCTGCAGAGAAAAAAAGAGACGAAAAGAGGCAAAAGGCTGACGTGTGGGATGGCAATATTTGAGACCTGATTTTCTTCTGTTTGACTTTTGATGGAACACGGTGTAATATATATATAAGTCAGAGATATCAGTATTTTTCTTTGTACTTTCTGTCGAGTTGACCTTTATGTTTGCAAGCATCCAGAATTTTCTGAAAATGAAGTTGTCCTTAGTTTTCTTAAATTTTTTTTTTTTTTGTGAAAATGAAATTATATTGTATGAAGTTAAACTAATTTACATGATATTGCCACTATTTCAATTAATATACATATTTTTAAAATTTTATTTTTTGGAAGGGGGGGGGGGGCACTTTTTTGTACTAGTTCGCCAACAACCCATTGAAAAGCGTGTATGGAATTTAACATGCGTTTCAAATCAGGGGGGGGGGGTAGGGTTAGGGGGGTGTCGGTGAACTGGTTCTTAAGATGGTTTCACAATTTCTTGAAACAATGCTTGGATGCATAATTGTATACAGAGTGTGTCACAAAATGTTGCAATTTTATTATGTTAATCTGTTGAAGTTTGATTTGATTATGATATAAAAGTATGGCTCCAGCTGTCCAACCCTTGTTTATCTTGAGATCAGTTTCAACAGGGTCATTTGCTGGAGTCAAAATGTATGGAATGATGTCATATACATGTATTATTGAAAAACAGGATTGAATAACCTCAGGCTCAGTGCATATTAGCACAATGGATTGACCAAGTAGCAAGAAGAAGCGAAACTTTCTTTGTAGAAACATAATATATGAAGTTGAATTGTGAGAAAAGAGGAAATGATGTAATTTGTTTTGTTTGTTTTGTCAAGGTAGAAGCAAGCTTTTTAATGAATTTAGCTTAGATTGATTGTTTTTCATCTTATTTTTGTTTAGCATGTTTGCTTCTTATAGTTTAGAATATTCTGAAAGGGAGTGTAGCGTGACAAGACTGTGTCTTTCCTGTGGCCTGACTATGGGCCAATCGGGTATGATACGAACGACGCGACCGCAGCAATCACGTGCGTGCAACATACGCCAAACCGAAGCGTGAGGAGAACTTCGGTCTATTTAGCCAACGATAACCATGTAGAGATTAAGTCACTGACTACCGTTAATCAAGTCCATTCGTTTACTTGCAGTTGTCCAAAAGAAGACGTAGATGGCGTTAACCAGTATTTGCCAAGCTACACTCCCTTTAACTAAAATTGAAAAGGATTTCTAATTGAAGACTTTCATTTCAGTAGAGCCATGCCTTTGTAAAACTGAACAGTTAGAGTTAAAGCTAATCTTGAGCTCAGGTATAGAAAACATATTTTGAGAGAAAATTGCTTTGATTTATTCTGGATCGCTTATCCTGCAGTAGATAGGTTGTTTGAACCAGTGAAATGAAAAACAAACGCTCAAAAACTTCCTGGGCATCATCTTCGATAAAAACAACAACTCCCATTTGCACATAGTGACCTGTGTTAAGCACATGGTGCCGGGCCTACTTACCAGGATTTCCTTATCTTTTTATGCTCTATACATTTTCTACCAAAATTGTTTAATAGGCACGTGTCATTTATTTGTAATCTTGAACATTCAGTGAAAGTTTCGTTGGATTCTGTGAGAATTTATTTTCTATATTTACCAGAACTCAAGTTTATCTTTAAGCTACCACGTGGTATTAACAAAGTTGACCAACTGTAGAAATGTACTGATAAGTTGCATGGAAAATAGATTCTATTGAGAGTTATGAAATGATAAGTAAACAATATTCCACTCTGTTATATATTTCAATTCATTTTTTTTCCATTCATTTATCGATGCAAGTGTTACAATCGTATTGTTAAAGAATTGATGTGAATGTTTTGTCGAGTGCACTTCTTCCATTAAACCAAGTCTGTTCTTTCCGACCTCTTGTTGTTCTGTGAATTTGCAAACAATCGAGTTGCATCTATATTTTATATTAAACTTTTAATTTTATCTTAGAGCACGCTTGATTTTGTCTCCTCTTCAGACTGGGAAAAAGCGTTGAGTGCTTTGATATTACTGTTATGTTTGTTTCGATCAACCACTGTTGTACAAGAAGAGTTGACATTCGATCTGATATTTGTAGATAAAATGTTTTACATGTATAAATTTTATCTGTATTTCAAAGTAATAAAAACAAGAAAAACTGTATGTTTGATATTTACGTTTTCTTATTTTCTACTCTGTAGTGCTTTGCAACAGTCCATCAGGCATGAAACCTAATTAGAACATATACATAATTCTACTTTTAGAAGAAACATTTTACATGTTATTCTTTTTTATGCCTCCGTTACGAAGTAGCCGGAGGCATTATGTTTTTGGGTTGTCCGTCCGTCCGTCCGTGTGTACGTACGTTACGTACGTACGTACGTACGTCCCGTTCTCAAGATCGCGTTATCTGAAGAACCGATTGATGGATTCCTGCCAAACTTTGGTCATGTATGTATCTTGCAGAGCCGATGAACTGAATAGATTTTGAGGTCACGAGGTCAAAGGTCACAGGCTTCATTATGTATGCAAAAACAGCTCGTGATCGCGTTATCTGAAGAACCGATTGATGGATTCCTGCCAAACTTTGGTCATGTATCTAGCAGAGCCAATGAACTGATTAGATTTTGGGGTCACGAGGTCAAAGGTCACAGCGCACATTATGTATGCAAAAACAGCTCGTGATCTTGTTATCTCAAGAACCGATTGATGGATTCCTGCCAAACTTAGGTCATGTATGTTACTTGCAGAGCTGATGAACTGTTTAGATTTTGGGGTCATGAGGTCAAGGTCGAAGGTCATGCGGCTCATTATGTATGCAAAAATAGCTTGTGATCGTATTATCAATAGAACAGATTGATGGATTCCTGCCAAACTTAGATCATTTATGTATCTTGCAGAGCCAATGAACTGAGTAGATTCTTGGTTCATAAGGTCAAAGGTCATGAGCTCATTATGTATGCAAAAATAGCCTGTGAACGCATTCTCATTAGAACTGACAGATGGATTACTATTTAACTCAGGACATCTTGCAGAGCCAATGAACCAAGTAGATTTTAGGGTCAAAGATCAAAGGGTCATATATGTATATGAGAAATTGCTTGTAATCACGATATTCTGAGAACCTGTTGATGGATTACAATTGAACTTGAATTTTAAAAATTTCTTCTGTTTTGGTTTGTAAAATTGATCTATGACGGAGGCATCATTTTTGACTGCGAGCAGTCGAAGTTCCATCTAGTTTTAAATGTTTTATTTATTCAAAATAGGTAAATTTGTGCTGACATACATGTAATTATTCGAGATTATTGTTCAATACATTTCAATATGATAACTGACAATTTTTCCCCACCATTCCTGTAGGGTTCCTGCACTAATTGCCTGGCACTTTCCATACAAACTCCTCAAAAAAAATTGGAAACTCATTTTGATTTAATATCTCTCTCTTTTTTAGGCATAATCATCGCTTTGTTTAGTATCGTTAGAAAGTGAGTTATCCCTCTTTAAAATGATACCCCATTTGTTATTCATGTAATGTGCGTTACATCAAAAGAAGGGGCAAGGTCAAAAGTGAAAAGTTTGGAAATGCACTGCTCCTATTTGGCTGTGCATTCTTCATTCTTTGAAAAGAGTAGGGTTGCTGTGAAGTGCACCGCATAATAGTACCAGTGCTTACCAGTGCATTTTGCAACTTTTCACTTTTGACCCTGCCCCTTATTCTGATGTACTGCTCATTTCATGGCTGCAAAATCATAACAAATATGGCAGCAGGGGATCCAGGAGAGGGGGGGCAAAACGGACGCGGCTCCTTCTCTTGGCGGCGCAAAAAAGGAGAAAGAACGAAAGGAAGAAAAGAAGGGAAAAAGGAAAGGAGAAGAGAAAAGAAAGAGAATGAGATAAAGAAAAAAAAAAGAAAAAGAAATGAGAAGCCGGGTGAGAAAGGGAGAAAGACAAGGAAATTGCACTAAATGACAGTAACGACGAAAGGGCAGAAATTGAACTTTCTAGAAATGTGATTTTCTCTTTGAAATTCAGATACCGCCCGCCAAATGACTTTTCGGTTACCTCTCTTCATATTGTCTTGTATCACTCATGCGTGAAATTTGCATCATTGATTCAAATGAAAGACGAGGATCTAAGCTTTATAAATATGTGTCCTTTATTAATTATAATTGTGATTAAGTTATGATAAAACATCGATAATTCTCGCTTTTCGTTTTTTTCTGGGACGCACTGCATATAGTACCACATGAGTTTAATTGTTCTGGAATTCCAAAATAAGTTTTCATTACAATCATGGTTGTAGCACGAGCTGTTTCTATATTTACTCCACAAGGATTCAAAATTTATTTCATAACACCTGCAGTTAATGCGGAATGGGGTTGCAGCCTCTCTTTCCCCGAAAATATGAAAATTAATGCATTTTATTTATCTTATGTCTTATATTTTGGTGATAAATAACACTTTTACAACATACATAATATGCTCAAATTTTCGCTCGTTCGTCAAATTGTGAAACTAAAAAATTGATATTAGAAATCATTGAAAGGGACAGCGAACATTTGCTGGGATACCACTTTCTGATGTAGGAATTCCAAATCCTGATATTTCACGCGTTCTCTTATCTCACCACCTGGTCAACAGTTGCAAATTAGCGCATAAGACACATTTATTCAAAATTGCGTTTGATGATTAATTAACTCTGTTCACTTTAATGTGTATTCCATATAAGTAATTTGTAGGCTTATTTGCATTTTTAGTTTTGTATAAGATGTAATTGCATATCAGTCTATTTTGTGTGTTATAGCGCTCAGAGACTTCGGTGGTAAGCGCTTTGTAAGTAACGTTTTTTATAATTATTATTATTAGTATAACTTTTAGGCGGCTTGATGGATTGGGTCAAAGGAGAGCGGCTTGACTCCACTTCTTCTCTATCACCTCCCCGCTCCAAACATTTTGGACCTGCCTTAATTCCTTCTTCACAGTCCGATGCCCATTACACTAGTTCTCCCGCATTACGTATAAATCGCCGAAACCTATTGTATGGTTATTCATAATGATTATTGTTACCTATCTTCGCTCCAGTGATCTCAAGGTTATATCGCTTGGCTTGTGAAAGTCCACAGGACTGGACGAGAGCTTTTAGGTTGGTATAGTCGATAGAAGTGTAGTGTTTTTGTATTCGCCATACACCGGGGAGATATAAATACGGGATAACAGCCAGGAAAGAATACTAATGCACATGTGCTATGCATAATTCCATGGAAAGCTTGGATGCAAGTTGACTTGGAATCGAGAATCATAGCCAAATTACAAGAAACAGTTTGATAATTAAAATGGGTAAGTTAATGTTGGACCTTGTCTCTCATTCTTCTTCTCCCTAAGTTCTTCTTCTTGTTTTTTTTCTTCATTTCACCCCTCCTCCTCCTCTTTCTTCATCCTCTAATTCTTCTTTTCCCCTTCTTCTACGTTTCTCCTTCATTTCCTCTTCTTCTTCCTCTTCTTCTTTCGTCTTCTCCTCATTCTTGTATTTTGTGTATGTGTGCATTTGTGTGTATAGAAGGAGGCGCGATAGCTCAGTAGGTAGAGCAGTACTTCTACTTCTACGTCGGTACTTGACAGGATCCATCAGTCAGGATATAACGTCAAGGTTGAAATGTCTGGCAAGGTGCTCTTGTGCAGTGCAGTCAGTTGGTGTATTATGTATAAGGTGCAAGTAAAAACAATTCTCAGCCATCAATGGCGTTTCTGGAATAGGGCTCCCTGGAAGGTTTCTGCTGTTGCAGAAACCAAGATATCTGGAGGGAGCATGTACCATGCTGCAACTGTAGTCTCGTAATCCGGATACCCGGATTCGAAACCAAGTCGATGCGCTATATAGTACCCTTTGGTTAAGGCATTAATCCTCATTACCAGGTCCCTCGGCGAGGACCTAAACCTGTCGGCTGTCTGGTTGCTTACTTACAAGCATTTATGCTTTCTTAGCAGTAAGGTAAAATAACCACCATCACCAAAAGTTGTGTGTATGCACGAGGGTGGGTGTGTGTGTGTGCAACACTGTATGTGTGTGTGCGTGTGTGTGTGTGAGTGTTTGGGAGAGGGGTGTCAGTGGGAGAGGGGTATCAGTTCCTTGGGCCCCCAGGGATCTGTCATGTAGACAGGGGTGTCGATTTGTATCCGTGGTTGGGGGAATGATAGGTGCCAAAATATTTTCGGCAATGGATCAAAGCAGCCAAGAGGGAGAAGCGTGTGGCAGGTTGCACCCCCTCCCTTCCAAGTTATTAACTTTTTCAAGTCGCCCCAAACACAGATAACATTTCAGAGAATATGGGACCTATGTGGGTCCCACATGGGCTTGCTACCTGGGTTATTATCCTCTCAAGCGCGTAGCCAGGATTTTATTGTAGGGGGGTGGTAGTGAGCACCCGAAGCGCGCTCCCTGGGGGGGGGGGGGGGGGTGAGTGGGGGTGGCTCGACTCTTAATCCTTGTTTGAATCAAGTTCCCCTTCCTCCGCGCCTAGCGCGGAAGCTTTGACGATTCATTAAATTATTAGAGAAACAAGACGATTCCTTGTACCATTCTCGACTCTTAACTTAGTCTGAATTCAGTTTCTCCCCTCCCCCTCCCGCGCGAAGCGCGGAAGCTTTGATGTTTCATTAAATTATTAGAGAAACAAGACGATTCCTTGTACCATTCTCGACTCTTAACTTTGTCTGAATTCAGTTTTTCCCCTCCCCTCCCGCGCAAAGCGCGGAAGCTTTGACGTTTCATTAAATTATTAAAGAAAGAAGACGATTCGTTGTACCGTTCTCGACTCTTAACCTTGTCTGAATTCAGTTTCCCACCTCCCCCTCCCGCGCGAAGCGCGGAAGCTTTGACGTTTCATTAAATTATTAGAGAAAGAAGACGATTCGTTGTACCATTCTCGACTCTTAAAACTTGTCTGAATTCAGTTTCCCCCTCCCACGCAAAGCGCGGAAGCTATGACGTTTCATTAAATTATTAAAGAAAGAAGACGATTCGTTGTACCGTTCTCGACTCTTAACCTTGTCTGAATTCAGTTCCCCCCCCCCTCCCCCTCCCGCGCGGAGCGTGGAAGCTTTGACGTTTCATTAAATTATTAGAGAAAGAAGACGATTCGTTGTACCGTTCTCGATTCTTAATCCTTTTTCTTCCTACGTCCTCTTCCTTTCTTCTTTCTCTGTTTTTTTTTGGCCGCCCCCGGCCCCCTTGCTACGCGCCTGTATCCTCTCTGTCTCTCATTATCTCTCTCTCTCCCACTCTCTACTTCTTTTTTGCACTTTTGCGCTTCGCGCTTAACATTTAGCTCGTTGCTTTTTAACGCTGCGGCTTTGCATTTGGCGCACTGCATTTCTATGATGCTGTCTCATTTACTTCGTTTTCTATTTATGTATGTATTATGAAAATGAGATAGCAAACTGTGTATATTAATTGATGGTCATCTTGCGAGTAATAACCATTAACTACTCTTATCGGGCTCTCATCATTAGTTTTCTCTTCATTTTTTTTTTTTTTTTGGTGATGGTGAATTATATGGGGGGGGGGGGGGGGGGGGGGGAGGGGATATATCCCCCCATACCCCCACCCCCCCCCGGAATCGACACCCATGCATGTAGAAATACTGTAAGCATGCGTGACCACAGGCTTTCCAGACACCCCATTATAACAAAAACAAGATTAACAAGGATTTTTTTCTTCTTCTGAAGCCATAATACACCGTATAAATAATTGAGGATTTAATTAGCTTGTTTTTTTCTTCTAGAATCACACTCTACTTCTATTATGCTACTAGTCAAAACCTATTCAGCATCTAGACAAGGTAACGGCTATTTTACAAAAGTGTACTTCTACACAAGTTTTTTTTAAATTGTAACCCCTTGGACATTTTGAAGTGCGATAGGGATTACCATTAAGTTGTTAACAATGTAAAATGAATAAAATTCATACTAATATAATCGTCCAGGGTAGTAAATGGCATCTAAAATTGCCCCCTTGACAGATTTTTAAAATCAGCTTCGAGATGCATTTGGCCACCAACACTACCTTGCACAATGTCAAAATTTAAAAAAAAGGACGGAAAGGGGGCAATTCGGAACTACTCCTAAACGCGTTCAGCAGGATTTTGAAAAAGTACCTTTTTTCTTGAAAATTAATGTTTTTTAACCCCATGGACCGCGTCCATTCTATATATAAAAAAAAGAACACCCCCTTTATACGCGTTTTCTAGGTCACGCATTTATATTTGACCGAGACCGCTGGGCTTGGGCCTTCCGTGTCTTTGACCTATACCAGGGTTTCTCAAACTTTTGCTTTGACGGTCCAGATATGATTTCTATAAAAGCTGTAATTAGGTCCGAAACATGGGATGTCATTCGCCTGAAAATTCTTATGGTCGATCGTATAATCAACTTAAGTAGAACATATGTTTTTTTTTAATGTATACACGACCCTGTCTTTGATCGATCGGCTTCTATCTCCACAGGTATGTTCATCATCCTTTCGATTGCATGCTGTCTCTCTTCAGCTGCCCAAGCATCACTAGAGAATGATGACATTGTCCCAAGCTCGATCATGATGTCATTCTGGGATGATTGGATAAGAGAGAACATTCTACCACCAATCAGGGTCGGAGAGGCATCTTCTAACGGGTCACAATGTTTCCAGGAACTTGAGAAAATATTCACAGAAGGCGGAAAGAAGCGAAATATAAGTAAGTACAATAAGCGAGGGTGAATTTACGATATTGTCAAAAGGGTTGGAGCACAATTTCGAAAACATACTGGCAATGTTATTGTTGTGTACATAAGATATGCCTTTTTTAAATGGATAGGTGAGTTTTGTTGCAGAGGGCTCTACACAAAATATATTTTGTGAGATAATGAAAAACTGATTGCCAAATTTGAAAGAACATACAATTTAAATGACAAAATCATCTTTGTTTGAAACAAGAACTCAACTTTCCCAGCATGGCCCTGCTTTACACCTCCGCTAGTTCGCCTCTGATTCCGATGACATTGCTGTATGATAATGATAACGGTAGCCAATTGTTCTATTTGATTTGATATACATACTTTAGAAAATTGCTCCAATTGTCCTGTCAGGTTTAATAATATAATAGTTATATTTCCTTTTCCATACATTTTTTTTCTGTAAACTTTTATGATTTTCTTTCCTCTTTTTTTCATGGTTTTACAGACCTATTAATATATCGTTGTTTTAACGAGATGTCTATTATATATACAAAACACTTACTTAGTGTTCAGGCTACCTTTGAACAGACTAGCCTGGATAAAGGTGTAAGATGATTAATGTAGTATTTAGGAACTCAGAGACATAAAACTAGATACAATGAATTTAGAAGTTGAGATGATTTAATCTAGTCTTACAAACACAACAATTAATGAATCCAAATTGTCTTGGCTCTAATTTCTCTTTGTAGTTGTAGATGCGACTGGTAAACCATCTTCTGGCATCCTTGAGGGTAACATTGCTTGGTTAGGGGACTACAGACAGTGTGTAGATACAACAGATCTTCATTATTGTCTTACTACAGCACAAATACGAGTACAGTCAGTCAGCCATCGGGTAGGAAAGCTTTCCTTACTACATCTCTCATAATTATAGTCATTGTTGGTCAAACATTTTTTTGAGCGTCATGTAACGCCTGGCTGGAATGCTCCCCAGGGAGTGGAGATTGTGCACACAATGTGTGCGGGCAAGCACTGATTCCAATGACCGGGGTAATAGTATATTTGTAAAGCGCTTAGAGACATTTAAAAGCTAAATATTATTATTATTATTATAACAGGGGCTTTGTAACTCATTGTGAGACAGATTTTTGTTTGGGTTTAGAGGAAGGGGTGTCGAAAACAAGATTCGCTGACAATTATTTTGTTATTATCTCCCTTTCTTGGTGAGAGTGGAGCACTGCATTATTTTTTACTATTATATCCCCTCCCGTTCAATTCAGTTTAACCAGCCAACCAACTACATGTACAGTGTAAGTGCAATGTGCTGAATAATGTAAATAGTGGCATTGCGCAGGTGCAGCCTATTGAGGGGCGTAGAAATGGGTCAATATGGACTTTTAGATTTGCGTGGACTGATACGTGTGACGTCCATTCAAGGCAGTGCATTACAAGGACGTCGATCGTAGCAATCCACGTTGTCGTTGTGCAAATCTAAAAGTCCCTAATATGCAAATGCAAGGGAGCTTCGATCACTCTTCAAAGATTTTAACTTTACCTTTTCCTAAGAATGGTATTTCTAAAATGAGAGGATAATTCAAATTTCTTGCAATAAGTGGATCACGATGTTGTATTTTCGTATGGAATAAAATTTCTCCAAAGTACTTTTTCTTTAATGAAATTTCTGATCATAACTCAACGTTTAATAGTTATTGTATCTATTATTTTGATTCCTATTTATCTAATAGCAAAGTGGATCTCTATCAGTAGGTGTTTGCCTTCCTGAAGAATGCAGGGAGAAAGACATATTTTTCTTTTCCCGGTTCATCAGTGAGTAGAACATTCTGTTACATGCCGTTTTTCCGGAAGTTCTTTTTCCGAAAGGTCGTAATTACGAACAAAAATGGTGCTCCGGGGGGGGGGGGGCGGCAAGGAGGCACAGTGCCCCCATCTTATCTAGTACTCCTAAAGTGCACCTTTTTGCCTAGGAAAATTGCTCCTTTTTACTTCTGAGGTTTACTGTTTCTTTCTGAGTGTCCTCTTTTAGTACAGTCACTTTATATAAATGATCTCCCACAAATTGCAAAACAAAATGTTTCAACTGTTAAAGTATCATAGAAATGCACTTAATTACATGTAAACATTCTAAAAAGAAGCCTGAGTAATGGAAAGTGTTTAAAAAATAGTCCGAATAAGTGATAACTCTTCCATATGCAACAATGGATGCATTGGGGTCCAAGCTATCAGAAATTGATGGGGTTCACATTTTCCCGAAGACACCAAATTTCCCTATTGCGCGTTATATATGCCATTTTGGCGCCCAATATGGACCCCCAGGAAATGAAGGAGGGGTCTGAACATTTGAACCCCATCATTTTTGGTCAATTGGGACCCTTTTGAAACCCAAACAGCAAAAAACAATCAACTTTGGCAAAAAAATCCTACGGGATTACATACCATACCGCACTATAATGTATATCCATTCTTGTGTGCTTGCCCAACAAAGCAACATGCATGGAGCCATGTGGTGTCCACGATCTACGTGCATACATCGTTGACTATGAGCAGAAGACCCAAACATATATGCATTGTGTTTAGCCCAAGGTTGAAGTTGGGAGTTCGTTCAATGTCAGGGGCGGATCTAGGAGGGGGCGGTTTTGGTGGTTAAAACACCCCCCCCCCTTTGGGCGGCCAAGTGAGAAAAAAAAGGGGGAAAAAAGGGGAAAAAAAAGAAGAAAATAGAAGAAGAAAAAAGTAAAGCAGTAAAACGGCGCGATTTTTGGAAATTCCTGGATCCGCCACTGGGTCAAACACCCCCCTTGGCAAAAAACTAGATCCGCCCCTGAGTGTATGGAATTTTTCAGCGTAACCATTTAATTGTGTGAAGTTTTGAAGAAACAGACGGGTGTAAACAGATGACTTTGTAGAAATTCATAAAATATGTACCTGAATTTCAGAAAATCTCGTGCCCGGAGACTTGATCGGGAGAGTAAAAGTGAACTGCAATGAGAGAATGAATCCATCTGGTGATTCTGGATTCATTTGCACAATGTAAGCAACAACTAACATGTTTATATCTATTACTGTTTGCTTGTTTTACTTTATTATTGTTCCTAAACATATGTCATGTACATTCTACTTTTTGTTGTAACAGTGCTCTGATCAGTTCGCTGTGAAAGCGGTTCAAAGAAAACAATTACTCTCATTATTATTATTATCATTATTGTTATTATTGTATTCATTTTATTATTATCATTATCTTTATTATGATTAATATAAGTATAATGATAATAATTATTATTATCATCATCATTGGTATCATTAGTATTATAATTGTTGTTGTTGTTGTTATTTATGTTTTTGTCGTTATTATTATTAAATGTTCTGTGAACTTAGCTTAACACGTTTATTAACCACACGTTTGTTCAGTGCGGTATAGCTTTATAGCCCCATTCGGTATAGCTCAGCCCCATTCATTCAAAGACCGATCCATTTTCATTCGAATTTTGTTTCAACTACCTTGCCATGAGCTATGCTGATGGGACTGCTTGGTGGCAGGGGTCAAAATCACATTCTTCGTTAAAAAAAAAATCCTTTTGAAGTTCTATCTATTTTTCTTATTCAAAGGGTCGTCGTTTCGCTGCTCTGTTTGCTGTGTCTCAGTGCAACGGCATATGAGAGTTATCAGAATCATCGAAACAGCTTAGATGAAGAGAGACAACCAATCCTTGAAGTTAAGACGTCAAAGAGGACCTGTAGCATTAACGAATCAGTTAATGATAAAGGTTAACATTCTGTTTCTTGCCCCAGAGGGTAGCTGTGAGGGTAAATAATTATTGTCCGTGGGCATTTGTCCGAGTAAATAGGTGTCCTCCGGAAGTGGATTTCTAAGGGTTAGTTACACGTTCCATGTAAATATTTAGTTTAAAAAGGCATATAGGCCGTGCATATATCCCCCCCCCCCCAAATGGTCAATATATATAAATGAAAAAACAAAACAATACCAGTCCGAAAATCATCTTCATCTGATGTACTCAGATTAAAAATGCTTCTTATCGGAGGCTCTAGAATACATGCATTTTATAACTGAGGCATTTTGAACCATTTTCCAAAAGGACTTTACTAGTGCATGTATTAGTTTTACTTGAGTGGGGGAAAACATTCCTATATTATAGGGCCTAGTTTTTTAGATATCATTGTCCAGTGGTTCGTTCAGGGTGTTTGTCCAGTGTAGTTGGTGGAGTTTTCCAGGGGCAGTTCGGGATAATTCCCTAAAATTTCTTAATAGGATGATTTGAATGTAATAGTTTCAAAAGGGCATGTTCATGAAGCGCCCTCTCAAATGATCTTAGAGAGGTAATCTTCATAAGGGTATAATGCGAAAATATAGGAAGTATGTGCATGGAGTGAGTGTGTGTGGCAGTATGTGCGTGTGTACGGGTAACTTTGCTCCCCTAGCTTTGCTGGTTACATATTGAATTGTAGAAAATATTTAATCGGTAATCCAATACATCATTAAAATGGAGAACAGTAATATTATTTTTTATAAATGTAATGCTTCCTGGGAGAAATTTCAATTACTTAAACATATTTGTGGCTTACACCCAGTAAATAAGATCAATTGATCGATCTGTATTAAAAAACAAGTCAGAAAAAATCTTGGAACCAGCGGGACTTGAACCTGCATCTACTGCTTGCCGTGCAGCGACTCTACCACCACGCCATCACTGGTCCATTGCACAATCACGATGAACTAGAAACAAATACTCAAGCTCTCCTGATTCATTCTGACTTAGTAATATTATTGTAAAACGTTCATTTCTCCTTCTTTATAGACCTATCAGCATGGACATGGAGGAGATGTATCCTCTGTTTTTCTCTGACCCGCTCTGTGAATCAGATCACTAATACGACATCAGGGAAGGATGATATCCAATGTCTTCATGGCATGAGAGTTATCAGCATGTTCTGGATAATACTCGGACATTCATTAAGTTTCCAACAAAAGTCGGGCGCATTGGGTAAGCAGTATATACTACAGAGATATCGACTGCTACGAGAGGACTGGCTATTTTTATACGCTCAATTAAGGAAAATTTGCCTCCGCTGCTATCACTCCGAGGCGCGCCTGATTTCCCGAGAGCCAGTATAGAAACAGCCAGTCCTCGAGTATTAACCCTAATAAGGCCGGGGGGGGGGCATTATGGGTGCGTTTAATCGACACTTTTTCACCCTAGAATCACGGTTTCTAAAGACGTTTAGTTTAAAACGCAATGCGTTCAAGCGATTTTTTCGTCGGTCGTAAAAATAAACGTGTTTGAAAACACAAACATGAAACGCTGAAAAAGATGCGTTTTGTATCATGATTCTGCAGAATCACGGTCGCTAAAATTCGATTGAACGGACGGAGTTCTCAATCATGATTTTATGACGGAGCCTGTTCCGGTTTGGCAAAAACCGCGCGCCTGCTTTTCATGCAATTTGCGTTTACTATACCATGCTCTTTATCGTGGCCTGTTCCGTTATGTTATACCTTGTTTTCCTTCTATCTTTTTCTCTTTCTGTCTTTCCTTATGTTATTCTTTGTTTCTTCCTTCTATTCTTATGTTATTCTTTGTTTTTTTCCTTCTATCACCTTCTCTTATGTTATTCTTTATTTTTATAATTCTATCACTTTCTCTTTAGTTATTCTTTGTTTCTTCTATTCTTATGTTAATCTTTATTCTTTTCCTTCTCTCAGCCTTTCTTATGTAATTCTTTGTTTTTATAATTCTATCACTTTCTCTTTTGTTATTCTTTGTTTCTTCTTTCTATTCTTATGTTAATCTTTGGTTTTCCCTTCACTCACATTCTCTGATGTTATTCTTTGTTTTAATCATTCTATCACTTTCTCTTTCTGTCTTTCCTTATGTTATTCTTTGTTTCTTCCTTGTATCACATTCTCTTTTTGTCTTTCGTTATGTTATTCTTTGTTTCTTCCTTTTATTCTTATGTTATTCTTTGTTTTTTCCTTCTATCACCTTCTCTTATGTTATTCTTTGTTGTTATAATTCTGTCACTTTCTCTTACGTTATTCCTTGTTTCAATCATTCTATCACTTTCTCTTTCTGTCTTTCCTTGTGTTATTCTTTGTTTCTTCCTTGTATCACATTCTCTTTTTGTCTTTCATTATGTTATTCTTTGTTTCTTCCTTTTATTCTTATGTTATTCTTTGTTTATTCCTTCTATCACCTTTCTTATGTTATTCTTTGTTGTTATAATTCTGTCACTTTCTCTTATGTTATTCTTTGTTTCAATCATTCTATCACTTTCTCTTTCTGTCTTTCCTTATGTTATTCTTTGTTTCTTCCTTGTATCACATTCTCTTTTTGTCTTTCATTATGTTATTCTTTGTTTCTTCCTTTTATTCTTATGTTATTCTTTGTTTTTTTCCTTCTATCACCTTCTCTTATGTTATTCTTTATTTTTATAACTCTATCACTTTCTCTTTAGTTATTCTTTGTTTCTTCTATTCTTATGTTAATCTTTATTCTTTTCCTTCTCTCAGCCTTTCTTATGTAATTCTTTGTTTTTATAATTCTATCACTTTCTCTTTTGTTATTCTTTGTTTCTTCCTTCTATTCTTATGTTAATCTTTGTTCTTTTCCTTCTCTCAGCCTTTCTTATGTAATTCTTTGTTTTAATAACTCTATCACTTTCTCTTTCTGTCTTTCCTTATGTTATCTTTGTTTCTTCCTTCTATCATTTTCTCTTTTTGTCTTTCATAATGTTATTCTTTGTTTTTTTATAATTATTCTATCACTTTCTCTTTTGTTATTCTTTGTTTCTTCCTTCTATTCTTATGTTATTCTTTGTTTTTTACTTCTACCACCTTTTCTTATGTAATTCTTTGTTTTAAGCATTCTATCACTTTCTCTTTCTGCCTTTCCTTAAGTCATTCTTGTTTCTTCCTTATATCACATTCTCTTACGTTATTCTTTGTTTTAATAACTCTATCACTTTCTCTTTCTGTCTTTCCTTATGTTATTTTTTGTTTCTTCCTTCCATCACCTTCTCATTCTTTGTTTTATTATTGCGATCTATGCTCAAAACAGCAGTCGACAGTCGGCCGTAAACAATTCCAAAAAGCGCGCGCCAAAGTTGACCTATACTTCCTGGGTCAAACTGCGAGTGTGACGCGAAGTGGCTGGGCTCGAAATGAGCTAGAATCAGCGTTGATAAAAAATCGCTTGAACGCTAACCGCAGTGACCTTGTTTTTTTGAAACGGCGTTTTGATTTGTGATTCATGTTTGTGATTCTAGCTTCGAAAATTCGATTGAACGCACCCTATGGCCCACCCCCTCCACGATTTTTCTGATTGCTCAGGGAACGCATAATATGGATGGCGCCCCGCCGCTCGCTGACTTTTTTCTTTCGAGTCTTGCGCAACTTTTAAAAGATTTTTTTTGAAAATCGGACCTACGGTTACAAGGTCACTTGACCTTTTGTCTTTGCATGTCAGCTTGAAAATCGCTCATTTTCGTGATTTGTGTACAAAACATATGGAAAAGTCATTTTTCCTAAAAACAGATTTAAACATGGGTTATTGGGTCTTGTTTAAAGTTTAGGTGGTTGTTTTGGGAGTCAAAATAGTTGAATTGTAGTAAGAAATGAAATAAAACAACAAAAACAATGAAATACATCAGTTAAAAAAACAATGAAATACATAAGTTAAAAAAACAATGAAATACATAAGAAATTATCAAAACAAGGGATAACATAAGGAATAAGCTGGCTCTTCTAAATTTGTTTGTATTATTATTGTTCAGAACGGTCTAATGAATATATGAAGTGAAAAATAATGCTTAAATATGAATAATATATGATTTATGGGTAAAAATGTGATTTTTATGACTTTATTTGCATAAATTACCATAAATATGCAAATGAGTGAATTTTTCAAAAAATTGAAATTATCATATTATTCTATACACTTTACTTGACATGCGTGCAAATTTTCGCGGCGATCGGCCGCTTTGCGGCCGAGATCTTAGGGGGGGGGGGCATAATGGCCCCCCGGCCGTACTAAGAACTCAAATAGCCCGGCCTCTTTAGGGTTAAAGCAGTCGATATCCCTTTTATATGCCGAATTCAAACAAAAATCTACCAAGGAATCTTACCTTATCCTTGTATCGAGTAAAGATTGGTTAAAACATCACGGAAAATCTGATAAACTGTCTGTTTATCACCGCCCGAAAAATGACTGAAATTTTCGATGAGTAGGGAATCGCAGACAAAAAGCACTGTATGATGTCCGCTCTCGCTCAAAGAACATTTTAACACGTAAACCAATGGGTATCGCAGCAACATTTTATTATTTTCCCGGTAACTGGAATTATGCCTGGATTTTACTCTTGGGCTATTAAAAGGTTTTGACTTTTTTCGTTTCTTTACGGTAATGGCTAAAATCACGACTGCAATTTCGACTAATCAGATGGCTGGATTTCTTAAGTGAGGTATATAAAACATAATATGGAAGCGATTATATCACAGAAATATTAGAGTGAAAGTTTGTTATGTTTTTAATGCATGCAGTTGATCTTGAGCATCGTAATACCCACTTTTAATGTGCTCGGAGAGGTTGGTATCTGGACAGTGAATGTTCAAATTGTAATTCGCACAGGTTTGCATGCAATCTTTCCTGAATCTCATTTCTGTTTTTTGTAATTTTGAATGCATGCAAATTAACCTATAAGGTGTTCTGAAATTCTATTCCGAACTTACTTTTTCTTTTTCTTCAGCTGATGTTTTGTGGGTGTACTCATTCCCAGCTAAATGGTTCACGAGCCAGGTTATTTTTAATAGCTATGTCGCTTTAGATACGTTCTTTTTCCTCGGGTAAGTTGCAAAAATGAATATAATATTTGAAATGTAATTATACCCATGTTTTTACACAAAATAATATTCGACATAAAAAAGTAATAAAGTGTTTGTGGTATTAAAAGACTGAACTATTATTTTTTTATAATTTTTATTAGAGTATTTTATTCCAAGCGTTATTTTGTTTTGCTATTCGAATATTTTCTAGGTTACATAGTTACATAACAATAAAGAAGACAAAAACAGAAAATGAGTGAAATAACAAGTTTATGAATATTGATAACGAGTGATTATCATTGTAGTGATTTAATAGCGGTATAGATTAAAGAGAGGTCATGGATTTATCAAATCAACCAAGCACCCGTACACTCTTAAAAAGGAAAAAACAATTGGAACAAAAATTGCCCAACATGGGAGTAATTATTTGAGACACCAACTTTAGGGCAGTATATTATATGCAATTTTTTCTCAGGCAAAACATGAAAATAAATGCTTGAAATTGCTTCAACGTTGATCTGACATATATTAATCCATTATTATAGCCATTTAGCGACACCATTGTTTGTGATGCATCAATGGAAAAAGTAGACGTCGTATCGTTTGGCGCTTTTTTTGGCCCAAGATAACAATTTGTGTTGATTTTTTCCAAAATCAGGCCATTTTTTGCAGTTAGAATCAATAATTGATGGGTGGGCTTTGACATCCAAAATTTGATATAAAAATGGGCGCTGGTATCAAAACAATCAATCTTTTTGAATGAATTTGCACAGTAAGGACCACTTTGGTTATTTCCATCGGTGGCTAGCAATTTCCTGCGCTACACTGGTTGAAAAAAAATGGCGACCCGTGAGCTGAAAAATTGGTTTGTCGCGTCTGCCGGTGGGAACGCTGTTAATTGTGAATCTTTTTACCCACATATTTTTTATCGTGTAACCAAGTTACGGGTTATTATGATTGGAATACAAATATATTTCTTTTCCATCTCGCAGCGGCCTTCTTGTTGCCTATACGGGCTTCAAATACATGTCAAAATCTGTAGGGAGAGTCAACTGGTTGGTTGCAATAGTACATCGATATATCAGGTAACATCTTATTCAATCATTTCTGTTCAATTTTTTTTCTTCATAGCATAATTAGATTATGATAAGCTTTACATTATTATTAATCAATTCATGTTATTGCAACTATGTGGACAAACGTATGCCATGGGATATACCCCAAACATGAAAATGAATTAATAGCAAAGTTTTAACTTTATTCTAATTACGACAGTTTTCCTCTTACTTACTCGAAAAAAGGAGATTAAATTCTAGAATTTTTTTTGCTGAGTCATATTTGTAGATATGTAAGACAAAGGATTTGAAGCTAAACTTAAAGTCATTATTGAATTATTTTTTAACAAAAGCACAAAAACGTAGTTTCAAGTCTGATTGTACCGAGCGTATTTTGGGCGGTGAGTGAAAAGTGAGCAGGCGCCGCCCAAATTTTAACTCTGCGCTAAAACTTCAGCGGCGACCGAGCGATGCCCTAAAAACGAGCGGTGCCTGGGCGGCCGCCGCTCGGTGGCCGGGCAGCCGCCGGGCAGAATTGGTTAAAAACTCGCCGCTCGGTCGCCGAGCAGGCTACTTTGGGGGTTTGTGACCATAGCATAAGTTATATAACAATGCTGTAACTTGTTTTCACAGGATAACACCAGCGATGGCTGTTGTAATTCTTTTATACACCTTTGTGTATCCTTACCTTGGAGAGGGACCTTTCTGGTACCAACGAGTGGAAGACGTTCGAGGTTGTTACCAGTGGTGGTGGACCAACTTCCTTTATATCAACAATTTTGTACCGTCAGACACATCGAGCGGGGTATGACTGCTTTCTATCTTATTCCTATTCTTATGGGGAAGACGGGGGAGGGGGCAAAAGAAAAACTCTGCACATAATACACATCTATACTCCCGTCAAAACTTGTGCTCTTGCTGGCAAAATGTTAAACTTTTTCTTATTTCCTCCTCTCTTGCTTGCCCCCCCCCCCCTCCCGTCAGAGAATTCTGGATCCATTATTGCTATTAATCAAAAATTAATGTCCCTTTTTTTCTTGTTTAGTCTATTCTAGCGCTTCTCAACTTTTTTTTAACCCAAGGCCCATCTTATAAAACACACAATGAGAATAAGACATGACACTAGAAGAAGAGAACGGATTATGCAGTAACTCAGTATTACTACCAATTTATCTAATTAACTGTACAAGCGAGTGAGCAAAGCGAACGAGCGGTATATTTTTGGCTTTCGTTACCCTCAAACATGCAATTTTTTTGTTTCTTGTGCATTTTACCGCATACGGGCATATTGTCATGGGGGTGGGGGGGGGGGAAGGAGGGTGAAAACCTCTTGGCCAAATATTAACCATCCTATGTAACAAATTCGTGAAAGAACGAGTCAAAAAAAAAAAAAAAACCTTCATTATGGGAAAAATGTTAATACATGTACGTCATCAAAATGGTCTACATAAGAAACCAAATTAAATTCTGGTACCTCTCTGCCCGAATACAAGGCGATGGTTTTCCGAATATTGAATCCCATGTAATCGAAAGGTAGAATTTCAAATTTTGAACGTCGATGAGCGGTCTTCTATTCACTTCCAAAAATGGTGCAAAATTAACGAAACCTTGAGGAGAACTAACTTTTAGTCGTGGAATTTAGCAAAGTAACCGAAAGTTCAGATTTATTGTAAATGCGGACCCTTCGCAAATTACTATACACTGCATAGGCCTACTTGTAGCCCAGTCAGTAAATGACACAAAGCAAGTTGCCAAACTTTCCATTTTAAACTACAATAAAGGAACAGCTTCCATAACAGCATACTAGATTTTAGTAATATTCTAAGATAACTGAATATCATGACAGTTACGAATCATTCCGAATAACTGCTTTAACTGTCCTCAACTATTAATTTTGTTCTGAATTGTATTCCCTTTTGTCCTGTGGCTACAGTGCTTATCATGGTCTTGGTATCTAGCGACGGACATGCAGTTATTTCTGCTTGCAATCATCCTCATCGTTCTACTCTGGTGGTAAGATAGGACTAATATATTACATTTGATTGATTGATTGATTGATTGATTGAATGATTAACCGATTGATTGATTGATTAAACAATTAGGCCTATTATTTATTTATTATTCATTTATTTATTATAATTTATTATTTTCTCATTTAATTATTTGTTATAAATTAGTAAATTTATCAGTTCAAAATAATGTATCAATGTATTCATTCATAGATTCATTTATTTAATCATTTTGTATTTCAAGAAATCAATAAGTCGGCTTTGTTTGCATTTTCACGTGATAAATATTATCTTACTTATTTGCGTTAGTGCATTGTTACGAACACATAACTGAGCAGTTCAAAGAAATTACTGGTTTAATTAGTAAAACAACTATTTTATTTGATATAAATGTTCTCTCCAGGCATCCAGCAATCGGTATCGTCTCTTTAGCCGTCTTATCTCTGGCTAGCATCACAGTACGCGCTGTCATCTTCTCAGAAAGGGGCTATGCAGCCACTCAGCCCATTAATTCGTAAATATATATTTCCCTTTATATCTAACACGTCTGTCTTCTTATGAAAAGCCCCGTTGGTCGGAGAGAGCAGAAGAAAAAGTATACAGAGCGTCCCATAAAAAAATGAAACCGAGAATTATCGATGTTTTATCATAACTTAATCACAATTATAATTGATAAATGACACATATTTGGAAAGCTTATAGATCCTCCTCTATGCATTATATGAGTTGCATTAAATGAAAGAGGAGTGTCTAAGCTTTCCCAAAATGTGTCATTTATTAATTATAAATGTGACTAAGTTATGATAAAACATCGATAATTCTCGGTTTCGTTTATTCTGGGACGCACCGTATATGCATGTAACTAGAGATTGAGTTAAGATTAAATTGTTCTTTTTGATGATAATTTAATAACTAGAAATGTGCGTGTCAATTCTGATGAAATAGTTGACCACGTGCATGTCCCTCTCTGTTCATGGATTAATAACTGATTGTTATATCCATTGAGTAGCAATAGCGTATATATAGTGAAATTTTCACTACATAACGTTGATATTAAGACATAAAAGGAGGAAGAATGATAATACCGCACAGATTGTTAAACAAAACTGTGATAATACTGAAGTTATAAACTTTTAGGTTGATACGAAGAACATATCACATAATAATGAATTCTTCATTTACTGTACATTTGAAATTACTCCATGCTTTCATTGTTATCTATTTCTATTACGGAATAAACGTTTTTTCTAATGGGAGGAATTGTAAGCACATGTCACCCAAATCTCAGAATGGAACATTTAAAGAGAAGGTTGAGTTCTATGGGAAGAGGTGAAAAATAATTTGTGAACGTTATCATTGTTATTATGCAAGTGGGAAGAACATCAGATACAAAATCTTCCCCGAAAAGCATGGCTCTTCAAATGCCTTAATATTCGAATTATGACATGTAACAGCATTAAAATCGGGAGGGATTTTTAGGCCACATGTTTGTGTAGTCCCATATAATCTTTCTGTGTACAGTGCTTGTAGTTACCAAGACTAGGCCAAATTTCTTATCATTTAATGATTCCAGAACCTTGCAGTACACACCAATACGTATATGCTAATGATCAACCTTTTCTTATCGATTCCACACTGTTAATTTATTTCACAATGCAGTCGCATGACGAACTCAACTTTATGTTTGAGTACGCAACTAATGGGAAAAGTCGGTCCTTGTACACGTATGACATCTCTCAACATAACCGAATTCCCAATGGAAAGGTTCTCCTCATTAGTTATATCACCTTTGACAATGACTAAGACAATCTAATTAACAGCGATTAGGGATCAGATTATATAATTATGTGGGACTGATGGCATTATAATACCATGACAGGCTCTTATATTTATCATGATAGTTAAACGTAACATAAAGATTTTCTGACACGTTGAGGCCTTAACTCTTTATTTGCATGTTTTCTCACCTTCTCCACCTACTCCACCTACTCCAGAGCAACTGACAGTACTGACATGTTCCCATTTTCTGTCAAACCCTATGCCTGTGCCACAGCATACTTAGTCGGTATTGCAGCGGGTTACTGTCTGCATGTATTGAAAAATAAAGCACTTCCAAGATTACACGTGGTAAGTATTTTGTCATCCTTTGCTGCATGAAAATCCAATCGTATCCTAGCTGGATATCATTCGATATCCGACTTTTTTTCTTCTTCTTTTTTATGTCATATAGAATAAAAGTATAGATGAGGTAATTATGACGGACAATGGCATAGCGTGTATCAACCCCAACTTGGTCTTATCTCCTTATTAAAATCAATCGTTTATCTCCTTCGATGTTTGTGACTTCAAAATGAAAAATAGTAACTTAGGATTGTTCTATGTTATAGATAGATTAAATGTATAGTAATTTATGATTAATTGCAGCAAGATTTGAGATACAAGTCGAAGTTAATATTCAGAGCCCTTAAAGCCCCACTGTCCTACTTGTAGCTACTTGCTCCCTCTATATAGAAAATTTCCCAAATCGGTGCCTGTTGGTCCCCCATGATCCTCTTTTTCTTATGTTAGTTGAGAGCCGAGTTAATGAGATAGCCACCTGTCAGTGACCTCGCTGTGTGGTCTAATCCCTTCTGGCCCAGTAGTAGTGACGGTCTTTAAGATTTTCTATCTTTAACAGTTCTATAGAGCCGCAACAAAAATGTTGATCTAATTTCACCGTCGTTATTGTCCATGTTCTCGTAAATGGCTTTAGTAGCTTGGTACACTGTATGTTCTATTATGCATTGTTGAGCTTTTCCTTTGATTTTCAGGTGGTTGTTATACTTGGTTGGTTGTCTGCTTTTGCTATGGGAATGTCCATCGTATACGGTCTCTATGGAGCTTTTGATCACCCCGGGCCAAAGATAGTAGTCCAAGAAAAGCCGCTAAACGTGGCATATGGGTGCTTGAAGAGCCTTGCGTGGACACTAGCACTATCCTGGGTGGTGTTTACCTGTCATTATGGTTACGGAGGTAAGTCAGTGGCTTTAGAGACGGAACCCAGTAGTTTAATTAGTCCTCTTGTAATTGCACAATGTTTGAATATAGATCAAGATCTGATATAGTAGTTACTCCGGGCGTTTCCAGAGACTGCCGGATGGTGGGGTAAAACGGCGCCCTCGATAAATTACAATCGTGATAACACTATCCCACTCACACACTGACATACTGATTGGGGGGGGGGGGGGGGCAGTTGTCCCCAAATAAAATTGAAATGTTTTCTGGTTGTCCGTCCGTCCGTCCGTACGTCCCGTTCTTGTGATATCGTTTTCTCAAGAACCGATTGATGGATTCCTGCTAAACTTGGGTCATGTAAATATGTATCTTGCAGATAATGAAAGTAAATCCTTATTCTCATACACCCAATCAATCAGCATGTTCATGATACTCTAAATTGGGACTTTCTAGACTGCCGTTACAAAAAGCGTGTATGTACTATATCAAATATAATTATTCATTTCGCTCATCCCGAAATCTAGATCTCCCTAAACCGAATTCAAATAATTGTAAAAGAACATTCTTCTATAGGGGGGCGACACAATATAACCAACTACCAGAACACATCCGAGATGTAACTGCATTAAGATCCTTCCATACCCTAATAACTTATATTTTTTCTTAAACACACTTCCTTAAACTCAAATGATTTTGCATAACTGTGTGTGTGTGTGCATGTGCGTGTGCGTGTGTGTGTGTGTGGGTGTGTGGGTGTACGAGTGTGATATTATTTTTGAATATTTTGTTACCTTGGTATTTAAAAAACTTGTATTTATGTTTTGTTTCTATTCTGCTTTATGTCGCTTTTATGTTAATATTGTAGTGTAAGGACCCCAAGGAAGAACAGTAGTGTCCTATAAACACTGCTGAATTGGGCTATCCACCGATTTTTGTCTATGTACATGTATAAATATTTTACTTTGTATATTTTACTATGTATAATATTTTCGTCTGATTTCGGAAATAAAAACAACAACAACAAATCAAGTGATTATATTTCGGGGTCATGAGGTCAAAGGTGAAAGATCATGGGGCTCATTATTTATGCAAACATAATTTGTGAACGCATTGTCAATACTGACGGATGGATTATTATCAAACTCGGGACATGTAGCCAATGAACTGATTAGATTATACGGTCATGAGGTCAAAGTTCAAAGGTTAATACATGTATATGAAAATATGATATTCTGGGAACCTGTTAATGGATTACAATCAAATTTGCAGTTTTAAAATTGCTTTTGTTTTGGTTTGTAAAATCGCTCAATGGCGGAGGCATCATTTTCGACTGCGTGCAGTCGAACATCCATCTAGTTTTTTCCTAATTCGATACCAGTCATTTACAAATGTTACTGAAATTAAAAGATTTTTTTTCTTTCTCAAGTTCTGGTAAAATTGTACTTTTTTAAAGCTTTAGTTGGAAAATAACAAAACTCCAAAATTTATAGTCAGGCAAAAAAAAAAGTGCTCTTTTTTTTACATAGGAAAAGTGCCCCCTTTTACTTCAGATAAGCGCATCTTTTTAAAAATTTCAAATAGGTGCCCTTTTTTATCTCTGGTGAGTGCCACTTATCAGGTGCGAGAAGTGCCCCTTTTTCACCTCTGATAATCCCACCTTTTACTTTGACACGGGCTTCTTTTCTTTTCTAATACGTGTCATTTTCCCTTTGCCTAAGTGCCTCTGTTTCCTCTCCCCATATAATTTAAAGCACTTAAACACATTTTTTCATTAATTTCGCCCAAAGCTCTCTCGCGACGCTTGCTCGCATTTAAGGTTGATATAATTATAGCTTTTATTAAATATATCTTTAGTCTTTGATTAGATTGTGCCTAAAATCCCATCAAAATGTGTTCCCCTTCTTTAAAAGATGTAGTTTTTCGCACTGCGACTTCGCTCGAAAATAAATATGTACAGACCATCACCCCCAACTGCAACGTATGATGCTTAAGCAGTATCTCATGTAAAAAAAGAGAAAAAATAACATTGAAATCATCCCTGATACAAAAAAGGCCCATTATACCGCCTGCCGGTGATGCATAATGGGAGGTTTTTTTTTTCTCACTAAATAGGGTGCTATTTTAATACAGAAATAGCCGGTGAATCATTTTCTTTGCCTAAAATGTATGTTATCTTTTGCATGGTCATACATGAAACTGAAAGTTAAAATACATGGCACATTGGTTTAATCCTCCCTGTCAAATTAGAGATAATTGTTGGGGAGATTTGGGAACGATGTTGGCTTTATACATATTTTCCTGAAAATGTAGACTGAATATACACCCTTTGCTGCCTCCCATCTATTGTCCCGTCTAGGTGTGATAAATCGATTCCTTTCTTGGAGTTTCTGGATCCCTCTGTCTAGGTTGACGTTCTGTGCATATCTATTACATCCTGCTATTATCTACCTCAACACTGGAACAATCTCAATGAGCTACAATTTTAATGTCATTGGTCAGGTATTATAACAAGCACATTATTTCATAGTCAGCGTTTTCTTTTTGAGTTCAAAAGAGGGCTGTCCGTAGGAGATGTATAATGAGTTTGTTTTCGTGAGGTCAGATCTTAAAGGTCACATGATCATTGGTCGATGAACGAACAAATTGGCTTTATTTGTCTTTAAAAATTGTCACTGGTCGACTTCAAACTTATTCAATTATGCATAGAAATTATCTTTATTGTCGTTGTTACCTGATATGACATCAAACTACAAATGAAACAATTAAATATTTATCTTTTTTTTTAATAGTCGATTCTTTGTTTCCTTCCTTAATTTCTGTTAAAATGATGTTATTGTTGATGATGGGAATGGGGAGTTGATGCGTTCTTGAATTGAATTTCATGAATTCCAATTGAAATAAAGTTACACCCTTATTTTTCATTTTGTTTGTCCAGAGTTTTCGATTCACCGGTTTCGTAACGATCAGCTACTCAGCAGCTTTCATTCTTTCTTCGTTGATTGAAATGCCAATCAGTAGTCTTCAGAAGATGTTCCTCAAGCGATAATCCACAATTCTCTTGAAAGGGGAAAAAGTAAAGCATTAAAGATGAATTCTATGCATATAGATACGTTATTGTAGATGTAAAATGAATCAGGGGTTGTAAGAAAAATCATTTCCAATGTCATATACCATGAACTCATCAAATTTGCAGTATTTTTTTACTCGTACTTTATTTGCAGTATTTTGTAACTCGTAGTCATTGCAATATTTTGCTACTAAATAAGTAAAACATTAGATAAGTTATGAAAGATGAATTCTATGCTTACCGGTAGATATGTTATTGTAGATGTAAAATGAATCAAACAAGGGTTCTAAGAAAAACCATTTCTAATTTCATATACTTTGAACTGGTATATTTTGATGGAGATTTTGGGGGCTGTTACTTTTCATGAGATTTTGTAACTCATAAATTTTGCAGTATTTTTTAACTCGTACTTTATTTGCGGTATTTTGTAACTCGTATAGTTATTGCAATATTTTGCTACTATTACAAAGGCTATTTTATTTCTTTGTACCTCCTTAACATTGCAGTATTTTGTGACACGTATTTGTTGCATTGATGTAACAGTCATCCAAATTACACCCAATTATTGTTTGTGATAAATAACTGTGCAAGTCGATATTTGCATTTACATTGGATCAACTCCTAAAGATCGTTTTTCATGTTTTGAAGTGTGAAATGAAGTTTGTTATTCCATGCAACATGTTTTCACGGGAAGAGGATACAACGGCGGGGGAGGGGGCGGGGGGGGGGGGGTTAACACCCGGGTAACCCCCGGGAAACTCAACATTCACATAAACATAGAATCTTACCAAAAAAGGCCTTGCATGCGACAGAAGCCCATTGAAACCCTATTGAACAGATTGTGTTATCAAATCTAAGATTGCAGAATTGTAAGCGCATGGTCCCTCTCCTTATCTTCTTATGATTACTTGTTGTTTATGAAATGTTTTTCTTTGCCAATTTATTTACTGTTATTCAGGTTGGCTGTATCTAATACAGACCACTTTATATTTTTGTTAAAATCGCCTTTATTTATTATTTATCAGGTGGGCTGTATAACGTACAGACCACCTTATAATTTCGTTAGAATTGCCTTTATTATTTATTTATTTATTTATTATTCTTTATTTTTCTTATTTCTAACCACTTTTTTGTGATCAAGATAACTTGGAAATGGCTGGATCAAATGCCTTAAAATTGGGCACAAATATGTATAGGCATATGTACAAAGGACAGAAATTTTTTCAACCTTGACCTTGACTGATGACGTCATCTAGGCGCCATTTTGTAAAATTTTACGAAAATCAACTCATGATCATATCTTCATAACCAAAAGGTATTTCTCATTCATATTTATCATGATCAAGGTCAATAACCGTCCGGTCGATGGCAGGTCAAATAACGCGCGCGTGCGCGTACGTCCGCGCGTCAATGCGCGCGTAAAATTTTGAAATGATCAAAATAATTTTGCATACGTTTTAGGTCATTCTAAGCATTTTATAAAAAATCGCGCACACGCGCATGCGTGCGCGTTTTCGCGCGTAAAACTATTACACAACATAGAATCGCCATTTTTTTTTCTTTCATGATATTTTTCATATTTTTCCGAGGAATTTGATACCATGTTTATCTCTTTATGATTATTAATAACAAGATGAGCGTCAATTCAAGAAAAATGTCCGTGCGCGCGAGCTCTTTTAATACATAACATACATGTGCAAAAACATGCCTAAACAAAATTCATTGTAACTCTTCAGAATGGATAGATACCCCCCAATTTCTTTCATATTTAAATAGATTATGAGTTGGAGATATGATTTCATGTCTCATTTGACCCTCAATTAACTCATGACGTCATCATAATGGCCTCCGAACTCAAAATTTCAATTTGCATATTATGACGTCAGCATATTTTTGGAAAGTTGATTGTATCTTTGTAAAAATTGATCGATTTTCTTCAAAATTTTGATATGTTCTAGCTGAGACATAATTTTTATCCTTCATTTTGACAAAGGCATCATGGCGTATTTTTGCGATTAAAGGAGGCATGTCAATTTTTCACATTTTGCGTGTATTCTCTAGGGGACATGACTTTTTCTCAAAACTTGATTCTACATTCCCGTCTTTCGCGAGCAATATCTACGTCGTTTTAGCTTCATTTACGCTGAACTTCGAGTATGTTGTAGCTGAGACAAAAAGCTTTTCCAAATGTACCCTTCATTTTGTCTCAATTTTTTGTTGGATCAGCCCACCTATACTTGTTCCAAACAAGTATTACAAATCTAGTTTATTTCTCTTAATTCTACGCACTTTTTTGTTAACAAGATAACTTGAAAATGGCTGGATCAAATGCCTTGAAATTTGGCACACATATGTATAGGCATATGAACAAAGCACAGTTTTCAACCCTGACCTTGACTGATGACGTCATCTAGGCGCCATTTTGTGAAAATTAACTCATGATCATATCTTCATAACCAAAATTCATTTCTCATTCATATTTATCATGATCAAGGTCAATATCAGTCTGGTCAATTTAAGGTCAAAAAACGTGCGCGTGCGCTTACGTCCGCGCGTCGGTGCGCGCGCAAATTTTTTTAATGCTCAAAATCGTCTCAAATTTATTTTGCATACGTTTCAGGTCATTTTAAGCATTTTATAAAAAATCGCGCACACGCATTCGCGCGTTACACCATTACACAACATAGAATCGCCATTTTTTTTCTTTCATGATATTTCTTATATTTTTTCGAACAATTTAATACCATGTTCATCTCTTTATGAACATTAATAACAACTATGAGATGAGCGTCAATTCAAGATAAATATCCGTGCGCGCGAGCTCTTTTAATACATAGCATATATGGGCAAAAACATGCCTATACAAAATCCATTATAGCTCTTTGGAATGAACCGTGACCTTCAATTTTTTTCATAGTTAGATAGAGTATGAGTCGGAAATATGACTCCATGTCTCATTTGGCCATTAAGTGTATCGTGACATCATCATAATGGCCTTGGAACTCAAAATTTCAATTTGCATATTATGACGTCAGTATATTTATGGGAAATTGATTGTATCTCTGTAAATATTGATCGATTTTCTTCCAAATTCCGATATGTTGTAACTAAGACAATTCTCTACAAGCTCAGTCATCACCATTTTTCATTTTGATCACGTCATCATAGTGACAAATACGATTAAAGGGCACATATCAGAAATTTCTTAAGTTGCGTGTTATGCCTATGGAAGGTGAATTTCGTTCACATCATTAATCTACATGACATTGTTTTTTAGCAGTATCTCGCTTTTATTTTTGCTGTATTTTGTGTCAAATTTTAGTTGACCAGCCCACCTATACTTGTTCCAAACAAGTATTATATGTCTAGTTAGATATATGTTTTGTTTTGTTTTCGTACTTGTTCCGGACCCCACGGAAGACCAGCTTTCCCATGTCGTGTAAGCTGAATGAATGTGGGCAATCCACCGTATCTCATTGTTATTATGTTTTTATACGTAAACAATTACTACATCCAGGGGCGTACGCAGGATTTTTTCAAGGGGGGGGGGGGGTTTAAAATCGGGCCCAAAATATTTTGCTCCCGAAAAATTTAAAATCGCGCCGGCCGAAAAGTCGCTCAGTGGGGGGGGGGGGGGGGGGGGGGGGGGGGGGGGGGGGTAAGCGGACACTTTTTTTTTTTGGTCTCGAAATTTGAAAATTTGACATTTTTCTTCGTTGGTCACCTTTTTTAGGTTAGCCGTGGGCATATATTTTTTTTTTTTTAATTTTTTTTTAAATACTAATTAAAAAAAAAAAAAAAAAAAAAAAATCCAAAGGGGGGGGGGGGGGGGGGTTAGGTTTTTTTTAGGGGGGTTTACACACAAAAAAAATACCAAAGGGGGGGGGGTTTGAACCCCCAAACCCCCCCCCCCCCCCTGCGTACGCCCCTGACTACATCTATACTATAAGTACTAATTTGCCCGTAATGCATAACAGCATGTTTGAACTGTAGGCCTAACTGTAAGACTATGGCGAGCGCACGGTTTTGGACAAAGTTTAGTCTCAACACTTTTATAATTGTTCCTTTTATATACTCTACATGTTAATAATTTGTTAAATTGGACTCCATGGAAGCAGGGCCGTAGCCAGAGTTTGATGTTTGGGGGGAGGGGGGGGGGGGGGGGTACATTCATGTAACTGATCGACGTCCTGGGGAGGGGTCTAAAAAGTTTAACCGATCTTGGACATTTTGGGGGCACGTGCCCCCCCCCCCCGTGGCTACGGGCCTGCATGGAAGAACAGAGCCATTAGGTTAATGGCTCTGAAATGGATATTCAACCTTTTTATCATTCTATTATTGTTTATGTCTTTGATTTTGTTACATTGTGTTATTGATTTTTATGATGATTTTCGGAAATAAAACAAAGAAACAAATTGTATAACATTCATGTTGGAAGAAAGACAAACAATTTTAACTTCTCTCTCTCTCTCTCTCTCTCACTGAGCCATTTTTTAAAAATTAATCATGTCTGCTTAACAATACCAACAGTTTTATTTCTTTTAATGGTTACGTCCTTGAACCAACAGGTCAAAGGAACTATTATCATTATCATCATCAACATAACGTAATAATATACGGGTATCAATTTAGTTTCTGAAGATGTTTGTATTTAACTGAACATACTATAGATCTCCCTGCCTCATCTGTTTCTCTCTCTCTCCCTCCCTCTCTCTGTTTTTTTTTCTCTCTCTCTCGTATCCTTTTCTATACAGGCTTGCTCCACTCTCTCTCTCTGTTAATGCCTGCTCCATGTCTATCCTCGCTCCCTCTTTCCTCTCTCTCTCTCTCTCTCTCTCTGTCTCTCTCTCTCTCTACCTCTCTGATATGTCTGCTCCCTGTCTATCTCCCCCTCTCTTTCTCTTTCTCTCTCTCCCCTCCTATTTGTCATAGATACCCCTCTCACGACATGAACAAAAGTAAATAATCCGAGAAGGAATTATTACGTCATTCCATTTAATGAGACCGTTTTCTGCACAATGTGTCAGAGAATAAAGCAGCTGATTAAAAATTTGACAATTTGCAATCGGAACATACTGTTTAGATCATTGATTTCTATTAATGTATACAATGGTTTCCTTTGCATGTTTTTCTCTACATATGAAGCACAGGTACAAGAATGAACTCTTCAATGCATTATATCAAACGATCAAATTTTCCAGTGAATTGACTAACCTGTTGTCAACACAAAACTATTTTTGTCTCGGTGCCCTACCATGGGGGCGACTAGATTCTGCAATACAAAAATAAAAGACAAAAAGTGATCGAAACAATAATAAATCAATAAATAAAATCGAATAAAAAACAAAATTTGGTTGGGAACTAAAGTTATCACGAAATATCATCGACAAGGATAACAAGTGGTAGACAGGGGTGTCTCCAAGGGGGGGGGGGGGGGGGTGCCCACTTGTCAGGATTTTGTCGGTAAAATATAGCCGACAAGTTTTTTTTCTCCCTAAGACATGTGAATTTTTTATCCGCAATCCGCTGTGACGACTTCGAGAGTGACTACAACTGCAATATTTGTATTTTCTCGAAGTTTCACTTTCCTATAATATCAGCTAAAGAAATCAGAGGTTTAAAATTTTCGGGGAAACTGAATTCAAACAAGGATTAAGAGTCAAGAACGGTGCAAAGAATCACCTTCCTTTCTCTAATATTTTGATGAAACGCCAAAGCTTCCGCGCTTTGCGCGGAGGGGGGAAACTGAATTCAGACAAGGATTAAGAGTCGAGAATAGTAACACGAATCGTCTGCTTGCTCTAATAATTTAAGGAAATGTCAAAGCTTCCGCGCTTCGCGCGAGAAATTGTAGTCAGAAAATTAGGGCTTTAGAGTCGAAAACTGTACAACGAATAATCTTCATTCTCAAATAATCTTGGAAAACGCGGGTTGGGGGGGGGGGGAACTGAATTCAGACAATTTATATTAGGGTTAAGAGTTGCGAACGGTACAGTTTATCGTCTTCTTTCTATAATAATTAAAAGTAGGAGGAGGGGAAACTGAATTCAGACAAGGATTGAGAGTCAAGAACGGTACAACGAATCGTCTGTTTTCTCAATTAATTTAAGGAAATGTCAAAGCTTAAAAAAAGAATAAGATCCGAGCTACGCGCCTACATTAAAATATATAGCTATGATGTTGACTAAGTTGACGAAATAATTCGTATATTTTGTCGTCAAGGAAAATGACCATTTGCGCATACGCAAGTATTAACTATAGTTCATAGGAAAAACAATTTAGCCACCGGCTCCGGGTTTATAGAGTTAAATTTGTAAAATTTGTTAAATTTAATTTTGTCGGTAATTGGTGGCTAGTTTTGTCGGTAATCGTTGGCCTCTACACCCCCCCCACTGAAAAAGGTCTAGCGACGCCCCTGGTGGTAGAAAGTATCTTTCTAAACGTGCAAAATTTCCTTAAATCTGGTCGGATTGTGTCGAAACATCATTGCCATGTTGGCAAATTTCAAAAAGTGACCGCACAAGCATATTTACGACTATTGGAATTTGGTCGGTTATTTTGTAATCGTATTCGTTTAGTTGGTTGACAAAATTATAAATGAATTGCTTACTGAGTTTCTGATTTTCCTCTTCATTCAACGCATTCGAATTGTCGATTTCACCTTCCTGGACTAAAATACTTGCTGCCACGGCCAAGGCAATCAGAAAGTAAAGAGCAGTCATGGTTTTGATGCCATTTTCAAAGTCTAAGGAAAATAGAATAAACATGAAATATATTTTAATCAGGTTCAAAGCTACGGTGAAATTGCAACGCAATTCAGAATATTAGCATAGAATAGTGACGTACTGAAACTTACCTTTTACCACTCATCAAGAATGAACAGAAAGCCGAAATCAAACAATATAAAGTTATAACGTAAACTGAATGAACTAATTGCGCCAGAAATAACGGGCTTCGAGACGACAGGCTGCCAGAACGCACGGGAATTGCGATTTGCTCTGATGAATGCAAGGCGGAAGGCTTTAGAAGAGGAACTTTTCGATTTGCACGTCGACAAAGTGGACTGCTATGTGTAACGTCTTTTTAAGGCACTGCCATTGCCTTAAAAGGACGTCAACGTAGCAGTCCACTATGTCGACGTGCAAATCGAAAAGTTTCCCTAATGTCTACATTTAATCAAGAACTGAAACTGTTTTGAATGCCCTGTTCAAAAACGATTTTTTTTATTTATTTATTTTATTTTTATTTATTATTATTTTTTTTTTTTTTTGGGGGGGGGGGGGGTAGTGTGAGCTTTTTTTTGGCACCCCGAAATTTGAAAATTAAAAATTAAAATTGAAGGGGGGTGGGTTTAACCCCCAAAACACCCCTCCCTCCCCCTGCGTACGCGCCTGGTTGGTATGTTTTTTGTTTACCTCCTATCTGTAACATTTTACTCGACTCATTGAAAGGGGTAGTCCACCCTGATATTTAGTTGGTTTTGATAAAAGCAGAAAGATGAGAGGAACGGGTCAGTGAAAGTTTGAGCAAAAATTAAGCACGTACGTACACAAAGCCTGAGAATTTTTTCGGGGAAGGTGAATTCGTGGGGAGTACGGATATCAGTGCGCGCGCACGCACTGTCGCGAAAGGGTGACAGATTAAAACGACCACAAGCTGGTCTAACCAAATTGGAGAGTGGGTTGCAAGATACGTTACAGTGTTGCCAATTTGTGTTTCAAACTTTCAGTGATGAAAACTGTAGGAAGGTAGATGTAAGTCAGTAATGAGTCAGTGTAATAAGTCAGTATGATTATAATAAGGATACTAAGATGATGACGTGGATCCTAATCAAATGATTGGTTGAAAGCGTACACGTGACCAGGAATTTATTTTGCCCAACGCGTAATTAGGTTTATCCAATGGTAATGACCGGTCATTATCAAAATCATGCTATAAAACATCATTTTATAATTTAAAAAAACACATAATCTTATAAAACAAAATAATACACATCATTTTGTTCGGGTATCAGTGTAATTACCCACACGCGGTACCTTCAAAACAGTCCAAACGCCCTCGGCTATTCTTACTAATGCCCTCACTGCTGTGTTTTATTTGTATATTAATGACACCTAGCGCCCTTTAGTGTTACGAACCGGGACCTCCCGATTATGAAATCACTGGGCCATCTCACCCAGAGTTGCCAAAGCAAAGCTCCTCATTAAAGATAAACTTGAGTTCTGGTAAAAAAAGAAAATTAATTCTCACAGAATCAAACAAAACTTACACTGAATGTTCAAGATTACAAATAAATGACATGTGCCAAACAATTTTGGAAGAAAATGTATACTGGCTGAGTAATGAGCATAGAAAGACAAGGAAATCAAGGTAGTACCAGCCCCGACACCATGTGTGTTGTCCCATATATAGCTTTCTGTGTACAGATCTTGTTACTTTACCAAGACTCGGTCAAATTTATTATGATTTTGATGACTCTAGAACCTTGTAGTGTACACCAATACTTACATGCTACATGATCAACTGTTTCTGATCCTTTCCACACCTTTTCTTTCACAATGCAATCGCATTACCAGTACTAAAGTTTATCTTTAATGTAAACTAAAAGCCCGCTGCACAAGAGGCAAAGACATGTCTTAAGAAATGCTGACCTATGCTCAACAACTGAATTTAAACTAACTCGCGGAAGGGCCCGCCCGCTTTGTGTGAGCGATATGAGGTGTTGAAATTTCAATGGTGTAAATGGTACCATTCATCTACCATAGGTGATTATGCAAATGAGCGTCCAAAAAATTATTATTAGTTGAATGGTATTTTACTGGTAGATGAATGGTGCCCAATGGTACGTTGCGAGCGTAATCTCAATGGTATCCGAATGGTATTTAAATGGTGTTTGTGAATGGTATCTGTATGGTATTTTCAGTGGTACTTCCGAATGGTATATACCATTGGTATACCATTGAACATTTTTTGTAAGGGTTGGTCACTACAGATGTAGCAAAATCTTATTCTTTCCCAGAAAATCAAAATATCTTTGTAATTTCACTTATTTCCACAACTGGGAATTTTCACAATTGTAAGGTTCACATGATCAGATCAACGCGAACGAAAAAGTAGATTGGTCAAATACAAGATACAGCGCAAACAATCACAGCTTTCGTAGATGAAGGCACCATCAAACGCAACGGTACTTTTTTAATAAAATCTCAGTTATCCTCGAAAAGTTGCAGAGACGAAATCCCATAGACCAGTACAGAAATGTTCACCGCGGAACCATTCCTGAAGGTATTGCTCATTTTTATTATCCTCAATGTCAATTTCAAGAGTGCACATTCGCTATACAGCGCAAGTACTGATATCCGTTGCCATCCTCTTTCATGAACTATTTTGGGTTTTATATTTCATTTCGATATTTCAAACAACTTATTTTAAAATCTCAGCCTTTAGAACAATCTGCGGTCATAACGAATGACACGTGGCATTTTTTCAACCGGAGGCGTGCAGCGCCCTAAAAGTTTTTAGATTTCAATGGATTTCCTTACTCAAATCATATTATAGATTATTCCCAAATCCAGACTCAACTATACCGAAAAACGTTTTACGTTCGAAAATATGGAACAATATCCCCCTCTCCATCAGAGAATTAACCTGTATTACAACTTTCAAAAGATCCCTTACTCCTTCCCTCAGTAATAAAGTATGATTTACCCATTATGAGTTTAAGTTTCTCACTTGATACTCTGTTACTTTGTAGGCGGAAAGGTACGTTTGTTTTAGCGCTCCTAAATAATCGTTATCATTATAATACAATGACAAACTGACGGAATCAGAAAGACGTCTCATGTGCAACAGGCATAACGTAAGGGCTGTAGGGCCTACCTGATTTCGATGCGGTGTTCGAGTAGAATTCTGTGAGATGATGTATACTTTCTCGTAGCTTGATGCGACGAAGTGTCTCTATCCAGCTTTCTGTTGAATTACTGTCTAGATAGCTTCTAGATTTATAGAATATTGAAGCCTGCCTTGACAGACCATCTGCTCGTTACCGACAAGTCACCGCATGCATATAAAATTCAATGGTCAACAACATGCTGGTCTTTTTTCTGAAATTGTAATAAATATGACCTTAAAACAAATTGTTTGATAATTTTTATCCAAACTGTAAATCATCGTCAATGTCATCATTCTGGCATCTCCCTTTCTCAGGCGCGTAGCAAGGGGGGCGGCTGGCGGGGGCAGTCGCCCCCCAAAAAAACAACAACAACGCCGGCCCCAAGAGAGAGAAAAGAGAAAAAAGGTAGAGGACGTAGCGAGAAAAAGGAGGAGACAAAGAAACATGACAAAGACGGTGCTAAAAAGATTATAAAAGAAACAACAGGATATGCATCATATATCATCCTTTATTTAAAAATGTAATTGTGAAATGAGGTTTCAATTCTAGAGTCATCAGCCCAGCCCAACGCAGTTCGCCTTTCGTCCAACTCGACATAACATATCATGCGTACCTACACAATCTAGTCTGAGCAGCTGAGGAGAGTGTAGGAATTGCTAGCCAGTATGCAGATACAACCCCGCTCTCTTATGCTACGGTCACAAAGGTTCGTACGAACGACAATTTCGTACGAATCTTCCTGTTTTTCCATTGTCTTCCCGAATTTCCATTGTCTGTAAATCGTTCGTACGGCGTTCGTAGAAGTTCACAATGGCATTTGTGACCGAGGCTTAAGTCATAATCATAATGGTAAACAATGCTGCCATTAATTTCGAGCCATGCTTTGTGCAGAACTCCTCATAAGAGCCATTGCATTCAATAAAATCGGGATGGGAAACGAAGCAAATTAAGAAAAGAAATCAAAGAAGAGATGGAAGAATTCTTTGAGGATTTCCTTAATAAAGCTAACACGATAAACGTGAGGAACTGGACTGCTAAGACCATCAGCACATTGTCCGAAAAAAAAATACACTAATTTAGATTTAAAATCTAAATCTATTGTGTTCATGGAGTATTGATAACGAGAGAAATTATCCTTCTTTGGGTCAATGTTATTCTCTCTCACGATCCTAAACGTGATCGCTAAGTAAATTATAATTTATTTAATCTTATTTTGACCATTTCGTTCGTGATATAACAATATGTATTTATTATCTATCTAAAATCTTCAAGTAAATGTATGAACCAGTCTTCCACTGTGGAATTACAGTCTTATACACATCAATTTCGAATAACTGATCAAAACATTTATCTTCGGTTGTCTCTCCTCCCGACTCGGGCGTATCAACCAGTATTTTAATGTAGGCAAGCACTACAAAAACAAACATTAGAAACAAATTTTCAAAAATCACCATTTCTGAAAACATTGACCTAATCAGTTGGTGTAAATACCGTAGGTCGTAGTTTGTTTACACGTTAACTTTACTTCGCTGCCAAACTCAATTTGCAAAAAGTAATTAGATACGAAAGAGAAGAGAGTAAACGAATTTCCTTTTCTCCGAAGTGTCACTATATAGGACGTGTCGTGGTATAGGGTTCATTCATTAGACTCTTCGTCTAAGGATTGAGGGTTCGAATCCCAGCACGGCCCTAACGAACTTTCACGAGACATTCCTCCACATGTGCCACTCTTAACCAAGGTGTAAATGGGCACGTGACTGGGGTAATAATTACTGCTGGGCCCTCAGGAAGAACAGCATTGATGCTGATTAGGCTTCCGTGTGTAAACATAGTTTTATCATTATCTTCGTACCATATTGATGACATGAGGGAAATGGCCAAATTAAGGCTAAACAATTCATGATTTCATGATTTTTTTTAATAAAACAGATGGTAGTACTAGTTCTGTAGTATGGAGTCATGAGAAGGAAAATACTGGGTGAGAGCACAGTTTTTTTTTGTGTCCCAAAATTTGAAAATCTGGCCGATCGATATTTCGTTTTGTTGGGGGTGGGGGGGGGGGGGGGAGGACACCTTTTTGGGGTCATCCATTACCACAATTTTTTTAAATATTTGTTTTAATTTTTTTATTTTATTTTAAAAAAAATTACAAAGGGGGGGGGGTCCTTAAAAACACACACATAAACAAAATTAAAGGGGGGGGGGTTCAACCCCCAACCCCCCCCCCTCTGCGTACGCGCTTGTGGTCACTCCAGCTCACTATACAAGGTTCACCTGGCATGCATGATATTTCGGTTTATTGATAAGAGCTTGTATCATCAATGCTTGTAATGCCGACCTACACAAATTTGAATAATTAGATCTGGACACAATAATTGTCTTACTATAAGCGAATTAAAGATTTCACCGGCCATAGTTTCAAAATTGTCGTTGGCTGTCTCTGTTGCTTCATTCGAATTTTAATGTGTTCATATCGTCAGTAGATAAACTCAAGTTTCCATGGCAATTACTTTGCCATGTAGGCCTACTTATAAACATTTGATGGCCAAGAGTAAATGCTCTAGTTTTTTTATTTTTTTATTACTTTTTAACACAATTAGCTGACATGAATGGAAATCTAAGATCTGTAATTTTAACAGTGACTTTAAAGTAATTACTGGATAAATATGAAGCAAAATATGTTATCTAGAATTGATTTAAAACGTGACCTAAGCATCATGTTCGAAGTCGTGTCGAGCATGTTTAGTGAAAACTGTGTTTTCATAGCACATACAAAATAAAATAATGTATTATTACTCTTTGCTTAGTACTCTTTTTCAGAAGGAAATAGAGAGCAGTTGGAATGCACTTAATATGTAGCTGTTTATCAAAGAAACCAAATAAATAAATCTTTCGAACAGTCGCTTGGGATTTGAGAAAACAATAAGGACACTTTCAACTTTCGACACGACATCTAAAGTCAGAGTCTGTTTCATGATAGCGCGTCCTTGGCTATTCGTTCGCTTCAGAATTGAAATGTGAAGGGCGGACTGCGGTTGATACTCTTTTAATACGATATTCAAGGCAAACTGAATCATATTGCTCGGTAAAAGAACGTGTTTGGAAAAGTGTTAATTCATGAGGTCTTTTGCCTTATCGTGAAAGGATACTTTATCGTTCATAGGGATTAATGCCTTTTTCGTCAAATGAAATTGGTGAATCTCAGTCTTTTCTTATTATGTACACTGTCGCTCATAAAGGTGGAATATTTGTGTTTTACCCCAATTTACGGAATTATTTTAAAAATAATTAAAAAATAAAAGATCAAGATTATAGTATACATTATTAAATTTTATTGAATACTAATTAGCCAATGTGTGTTTTGCGTGACTGCTGAAGCATGTGTATGCTACTATGCTTATCAACTAGGGGACCTACGCCCTTAAGTCATAAATGACAGTAATGAGGATTAATGCCACACAAAAGGGCACTAATATAGCACATCGACACGGTTTTGATCATGGGGTCTCACAGGTACGAGGCCATTGCTTTGTCACTGAACCATGGCTGAACGCAGTGGGGGCTAGGGTAGGGGGCAGTTTCCATAAATAAAATAAAAAAACAGAAAATGCAATAAATTTTCAATAATTTATTGCATTTTACCCTGGTCCCCAAAATAAAAAAATCCTCTGGACGGCCATGCATTATGGCTCAAGGCATGGGCACACAGAAGATTTGTTTATGTTTGGAACCGGGGTAAAATGCAATAAATTATTGAAAATGTATTGCATTTTCTGTTTTTTTTATATTTATGGAAACTACCCCCTACCCTAGCCCCCGCTGCGTACAGCCATGGTTCAGTGACAAAGCAATGGCCTCGTAACTGTGAGGCCCCAGGATCAAAACCGTGTCGATGTGCTATATTAGTGCCCTTTTGTGGGGCATTAATCCTCATTACTGTCATTTATGACTTAAGGGCGTAGGTCCCCTAGTTGATAAGCATAGTAGCATACACATGCTTCAGCAGTCACGCATAACACACATTGGCTAATTAGTGTTCAATAAAATGTAATAATGTAAACTATAATCTTTATCTATAATCTTGATCTATTATTTTTAAAATAATTCCGTAAATTGGGGTAAAACAAAAATATTCCACCTTTATGAGCGACAGTGTACATAGTACATGATAAAAAACATAGTTGTAAACTACACCGTTCTCTTTCGCATAGTCTATCCATGTATAAAGAAGAATAATCATACTTTCCAATGATACTAATCAAAGTGATACTTATCTAATGACAAGAGAGATTATAATCAATCAAATTTGAGTTTCCAAAAAAAATTGAGGGGTTTATTTTACTTGTCATAGTATTCTTTTTCCATGGATATTTCTTGACTCCCCTTTCTTTCTCACTCATTTGTTAATTTCTTTTATACATAAATGTTGCCATTTTTGAATTGCAACTGATGCAAAATGTCCTAGTCTATCTACATCTGCCTGTCTCTCTGCCTGTCGCTCATTTATATATATATATATATATATATATATATGCTCAAAATACACGGGGGCGATGGGCGATTCACCCCCGTGAGCTCCATAATCGCCCCATCAGGTTGTCCACGGGGGCGCTTGCAAAATTAAAAATCGCCCCCGTTGAATTATAAAATAAAGATTTTCAGCGAATTGAATAATATTGAAAAGGATGCAATTCATAGTTGTACTCGATAATTCTCATTTAACATATTCTCTCTCTCTCTCTCTCTCTCTCCCTGTCTTGCATAAAGAAAATATGAAAATAATATTTTGCCTTGATTAAGAAAAATTGAAAATTTTATCAGTACTAAACAGGGAGAAGGAAAGGGGAGGAAATTGATCAAAACAATCATTGAAGAATCCAATTCAGTGTTCTTTCGTGATGCATAAGAATGAAAGTACATTAAAAGGTGAAATAATAAATTGAAGAGCGATGATAAATCAATTCTTTGACGTTGATTGATTGAATAAAAAATAATGAAACAATATGGTCTGAAGGTCACATATCTTCGAATATTAGAAAGTTTCATCCACCATCGTGTTTTGCAATTTAAGTTTAATGCGGTGACTTGTCAGTTACGAGTAGAAGGTCACTATCAGGCTTCTATATTCTATAATACTATCAACAGATATCTGGATAGAGACACTTCGTTGCATCAAGCTACGAGAAAGTATATCATCATCTCACAGAATTCTACTCGAACACCGCATCGAAATTCTTTTCACCCTTTTTTTTTCTTCTTCCTCTTTTTTGGTCCCTTTTAGCTCTCCTTTTTTCCTTTTCCTTCCTTCTCTCTCTTTTTTTTAGTGGGGGCGGGGGGAGGCAAAGGCCTTTTGCCCCACCCCATCCGCAACTTGTTGGCGGGAAAATTGCAACTGCATGATATCCCCCTTCTTTTCTTTACTTCTTCCTCAATTTTCCTTCCCTTTATCTCCTCTTTTCCTTTTTTCTTTCCATTTCCTTCCTTCCTTCTCTCTTATTTTGTTTTATTGGGGGGAGGCAACAGCCAGGGAGGCAAGGCCCTTTCGCCCCCCCCCCCGATCTCCTTCTTCCCCTTTTCTTTTCTTCTTCCTCTTCTTTCTTTCCCTTTCTCTCCTCTTTCCCTTTCCCTCTTCTCCTTCTCTCTCTTTCTCTCTCTCTCTCTCTCTCTCTCTCTCTTTTGCGGAAAGGGGGGGGGGGGGGGCAAGGCCCGCTCACCCCCGCTGGATCCGCGCCTGCATCTACCTTATATCTACTAACGTTAGACCCTAATAATGGATCTAGAAGATTGATTGACCTGGTCTCAGTGACGGGTAAAATTTTTTTTCTCAATTACTTGGTCTAACCATGAAAACCGTCTAATTTTACTTTAGATTTGCAAACAGTAACAGTTACGACCTAAATTAGGCCTAAGGTGTACTCTACATTTTAATAACAAATTAACGTTAACGTTAGACTTAACTTAAACTGTTTCTCTGTGATACAAGTGGGAAAGGAACACTTCTTTTTTCAAAAAAAAGAAAGAAGAAAATTCCCCTTTTTTCCCCCTTTTTTTTCCCGGGGGGGGGGGGGTGGGGCGGCCCCCCGCCCCCTGGATCCGCCACTGATCACGGGGATAAAAGTATACAGCTATGTAACAAGTAAATTTCTAAGAGGGAGAATGCCGACTTAAATAAATGATGATGATAAAATACCAAGGAATTTAGGAGTTTCATCCAATGGAAATTTGTATTAAAATAAGAGCTCCTGTCAGCACTAAAAAAGCCCCCGTGAGAAGGTTCTCGGGGGCTATTTTTTTTTTGAAGAGCCCCCGTGGACAAAATTTAATTTGAGCCCCTGATATATATATATATATATATATATATATATATATATATATATATATATATATATAAATATATCTGTCTTCTCTCTCTCTCTCTCCCATTCTCTCACTTTCTCCCACCCCCTCTCATCCCTCGCCCCTCTCTTTGCCACTATTTTATCCTCTCTACTCTTCCTCTTCCCTCTCCCATCACGCCCTCTCTCCTTTTGTTTTCTTGTAGTTATTTTCTCATTTATCTCTTCATCTACATCTAGTTCCTCTTAAGATTCCCTTATTCCCTGTACCTTTTATATTTGCCGATTTGTTTTCCCTCTATTCCTCATGATAATTGGCCTATATATTGAATATTATATTTTCTCCCCGTCTATTATATTTAAATGTCGTTTGATCATCCCTTCTCGCACTCAACATCATCATCACCATCATCACCATCATCACCACGATTATCATCATCATCATCCTCCTCCTCATCATCATAATCATTACCACGATTATCATCATTCTTATCCTCATCATCCTCCTCATCGTCATCACCATCATCACCATCATCATCCTCATCATTATAATCATCATCATCATCATCATATTCATCACCACGATTATCATCATTATCCTCATCATCCTCCTCATCGTTATCACCATCATCATTATTGTCATCATAATCTGTCACCATCATCTGACATCATCATCACCATAATCATCATCATTATCATCACATCATCATCGACATGATGATGATCATTATCATTAACAACAACAACAACAACCAAACTAACTACAACGATGATGACAACGTCCATTTTGTGCACAATGAATATCGCACATAGTGCTCATTTTGTTTGTTTTGTTTTTATCTGACATAAATTGCACAAATTTAATAGTAACTAGACATAATTTGTATATCTATACAAACCGATATGAGTAACTTGCTAAAACAGAAGAAAATAGACGTTTCTCAAACAAAACAACCCACTATTATCTAAAATAATTTACGCCTAAAGGAATATAAGAAAAAAAAATGAGGGAAAAAATTATGCTCTTTTCAGAAGTCAGAAGATTTTTAGTGATTGATCTCGAAAAGTGAGATGTAAAGGCAATCAAATCTTTTTATAAAATAGATAAATTTCAATAGGAAAAGAAAAATACATTTATTGGCAAAATGAATAGACATGAAGAATTTTTTTTTTAATTGCACATCAGGATCAACATAGCAAAATATTGTCTACGGCAATAGATAACAAAGTATTACGATTCTCTTTCAAAACTTGAATATGTTCAGGTGTTTGGTTATTAACTAAAAATGAGTTATGCAATTTTTATTGTATAGAGAAATTTGCGTAATTTTTAGTTCCTTATGATCTAAGTCATGTTGTACATTTATTTATTGTAAGCTTGTTATTTTTTTTGTTGATTATCAACCATGCCCTGCACATAAAAGCATGTTATATTGTTTTATTTTATATTTAAAAATGAAAATAAATGAAAATAAATGCAACCGCGAGTTTAATATTTTTAGAATGTTAAATGTCAATATTAAGTTATGTAGCAATAAAAGCATATCACTGAAGCGCTAGGAGTGTCAGACGTGACAGACATGAGTGTTAAAAAGAATAATTACAATAGTTTGTATTTCAACGTGCAATTAAACAAGTATTTCAAAATTCAGATCCAAATTACAGCTCTGTTTTGGTTTTATCTTTCGTAGACGACGACCCTTCTTTTTCCCCCTTCTTGCCATCCTTTTTACCATCCTTCTTCTTTTTATCTGTCTTCTTCGCCTTTTTGCCGGCTGGTCTCTTGTAATCAGCATCTCTGGAGCTGACTTTCCCCACGTAGAGGAGCTTGTTGGTAGTATCGCCATCATCATCATGTACATCACGGAGTTGATATTCAGTGGCGTGGCGCAACAGGTAATCCTTGATCTTGAAAGGGGGCATCCCGTTACCCATGTGCATGGCTACCGCACCTGTAAGAAGGAATTAGAATTGTTATCGCTTGAGGCACTTCTCAGAGGCGCAACCGGAAAGGGGGAGGGGGAGGGGGGGGGGGGGGAGCGACCCCAATGAAAAATATTATGTCGGCAAATGTAATATGATAGGTTGTCAACAAAGTGTAGTGATAAATGACCCCTTTTATTTTTTCCTCGTATTACAAACAAAAAAAATCCCTTTCCCTCTTTCTTTCTATCTCTCACATGCGTTCACCTCGTGAAGGGGGTGCATAACCCCGGATCCGTCCCTGATAATAAAGGTCTAGAAATAAACTTCATAATGAAAAAGACCCCCTACACAGCAGCGGATCTGGAGATCGTTTTCCAGTGGGACTCAACGCACCCCCTCCCAAATTTCTTAAAGCTTCTTTAATAAAAAAAAAATAAAATCGCAAAGCACATGTAGAAAATGAATGCAAGAGCCCCGAGCCCAATGCCCCTAAAGCCCCCTAACTTTCTTCTACAAGCGTTCCTGCTCATGCAGGCTGTCCCTAAATACGCGCCCACCTGTCACATAAGCACTGGCCGCACAGGTTCCAGATTTGGATTCCACAGCAGTTCTGGACCCATCGTAGTACGCCGCCTCGACGTCCATACCAGGGGCATAGATATCCACACAAGAACCGTGGTTGCTGTAGTACAACGCGTAGTCAGCCCGCGTCGTAGCTCCCACAGTAATAGGCTATTATGAGAGACAACAAATAAAAGGAATTATTGATTTTGTTATGAGTTTTTCCGTATACTTATGAACTTGTCCGACCATAGGGGTGTTTTACAAAGACTAAGATCGACTTTAAGTTGGATATAATATGGCAGGCCATTCATGCCACTGGTTGCTGTCACCGTTCGTCTCTCAATTATGATCTTTAAATATGATTATTGCCTTCAATAATGAGCTATCAAATCAGGTAAATTATGCATATTTGTGACCACGGTTTGTACGTCCCTTGAGAAACAAATGCCAGGAATGGTTAGAGGAACTAGTGGTATGAAAGGCCTACCATAGTTAAGTCCAACTTAAAGTCGATCTTAGTCTTTGTGAAATACCCCCCCCCCATATCTACAACCCGAATAGCAAAACTTACTTTCATTTGTGTGTTTCTAGAGCGCAGGTGGAAGGGGAATGGCTGGGGAAAGGCTCGAGTATCACCAATTAAATTTAAAAAAAAAGCAAATACGGGACATCGCATCACTTCATCAGTTTACCCCCCCCCCCTTGCCAGATTTCCGACCATGGTAACAAGAAGTAACCGATTTTTTTTTCAATAGTTTTCAATAGATAGCTTCCGAAAACACCTGAGAGTGGGCACATTGTCAAACATATTCTGCAACACTCATACTGGGAGCACCTAATTGCAGATGGCATCAATAAATGTAAACATAAATCATCAAACAAGAAACCTTTGCTTTAAAGGTACTGTATCCTTTTTGCATCAAATTAAGTTGAACTTGAATACGTTGAATTATGAATATGTCAATTATGTCCTATCGATGAAATTTAGACATTAGCAGTGTCTTAGTACTCAAAGTATGCAAGGAAATGTGTTGGCTTTTTAAACTTCACTGTCAGACACTATTGAGTGACTGACTGACTTTTTTTTTCTTTGGTAATATAAGATCCCCAAAATGAGCTGTAGAAGTACATGAGCATTTGTCTACATCAATCACCCACTTCTTGTAATGGCAAAAATTAAACTAATTGAATCTTTTAGGCAGCACAAAATATACGACCATTTGGGCCAAGGGTCTAAAAATCAGACTATTTACTAAAGTGATTGCAATCACTAAAGTCGATTCGACAACTATTGGTCGTTATTTCCCCCCCCAAAAAAAAACAACAACATTTTCCAAGCCCTTTCTTTATGAATAGCGTTCTAAATTAGTATTATCTTTCAAATGCCATTGAAATCCAACCTTTTCATTTTTGTTGGCCTGCAAATGGGACATTTAGTACCTTTTTTAAAGGGTACCCCCCCCCCCCCCCACACATTCTCAAAAGCGGACTAACTTTAATCCACGGTTTAACCCTCCGATTAAGTATGGAATGCCAAGTGTCCATATGAATATGTTTTTTGAGTAATTTAATATGTCACTAAATAAAAATAAAAATGTAGTAACATAATCAATAAACATCGATTTAACTATGAAATTATTATTTTATCATGGTAATTTAGGGACATATCAAATTATTCAAAAATATATCCATATGGACACTTGGCATTCCATACTTGGTCGGAGGATTAAACCATGGAATAAAGTTAGTCCGCTTTCGAGAATACCACCCTATTTGTACCAACCATACGCATCCGCCCGGGAGAGGAGTCACAGGCGAGAGAGTTGTTGTTACCAGCTGGTAGTACCACCATGCACCCCTGGAGGTAGATCCTATGGATCGCATTGTCCAGGGAGGGGGAAGCCTTGTTGCTGCCTATCCCTATGAGGGCGACCCCGGGCCATTTGACGTTCTCGGACAACCACTGCATTGCTACAAAAACAAACAAACAAATACATCAACGAACAAACAGAGGATTAAAGTTTTCAGTTAATTCTCTCACAAGTCATTACACAAAGCAAAGGATACTGCATGCCCAACAAAGTAATGTTCTTGCTCCATACGGTGGTTTTTTGTTTTTTGTTTGTTTTAAATGTTAAGGTGAACTTGTTAGCAAAGTTGGTCCGACACCCCCTCCCCATTTACAATATTCGAATGATGCCTCTGCTCCACTTGTAAATGATTGAAATAGGTACGATGCCAAGTTGGGCACTATGGGTCCAGCCTCAGTGGGGTTGGGGGCAATAGAGTGGTGAAGTGTGACGTCATCAATTTTTTTTGTTTTTTTGTTGAATTTCTCAATTTTTTCTTCATTTTCTGAAGAGCATCAAAAATAATGTCTGAATGTCAAAAACCAATTGAATATGGTTAAGTATTGACTGAGATATGAGCATCTGAATAAATAGATTTCCTATAGGAACTCAGTGTTATTTTGCTCTGGTTCATAACATTAGGAACCAGAGCACTGAGTTCCTATAGGAAATCTATTTATTCAGATGGTCATATATCAGCCAATACTTAACATATTCAATTGGTTTTTCAACATTTGGACATTATTTTTGATGCTCTTTTAGAAAATGAAGAAAAAAAATTGAGAAATTCTAAAAATAGACTTGTATGATGTCACAGATTCGGTACTTTATGTCAATGGCATCAAGGAAAAAAGGGGTATCGGTGTAACTCGGTGAACTTAAATGTGGATGAACAAGGTCACAAATTAGTGGAAAGACGCGAAAGGTGGTTTTATCATCTTATCCTGTTCCGCCTCTCCTTTTTATTTTTCTCTCCTCATTTCATCATCATTAATTGTGTTTTATGTCCTTTAGCAAGCATTTGATCTACATTGCTTCTCCCCGTCCAAGTGTTTAATGGGTGTACTCGAAAGGATGCAAAATTCACTGTGATTTGCTCAGCATTGTGAGCGTCTGTAGAAATGGCGCCTGACTGGAATGCTCCCGAGGGAGTGGAGAATGTGCACACAGAATCGTATGCTGACAAGCCTGAATCTGATGACCGGGGTAATCATAATCATTTAAAGCGCTGATGAGCCCTGAATATTATTCTCAATAGACTGGATTCTTCTTATTTGACTGGGGGCACGTGCCCCTTCATGCTTCCCGTGGCTACGCCATTTACGATGACTTACCTTTGACCGTGTCTGATAGCTTAGCGCTACCTCGGCACCTGGTGATTCTCACGCCGTAGATAGTGGCATTCTTAGCCACGCCGTATTTCTTCCCAGCAGCCAACGAGGCTAAATGCGTTCCATGTCCATTGCAATCTCTTCCCTATATAAATATATAACAAATTGCAATAAAATATGGTATAATCGTCGTAACACCGGGTGATCAAAACATTTGAAGACCTGAGGACCTTGTTGTTTGTTAATTTTGTTGTTTTTCTTCATTGGGCACCCATCATGTCTACCAATCCACAACATGTAAAATCTCTCTTATAATTATAAGAGTTGCCATAATGTCCAAATGTGGGCACACCCGCTTTGAAAATAGACTACCTCTGATCTAACCTGAAAAGATTATTTCCTGGGAACGTGACTTCGGCAATACCGCTAGCCCTCCCAAATTCGCTTAAGGGATGAGTGTACAGAAGGGGGGGGGTGGTTAATGTTCTTACAAATGTCTACTTGCAATCCTAGTCCTACCATCTCTCCTTTCTTTTCCCTTCTCAATATGCGTTTCGCCTTCTCTAAAGCTAAACTATCCATACAAGAGGAACTATAACTCACGTTGAAATCCTCTCCTCGATAGTCATAGATGTTGCTGGCTCGTCCACCGAAGTCCTCATGCTTGACATGGACACCGGTACCGACCACGTAGATGCTTGCCCCGATCCAGCATTAGCTGTTTGATGACATTAAAAAAAAACGAAGTGTAAACAATATTCATTACCACCTGATTTGTCAAAGGGCTGTTAGATATTCTTACGAAACGATTCCAGGGACAATTATCTCCAGACAAGGCAGGACAGCCTTCCCTCAGGCAATAATCGTAGACAAATATCCCCAAGGAAAGGCTAGGATAATAACCAGAACAGCTACTCCCTACTAACTCTTTAGTCCGAGGGGCGTGGTCTTATAGGGGTGTAATTGATTGGAACAATAATCCAGAGGTTACTGTCCTCTTGGTCCTCGTTGGTAGTTATCTTGGGTTAAAGTTGTCCGGGGATAGCTGTCCCCAGTCCATGGATAATTGCTAGGATATAATAATCGTGGTAAGTATTGTAATTAGAATTATACTGTCTCTATAAACCGATAAAGATCCGTTTGTAACCGATGATCAGTTTACTTTTCCTGTGGCAAACTATCTCACTATCTTGTCATCCATTCAACCGTTCATCCTTGTTCATTCATGGTTGCATGCATTATGTGCATTTTTCAAGCAATATAGCACATTTAAGCATAGTTCAAATACTTTCAATTGTATTCGGAAATGTTGAACACTATTCTTTAAAAACAGTTTCCTCGTTCTTTACGGTAAGTAAAAGTTGTATGACTGATGGTCCATAATTCAACGTTCCTTACGTTTAACAGAGAAGACTCCGTCAAGGGGTACATTTCTTTGATCAATGCGATCTAGACCCCATTGTTCAGTCGGCTGTCCATCCTTCTTCTTCGGTTTGTCTGTCTCCTCTTTGGTATCGTTTCCTGAGGTTTCTTTGCTCTGGAGGTGGAGCCAACCATCTTCTTCGATGTAAATTATATCATCCTCCCATTCACGTATCTAATGCAAGGGAAAGTTTTCTTTAATTACTCTCTGTATTAAACATGAATACATCCACTCCAACCAATTATACACAAATATTAACGAACGGATAACTCTAATCAAGACGATTGGATTAGTTTCATGGAAAAAAAAGGATATAAGCAAGGCCTTAACATTCAGACATTGGTGGGCTCAGGAGGCTTGGTGTTTGTTGCCAAGGGAACCGATAGCTCAGATACTCGCCGTAAGTGAAATACGATTTTATTATAAAATTTTCGCATTTAAAGGGACTATGTCCCATTTGCAGGCCAAAAAAATGAAAAAGTTAAATTCCAACTGCATTTGAAAGATAATACTAATTTAGAACTTCCCTAGAAAAGGTGGGGCTTGAAAATGTCTCCAAGTGGGAAAATAACGACTATTAGTTGTCAAATCGACTTTAGGGCTATAGAGCCCAAAAGTAATAGTCTTGATTTTCAGACAATATTGTACCGAATGGTCATACGTTTTATGCTGCGCAAAGATTGAATCAGTTTAATCTTGGCCATCACAAGAAGTGGGTTATTGATGTAGACAAATGCTCATGTACCCTTTACAACTCTTTTCATGTATGTTATTACCAAAGAAAAAAAAAAGCCAGTCAGTCACTCGATAGTGTCTGACAGTGAAGTCTAGCAAGTAAACGGTTTTCCTTGCATAATTTGAATATGAAGACACTGCGAACGTTTAAATTTCACAGATAGGACATATTACATGACATATTCATAATTCCTGCAAAGTTCTACAGCATTTGAGGTTGGCTGCAAAAGGGACATAGTACCTTTAATGAAAGACCAATCTTCCGGTCTAAGTTAAAAGAACTTATAGCCATGCAACAATCACAAAAGTTTGGTTAACATTTAAAGTTCGAGAAAAAATGCTTCATCGCAACTAAAATAATCTAGTATAATTACAAGCTTTGCTCTGTATGAGGTTCCTTCATATTTCAAACCATTTAGAAACCTATTTTCAGAACGAATATGCCGGCCTTGTATTTTGTTCTAGCTACTATGAATTGGTTCAATTTCTGATGCATCATATCCAAACTTCTCGTAGATTCTAGCTATATATACATAGCATATATACATATGCACAATGATTCCATATAATATATGTGAAATTTTAATAGAAATCAAAACTAAAACTATTCACAATAATACTCATGATAACAATGACGTCAAGAATTCCGACAAATAACTTACCGCATCGAGAGTGGCTTTATTCATCTGGACGAAGAGAAACTTGAGCCCGACGGGAAACTTCCACAAGACTTTATACTCTAGAGTGTCGTTCTTTGAAGTGAATTCCGATAATTTCTCTTCTAATTCTTCAAAATCCGTGCTGAACTAATGACATGAAGATTGGTGGAACAGGAAGGGGGGAAAAGAGGGAGAGAAGAAGAGGTGGGATAAAAAGAGAACATAATTAGATACTATGTAGGTGCATAGCATTGTTTAAAATGAGTTCCACTAACTTATCTTCCAATACACAAAGATCTGAATGCAGGAAGAGAATGGGACAGAAAAGGGAGAGGGACCTACAGAGGGGTGGGTTGATAAAAAGAGAACGTTTTAATTGAAACTCTATAGACTATATAGATGTCATTGTTAGAAATGAGTTCCAAAAAGTTTTGTTCCAACTCGAATTCACCAAATTCAGAACTGTACTGAATACTTAAAGATGACACAAAATGGAGGAGAGAAAAAAAAGAGAGAGGGAGAGGGAGAGAGAGAGAGAGAGAGAGAGAGAGAGAGGTGGGGATTTAAAAGCAAGCATTTTAATTGATGGACTCTATATCAAAGTAGAAGTATTTTGCAGAGGCGTATAAACATAAGGTAGACCCGACATATTGCCCTGCAAAGATACATTCACGTCCCCTCCTCCTCCCCCACACCATCCCAGTGTCGGAAGAGATTCAACACCCTTATATACTTCAGTACTTGTGTCTGTTATCCGTTAAGTCTCTTCTTCTTTCATGAAACAAATATTATTCATCTGGTATTTCGTGTAAAGTTAGGTCGGTTGTCTGAAAAAAAAATTCCCCGCACTTGTCCGGTTTCATAAAACTTATTATGAATAACAACAGCAACAACGCTAAAATCATTTTTCCTTTCAGTCATGTCGTGTAAACAAATGCAATGCAATGTAATGTAATGCAACTTAGTATCACATAAACAACATTTTAGCGCTTAGAGACTTCGGTGGTAAGCGCTTTATAAGTAACGTTTTTATTATTATTAAATGTACATGGATATACATGTATAAATAGGCCTATGCGAGTTGGATAAACAAAAATTAAAGGAACAGATTAGAGTTAAACTCTGTTTATAATCTTACCTCGGCAGCGATGATATACCCGTTGTCATCGTCCACGGGATCGAGGGCCTCATGAAACTTCACCAGTCCATGCGAACCTCCGACAACGACCACGGCGAGAAGGAAACATATGTGGTATAACATGATGATCTCCAGACAAACAGCGAGACGACCAGCGAGACGACCACGGAGAATCTTGATCTTCTATCGCGTGAGAAGTATACGCGAAGTAATCGGGAAACACGTGTCTTATTTCTGAACGTCGTGAGCGATAACTTCTCGTCATGTACACGAATAAGAACTCGTATTTTGACTGGTTTGTGGTCTTAAAAGCTTACTGAAGAAGAAACTTGAACTTGTTAACGGTGTCTATTCACAAATGCAGACCATGATCGTGCTTCATGTCTTGCATGTTTGCAATGACGTGTCCTTAAAATTTACCTTCCATGTGCCGATATGCGATTGGCTTTTGTTTTATTTTTGAAATAGATAATGAGTATGTCTACTCTACTAGACTCAATTCATTTCTTAATCTTTTCTATATGATTATGAGTGAACCATACGAACCCCAACGGGAGAGAACTATACCAGGTGCGACGTCTAAAGTCAATAAAGAATGATAACAATGTGTGCTGTTTCTCAAGTGGGACACGTGGACAAAAGGCTTACTTGAAGATCTATCTTTGTCTTGAAATATATATTTGGAACGTATTTACTACAGCTTCATAGGGCTGCAAAGGACAAACAGTTATGCATTTAAAGCGTTGCGGATCTGGACAATTACCTCCTGGACAATCACCCCCGGTAAACTACCCCCCAAGGACAACCATCCCCGGGGGACAATTAAACCCGGAAAATTACCCCCCCCCCCCATGGACAATTAACCCCGAGGACAATTACCCCCACCACTGAAACTTACCTCCTAGGACAATTACCCTCCCCCAGGACAACCAAGGACAATCGCCCCAAGGACAATTACCGAAAAGTACCCCCGTTTATTAAAGGGGAAATCCACTCTGATAATTAGTTGGTTTTAAGAAAAGCAGAATTCTATTTTCGGGTGGTAATCGTCCTCGGGGGGGGGGGGGGGTGGGTGATTGTCAAAGAGGGTAGTTTTCAGGTGTGTGTGTGTGTGTGTGTGGGGGGGGGGGGGGTAATTGCCCAGGAGGTAATTGTCCTAGAACCAAAATGTTGGCATCGAATGCGTATATAGACATATCCTTGGATGGGTCTGGATGCGTGAGGGTTCATAGGAGTATAAAGTTGGTGTATGGGTCGATGGGAGTGCGAGTGTCAGAGAGAGAGAGAGAGAGAGAGAGAGGGGGGGGGGGGGGGAGAGGGGGGGGGGGAGAGAGAGAGAGAGAGAGAGAGATGGACAGATAGAGGGTGAGAATCAGGGGAGAATCACAGAGAGAGAGAGGGAGAAGGGGGTGCAGAAAGTCAGAGTAAGAAAAAAAATCGTTCTCTTAATATCTCTTCCCACCGGCTCTATCAGCATGTTTATTTCTCTCAGTCTTTCTTTCTCTCCTTCTATTCTAACCCCTCTCTTTCTCGTTTCCCCTTCTATCTATTTCAAGTAAGTAATATATATTTGCGCGTAGTTCAAACTTCATATTGTATAGCAATCGTTTTCTAAAGTATGATTAACAAAAGAGGTTTTAAAATGAATAAAAACGTTTTTGGCTGTAGGTTGAAGCAGAAATATTTATTTTGTACGTGTACAGGCCACAGGATGCACATCTTTGAAAGCCAGTTTAAAGGTAAAGACCAGTTATGGTCATGCGATTGCATTGTGAAAGAAGCGTTGTGGAATCGATCAGAAAAGGTTGATCATCTAGCATCTAGCATCTGCAAGGTTCTGGAATAATCAAAATGATAAGAAATTTGGCCCATTCTTCGTAAAGTTACAAGCACTGTACACAGAAAGAATGTATATGGGACTACCCTATATCTCTCAGAGACCATGAGAGAAACAAATTTACCAAATATATGAATTAGTAGGCGGTTTCCCGGCAAATTTGTTATCATCATGTATTAGTCAAAACATATTCTTTCACATGATTGGTAATGAGAGCTTCCATTTCATTGTTTGAAATTGGGGCGTTTCCAATACTGGTCTTTACCTTTAATCGTAAAATTATATGACTTGAATAAAATTAATAAAATTAACTTGAATCAAAATTTGTTTTATCTAATTGTTATCTACTGGGGCCTGGGTAATAGCAATACTCGTTTTTCGAAAATGCTATATTACTGTATAAAGAAAACTGAAATTAAGGAATGAAATAATAAATAAGTGCTATGTTCTTCGGTCTGATCCAATCTACAAAGTATTCGTTATGTCACATTAATTTGTATCGCATTTAAAAAACACTACCACCACACAACATCATCTCCACAGCGGTATTCCATTATCACGTAGGTGTTAATGATCGATGTGCACTAACAGAAGATAAATGCAACTAATTAAAAGAAGAGGGGTCGTGCTCTACGCAGTCACTTACTCTGGACACGTTGATAATTTCACAACATAATCCTTGAAACAACATTCTTTGGATAAGGCATTTATCTCTGTCTCTCTCCCTGCCTCTCTCTCTCCATTTCTGTATCTGTTTATCCTACTGTGTCTCTTGCCCCAACCACACCGACCCAATTATAACTATACAAGTCTCTTCTAGCATGCAAACTTCATAACGTAATTACCATAACATGGTTATAAAGCCCTTAACATTCAGTCTCTCCCTTTCTCTTCGTCAGTATTTCCTGTTCTTGTCTTTTTTTATTTACTTTTATTGTTAATCCATATACCCTTTTCCTTTATCTCCTCAATGAATTTTACATTTGTCTCCTTTCCTTTCATTCAGACGGCAAGATAGTCTATAGCATTATATCAATTATTTAATTATGATTCACATCTACCATGTCAAATCGCGTATCATTCTTTTTATTCCTTATAATATGTTGGTATAATATTGTCATGTATTGTGATATACTGTTTGCTTTTATTTGAAAAAAATAATTGTACAATTCAGCCAATGGCTGTGAGACAGATGTTGAATAAACATACCATTTAATTAAGCAATCATCTACATTTGCAATTAATTTTCAAATTTACACATGTCATTGCATAAATTATTGCACTCAAAGATCACTCACCCTATCGTTTGGAATGTCAACTGGGTATACATCAAACAAATCTGACCATTCAACTATTCTTGAAGTCGTCATTATCATGAAACATGTAGCCATGTCTTAAAACGCCATGCATGCCAAATAGTCTCTATCTGAGAATCGCGCAAATCAAAGACTATAAGCAACCCTTGGAGTATCTTTAGCGATTCGTCGCTCTGCCACACTTCTCTTTTGGCACTGAATATGGGATCAGCCCCATCGAAACCCGGCACCTCCGACGGTTGCATCCCGATCTTTTGCAGGCAGAGACCAATGAAGACGTCCTCCCATGGAAATATCTCAAGCTGTTTGGAGGCTGTGAAGATTTCCCTCGCGACGTTCATCGTCATGATGTAGCTCTTTCCTTGAGGATAAGGTGGATAAGTCGGATCAGGGTACACGTCTTCGGGCACGTACCATTTCTTGTTGGCATTGCGGTAAGGCGCGGCACCCTTCGTAACGATCCCGCCGATGAAGTCCTCTGAGGCGTTTAGCGTTTTCAAGTAGGCCGTGAGGTTGACGACGTTCACGGCTACGTCGTCGTCAACCTTCATGACGAACTTCGCTTTCGGGCACGACTGCGTGCTCCACTTGAGTCCCATAATCGTCTTGAGCGTGAGATTGACGTACGAATCATGGAAGTCCTCCTGAAGGATGTCCCTGTACTCATTTGCCTCATCCTCGATGTAACGTTGAACGAATGCGTCATCCGTCGCGCCGAGGAGAAAAATCATCTTCATGTCAAGATGCTCTCTCTGAGCGTGCGACATCCAAGTGCGACGAATGACTCGGCGGTTTGAATAATGAACTGGACTGGTCAAGATAAAGACGACCAATGTGACATCTGCGTAGTCACCATTGGAATCATAACAGTTAGTTTGTGGTGTAATGAGATACTTATAGGTATGATTGTCAAAATGTGGTTGCCATTGAACCTTTTTGAGAACACTTCTATTGGGCTCCCTAAAACCCCTCGCGAATTTTATTGTTCGTTTGGACAGCGCCTCAAAAAATTGGCGATCGGTATCCTTCTTTATAGTCTTACGCAGTTTGATTATAGGAAATGCATTGGCAACTTCCCAAGGTTTCATCTCATCCTCGTCCTCGGCATCCTTTGCAACACCCTTCTCAGGCTTACCATCTACCAAGTGTTTGAACTGCTGAATCAGGTCAGTATTCTTATATTTCCTGGACAGGAACGTATTCTTACGAGCTACTGGTTTTTCTAAATTTTCCACGGGTTTTGCCATCGCAGCATTGCCCCTATTCTCTACAGTTTTCTCCTCAACAGCTTCCCCTGGTGAATAAGGTGGATGAGGAGCCATTATGCCGGTCAAGGTTTTGTTGTCGGTAAAGTTCTGATTCTTAGCAGGATCTTTAGTGTTTGTGCCAATCTCTGATGATTTATCGTTTGTTGATTTTATTCTGATAGGCATGACGTGTGGATGCGGTATAACCCGTCGCTCTAATGGTAGACTGTCTTGACCTACTTCTGTTTTATTGAGATTTCCTTTCCCAAAGATGTCAACATCTTGATCTCTAGTCCCATTTTGTAATATTGCCGTGGACTTTCGAGCTGTCGTCAGGGAGTGATATTTATTCATGGTTACTGCAGGATCAGTCGTTGACCGAACGGAAGGATGATGACGACGACTATTATCACGATCGTCGCTTCTTTCGGTCGTTTGACGAAGCGTCAACGACTGACGCGTCGTTTTCATTGCAGTGATCAAATTGTGCGTCGTTTTGTCTTGCGCGTTCTTAACGATCCGCGCCTGTTTTACGAAATAATCTTCAGTAGAGACGAAGCAAAAGAGCACCAGGAAAAGTCCCATGACGGAGAGCAGAATAAAAAATGTGCGCCTCAGGGACGACAAATTCATGATTTCCATGGTGACAGTAAAAGTGTTTAGGCGACTGGCCTACTATACGGACTAGGTCAATCAGTGTCATGTAGTCATGCTGCCAGACAGTAAGCTTTAACCAATTTCGCTCATTGTTGAGATCTGCCTTTTCCAACAAATTAGATCACTCTCTGAAAAGGGTGAAACTTCTGGACCCGGGCGATTATTTTGTCAATTTTGGCTGATCAGAGCTGCGTTGTCCAATGATAAGGCAATGATGATATTGATTCATTCTATCCCATATATTTTACAGGTACCAGAGGTGGCAACGAAGAATGACCAATATCCTGAAGCTGAAATGAAGAAAAGAAATTGAAATTATTAGGGTGTGTTTTTAGCTATACATGGTCGACATGTGTTTCGTTCTTAAATAGGGTGTATTATGAAAAACAAAAACCAATTATGGATGTTTTTTTTTTCATTTCCATTTTTATTTTATTTTCATTCTTTCTTAAACGGATAGAGCTTTCCACATTAGATATAAATGACAATGAAATTAATTGTTTCCAGAAAAGGGTCGTTATAACCAAATGTTTGTATGGACGTTAACTTGAAGACAGCTGAATGATGACATGGGCGTGCGCCGGAGGGGGCCCCTCATTATAACGATTTGTTATATTATATTCTTTTAATTCATGTGATGTTAACTCCAATGAATTTTGAAATCGTGAACATGCATGCATGCATAGATAAATAAATAAGCTTCTGGGTTTTTAGCTTTTTAAAGTCCGTAAAAACGACTCTCCTCGAGAAAAATTCTTCCACTTTTCAGACAGGTTTTGCCTAAATTGTTTGGTGATATACAATGCAAAACTCGCTATTTCATTATGTTATATAGAGGCTATTCTCAGGTGACATAATTAGGCCTATATCAAAATACCATACCTTTGAAGAATGAACTGCTAAGAGTATGATGTCGATCATGTCGATCGTGCGCTCCAAAATATACACCTGTAGTTAGTTGTCACCTTCTCTCGGCCATGTCGACTGTTTCATTCACGAAGTGCATTTTATCCATCGCTCAGTAATTCAGATTGTCCATCACTTGAACTAGACAATACCAACATGGGGCATCAAATGGAGCATCAAATCGTTTACAACCCACTCAAATCTCGGTTACATTGTGATGCGAAATACCAAAGCGATGATACTTTTCCATTGACAAGCAATAACTGAAGACGAAGACTGTCCACTGCTTGTGCTGGATCTGAAAACATTCATAGATAATTATATGATTTGTTTATTTTCTAAAGTGGTTGGACCATGTAGAATTCCGGGCAGATTGCCTTATGAATCAGAGATGCGATGATGAAGACCGCCCTGTACTGTACTCGTCCTGTGATTATGTTTAAAACAAAATCACCACGTCATGCACTTTGCATCCGAGGCTGACAATACAATGCAGCTATCTAGAGGAGAAAGTAATTACGTAACATGTATTCGTACGTTGCCACTACAAAGGTCCCTGTTTGACGAGTCCTGAACACAGATTGTATTTACACAGGCTGCACTGTTTTATTGTCTCTGTCCCTGGGTTACTGGAAATGAATGCCTAGAAGTGTTCCTTGTATGAAAGAAAGTGGTAAGATCAGGGCCATTTGGAATGCAGGCTGGTCTGGATTTTTTGTGTGTGGGTTCAGACGATAGAATAAGCGAATAACGAAAATAATTTTTAAAATTTAAAGGGATTGGGTATCTTTGTCTCAGGTTCTGAAACAAAATCCTGGATTTAGCTCATGCTGCAATCATAATAATAAACCTTTATGTCAAGTCGGGAATCATATATGACTTTTACAAGCCGATCGCCTGTCTAGCTGATTATCAAGATATTTATGATTGGAAATCGAAATTTCAAAACCGTTTTCCTAACTGTTTTTATGACACTACAGTATTGGGGAAAATGAGAAACATGGTCAAAGATTTTACTTTGTTGAGGCACTTCAGTATATTAGGGATTCAATATAACACCATATCACAGACACTGTGACATAAAACATAGGGCCATGCATCTCAGATTTAACATTGTTAAACGATGCCTTTAAGTCAAACGAGAAAATAAAAGCGACCGTTTCATAATTATGACGTCGCATTTTCAATGGGGACAGTACTACACGCACCCACATATACCGATAAACATCATCTTTATCTCGCAATCGCTTGGTTCGACCAATTTGGTTCGATGGGCATTAATAAGATCATTATTTATACAACGTACTCCCATGTTGATTTAGTCGCAGCATTTGTGTTATATGCGAGGTGTATATCCAGGTCTTTAAAACGCAGAAAGAAGACGAAGAGAAGGAAATAAAGGACAAGGAATGGAGCTTACACTGATTATTTTCTTCATTCTCATGCAAAATTTGGTGGATTTTCGTTCGTATGCGAACGGATAAACGTACCAAACATACTAATTTCTCAGAGGTGTTGAAACTGGAGTGCCAATAGGGACTTTTAGATTTGCGTGGACTGATACGTGTGACGTCCATTCAAGGCAGTGCATTAAAAGGACGTCGATCATAGCAATCCACGTTGTCGTTGTGCAAATCTAAAAGTCCCTAATGTCCAAATTCTACTACATGTATATAGTATATTATGTCATTCACCAGTATATAACATACGATATACGATTGGCGCGATGACGGTTGCTCCTCCTTGAATCAAATGGTGAGAAGAAAAAAATTAAAGAAAGAAAAAAAAAATAGAAAGGGGAAAGGGTGAAAACGAAGATTTTAAGACCAATTCGCATTTCATTCATCGAGTGAGATTTTTTTTTTTTTAATGGTTTTTTTTTTTAATTGATTCCAAACAATACAAATTAATTTTTAGAAATAAAGTACATTTTTGTTTTCCTTGACATAATTCAAAACATTTACATTACATACATTGTTCAATTGATGAAAACAAAAATGAAATCAGTTGTATCATAAAACAAATAACCCCATCCAACCAAACACACTACTACTACTACCCCCCCCCCCTCCCCATCATGCGACACACACTACACCCGACCACACTTCCACCACACACTGTTCCTAGCCCCCTCAGAATACCCCAAATTGGAGCGACAGACAAAACCGAAACAATCTATTTAAACCATTTAAAACAAAATCATTTAAACGAGGCTACAATAGTCTAGTGTAAAAAGTTCATGAAAACTTTACTTGTTCCCACTTCTGTAAATGTAATTAGGCCAATTTACCTGCCCTCCCTGCAATATTCTTTTCTTCTTCCCTAAATTCTAATAGTTCTTTTTGAAACTCCCCCAAAGACAATATTACGGACTTTCCCCTGCATCTATATATCCAATATTTCAATGCAAAAATAATTGTATTAAACATTTTTATTCGTGGGGAGTTACCAGACAACCCTAAATGAATATATATCCAGTCGATAAATCTTAATTCCCTTAGCTCAAACTTAGCTATTACATTTTGCCATAATATTTGAACATGTACACACTCCCAGAACAAGTGTAAATATGTTTGTATCTTTCGCTTACAAAATGAGCACAAGTTATCTACAACAAAGCCGAATCTGAATAAATGTTCTCTAGTATATATTGCTCCATGAAGCAGTTTATACTGAATTTCTCTTAGTCTGTTAACAAGAGTAACTTTCCTAGTCCTACTAAATATCTCCCTACATACCTTATTTGAAAAATCTGAAAATTCCCGTCCATCATGAATCTTCAAGACAAATAAATTTTGTAACTTTTCTATAGAATATTCATAAACCTTCCTCGATAATACATCTCTGAGGAGCTTCACAGTATTGTTAAACTGCATTAAAATATCATACTCTTTTACATCCACTAAACTCCAGTTATCCTTTTTTCCGCCCTCAAGATAGCTTCCCCAATATTCCATACATCAACAATTTTGTTTCCTTTCAACCCCAAATTTTGAAAATGAGATATTGTCCGCATGCCATTTTCAGCAAATTATATCTTGAATAAAAATTATATTGCGTGTAAACAACTCCTCATCAAAAATCATTTTCTTTTTCAATAAGAAATCTTTATTGTTAAAAATAATTGGATTATTCTTTTCTTCAAAATTCCTACAACCTTCTAACTCTTCCCAGTGAGATCGGTACCCCCCCCCCCAAACACACACACACGCACATGATTACCAGTGGCCTCTCAGGCCCAGTGACGTGACCGGCGCTACGCCACTTCGGTTAATTGTACATAGTACTGCATGCAGGGGCGTCGCCAAAGGGGGGGTGTGGGGGGGGGGGGTGCGACACCCCCCCACCTGTCAGGATATTGTCGGTAAAATTGCGCTGCCGTCGGGAAAAAGAGAAAAGGGGGAGGGGAAAAAAGAGAGGGAAAAAAAAGAGAGGGAAAGGGAAAGAAAAGAAAAAGAAAAGGAAAAGAAAAGAAAAGAAAGAAAGGAAAAGAAAGGAAAGAAAGGAAAAGAAAGGAAGAAAAGAGAAGAAAGAAAGAGAAAAAGAAAAAGAGAGAGGAGAGGAAAGAAAGGAAAAGAAAGAAAAGGAAAAAAGAGTGAAAGGGAAACAAAAGAAACGGGGGATGAAAGAGAGGAGAGAGAGGGAAGATAAGAGACTGAGAGAGGAGGAGTGGGAGTAAAAGAGACGAGGGGGTTGTTGGGTGGAGTCGTCTCGTCGAGGGAGCAAGAAAGACACGGGTAAATATGTTGCTGTGTCGGGTCAGCTGTGTCGGTATTCTTGCTCGATCCTCGTGTACTATATCAATGCAGAAGTATATTGTCGGTCGGTCGACAAGTTTTTTCCCTACGAACTGTGACTTCTTATCCGCTTTGACGACTTCGAGAGTGACTACAACAGTTACTTGTATTTTCTCGAAGTTTCACTTGCCTATAATATCAGCTAAAGAAATCAGAAGTTTAAAATTTTCGGGGAAACTAAATTCAAACAAGGTTTAAGAGTCAACAACGGTACGACGAATCGTCTTTCTTTCTTTATATTGTGATGAAACGCCCAAAATTCTGCGCTTCGCGCGGAAGGGGAAACTTCATTTAGACGAGTCGAGAACGGTACAACGAATCGTCTTCGTTCTCTAATAATTTCAGGAAACGTCAAAGCTTCCGCGCTTCGCGCGAGAGGGGGAAACTGAATTCAGACAAAATTAATAGGGCTTATTTAGAGTCGAAAACGGTACAACGAATCGTGTTCTTTCTCTAATAATTTGAGGAAACGTCAAAGCTTTCGCCCTTCGCGCGAGAGGGGGGAACTGAATTCAGATTAATAGGGCTTAATAAGAGTCGAAAACGGTACGATGAATCGTCTTCCTTTCTCTATATTGTGATGGAACGCCACAAAATTCCGCGCTTCGCGCGGAAGGGGAAAACTTCATATAGACGAGTCGAGAACGGTACAACGAACCGTCTTCTTTCTCTAATAATTTAAGGAAACGTCAAAGCTTTCGCGCTTCGCGCGAGAGGGGGAATCTGAATTCAGACAAAATTAATAGGGCTTATTTAGAGTCGAAAACGGTACAACGAATCGTGTTTTTTCTCTAATAATTTAAGGAAACGTCTGAGCTTCCGCGCTTCGCGCGAGAGGGGGGAAACTGAATTCAGACGCAATTTAACGGGCTTATTTAGAGTCAAAACGGTACAACGAATCATGTTCTTTCTCTAATAATATGAGGAAACGTCAAAGCTTTCGCGCTTCGCGCGAGAGGTGAAAACTGAATTCGGATGAATAGGGCTTAATAGGAGTCGAAAACGGTACGACTAATCGTCTTCTTTCTCTAATAATTTAATGAAACGTCAAAACTTCCGCGCTTTCCGCGGGAGGGGGAAGCTTCATTCAGATAAGCATTAAGAGTCGAGAACAGTACACCGAATCGTCTGCTTTTTCTCATAATTTAATGAAACGTCAAAGCTTCCGCGCTTCGCGCGGGAGAGGGAAAAACTGAATTCAGACAAGGATTAAGAGTCGAGAACAGTACACCGAATCGTCTGCTTTTTCTCATGATTTAATGAAACCACAAAGCTTCCGCGCTTTGCGCGGGAGGGGGGGGGGGGAGACTGAATTCCGAAAAGGATAAACAGTCGAGAACGGTACAGCAAATCGTCTCCTTTTTTATAATAATTTAATGAAACGTCAAAGCTTTAGCGCTCCGCGCGGGAGGGGGGGGGGGAACTTTATACAGCCACGGATTACCAGTCGAAAACGGTACAATTAATCGTCTTCTTTTCCTAATAATTTAAGGAAACGTCTACGCTTCCGCGCTTCGCGAATCGTGTTCTTTCTCTAATAATTTTAAGGAAACGTCAAAGCTTCCGCGCTTCGCGCGAGAGGGGGAAACTGAATTCAGACAAAATTAATAGGGCTTATTTAGAGTCGAAAACGGTACAACGAATCGTATTCTTTCTCTAATAATTTAAGGAAACGTCTGAGCTTCCGCGCTTCGCGCGAGAGGGGGGAAACTGAATTCAGACACAATTTAACGGGCTTATTTAGAGTCAAAACGGTACAACGAATCATGTTCTTTCTTTAATAATATGAGGAAACGTCAAAGCTTTCGCGCTTCGCGCGAGAGGGGAAAACTGAATTCGGATGAATAGGGCTTAATAGGAGTCGAAAACGGTACGACTAATCGTCTTCTTTCTCTAATAATTTAATAAAACGTCAAAACTTGCGGGAGGGGGAAGCTTCATTCAGATAAGCATTAAGAGTCGAGAACAGTACACCGAATCGTCTGCATTTTCTCATAATTTAATGAAGCGTCAAAGCTTCCGCGCTTCGCGCGGGAGAGGGAAAAACTGAATTCAGACAAGGATTAAGAGTCGAGAACAGTACACCGAATCCTCTGCTTTTTCTCATGATTTAATGAAACCACAAAGCTTCCGCGCTTTGCGCGGGAGGGGGGGGGGGGGGGGGGGACTGAATTCCGAAAAGGATAAACAGTCGAGAACGGTACAGCAAATCGTCTTCTTTTTTATAATAATTTAATGAAACGTCAAAGCTTTAGCGTTCCGCGCGGGAGGGGGGGGGGGGACTTCATACAGCCACGGATTACCAGTCGAAAACGTTCTTTTCCTGATAATTTAAGGAAACGTCTAAGCTTCCGCGCTTCGCGCGGGAGGCCCATCACCCACACCCCACTAATAAGCGCTTTAAAGTGAATCTCTTGTTCACTACCGCCCATCCCTAAAATAAGATCCTAGCTCCGCGCCTGCATTAAAATATATAGCTATGATGCTGAATAAATTGAAGAAATAATTCGTATATTTATGTCGTCGAGGAAAATGACAATTTTGTGCATATGCAAGTACTATAGATAGTCCATAGGAAAAACAATTTAGCCTTCGGCCCCACGTTTATAGGGTTGAATTTGTAGATATTGGACATTTAATTTTGTCGGTAATTGGTGGCTAGTTTTGTCGGTAATTGTTGGCCTCTACACCCCCCCACTGAAAAAGGTCTAGCGACGCCCCTGACTGCATGAACATAACAAAGGAAATTATCATTGATTTATCATTAATTGCCTCGGATAAAAAGGAATGTGGAAACTTATCTCAATTTTCACCAACAACCTTTACTGTAGGCTGCCATCACATTCAAGCTCGAGATGGCGTTCTCCTTCATTTCTCAATTTTGAAATGATTCGTCAACTATGTTTTTTTAAAAGGTGGAATTATCTAATTGATTTATGTCATGATATGATCATAATAAACGTATTTTAACTTTTGTTAATAATATGTATATACGTAGGCCTACCTAGTTTCTATTTCACTTTTATCATGTAATTAACGTTGTTTAATTATATTTAATTATTAAATTATTTTCGTTCTCCGTAACTTCTCATGTACTTTCTTAAGTTTAATGTATTTATCTTGTTAGGCGCCTTGAGCATCTCTTGGGGTGGATATTTGCGCATTATAAATGTTGTTATTATTATTATTATTATTAAATGCAACAACAAAAAACTTTTTCTCGTACCTTGAGTAAGACAATGCGATTAGGTTAAGCCATATTAATTGGTCAATCTAACTTGATATTTTAACTTCTCCTGAGTGAAAGTAGTTGCATCCGATGCACGGAGAAGGGGGTGGGGGGGGGGGGGGGGTGCGTGGGTGCGCATCGCTCGAGGGGATGGCATCTCCTTTAGATTTCATTTTCTGTTTAAAAGGGGAAACTATTATACCAAAGAGGATGACAATATCTTTAAAAAGACAATTCAGATTTTAGAAATTGCCGACACATATTATATTTTCCTTTTGAGAAGAAAAAAAAACATAAAGGTCTTGGATACTGTTGCCTGTTGGCAGGGGGGCACAGGGGGCACGTGCCCCCCGGCCAACAAAAATATGTTAAAATCAGCCCTTAATTCGCCCAAAATGTACTGAAAAACAGGGACACCCCCCGCCCGGCCAAATAAAAATAATAATAACAAAAAATATGCCGATGGCTGACCGAAAAAGGTGATCTTACCCCCCCCCCAACGGAGCAAAATGTCAAATAAAAAAATTCGTGACCCCCCCCCCCCCCCCCAAAAAAAAGTGACCCCCCCCCCCCCTGCTTATTCAGCGGCTGGCTGAGTCGTTGCGATTTTTTGGGGGACTAAAAAGAAATATACATATGTTCTCTTTCCCACCCACAGGGAGTGCAACCCTCGGCCAAGGCAATATAAGAAATATAACTATGTCCTGTCTAAATGCTAAGAGTAACTGTTTTATTTGATTGGTTTTTCAAGGATTCAAGATTCAAATAAGGTTTTATTCATGACTTGTCAAAAAGTCCATAGACTAAAAATGCAAGTTTACATCAAACATAAAATCATATAAAAAGCATTCAAAAACATATTAAGATAACATAGCAAATGAGAACGAATATACAAACAATGAATAAATGTTTAAATCAAAACATTATAAGTAGTAACAAAAAACAAAACAACAAAAAAAATTCTGCTTGTCAGATGAAATGTAATGAGTCGGGAAAAGGTGAGGTGATAGCCCCTTTACTTTCTTAAAACAATACTTACACCAGGCACGTACGCAGGATTTTTTCAAGGGGGGGGGGGGGGGGTGGTTAACATTTTTAAATCGGGCCGAAAATTTCGCAACGACTCAGCCAACCGCTGAATAAGCGGGGGGGGGGGGGGGGGGGGGGTAAGAGGACCTTTTTTGGTCTCGAAATTTGAAAATTTGACATTTTGCTCCTTTGGGGTTTGGGGAGGGGGGGTGTTAGGTCACCTTTTTTAGATCAGCCATTGGTATAATTTTTTTGTTTGTTTTGTTTTGTTTTAATTAAAAAAAATAACAAGGGGGGGGGGTTTCCTCCAAAATACACACATAAAAATTACCAAAGGGGGGGGGGTTAACCCCTAACCCCCCCCCTGCGTACGCGCCAGACTTACACCATTAAGTCCCTGCACCCCAAGAATCCACGATCCGCCGCTTCATGAAGTAGTGACGATTAGAATTTAAAAAAAATAGGGGAATTATTGAAATGAAAATTTGACAGTTCAAAAAAGAAATGATCACTGACTTTATACTACAGAAATCACTTTAATATTTCTATTGCTTATGGTAATCCTATAAGAGTTATAAGACAACTCACAATTAATTTGATCCTGACAAAATAGAGGAAAAAAGAAGATTTTCCTGTCTGTTATTTCTTTTCTTTTTTTCATCATTTTTTTGTCTTTTCTTGTTTTTTTGTTTCTCAATCTTTTATATTTTTTTGATTTTTTTTTTAAACGTTCGTACTTTTGTGCCCTTTTGTGTTGTTTTATTCATTATATTTGTGACATGCTCTATGTAAATGGTCATTTACCTTTTTCACTTTGCGGCATTCCGTGATGCAATTTCAACTTTCTTGGAGGGCGGGGCCAAATCTGGTCATATGTGGTCATATGACTACTAAAATAGTCACCTGACCACTTTTCTTCTAGCCACTTGTACGGTGCACGTGATGCATGTGGGCGGTTGATCGTAGAACACAAAACAACGCTTGCCTCTGCACTGACTCCTTTGAGAAAAACATCATTTTCATTCAGCTTTCTAGTTCTTCTGTCATCGATATTCTGCTTGATACTGTGATAGATGAAATCAGCCATCATGAATTTAATTCTATCATCCAGCATCGGCATCATAGCATTTGTGATGCTAGTGAACGGTAAGTGAACTGCACAGCTCACAGACATTCTCAGTACAACACTAAACACTGCACTCCACTGCACTGCATGCTTGACTCGTCCGCTTCATCCGGGGAGCTGGCGGAGGTCTGGCGGCTTCGCTAATCGAAACCGTACCACAATGATTTTCTTCATCAATCTTTATAATAAACAGAGAGCTTTCACAAAATTAACCTACATACTTTGAACAATGAATGCCCTGATTTATTCTGCGTTCAATCTTGGCCTTCTTATAAATTAATGGAGGGAAATATATATGGTTGCCATCAAATTCATTGAAAACAAATAATAATAATTTTGGTCCTGAAATTGGCATTCTGTTCTATGATGGGAATATTTGAATTTCAGGTTTATTTATTGTAGTAAGTTAGCAGTGACAATCACTGATTACACCTTTATTAATCATTATAAATTTTTGTGAAAAATTCACATTGAATCTGGACTCTGGAGTTATCAAGATCGCGAAGGTTGCGAGCAGATCATAACAAGTTGAAGCGTGTGGTTCTGAAAAGAACTGTTGGTATCTTGTAGTTTTGGTCTAGTTTTGAAAGACGATTTCCAAGTACAATATTTGTGTGTGAAATTGAGTATACAGTTAACAACTACATTATCCATGCCCTTATGAAGTTTTGTAATTTTTTAAGTACCGGGTATATGTGAAACATTAATTGTCTGATTCCTGTTTCTCGAGAATGTGACATATTATAGCTTGCATCCAAAAATATTCAACAAAGGCCCTAATTCAACCAATCCTCCTTACAAGTTACAAAGAACACAGTAAACATTGTGGAGCCTGTGTGCAGCGCTTTGTAACTACAAAGAGAAGGCGCTACCGTATATCAAATATCTTTTGGATTGGATTGGATTGGAAACATCAAATTTACAAGGGGTATGGATAATTTAGTTGTTAACGGTATGTCATATCCCCTAATCCTTTAGCTGCCCCACCAAACTGCAAAGGTGACTGCGAACAGAATCACAAGGAACCCAAGCAGGACTGGGGCTATGTCGGTGTCCGACCTAAGGCCAACATGTTCTGGTGGCTCTACTACTCCACCCAGCAACCCTTCAGCTCCGTGCCGTTGGTTCTCTGGCTACAGGTAGGTTAATGATAGAGAGATGGACAATGATGATGTAAAAGAATACAATGTCAAAAGTTACTGTCTTGTTCTTTAAAGGGGAAGTCCTACCTGATATTGATTTGGTTTAATAAAAGTAGACAAATTAGAGAAATAAATTGGTGAAACTTTGAGCTTAATCTGATTGAGATTTATACATTTTTGCTTGTATTAAAACCAACTTAATATCAGGATGGAATTTCCCTTGAAGTATAACGAACCCCATGTTGTAGAAAGCTTGTCCTCTTAGTTACGGCTAATATCTAGGTTTGAAGATGCTGGCCTGTATACAAAATAATGCATCATCTTTATAATGATGCAATCTTAATGCAAATTTATGATACTACTTAATGACTGATATCAGGTATTATCATTCCATCAAAGCATGTACAGTCATCATGACAGTCATTTAACATTCAGATTTTCAGATTTTTTCAAACAATCTTGTAAGTTGTTTCTCTTTCAAAAGAATTTGCTGGATTTTGCCCTCAACAAGAGAACACATATCAACTTTCTTGCACCACTGCTTTCTGCATAACTGTTTTTTGTTAGAAACAAACTTTATATTTTCTTACGCCAGAGAGGTTGGATTATACCTTTAATTCATATTTTCAATGTCCACATAATTATCTGTCTGTCACTCTTACCAGGGAGGTCCAGGAGGATCCTCCACAGGGTTTGGTAATTTCCAGGAGATCGGACCGCTCGATGTCAACCAGAATCCTAGAAACACCACTTGGGTAAGTAGATTTTTCTTCAGATCCTTGTTTTTGTGAGGAGGGGGAGGATTTTCAAACTATTCAAGTAGACAACTTGAAAACTTGGTAAGGGTACCAATAATTAAGTGGTCTATATCATTTTTGTAATCAAGTCCAGTTTGAGGTCGTATATGGTTAGCCTTATCTTTGGCCTTGGACTAAGTCATAACAAAACCAATGGAATATCATATTTTTACCGGCTTTATGACTCAGAATTGCTGGCTTTGATTACATAATTGAATCACATACATTAACAAATTTCATAGAATAATGAATGCATACATATAACATCACTGTAATGAATGAAAGTAATGAATGATATTGTCATTTTATTTCTCTTTACTCTCTTCCTTAACCTCAGGTTTCTGTCGCTAACATACTCTATATCGACAACCCTGTTGGAACTGGCTACAGTTATGTCACAGACTCATCTGCTTATACAACAAATGTCAGCCAGATTGCAGATGATCTAGTCACCTGTATCACTGCTTTCTTCAACAAACTACCTCAATTTCAGGTACGTCGTATTAGTTAACTGCAGTAAAAAATTATTCAAAACTGGAAGAGGGGTATTCTTTTCCCCTTCCATGATGTGGGTTGCATATTCTTCCCAGGAATTCTGGTTTTTAATAATGTGTGTGGACTATTTAAAGAGGTCTACATTTTTCATTAAAATAATCAATGAAGCAACAAGAAGAAGAAAAATAACTCCATTGTAACGTTTAATATCAGTTAAAACAAAGCACTTTAAATCACATTTTACTACTGTTGTTCATTCATAATAACTGTCCCAAAATGTGGTGTCCTGAAAAAGGATCTAAATTCAATTTAGATGAAACAGTATTTAATGTTTTAGAGGACTTTCAGTTGTGACATGTGATTATTGATTCATCTTTTTTATAGAGGAATAAGTCATTGAGAAAGGGTAACGTAATAAAATTTAATGCGGAAATCTTTGTTAAGTGCCATGTAAAAAATTATTTCATTCACCTGTTATGAATAATTGTATTTCAATAGAATACGAATTGCATACATTAAATGTTGCTAGGTAGGACAAACATGACTTGTCTTACCTAACAACACGTAATGTTTGCAATTTGCATTCTGACTGTTGAAATACAATCATTCATTACAGGTAAATGAATTATTTGAATCGAGGCACTTCAAAAAGATGTATTCATTAAATTTGGTTATATCACGAAAATGGTCTGAGTGAAACTTCCATATACTGGTAACCATGTTTTTGTACTTAGGCTTGGTAAAAAAAAGAGTGTATTGTGAATAGTGCAGCTTTGAAAGATGATGTGAACATTTTTCATTTGAAATACAGTAAGCAAATAACTACCGTTGGTGAAGGTGATGGGACAAACTATCACTTCCGAGGCGATCTGGATGTAGCTATCTTTCCGAAGCGAAGCTGAGGAAAGATAGCGTATACATTCATATCGCCGAGAAAGTGATAGCTTGCCATCGCCTGAAACCAAAAGGTGATTATTTGCTTTATATTCCACATCAGAAACATTTCACTTCTTCTGTCATGTTAGAGCAACAAGTCATCAAAAGGTGTACGATACGTACAGTGCATGCAGTATATGGTGGTGTGACCATTTAATTCGCGCGTGACCAAAGTTCGCGTACTAACACTAAAAGCGCTTAAAGAGGAGAGCAATATGCAGCGTATACAATTAAAGTGCGTTACACTGTGTAGATAGTACTTCTATCTTCAGTGAAAGTGCATTGCACTGTGTAGATAGTACTACTATCTACACAGTGCAACAAACTTTTCTTCCATCAATGATGGGCGAACTATCTTTCATCACGTGATTTACTTTTGACCAATCGTAGAGCAAGATTCTTAGTATGTGGAATATAATGTCGGCTATTACCAAATGTATACATGTTTTCTTGTGTAATGTTTTGTTTGTAACAAGAGTTAAAACAGACTTTGATGTGAAAATTCCTATGCTATACAATATAATATGGTTAATGTGTTATTTACTTTCATCACCTTCTTCATCTAGAAAATTCCCTTCTACATATTTTCTGAGTCATATGGTGGGAAAATGACAGCTGCATTCAGTCAAAAACTCCTGCAGGTGAGTGATTGTTTGCAAGTCTATTTAACTGTAGACGTGTCATAGTCGAGTGGTTTAAGTAAGCACTCAATTTGAAATGCAAAGGTCACAGGTTAGATCCCTGACACTGTGCTAATATCTTTTGGCAAGGCATTAATCTACATTTGCCACTCCATATCCAGGATAGAAATGGGAACCTGGTAGGATGATGAAAGCCTTTCTGTTAGTAATTGCCATATGCCCTCATGGTGAGTCGGTGACCATATGGTAGGAATATTCCCCATGGAGTGGAGATGGTGCACAATTTGCATGAAGGAAGCCGATGACCGGGTTAATAATATCTTTAGAGCGAATATAGATGGTATTTCGTATTGAGCGCTATATAAGTCCAGATTATTATTATTATTACCTGTATGAAGCTGTTATTCACTCAGCACTATAAAGTATTGTCTATAGTGACCCACTTGTGATTGTGAAAAGCTAGAGTGTTAGTCACTTTAACTTTGAATGTGTATTGTTTATTGTCTATTTTGATATACATTTTTGGAAACTTCATCTGGAAGTGTTCTTCCTTTAAATTTGATTAAAGCTTGATGATCTCCTTTGCATCTTCCATCAACACTTCCAAATTCAAGAAATAATGATTATCAAAATCTCCAATTGTTATACCAGAGTTTAATCAGCTCTTAGAAAGTCCGCTGTAATTTCTGTTAAGTGATTGAAGCTGATTATTCACCAGTTACATTAGTTAGCAAAACAATGCCTTATGATTTTCATTGTGGTATGGGTAAATGACCGTCTACTTCTTGGAACAGACTTTTAAAAGCTCACACGATGTGATTCATATCCTGTCTCCAACCAGACAACAATGGTCCAGATGTGCTGAAGGTCCCACAGTTTCCTGCCCTATTTTTTTTGTCTTCAATTCAATTCAATTTATTTTCCATCTTTAAAAAAGAACAAATATAACATAGTATTGACACATTGTATTAAACTAATAATATAAACATAAAAATGGAGGGATACCCTTAATAAGCAGGGTGCTTGTAAGCAGGGCCCTGGTATACAATATAAAATTTACAACTTTGTTAGTGAAATTTCTAAATATTTGAGAGAATTACAAAACTTACAGTCTTGTACTGAAGATATTCCTTTCCTCTTTCTATGCAGTAGTTACAAATTCCAGGCAATGTTTTGAATAGATTGGATATTGAATATACTTATTTTTTAATGTTTAAATCATGAACTTGATAAAGATAATTGATGTGCATTGCAACCTGTATATAAAGACCTCTCAAGGGAGACAATGGAAGTGGTCTCAATGGGCGGTTGGTCTTAATGCCAAGGATACTTTAATGCATATATGAAATAAGAGTTATTGTTCAAAGAAAACAAAAGAAAACGAGAACCGTGGCCTTTCTACACAGGTGGTTGCTAAAGGAGGGTTGACTGCACAATCAAACCTGATATCAACAAACCAAAGATTTATCTTTGAAAACATCTTTTTGTGTACAATCTGCTTATGAATGACATTTTTTTTATTCCAGCAATAATATCACTTTTCTTATCTTTATTTTGAAATGTAGCCATGATATAGAAAATATCCATATAATACTGTAGTTAAACCGCTTTGTGTCTCAAAATATTCTTCTCACAGGCCATTCAAGCTGGTAAAGTTAGCGCTGATTTCAAGGGCTTTGCCATGGGAGACTCCTGGATCTCACCTGTTGGTAAGTGGTCATTAAATTAATAATTAGATCATTTTCATAGTATGATGATGATTATGATGATGATTAGAATAATAATAATAGTAGTTTTAGGAGTGATGGTGGTAGTGGTAGTAGTAGTAGTAGTGGTAGTGTTAGTGGTATTGATAGTGGTAGTGGTAGTGGTCGTGGAAGTGGTAGTAGTAGTAGTAGTAGTAGTAGTAGTAGTAGTAGTAGTAGTAGTAGTAGATGTAGTAGTAAAAGTGGTGGTGGTGGTGGTAGTAGGAGTAGTAGTCTACTACTACTGCTACTATTAATACTACTATCACTACTACAACTACTACTACTATTACTACACATGTTCGACCATAATATTAATCTTTTATACTCCATTTAATTTCTTATTAAATTTGTTTCATTTAATTCAGATTATGTGATGACATGGGGGCCATACCTGAAGGCAACAGTGAGTGTTTAAACTTCTTTTATTATCATCTTGTGGCTATGATCTTTCTATTATTGATGAATAAGAATGAGACAAGAAGAATTAGAATGATACCTAATGGACAGTAGAGTTTCATAATAATTGGTCCATTTAAATATCGCAGCTACTATATGAATATACTCTACTGCGATTAATACAAAGTATCATATTATTACCCCGGTTGTAGCTGAGCCGCATATTAAGGAGCTATAGCATTCGAGGAATTTCTTTCTACTGGGTACCTATTTACTTCACCTGGGTGGAGAGTGGCAAATATTGATTAATGTCTTGCCAAAGGGCATCAGTGTTGCGGCGAGACTCGAACCACAAATCATGTGATCCACGGTCCGGTGGTTTATCCGTTGAACCACAACACATCTATGTACACTAAATAATAAAATACATTACCATGGATAACCAATAATTATGTTTTCCTGATAATTTGTCATTTTGGGGGTGTAACTGGGGTTCTCTTTGTTAAAAAACTAAGATAATTGGTCGCCGCTCCAGGTAGATCAGACTCGACTCAAAGGCCACTTTCTTTGCTTTTCATTTCTTGATAGTCTTTGCTAGACTCTGTTGGCTTTGCGGCCGTGCAGGATGTTGCAGAGAGGACTAAAGAAGCCTTTGACCAAGGGAACTACAGTCGATCCACCGAGCTATGGGGTGAGGCAGAAAATGTGATTGAAACGGTGAGCCATTTTTTCTAGTGATGAATTGGTTCCACTACACATGCTGTGGTGGTGTCAATGACTCCGTGGTCACTTTCCTACATTAAACCGAATTCCTAAATTCAACCCGACAGCAAACACCCAATACCTAACTCTAACCCTAAACCTAACTTAGAACCCAATTTAAATCCTAATTGTAAGCCTATATCTTTGATGAAATAAAGACTGCAGCGAATGTCGTATCAGCAAATGTTGTAGGAGTGAATGTCAGGTGATTAAGCAACTAAAGACTTTATAATGGATGTAAATTTTGTTGAATGAATTTTTAGTTTACTTTTGTATCATTATTCTTATTTTTTTTTTTTTTTTTTTTTTACTGTTTGCTATTTTAGACTGTACATGTATGTAAGGATACTTTAGATCTCAGTGAATTTACCCTTCCATTTTTGTTGTTGAAATTCCCTTATATTAATGACTACCGGTAATATAATGCAAATTTCCCTTTTTACTTTTTTATATTTCATTAGTATTCAGACGATGTGAATTTCTACAACATCTTGGAGCACAATGTTCCAGATGAAAATGCAAAGGGTGGTTCCCCTATTGGTAAGTTTCCTTTCGAGCATATCAGCATCTCTTCATGTTTTATCATTTCATAATTTCACGTACAAGTTTTTATCAATTAAAGATAAACTTGAGTACTGGTAATGCGATTGCATTGTGAAAGAAAAGGTGTGGAATGGATCAGAAAAGTTGATCATATAGCATGTAAGTAATGGTGTGTAATGCAAGGTTCTAGAGTCATCAAAATCATCATAAATTTGGCAGAGTCTTGGTAAAGTAACGATCACTTACACAGATAGATGTATATGGGACAACACACATGGTGTCGGGGCTAGTACTACCCTGATTTCCTTATCTTTCTATGCTCATTACTCAGCCAGTATACATTTTCTTCCAAAATTGTTAGGCACATGACATTTATTTGTAATCTTGAACATTCAGTGTAAGTTTCGTTAGATTCTGTGAGAATTCATTTTCTTTTTTTACCAGAACTCAAGTTTATCTTTAAGAAGAATCATCCCAATACATTACTGCATCTTTCTTAGACCCACGATTGGGTTTAAATGAAATTAGAAGAATACATAACTAAGAACAAAAAAAACGTTAGGATGAGAAGTATCAGCAAAACTTTTATTTCGTGATAGAGATACAGATTTGTAAATAAGCTTTTCAGGGTAACACCATGTAATTCTTTCAAAGGAATAAGAGCCCTACTGGCACAGATCAATATGTTGAGAGCCAAGAGCTTGTAGCAGAGCTCACCAGCCCTTCCTTCTCAGGGCTCTTGTTCCTTTGAAAAAATTACATGGTGTAACCCTGAAAACTTAACCTACAATTTAAAACGTTTATTTTCTTTTCTTCTCTCTCTCTCTCTCTCTCTCTCTACATCATTCCGCACTTCTTATTTTTTCATCTTCTGTCTCGTCTTTCCTTTTTCTTCCTTTTTTCTTCTTCCCTTTTTTCCTCTTTCTTTCTCTGTAATGTCTTTTTCTTTCTCTCTCTTATAAGTTATATTATTTCTCTTTCTTTTGCTTTCTTTCTCTTATAATATTTCTCTTTCTTACCCTTATACTCTTTCTCTTTCTATCTTTTATACCATTTCTTTCTTTGTGCCGTCACAGAACAATTGAGACGGCGTCACCTGGATGTCTATCAGAACGACGCCCTGAGTGCGCTCATGAACGGACCACTCAAGAAGAAACTTGGTATCCCTGACAGTGTGACATGGGGAGGTAAGACCCCTTCATTCCACCATTCACATATGATGCGTTAAACCACCTTAAAAAAAACTTGCTGTCGCTGCAGCAAAATGTAATTGTTTAGGTCTAAGCTTGTTATCCCCGACAGTGTGGTGTGGTATGTTCTTTGTGCTAAAAGTGCTAATCTATCTGCAGCTTTAAGGTGAAGGTGTAATGCCATGGCATTTTATTAGCCGGTTTCCTTTGTCACCTACAAATAAGGCTATATGGGTGGGTAATTGCTAGCAAATGTTACTCTGATTCTGTGAAAAATACACAATATTTCATGAAGATTACAAACTATGTTTCTTCATTAAAATGTGGCATTGCATAAACACATGTAATTGATTAGAACAGGATAGATATCTTGTTGTAAAATAGGTAGTTTTTAGCATATGTAGTTTTAATGAAATATACATTTTTGAAGCCATATGCAAAGCTTCAATGAATTATCAATTTCTTTGGTGAAAGATTTATGTAGTCTGTCCAGTGAATGATTATATTGTGATCAGTATTCAATCAAATTTGTATAATCTTGAACACTTATATTCTCAAGAAAAGAAGAAAAAGGTATTCCCTTCAGAAGAAAAGAACAAAAATGAGAGAATTAAATGACACTGAAACTAGGATAAGGTAATGTTTGAGCCAGACTTGACTGAATTTCAACTTTCATCTCCAGGACAAGCCGGAGAAGTATTTACTCAGCAGAGTGAGGACTTCATGAAGCCGGTCATCAGTATTGGTAAGCTCCCACACACTTTGCAATATTTCAATTTGATAGAATACTGAAATTTAGGGAGATGTGAGTTGGGTCTAGTCACTAGTGGCACGTTCACTTGGCCAGCTCTCCGTCTTTGCCTACCAACTGGCTCAGGCGATCCTGGTGCGAAACTGAGTTGTGTCATTTGGACAGTGACGTTAAATGTCGGTCCCCAGATGTAAATCATCATATCTGATTGAAACCCAATTACACACAAACACATCAATACTAACATCACACATCTACCTGGTTCCAATAATTAAAATCTGTAAAGGCTTGTTCACTTATGCCATGGTAAACTGTGGTGTTTTTTTTGGTGTGTACTAATTAAATGGCAAGTGGGGATGAAGAATAAAAATAGGTATGGGCAACAAAGGCAGGCCTGATAATTTACTGGTTTTATTTTTATATTTCCTTCAATTTTTTTTTTCTTCAAAAAAAAAAAAAAAAAAAAAAGAAGAAAAAAAAAAAAATAATAATCTGGTTTAAAATAAAGGGGGGGGGGGGGGGGTTAGGTGCCACTTTTTCATAACTTGCTTGAATGTCTCTTGGGAGGTCCTACTAGGTGGTTTTCTGCTTTTGTTGACTTCATTGTGATTTCGTTGTCTCAGAATCACCAATAGTTCTTGGTACACGTCTCCACCCCATCAATCCTCCTTCTTGTTTTCCATACAGTTGATGACCTCATTACAAACTCAGATCTACGTGTGATTGTCTACAATGGCCAGTTGGATCTTATCTGTGACACACCTGGTGAGCAAAAATTAGTTTATTTTTGTGGGATATACTTTTTAGTGTTCATAAATAAATGATAATGATAATATTGGTAATTAGAAAGAAGAGGAGAAGAAGAAAAGGATGTGGAGGAGGAGGAGGGGGAGAAGGAGGAGGGAGAGGAAAAGTAAAATGAAGAGGAAGAGGAAGAGGAAGAAATAGAAGAAGAAAAAAGAAGAAGAAGACAAAGACAAATAAGGAGGAAGAGGAGGAGAAGAAGAAGAAAAGTAAAATGAAGAGGAAGAGGGAGAAGTAGAAGAAGAAGACAAAGACAAAGTTCTTGTAGAGCACATATCTATCAATGTCTCCATGTGCTCTCAAAGAGCATTTGATTATTACCTCGGCTCAGCCTAGCTGCCCTTGTAAAGGAACCGACTGAAGCTGTAGGGCAGCATGGCTGTAACCAAGATAATTCTTAGTACTTTGTAGGCACCTTGATCTTCCCTTGGGATGGTCATGTGCATGATTTACAATAAAAGCAGCTATCATCATATGTGTGTTTCAATGTGAACCCATTGACTTCTGAATCCTCGCTTTCCCATAGGCTTTATACGTGGACCAACTGGTTCCAGTAGGCAATGATATCAAAATAGTGAGGCTTTAGGGGACTGCTGTCAGCTGACCTTTCCCTATTGTTTCTTTCCCTCAGGCACTGAATTATGGGTACAGAAACTCACCTGGCCGGGGCTGGTGCATTTCAACAGCACAACATGGACGCCTGAGTATGTCAAGTCGAAACAAGGAGACACAGCTTACTTCTACAAGAGCTATGAGAACTTTGCTTTCTTCTGGATAATGAAGGCGGGCCACATGGTGAGCTCTACTGTGTTACATATTAGGCATTATTGTTATAGTTTAAATGTTAACAAAATAGTGAGGTTTGGGGGGACTGCTGTCAGCTAACCTTTCCTTATTCAATTCAATTCAATTCAATTCAATTTTATTTCATCCAATAATGACATGGAACTACATCGTGGGATTTTACATATTGCATTTACATTAAAATAATGTATAAAAAGACATCAAATGCATGACATTGAAATAACAGTACGTTTCCAAAGATGAAAAATAATGTGAAAATATGACTAAAATGGACGATAAGTTAAAAATCCCTGGTCGCCACAAGTGCAGTGCCCTCGCTTGTGGTAGCTGGCCACGTATATCCATGACAAGAACATCAGACAAATTAGCAGAAACGATTTCTGCCAAAGGGGAAGCCGAGGGGCCATAAGTATTTGTCAAGAAAATCAGGGAAATTCTCTAATTTGATGGAATAGTTTTTCTTCCTTCTTCTCCACTCTATTTTATGACTAGGATGTTATCTATGGCTCAATTATATTCAGCAGGTTATGTACCGGGTAGACAAAATAGTACCTTACCACCAATGTCTTAACACCTTGCGTGCCAATGTTGGAAAATCCCACTTTGACTCTTTAAGGCTCATGTACAAATATGTAATAGTACAGATGGGGTTAAATTTTTGACCTGCCCAGAAGTGCCCTGTCTAACCTAATACACTTTCATGAGCTATATGAGGATGGCCACCCTCCCCCTCTCACCATCTCCCCCTCCCTTTCCTATCAGGGCCCTGTTTCCTAAAACTTGTTATCAATAACAAATGCTTAATTTCTATGACAAATTTGCTCTCAACCAAACAAATGCCATGATTTTGATAGCTTATATCACTTATTGTAACTTGTTAATTTTTAACAAGTTTCATGAAACAGGACCCTGATATTCCCTCACTCCTTGACTATCTCCCTATATAGATGTAGCAGTACTGGGGGGTGTTCCACAAAGATCCTAAGTTGAACTTATCTTTAAGTTGGACCTAACAATTATGAAATCGTAGTATTTTTGAAAATATTCTGTAACAGTAATTTTATAAGGCATAAAATGTTGATTCAATTCATTCATATTTTCTATTTTCTTGGGAGATTTCATGTTCTTGATGTGGAATTCATGAAAAGTCTAAAATACTTGAACTTTGCTTTTGAATATATTTCATTATAAGGCTACAAATGGCTCCCCATAATATTTAAGTCCAACTTAGAGTTAAGTTTGACTTAGGATCTTTGTGTAACACCCCCCTGATGTGTTATACCTCCCTCTTATGTCTTTCAGGTCCCAGCCGATGCCGGTGAAGCGGCCCTCTCGATGTTAGAGTCTATCATTGACTCTGGCAAGAAATAAGCTCATCAAGGACAAAACTGTTCCGCTGGAACATTATCCGTTGATTGCTGAGCGTGAGGAACCGAGTTTTAAACACTCTCTAATTAAATTGAATCCGTCTCATGTGGGTTAGTGAAGAACAAAAATTGTAATGGTATTTTAACTTTTTAGAAAAAATGATGTATATGTTTTAATAATGCAAGTGTTGATTTTTTAAATTGAATTTGTTTTATTAGCACTCACCTTTTATACTCAGGTTTTGTAAAAATACATGGAAAAAATAAAGCACATTGAAATAATCATACCTAAAAATCACAAATACAAATGAGTGACAATTTTCCATCATATGCTTTTTTTTTGTCCATTATTATTTTGAATAGAAAGTTTGTTCCACGGTATCTAACCTAACATTTCATGAACTTTTTTTGAACTTTTAGAAGATTTAGAAGTCATTCTTATCTAAGAATATTTGAAACAATGAAAAATATGATGGGTTTTAACCTGCACTGTAAGGGATAAATATCCCTCACTCAAGTAAATCAATCTAAAGCGTTCTTTGTTGATTGGGTTTGCACTGTACTGTTGTGCGTCTGTGTAGTAATTGTTCTTCATGGAACCAAGTTCTGCATTTTGTTTTTGTCTGTATCGTGTCTCTGTGTGTTTATGTTATTTACTTCCACTGAGTTATACATTACATCACTGAACCATAGCATATTGAGAGAGATAGTTGTGACATGCACGTATATAGGTACACAAGATGGGTCATAGGTTAAAGAGAACGTTGAGTCCTGGGAAGAGGTGAAAAAATAATTTGTGAGCGGTATCGTTGTATTATGCAAGTGTGGAAGAACATCAGATAAAAAAAATGTTCCCTGAAAAGCGTGGTTCCTTAATATTCTAAATATGGGATGTGTACATCATAAAAATTGGGACAGATTTTTTTTGGGCCACATATTCATGTAGTAGGAATTTATTTCTTGAAATGCTAGAGTGCCGTATGCCAGCCGTGCTAAAGCCAGGGTAATAATCGGGAGCGCCAGGAGGGTCAAATCTGACTGACATGAGCGCTATACAAGAACCCACTATTATTATTATTATTATTAGTCCCATATACATCTTTCTGTGTACAGTGCTTGTAACCTTACCAAGACTGTGCCAAATTTCTTATCATTTTGATGATTCCACAACGTTTCTTTCACAATGCAATCACATGACCAGAACTCAACTTTATCTTTAAATCATGTTGCTCCAAATAGTTCCCTCCTATGAACAATCTCTATGAGAGGGAACTGTTTTTGGAGCTTCATGAAATTCCTGACCAATCAGAAGCAACTTCCTGTAACGTAACTATCTCTCTCAAGTAGCTATGCATTGGACTGGAATACATACGCCCTCTCTTGGTCAAGGTTTTGTAGCTAGCTGTAGATCTTGATATTCACTGTTCGGAATCGTGTGTTATTCTCGCTCTATATGTGGCACAACAAATTATTGCATTCCAACTCATGAATATGTTCATTATTGCATGTTAGGCCGTGCCGAAGTTTAACAAATTGTTTTGATTGTCTAGGAACTATTAGTACAAATTTTTGACATGTACCATACCTTAAACAAGGACTTGCAATATGCTTGTTTCAAATTTTCATTCTGTTGCAAGTTATATTGCTTATGCTCAATTCTATTAACATCTTTGCATGGACAAAATGTGCTTTTCTGTGTAGCATTAAGCAAACTTGAGATACTCTGTCATTTAAAAAAGACCAGTACTGAATAGAAGATGTTTAAAGGCAGAGCTCTTTTCATCTTCAGATAATTTTTGTCAAGACTTTCTGTTCTGATTTTCATAATGGACATGTGATCACATCTATGTGATTCTTGAATGAAAATTAAAGATTATACACACATTTTTAAAGTTTTTTTCATATATCATTGTGTAGATTTCTTCAAAAAACAACTGAAAACTTACCTGTACAACTCCTCTTAAATTGTTGAAAATCTAAGAGAGCAGCGCCTTGTAACCTCTGAAAAAGGCGCTATATAAAGCCAATTATTATTATTATTATTATTATTATTATACTTTATAGATTATTTCATGTGATTATGTTATTTTTATCAGTGCCTTGATGGTATTAACTATGAAATTAGTAAAAGCATATTCCATGTACTTAAACACTTGAATTATAATAAAGCTCATATCATCTGTTTGGAGCCAGAAGGGTGTTAACTCATATACTTTAACACAGAGATAATGCCCTTCTTGCTCCAAACAGACAAATTATGTATATTTAATGTGTAATTCCAAAAGAAATGTAAAATGTGTGATTATGTCAGTTATACACTTATGAAAATCATAGCTTTAAAGAAAATGTTGTTTTAAGAGGCTATATTTTTTTTGGATGATGTTTGAAGATTTGCATGGTGGTATGAATAATCGCGGTAGAGGTTTACGGTACACCATGTGTAAAGTCCTAGAAGGACTAAGGAAAGTGGATAGAAAATAGAAGTGAAATAGAATATTTTTTTTGTTTTTAATCGCAGATGCAATATGTAGTATTGTGATATTTATCATGACTGCAGATCGATAATTGAATGAATTAAATTAATTTTAACCAAACGTGGAAATAAACTTGAACTTGAAATGGAATGGATTTAATGAAGAGATGTTTGATAAAGAAGATATTATTTAGATAGTAATCATGTACATTTAGAATAATATTTTGTATAGATATGCAATGTAGATCAATAGCTTTTCCACATAAAAAATGAATCATGTATTGATAAAGCATTATGTCAACTATTACATTTTATAATTAATAAAAACCTGATTTTTAGCAAATTAAGTATGTTATGGGATCTGACTAATTTTCTTGTTTCATTGTTCTATATTTAAATAAAATCAGTCGATATAAATATACAATTATATGTAGTCCATATATATATATATATATATATAGACATGTTAGTGATGTTCAATCAGTAGAAATATCCGCGGCATTAGACACATGCGTTGAGTGTCAGAAAATAGAATCATCAAATGAAGAACATTAATACCAAACAAAAATAAAAATACTATGATATATTCGTGTGAAAAGTCGCATATCTCTTACCTAAGATGTAGCAGTCGGAATAAAATCACCGTCAATAAAATAATAAGAGGTGTTTTTTAAATAAATGCCACTGGTGTTGCTAACATATTTGCTTCTTTTCCTTGCTCTGTGTCAAACAGAACTCGTATCTTTCGGTACTAACACACCCCTCCCCTTCTATTAGCCACTCATTAACCTACACTAATTGCCTGAAATTAATTGAGCACACAAAAACCTCCATTTCTTTTCCTGAGCGGCAGCACATATTTTCTTATGAGTGACATCCAAATATAATTCGATTACTGTTGATGTGCAGGGCTGGATACAACCCATATTTTGTTATTAAAACATCAAAATGTATTTCATAGATTTTGAAATAGTTTTCAAAATAGTTTTCTCAGACCTGCTAGCTCCACCCTAAAAAAATGCTCCAGATCTCATTCATCTTGTGAGCTATAAGAGACAGTGGTGGTGAGCACGAATTTGTTTGTTTTGCCCTCGAAAATTTAAAAATCGCACCCCCCCCCCCTTGAGCACCAGGGGAGAGGGTCCGTCTCCAAATAAAGGTAAAATTAACGTGTTATTACCTGTTTTTTCCCACGGGAGGGGGCCCGGGCCGCTTGGGTCCCCCTGGATCCGCCACTGAAACAGTCAGTGACGTAGCTACGGTGGCATGCCCCCGAATCAAATGGAAAATGGGGAAAAAGACAAGAGAACGAATGAAAGAAAAAGAACGAACATAGATGCTGAAATGGACCGTGGAAAGAAGACGCTACGGTTCGGCCCCCTTCCACACCTTTGCTCAAATCATTAGTTTTGTCAATTTGTATTTCATTTACCGACTCGGAGTAAGAGCGGTGCCCCCAGTAATGTCGCTGCCCCTTCAAAATCAGAACATACGCGTATACTTCGTTGGATAAAAATAAATGTGATAACAATATTTTCTTAAGAAATGATGAAGACCCTCTTTCATATAAACTTATAATAAACAAATTTATTATTTAAGTAATCAAAGACAATTCGACAATGGTTGCTCCTAATCCCATCGTTCCTATTCGACATGTTTTACATGCAATATACAGTCACCAAATCTTATTTTCCTAAAGGTAACTCCAGGCACATGTTTATTTTTGGTACGTGTTCCAGATTCGGCATAAACAGCAACAGTTCTCGCTTCTCAGATTTCACCCTATATATATAGTCTGCGCATGCGTTACATATTTCCCAAGTTGAAGGTCACGGGAAAGGACACCTGACCTTTGTCTAAATCACGTAATTTGACCTCCTTACCCTAGATATAGTAGTCTAGTTGCTTCAGACGTCGTTAAAGCCCGGGTCCCATGTACCCGACAGCTATACATTCGTATATACGTAGGCTAGTCGGAACCGTTGTGCCGGGGGGGGGGGGGGGGGGGGTGCACTTAATCGGGGAGGGATTATTTGAACAGACGATTTTTCGACAAATCTTCTTGGGTGCATGGGTGTCGATTTGTATCCGTGGTTGGGGGGGGGGGATGATAGGTGTCAAAACATTTTCGGCAATGGATCAAAGCAGAAGCGTGTGGCAGGTTGCACCCCCTCCCTTCCAAGTTATTAACTTTTTCAGAGTGGTAATAAAATTAATAACATGCTTAAATGTTTGTCCTGACTCTTGCCTGCAGTGTAGGCCTACCAGACTGATATCATTTATTTTTAAACGAAATTTAGATATTACCACAAAAAAAATCCAATGGTGAGGAATATCAACTTGTAAAAGTATTATGCAATCAGCAACCAGGAAAGGTTCATGTAGACAGAAAATTCTTTATTTCCTGGTGATAGAAACATACATTTTATGAATATTGATGTCTCCAAACAACATCCATCGTGAAAAACCCATTACAATATTCTGTGTAAGAGATCTAAAAAAAAAACATAGTTCTCAGGGGCGGCCGAGCGACTTCCAAAGTGGGGGGGGGGGGGCATCAAGAAAAAAGGGCACTTACAAAGGGAAATCTTAAAGCGAATATATATACAATTTTTTAGACATTGGTATACCCCTACATTGTAATTACAATTATCAGGGATGATTTCAATATTTGTTTCACTTTATACACCATACAAGATATTGCTTAAAGATCATGCGTTGCAGTTGGGTATGATTATCTAAAAAATTGTTTGCGAGCGAGCGAGGAAATTTTTAAGATGTATGAGGTCGCAGTGCGAAAAATTACATCTTATAAAGAGGAAGAAACAAAAATGCTAATGGGGTTATAAGCACAGTCTCATAAACTGAAAATACCCTTGATAAGTAACATAAGTATATCATCTATATATGTGTGCGAGCGTGGCGAGCGAGCTTTGGGGGAAATTGCTCTTAGTCGCCTGAAATTAGCTAGGGCGCATTTTAATAATGATGAGAGGACTAGGGGACACTTATCAGGAAAGAAAAGGAGCATGTGCCAAAGTACAAAGAGTAATTATCAGAGGTGAAAATGGAGCACTTCTTACACTCTCAAAGAGAGGCACTCACCAGGGATGAAAAAAGTCAGTCATGAGAACAGGAAATGAGCATTTGTGGACGGAAAAGGGGCCCCGGTCAGATTTTGATAGGGGCATTTATAAGATATTATCATATATTGTTAAAAGGGAAATTATAAGAGGTGAAAAGAGGAACTCATTGCACTTGAAAAGGGGCAATGACCAGAAAAGAATAGGGGCACTTATGTGAATAAAAAAAGGGCACTTGTAATAAAGGAAAATGTGCATTAGTTAAAAGAAAAAGAGCACCGATCATGTTTTAAAGGGGCATTTGTCGGAGGTGAAGGGGGCACTTATCTGAAGTGCAAAATAGTAACTTTTTGTACCTGGAAAAGGTCATTTACCAGAGAGGGGGCACTTATGAGAAGGGTAAGGGGCTATTTTTTAATGGGGCACTTATCATTAGGAAAAGGGGCACTTATTAGAAAGGAAAAAGGGCAAAAATATAAAGTGAGCTTATCCGAGCTAAAATGGGGATAGTTATTAAAAGGGGAAGGGGCACTTCTTACAAAGGAAAAGGGGAACTTGTCAAAGTAAAAGAGGCACGTTCCTCTCAGATTAAAATAGTATCAAGTATCAAGTATCAAGTTTATTTGTCTTCCAGAAAACACATGTGACAAAATAGAATAGAGTATAAACATAACAGAACAATGTAGAATAGAGAAAGACGAGGAGACCTTGGTTGAAGCACAGCTTGTTAAGTTAAGGCCCCCTCATATGATGTGACAAAGATAACTGATTCATGAATACAACAACAAATATGGAATATATAAAACTATTTACAAAATACTCTCAGAGAACAACTACCCAACGATGCATCGACCACAGCATGGATGACTACAACAAGTATACCTGAAGATGCACACATCCCCATCACACCGAGTGAGCTAACAAACTCACCGTGTGTGTGAAAAAAGTATCACATGAGCAAAAAAATCAACCCACCCATGGGAGGGCGATCTAATATGGACTAACCCAAGCTGACACCAAATAGGACGATCATCAGAGGTGAAGGGGGACTTGAGTGAAAACTGAAAAGAGGCATTACTCGTACCTAACAAGGGGCACTTCCTAGAGATTAAAAAGAGCACTTATGAGAATGAAAAATAGACACTTATTGCAAAGGAAAATGGGAACTTGTCGAAGGAAAAGGGGCACTTGTCCAAATAAAAGGGGCACTTATCAGAGTTGAAAAGGGGGAAGGGGCACTTTTACAAATTGATAGGGGCACTTGTCAAAGTAAAAGGGGCACTATTCCTATGTAAAAAGGGGCACTTCTTAAAAAGGTTAAAGGAGCACTTTTCCGATGTAAAAGAGGGCACTTTTCGGGTGCTTGAAAAAGTGAGGGCACTGTGCCCCCTTGCCCCCCCCGGAGAATATTGAGGGGGGGGGGTATATCCCCTCCATCCCCCCGAGATCGACACCCACGCTTGGGTGGTATACATTTACGATATGGTTAAGTCATAAACATCATTTCAGTTGATTATTGACAGCGTGGGTCAGATCGCGACGCTTAAAACATAACTTTATCATTTTCGTTTATAATGGGTTTTTGGTTGATTACCTTTCTCATCAAACCGATGTCGTATAGTTTCCTACTGGTTCATGGTTATCAGTATTATGTAAACTGAATGAAAAGATTATGATAGGTCTTTGCATGTGGTCTAATTTATTAATAAAATTGAATATTACAAAGGAAAGGAAACAAAGCAAATCTATTGATATACGCATGATAACTGTACAAATAGAAATGAAACCATTCTACCAATTACAAAACTAGCATCAAAATCGTGTTGGGTGACTACCCATACCTGACTTGGGCGCTCGGGCCTGCGCGAGCGAACTTTAGTTTTCTATAAAAAATGAAATAAAAAAAATAATATGTATCTGGACCCCCTCCCCCAATGTTTAAAAATATATTTATACATATATCCCTACGCCTACGATGTCTGATTATTTTAAATTTCGAATAATATTATTCGCTATTGCTTACTCCTTTCCAATTCACTATCAATAACAGAAGTTTCTGGTTGTGACGGCAACATAAGGGAACGGAAAAGTTAAAATAGAATGAGAGAAAGAGAGGAAGAAATTAAGAGAGTCAGCGAGTGGTATAGAATGAAAGAGAGACAGAGAGACAGAGAGAGGGAGGGGGGAAGAGAGAGAGGGGGAGAGAGAGAAAGGGAGCGAGTGAGAAGAGAAGAAAAAACAGAAAGAGAGAGAGGGAGAGAGAGAGAGAGAGAGAGAGAGTCGGGAAAGAGAGGGGGATCTAGTATAAAGTATGCTTCTTTCTTTCTTTTTCCCCCGGGAGAATCCACCTCTTTCTGTATTTCTCAAATCTTTTCTCTTTAATATCCTCATCAATTCTACTATACTCTCTCTCTTTTCTCCCACTCTCTCTCTCTCTCTCTCTCTCTCTTTATTTTTGTCTTATTTTTTAAATTCACTCTGTGGATCTTATCTCTATCTCTGTCCTCCCCCTCTCTCTCTCTCTCTCACTGTATCTCTGTCTGTCTGTCTGTCTCTGTCTCTCTTTCTCTCTCTCTGTCTCTGTCCCTGTCTGTCTCTCTTTCTCTCTCTCTCTCTCTCTCTCTCCATATCTGCCCGAAAAACAGACACTGGTGTGCGCTTTGCGAGACTAGCTGAACCCAGCCAGCCAGAGGAAGCGTGGGACGTTGGCATGGCAACGTACAATGGAAGAGCGGGCGAGCAGCATGCCAGTGCGTATGATAGTTATACGTGTTGGGGGGTTGAATCCTCCTCTCCCGTCGGTTCACTATTCATCGCCACCCCCATGGATCTATTGATTAGCGCGAACTGATCTGGGTCACAAGAGTCCAAATCGCCGATTTGTTATAATAGATGCATCGGTGACGGAATCCGATGCCTGAATGGCAGACAACCCATCGCGAAATAATAGCACCATTCGAATCGATGTGATTAGATGTGAAGCTGCCACAAAGACCTGCTGGTGATTCAACCATTGTGTCTCGAAACACTGATCCTCAGTTAGTGAGCAGTCGAGTGGTGGGCCACAAAGAAGCTTTTTGACAAGGGTAAGCAATGGTCTTTCATCCCGGAAAGGATTTAAAAGTTCGGACAGACTATCGAGTTTACATCCAAGATTTCAATAGTCGGTAATTGCTTGTTTTTTCAAACAGACCTTCCCCTCCGCGAAAGCCAAACAGATGATATTTTTGTGTTTACGGATACAATGTTTATGGAGCTTGAATGTCGAAGTATGAAATGCAGATCTGACAGAGGGCATGTACACTTGAGTCTGGAAAAGAAAACTTTGACAAGTTTTTATCGATCTTTTTCCGGGCGTCCCTATTGAATGAAGGACATCGCATGGTCACCCACATAGGGATGCTTTGTTTTTGCTTTCTCTTGGGCATCAAAGATCGATGTGGATTTTCCACAAACTCGCTCCGCCTGGGTGCCCAAATAGGTCGTTTACAGATTAGTGGTATTTTTCCAAGAGACGGACCATTCTTGTATTCCGTATACACGTAACTCAGTGATGATAGTCGAAGTCTAATCTGTGTCTGAACTATACTTCTAGTGAGAGATAATAATTTCAACCAAATTGGATGAGAGCTGGAGAAATTTTCAAGAAATACTACTGGATTTATATTCTAAAGACGTGTGGAAATGATTCTTCAAACAATTTATTTGAGCAATTAACTCATCACCAAGGACTCGCCAGCGGCTCATGCCCTAGTCCCATGTTAGTAAATGGAAGTTGTGAATATAATTATTTCTTATGGAACAACTCATTTAAACTCGTTTTGTTTGGCTTATCATGGAATACCACATTTATTACAACATTGAGAAAAAACGGAATATCAAGGAAGTCAATCTCTGACTGCGAATGATATGTTGACAGCAATAATTTGATAATATGTCGGATTTAATTTTCAAAATGTCGCCGATGAATATCCCTGTAGCCAGAAGTGACTCGACTTCGGAGGGAGAACTTGGCCACTTTACAAAGGACTCGTCAACAGCGAGCCAGCACTCGACCGACGAGGTGCACGATTTGCCACCAATTGTTGGGGCTCCTAACAGCACGGTAGCGGCCCGGTATGCCATCCTGGCAGAAAGCCATCCAAATGGAGCATTGGGACAGAAGGAAAACCATCATCCTGGTGGGATTTTACCACTCAATATTCGCTCTAACAGTATATACGAGACTCATCAGAGTAGCCCGTCACTTAGACGTCGCTTAAAGGTCCTAATCCGACAAAAATCAGAACCAGATATGTTAATTGGAAGGGATCTAGGGTTGAACAGCCCTCGAATGCGAAGGATGATCGCCCCTAGTCCTCCACCAGGGGACTCGCCCCGATCACACAGCGGATCGGACTGTAACTCACCCAGGATAATCCGCAAGCCCAGGTCCTTCCACGGACATGGCAGTTCTCCTCGAACCCCAAAGTCGGCGGAAAACTCGCCCATGATCATCCGCCGTTCCATCCCGACGGCTCAATTACAATCCCCCATCTCCACCACTCAACCTTCTGGAGGTGAGACCATTGACGGCATCAGACAGACTAGGTCCCATTCCATTGGGTCCAGACCTGAGGCATCGCTCAGTGCTAACCCTTCAGGTCCTGGCTCACCCTTTACGATGAGAAGAGAGGTGAACCTCAGGAAAGCGTCAGCGAGTCAGTCCGACTTTCTACCTGCCGTCAACGGAAGCACTGACGGATGTGTCACCCAGTCAATCACTTCACAAGGTTTGTATAGCCTCATATTTTTAATATTACAGCTTGAAATTTATCATTAAAAATAAAATTTGCTACAGAGAACACGATCACGAAGACTGGATTTGCATGTAATATATATATATATATATATATATATGTTTTTGTATGTGTCATTGTTGAATTAAAAAAAAAACTGTTGTATTTTGATATTGTAATTTTAAGCAGGGGATGATCCCCGATAAACCTCTTTGATTTTTGATCACCCCCTCTGCAGGTTCATCTTTTGTTGTAATGCTTTTATATTTGATTGTAATGTATACTGTATTTTATTAATCTGTAGAAATAAATGAAATTGAAGACTCTAAAAATCATCCTGAAGCGATTTCAGTAGCCTCTTCGATCACCTTTGGAAATTTGTGGACAACACAATGACATATTACGTAATCTAGACAAGACTCATATATTTACAACATGGTAATGAAGTGGCCCTTGATTTTTTCTTTTCAAAGTCTTTTGGATTGTATTAAGGTTATTAGCCTAACGGTTATACAAACTATACCAAAGACATAGATCCAATCGATAAACACTGGCAGTCTAGTTTAAAGGGGTGTTAATCCAGCTCATAAAGTAAGCAACTGATTGTCAAAACAAAAACTCACGGGCGATGTTTACTTACAAAATAATGAAATTCATATGTATGCATTCAGTCAAAGCATGACCTTGCAGGGAATTCCAGTTTAAACACTCAAATAGGAATTATGTAATCTTGTTTCATTAATCCATTGCAAAACAATCATGAAAAGCCCCAAATCATATTTTCCCTTGTAATTTTCAGTCCAGTTTAAACGTTGTATCTATTGCATAGCAATAAACTATGCATTAACTATTGAATTACCACCTAGCACAGGTGTAAGTAGAAAATTTCAATGACTCCCCAAACCATAAACATAAATCAGCTGGGCCGCTTTGCACAAAACTTACCATTGATGGTAACTTTGCCATCAATTGCAACTACCATGGTAACAGGGCTCAACAGGGCTCAAGGTTTCCATGGTAGTTACCATTGATAGCAAAGTTACCATTAATGTTAAGTTTCGTGCAACGGGGCACTGTTCGTCGGCTACCCGCTCGAAGGTCGTAAGAACTCCGCATCGTCTTTGACAGTAACGATCTTGCAGTGAGCCGGTGTTTTTTTTGAGCCCGTTTGTAGCGGAACGTCTGATTCATCGTCTCATAAAGTTCAAGCCAACATATGTTAGGTTAGACAAAAGGAGAGATCTAAACGAAACAGAGACAAATACAGAGAAATCAAAAACCACAGGGAGAGAGAAAGAAAACCAACAACAGAGATCTCTAAAACTGAGACAAACAACATACATCTAAAACGAGAGACGAGATACAGAGAACTCAGTAAGAGTTTTACTAGTATTTTAGTCATCTTGTTCCATAATCAAGAGATGTAATATATACATTAGTATTCTCTGAAGTGAATAGAATCAGTCACTTTGTTGATCTTCGTTTGCACCATTAATTATTATTTAGAGGAACAGTCTTTGATATGTGAAGCCGTTAAACCCAAAGTAGAACTAATCCTTTAACGTATATACAGCTCACATGCCTGTTATGAACTCTTCACTTTCAAAATCTAACTGATGGCGTCGGTTGTCAATTTAGTGCAACAAACTGTATCTAACAAGAGTATGAAACAGTGTATTAGTGGCCAACATAAACCGTCATAAACGAATACTTCCATCCACGAAATGGTTTAATGTTTAAAGTTTTTGGTTCACTAGGGAAATTCTCATCCAATACGATCACAACTTAGCTGTGAAGTTTCTATTGTAACATTGGTAATGGGGTGGGGGTTCTGTAAATATGATACAAGAATACAGCTGTTCACGGTGATGAATAGTGTTCTGCGTAATTAATTATACCATCTGCAGATTGAAGCCATCATCATCGATTAAAACCAATATCAACGACGACAAGAACAACAAGAACAACAACGAATCATGATCTAACAAACTCTTATTTATATGATTCAGGAGATATAGCCTAAATACACTGGATATTCGATAAGCAACCTTCCTATAAGCATGATGAGAATATTGAGATAAGATATCTTACCGTTTGTTAAAAATTTACTCTAGATATGATTTCGTAATCTTGTACCACCTTAGGACGATTTCATGGCGCAGCAACGAAAAAAAAAAATTGCTCCCGTTCCGGTTTTTTTATATATTTTTTTAAAATGAGAGATTAAACTATTCTTCATGTAAAGCATCACTGACATACAACAGAATACCTTTTTGTGTTCTTGTGAATATTCGCAAAGGTCAGAGGCATTTTGCAATAATAAACTCCTATTTTGCTTCAAAGTAACAATATAAACTTCCGCTTAACGACGATAGATGTATACACGTAAATATTCCACTTGGAAATTATTTTTCCTGTGTAGATATTTCGATTTGAAACGATTGATTGACCTTGAAAGGTTGAGATCGTAATGTTTTTGTCGTATTCATCGAGCTCAGCGTATCACCTGCACACCCGGTTCACCTTAAATGAAAATGATTTCAGTCTTCCGTTTGTATTCAGTTTAATAACACCTGAGAAAAGCCAAGAATTGTGTGTTTCAAGCCTGGTGTATTTGAAAGAAGATTTAGAGTTGTTTAATGTCTAGATTGACCTTTCCAAACTAGCCAACAGGTGATTTTTTGAACACTTCCAGTTCCCTCAAAAGCTGTAGAAAATGATGTTGCCTCAATTATTTTCTTTATAGCATTTTGTTTATGTTGCCAGGGTGAACAGCTATTGTCCATATTATGCATACAAATCAGAACCATATACAAATCATTTGATTGTATTTATAGGAACTTGCATCAAATTAAATTGAGATTGTGTATAAAAATACATAAGAAATACATTAAAAAAACTATAATGTTAACATAGTAAACAAAAGTACAAATGGAATGTGACAGCATAACACATCATATAAAGGTCTTGAGGCCGTGATATGAATATGGGCTGACTCAACAAAGTAAGTGTATAATTATATTTCAAGTAGATGTACATGTAATTTCAGGTCAATATAATGCAATTCAGATCAATTCAATTCAATCTGGTTTAATTTCTACATCATAACAAAAAATCATAAACGAATGCGAAAGATATTTCATGAACAACAATCATAGTGATAGAGAAAAGGATCCCAACAAAAAGTAAAGCTTCTCATGGGTGCAGATCCCATTTACTAATTGATTTCGATAATTGATAACACTTATTGTAAATATGTGTTGCTGTGTGTGAGCTGAAATGCTGAATCGTACACATTTCTACAAAGAAAAGCAAAATACATACAAAACGCTTAAAGAAATAGAACAATTATTTTTACATAAAGTCATACAGGCGATATAATACAAAATAAAGGTTTAGTGATGTCATCTTAGAGAAACGGGGTTGAGAAGAATAATCATTATGTTTAAATCAGTCTTACCGGGTAGAGTCCGATTTGCTAGTTTGTAAAATTACTTAGGTGCTTATTTGTGCCAAGTCACTAAAGGTTGCCCTTTGGTAAAAAATAGTTTTCAGGAATACAGGAAGAAAAAATGAATCGTAAGAGAAATAAGCAAATAGCGACAAGATACAAAATACACGTCACCAAGTACTTAACGAAAGATAGTCGCATTGCAATGTTTCATAGTGGAAATAAACCTAAATATGCCTCAAAGGTGATGATTGAATTATTGTCTTCTTTCGAAGAAGTGTGGTATAAGGAGAAGCATGGGAATGACGTCAATGCATGACTTGAAGAAACTTGGCTTTTCAGAAAGAAGTCATCATAGAATAAGTGTTAATTCACTAAAGATGGCCGGCGGGATTTTTAACAGGTTGTACCAGTAGACATTGTCTGGACCACATCAAAGAGTCAAAGAATACATAATGAGTGGACAAATACAGTTTTCCCGACACTTGTTTGGCTGCCCCGGGGAAAGTTTGTCGTAAGACCTTTCTCCCAAGAAAACCGGTGCACAATATTTATATTTGCTCCATCCTACCCCTCAGCACTGTTCAGCAAATATATAATGGAGAATGAATTAGAAAGTCGTCATTATTGTAGCATCCCTGTTGGAATTGCAAATGCACATGCATTCACATGATGTTTGCGAGTTAAACCATGACTGTGCATAATGTCTTTTTTTTAAAAGCAGCTAAAACAATGAACTACAGCGCTTGTCGCATTTTCGTCGATTCAATAATTGGAGATTTGAAGTTTTAGAACATTGCAAGTCATGTTCGCCTTTTGCGGTTGGAAACTTTTCGTCCCTGGCGAGTCACTGCAATATTTGCTAAAGATCGATAAGTTTAACAAAGAAAATGACACAAAACAATAATCGCTTTCGGGGATTTTAGCATTAAGGAGATACTTGGAAAAATTGGATCAATTGCTTCAAAGACGAGAACATTTTTTCTTCTTCTAAAATTTGACGTAATGTTTAAATATAAAGTATTTATATCTACTAAGGTAACTTACAAGCGTGACAGAAGTAATGACATTTTTATGTAAATCTTCTGCCAACGGAATATGAAATTTTGTGTCATTTTCTTCGCCGAAGCAAGATCTATGCTATTATATTGACCTATATAATATCCATCTGAATGATTTAAAAACATGTCTATTAAATTTGTCCAACGAGGAAAATCATAGTGGAAGATGATCTAATCAATCCTTCATCATGTTTATACTCACTCGAATCAACAACTCAGACAGGTATAAGGAAAGTAAAATGGAAAGGCAGAGCGAAAAAGATAAGAAAGGATTATAGATGGTGGGTAACAGGTCCTAGTGCCCACTTGAATGCCCCGATTCCAGAAGAAATTTCAAGTAAACAGGCTTAAAACCGATAATAGGTCCATTTGGTCCTGTTCGCTAATAAGAATAAGAATAAGAAAATCAGATTTCCGACGATCTCTCAATTGATGTTTTGGCTCCTCGTTCCGCCATGAGCAAGCTAATAGTCGTTAAATCA